CTTCCGAGTATAACCAATACGTATGTACAAAGACAAAGATACGTGAAGGATAAACTAAGCTGAGAGTTTTCGACCGTCATGTCAATTAATTAGGGTTAGCTAGGTATTACATTTTTTGAATCACATACTCTCATGTGTGTGTTTGTTGCGTGGAAAAATCTGTTGCGTAGTTAATTAAACAAGTGAAATCCGTGAATTTGCTATGAAATCCAAATTACCCATGATTATTGCGACTTTAATAGTGAGGCCAATAACATTCAACAACTTTACTATATTTCGTAAGATTACAGCAATGCATCCTGCCGATCTTGCATGGGTTGTTTAACTTGTTTTAGCAACAAGGCTTCAGTTTATATCCCACCGGTAATCTTGTGATGTACTTTAAATGCCACTAAACTTCCACTACCACTTCGGGAAGGCCAATAATTTTGAAAACGGCCCGGCATAAACTGCGGAGTCCCCGCTGAAGATGAAAGGCCATCTTGTCTAGCTGTAATGTCAAAGGATCGATCACCATTTTCAAACGTGCGGGATTCTTCTGTGGAGTGCTGAAGATTGTTGTATAATGCGCCTCAGAAATCTGAAGAGTTTTGGTTGACGAATGCCTGTATGAAGTTTTAATAACTGCATGGGATAATCCAGGGCTAATCTGAACAGTACTGAGTCACTGGCTAAGGAGGAAAACCGGTGATTTATATATTGGTTTTACCACGTGTGGAAATAGGTGATTGCATGCTAAACACCTTGTTTGCTAAAACCTGCTTAAAATCTATAAATGAGCCTCTAAAAAAATTTTTGCTTAAAATTCATTCTTTATATATCGGCGAACCTCTCCAAAAGAGATCTCGGTGCTGTCTGGGATTGTTTGAAGAGACGAAAATATGAAAGCATGCAGTTTTTATTCCCAAAAATAGATTTGCGTGACTAGGCCCATGCATGCATGCATGCGCAGGGCTTAGGGAGGATGCGTTTGTTGATTGTAGTCAGTACTTTTCGTGAACAGTACGACATCTTAAAGGAAAATAAGGGAATTTTTGAAAACTTATTTGAACCGCTGCCATGTTGGTATAGATTTCGATAAATATTCTAACCTCAACAGCTCAAGATTTATTTCTTGGCGGCCACCCTGCCGCGGTCAGTTTATCTTCGTCTTCAGTTTTTGATAAAGAATGAAAGAGCCTTTATCAAAGCTATTTTTAGGGACGTATTTAGGAGACCTATTATCGGATCAAGACTATATGGATTTCTTCTGGATCAAATTATAAATATTCATCCATTGCGATAGCTTGATTTGGTGGTTACCACTTACCACATAATTTGATACAATCACAGGAAAAGGAAACGGTTTGTAATAAATTGTATAAATTTTGAGCGTGATGGTTTTCATTGTTCCTCTACCAAGTGGTCTGATAGGCTGATATGACAACCAACACTGAAAGAAAAATTCATTTCTCAACTTCTTGTCTTCAGTTATCTTTATTCTGTGGCCAGTCGTAAGTAAAAAAAACAGTAAATCTGAGAACTGATAAGCTAGTGTGATCATATTCTCAATTCAATAGGAAAGCTAAACCGGATAAATGACCCCATGCAGACCATGTTGATTTGTGTACTCCTGCACGTTTTAGCGACATATATACATTTATTCGGTGAATTGGTGAAAGATGTAATTTTAATGTCGCCAGTGATATTTTGCATGACCGGCTTTGATTTAATAATCGACAGACGAAATCTCTTTTAACAATTTATTGGATGATGTTCTGTATGTTTTTACAAAAACAAATCCTAAATTAATACTGTCACTTACATAATAATCGTTTCAAGAGTCGATCGCGGTTATGAGATAAAGAACACAACGTCCTTTCGTTGCTTTGTGAAAATCGGGAATTTTCCTGCAATATTTTGGCAGTTTGGCCGAACTGTGATGCATGATCGACCCATCTTCGCGTCAACAATCGACACTTAAAAAAATTATAAGTTAATTAGAACCTTGCTACATTCTCTTTCCCGAATGTACCCGGGTGGTCATTGACATTGCCATCGATCATCTACAGAGAATCATGGAACTCGAATGTTTTTACTCTGAGATATTTCATCATCCATATAGAACATCCTATATATAGTATTTATAATTTTTTATCAAGACCGCGCGCGCCTTTTATACGCGCGAATGCAATAATGTCAATTGGGATGTATACATTCCTGATTTTAATATTAAAAGGCTCTATCTTTCATGAGCTAGAAAGCATTCATCAACCCTGATGTCTGATTGTAATAAGTTCAGCATATATTCACATTATTTTATTAAATTAAACAGCTGGTACACATTTATGCAATATTACTAGCTAGTTGTAATCATAGATAAAGTCTCGGATAAAGCATAGCAAAGCTTAATTATAATCGTGGTATTTAAAAATATACCCCAAGTTTTTGCATTTCTAACTGATTATATTATCATATACTTAGAATTTTTTATACGAAATAAGACCAAATATGAAAATCAGAAATAGATTGAATACAGAAGTTTAATTTCTTCATATATTGCATGCTATACATTTATTTGTGTTATCAGCGTTGGAGAGTTTGGCAGCATTTCATTTCACACATGTTTAATCCTTCCTTTCTAAATAGTCTCTTGCGATTCCAAATACGGTACGTGCGTAGAAAAATGTCGAAAAACATAAAAGGTTAAAAGTTAGAATGTTTATCAGATGGATCGGTTTTCAGCAGTGACAATAAACATAAGTGGTTCCCAGATGGTTTTACAGATAATATACGACTGTTAATGTGGCAAACAATCATATCATCCAACAGCTAAAAAAGTAAAGACTGCTACAAATATTTTCGTCATCTAATTCCATTCTGTTTTGCAAAGAATTGTCGAACGTAGCAAGAATTTACTTGTATTACGTAAGCCTTAACTGCATTCGAACGTACGTACGTAGAAGCGTTATATACGTTATACCTTTTGTGACAGATTTTGGCTGTTCACCATGCAGTTGCTGATCATGCACAGAATTCACTAGGCAGTATCAATGAATAAAAAAACTGTGCTATCGGCGTCTGTATTGACACATCATAAACAGTATTTCATTTTAACATGCGCAGGAAGAGCTCATAATGAGTTCTAAATGATCCATTGCATGACACCGTATTTTGTAATAATGAAGAACACGTGAGTTTCATATGATGTTCTAATGAAAAAGAATTATCTTGAATGATTTACACGCGGCATTGGGACACGCATCGACAACCTCCATCATCACACAATGGATGCATTGCCATAGTAATGCACAGTACTCAATAGTTTCTAGCAATTGAGTCAAGCTTGAAATGACCTCAATGAAGAGAGCAGAAGTGAAATAGACAAATTTGATTTTAAGGCTTTAATGATAAACATTATCAATTTCGATTGGAAGGATGAAGGATTAGATACAGAATTTCTACAGCATTCACGGCAAAATAAGGATTCACTTCATTTTCTCAGGAGGGGCCAAACGTTTTAACAGAGGGGAGCGCAGACCCTCCTGCGCCAGCCCTGGTTACGACTCTGCGCAAATGATAACCGATTTACAACAAATTATGACATGTGAATTGTGAATTACGAGAAATTATTTTATGTGAAAACAAGCCTTAACCATGCATCCATGATAAACAAAACCGAGGTCAACAAAAAAGACTGCATGTGGCGTAATTATATTCAAATAGACCCCTGGTTAGTCGGTTAGTTCACAAGCGCTTTTAACTCTTAATTTGCGCTATCGAATTCTTTTGCATGATCTTCTAAGATTGGCGGAGAACAGTTGCTGCCTTCGGGATACCATTGATGAAGGACACTGCTATAAGGGACAAGTTATGATAAATGTGGTAAAACAATTGCCTAAAGTAGACAAAACTGAATTTTTTGATCGAGCGAAATTTTTCGCTCGATTTCCGTTTCAATCCGGACTGGTCAAGAGAATGCGCTACGGTCGAATTCTTACAATTAAAAAGAAAATCAGGCGAAATATTTCGTTCATTCCAAATATTCAGCGTAGTGGAAAACTTCCTGATCTGGTAATTTTTATTACAAGATGCGGTCGGATGCACATAAACAGCCCCACCTGATTTTAATTCTCTCCTGGTATAAATGACCAAATTTATACAAGGAGGGTGCAGTCAAACTAGTTTTGAGCAGCTTTGGTTAAATAATTTGCATATATGGTCACACAGAAAATTGCCCTTACTGATATTACAGCTCCAGAAATTGTACAATCAGTTTTCACGATTGCCCTTTTTTAGTAATTTCTATTATGCAAAAGTCCATTACACTACCAGGCACTGGGTATTACTACTCTTTGACAATTTATTGTTGCAGTCTTTTTAAAGTTCACTGTTTTTCACATGTCTGCGCAGTTGATCTTTCTGCCCAGTCACACTGAAAGCACCGGAATGAATCTTCACTCTCTTCATCGCAAATTGTCGTTCATCATCGGCCAACACAAATGATTTCAGAAAAAAAAAACAAGACGCCGACTTGGCGTTAGCCTCGGGTCGTTCGGTACGGCTGCAGAACGAAAAAGAACAACAAATCGAGTACTATATATTACGATCTGAAGCCTTGGTGATGATATCCGTTAAATTCTCACATTTAAAAAAAGAAGAAAAAATTCGTCTATTTCGCCTTTAGCAGTTGCGTACCCAGGTCAGTGTTTTTTTGGGGGGGGAGGGAGATGCTAACGCCCAAGCCGTGAGTCATACTAGCCCCCCCCCGCCTACGCCACTGACCTTTAGACTGGATACACTTGAAGAGATGAAGTTCTCTAGAGAAATATTTACATATTTTCTCTTTAATTTAGTGCATGAAGCCGAACCCTTTTTTTTATACTGTAAAAGTTCAAAAGAAAATATCCTGGGGCATATATACACACCTAACTGTGATTTGTTAAATAAAGTATTGCTACAAGTTTCTTTTGTATGGTAACGCGGGCGCAAATAATTGCTCTATTAGTCTATTTTGCAGGGAATTTTCAGACAGGAAGATGCATCAGACAGAATGAAACTAAAGGTTTTGGAATTTTATAACAACAGAAAAAGATATAATGGCTGTTGGAGATGGTGGAAAAGCCAAAAGTGAACATCAAATTGAAAACGAAGAAAATGCTGGGGTGGTAAGCCCTGAAGAACAGAGGAACTGCCTAAAAACCTTGCTGCAGACGCAATTGAGCAAAGGGGAAACTTGGTAAGCCAAACTCTGAAGGTGGCTCACTGGTTCGTTGTTTACTGTGCTTTATAGTTTCATTTAATCTTTTCTGCTAGATATGTTTCGTTCTGGATATGCTAAATGTAATAATCGCATAATTATTTTTAAACTTTCATTGCCAGTTTGACAGGTGCAAGGTTTTTTTATGTTTGATATTAAATGTAGAAATACTTTTTAATATTAACTGTTCTGTCCAATTTATTACCCTCATGTGAACAAATTGTAAAATAACACTTTCGCCTAGAAATATGTGGTATACTGTCAATTATATAAGAAAGAACATTCTGGTTTCACAATAGTGAAAATAACCATAAAACTTGTTTCCTTGAAAAAACATGATCATTTTAGACATGATATACCATTACCCATTGAGAAATGTTTTTGGAAGGATTTTATTTAAATGTTAAATAAGTTACCTATTTTGTGCTGAAAGGTACTCTTTTTCGGTGTGTAGTTAATAAACTTTGCAAGAAACATTATACACCTAATGTATGTTTCCGAGGGAAATAGTGAGTTTTGTTTTCCTAGAAGTCTGAATGTTGAGACTTGAGGGAAAACAAAACTCACTATTTCCCAAGGTAGTGTACATTAAGTACATACATATTACACAACAATTTACATATTACAACAAAAACATACATATTACACAACAACTTCATTTAAAAAAAACCCACTTTACTTTAGAAACGGGCAACAATTTTTCACTTGCATTTATTTAAAGTCATATGACTAGGAATATAAAATACACAGCACCTGTGTAACAATGTCTATTGTGTTGTTTGATCTCGTTCTTGTTTGATGGTGATGTGATGGAAAGATAGAGAAAACAAAATATTTTGTTGTCATTAGGTATCTTGTTGATTCCAAGTGGTTTAAACAATGGAAAAAGTATGTTGGATATGACAGTTGGGATGTTGACAAAGCAGGCACAAAGACTATGTATCCAGGACCTATTGACAATTCTGGTCTTTTTGCAGGTTATTATGAAGTTTGATATTCAATGTAAAAGTTTGCAAACAGGTCTAGTTCACAATAGCAACAAAAGGAATGAGTTAGAAATAAAACAAAACATATGTCAGTTGTTTCATTTTTTGTTTCATTTGATAATGTTAGTGCAATTCTATGCTACCAGTACAGCAGTTGATTCTCATCTGTTAATTTTGATTATTCCGATTTTTTCATTTAAGATGATAATTGTGAGAAGTTAAAAACCCATCTAATTGATGAACTTGACTACGTCCTTCTGCCTGTTGAAGCATGGGAAAAGCTAGCAGCTTGGTATGGTCTTAGCGATGGACAGAGTGCTATTGCAAGACAAGTTGTGGAACATGGAATGTTTGTAAAACATTGTAAAGTGGAGGTGTACTTGGTTGAGCTGAAACTTTGTCATAACAGTGATATGGAGACATGTCAAATAAGACCATTTAGTAGAGCAGATAATATAGGTTTGTTCATGATGGTTATTAATACCATACATTCTATTATCAATACCGTATATTCTCTTACTACAGAATAATCCTACTATCTTTAACAATAGATCCAAACAATCTTTGTTTTTATGTAATATGATTTTATATGTAAGTTACAATAATGATTTCCTACTTTTTTCTTTCCATTGCAGGCCATGTTGAAAGTGTCATGAAGAATATATTTGAGGTGGCAGATGAAAAGGAGACTAGAATATGGAACAAATATATGAGCAATACTTATGAGTTACTAAGTAAAAAAGAACAAACAATTCAAGACTGTGGTTTATATAATGGGCAGGTGAGAAAATAGTAGTTTCAGCTAAGACTTGCTCCAAGGCTGCCTCTTATTGTCTTCGCAAATGGCACTCATACCATTAAAAGGCAGAATTGGAACAAGTCAATTACTACACTGTACTACATAAATACAGCTGTTTAGTAAAGACCTGTGAATATTTGCCTCAGAATGGATAATATACGTATGTTCATTATGTGAAGGTTGTTGTTCTTGAAGTAAAAAAGGATGATGGTTCTTGGACTCGAGAGGTCCCAAAAAGGTGAGTTTAATGATGATACCTTTAATGTATTGCCATGCAAAACAATTTAATGACACTTTCTTGCAAGAAATATAAAAACAATTTTATAACAACATACATCCTTGTTTACTGTTATGTCTTATTCTGGTTGCCACATCTCCTGTAAGATAATATCCTAAAGGTTATTATATCACAAAATCTCCATTTTTCTATTGAAATGGAAGAATGTGGCAAAGTGCATTTATCAAATTTAAATTTATTTTGTGATTTACTTTTCAGTTTGACATTTGCTTCATCGCCGGTAAGCTGAAATATATTGTAATTTGCCAAACCACATTTTTGGTTGACCTGTTGTGTTGATCAGCTAGCTAAGAGATGCACATATGCTTCTTTTGCGTAGACCTCAATTTATTAAACATTTGTACAGTCTACTGCATTTTTGCCTGATGCAGTGAGTAGAAAACTTTGTGGGAGAAATTTAAAGCTTCAACATTCCATTTTCTAATTCTAAACAAAATATATCTTTACAAAATTTTTATTTAAAACATAATATTTTGTGACTACAAGAGGTACAGGTACAAAATTCATTCATCACAGAGTTCATTCCCTAAAGGGGCCATAAAGATATAGCAATCGCCCTCTATGGGATTAAAATATATTATATGTCAGACAAACTAAAAAAGATTTAAATTTTAAACCATAATTAAAAAGTAATCTCTTTAAACTTGTTTTTCATGTCACTAACATGGCGAAGAGAGTACTTAATCGTAAAACTGTAAGTATATATGTGTAAATTTAATATCCAATAACTCAATAACAATAACAGTAATCTTAACCAACCTATATTGAATTAGCTAATAATTATGTTACGTGCATGCCAGCCTCTCCCCGCAAAGAAAAGGGCGAATGCATTAAATTGAAATTTCGTATTTTCGCAATCTAAATGGATATTTCATTTCATACGAAATGAGCCAATATATTTGGTGCCATAATTTTTGGTATAGAAACGGGATACGGGCTACGGGGTTCAATATTTCGTTATGGGTTTAAATTATGCGGATGGCGAGAAATCCCATTGCTGAGGATATTTTTTCTACACTACATTTTTCGTGTTATTTTTTTTTGTTTTCAAGCTATCAACATCGCCTATCGATTCATCCTTCCCGGATAACAGGTAAATGCAATTACAGTAACTATTGTAAATTGTACTGTAGTCGCTACAATACTTGTTTTTCAGTTGGCTACATAGCTACAGTCCACGACCACGGTGATCACACACCAAAAAGATTATACAAGTTTTACTGTGCCAACTCATTGTGGACAGAAATTTACAAAATGCTTTTTGGTCCGTTTATGCTTGAAAATATCTATGTCATGGTTTTGTACTTTTTATGCAACCGTCGTCCAGATGGTGCTTGATTCATATCATAACTTATCTTAGAAAATGTTTTACTTATATACCTTCATTTCATGTTTTTAGATATCACAATTATTGCTTTGATTGATTGTCTTTCGAAATGGTGTGACATTAATAGCTAACTCGTTGATTTTATAAATTTTTTTTTGAAATTAAGTCCATATTCAAGCCACTCGAGCACCAGCGGATATTCAAGTTACTACAACGAATACAACGCGCGGGAGTCTCCTAGTCATCCTGGTCTTTGTGGCCTCACAAATCTTGGCAACACTTGTTTCATGAACTCAGCTGTCCAATGCTTGAGCAACTGTGTAACACTCACCAAGTACTTCGTCAACGACTTTTACAAGAACGAACTGAACAAGGAAAATCCCCTGGGCATGCGCGGTGAGATTGCGAATGCGTACGCTGGACTCATGCATCAAATGTGGTCGGGAAAGTATAGTGTAATATCCCCGAGGCAATTCAAGACAGCCGTAGGTAGATTCGCCCCACAGTTTTCTGGTTACCAACAGCAAGATTCACAGGAGCTCATGGCGTTTCTGCTCGATGGTTTGCACGAGGACTTGAACCGGATCAAGAAGAAACCATATATTGAGTTGAAGGACTCAGATGGCAGACCTGATCACGTGAGTCGATTTTTATGCGTTTTATATACATAGGATAGATAATCTTAGCTAGGCTGGAGAGGGTCTTTCAAAATTAAGTGGAATGTTATTATGCTAACCACTTGTGTAACACGTACAGAAATTTTCTTACATGGCAAACGTCAGAAAAACTACAACATGAAATAGCAACACTGACGCTATATCAACAACAATGTCGAAAAGGCCCAACAAATTGCTGTGTATTCTGGAACAATCTTTTAAATTTTATTTACGGATCAAGATTTATTCACACTAACACATGAAGAGAATGATTGAACAAAAACCTTAGTCTAGTTTCCAGACTATATCTCTACAGATGTTTTATGAACGCACCTTAAAAAAGTTTGCGTGATAACATCCTTTTTAGGCATTTGATTGTCTCCCTTAGCTTGTTGCTCAAGAACTATGGCAGGCGCATCGACAAAGAAATGATTCCATCATTGTCGATTTTTTTCATGGTCAATTTAAATCCACTTTGATATGTCCAGTCTGTGAAAAGGTAAGACCACAATGCATGTACCATCACCGTTACTCCTGATTGATTAGTGTTTAGGGCTGTAAACTATCGCTATAAAAATTTAAAAACTATCGTTGCTTCGGTAACGTACAATTCCGCTCGTCAAAATACGTTGACTTGTTAGGATTCTCAATTCTGTGATCACATGCACGGCACGTAGTTCCTATGTATTAAATATACCATGTTGGATTTTCTGAAAATAGGAATTCCCTTCTTTATTTTTGCATGGTGAGACATACAGTAGCTACGCACATCTATATTCAAATAAACCTGATTTTTCTTAAACAAGTTATCAGCGAGCTTTGGCATACGAGATCTCCTTTTCCAAATTTGCCAGAATGTCCTTGGTAACTCGCCAATTTTTTTATTCCGATTTGTTTTTAGGTTTCCATTACATTTGATCCATTCTGTTATCTCAGTCTTCCTTTACCGGTCAAAAAGGAACGCAATATTGACGTGTTTCTTATTCCTGACGATCCAATGATACTCCCTAAGCAGGTAAAGATTCGTGTGCATGGAAATATTTTATTGTTATGTGTTTTCTTTATCATGCGCCATGGGCAATTAGAATACGAGGGGTCATATCAAATTGTGGGTCCCTGGGGCCATTGTTTTCAAACGGAAGAGATTAAAACTAAAGAGTTACGTCATCAGAGTCAGAAGCGTGCGGTTGTTGCTATGTTGTTAAAACGTTGCATGTGGATGTTCTGTGGCTTCTTTATTTTCAGGAATATTTTAGTTATTTTCAGAAATATTTTAGAAGTGGGTATATAGTGTATTACTCAGATACTGTAACAATGGGAATAATGACGTGTACAGTATAAATATATCTCGTGTATTCTTATCCAATAATAACCAGTATTTTAAATATTAGACAGATTATCTTTGTTTTTGGTGATGAAATTTTGTTTAGTTCGATAATCAATTCATTTTTTGACGATTTAGTATAAGCTGACCGTACCAAAGAGAGGAACAGTGAGAGATTTAGTTAAAGCAATGTCAAACGAAACTGGAATTCCGCAAGAAAAGGTACGTTGGGCTGTGAATTATGGAAAGATAACATCTACCTACTTACAGTGTGTCATAACTTTGCCTTCCTATATTCGTGGATATTAATATTGTTCTTAAGTGCCCAATAGTACTACATGTATACCGTTTCAATAGTGAAACTATAGTAAGTAATGTTTCGACTAAAACAGTAATCAACCGGTCCTGGCTTGTTCCAAGTAGATCTATGGAGACTGCACAAGAAATATCATCTCTCTATTTCTCTTAGCTTTCGGGCAGTTTTCTGTGATACTTCAGGATTTTGTACCAACGCCTCGCGTGTACCGACCAAAATATACATAGTCATAGCCAGCAAAAATTTATACAATAAGATTGATGATAAATATGAACGTTTCGTGGAAATGTTATCGTTTATTTTGCTCAGTAATTGTTTTCTTTTCAGATGATCGTTGCCGATGTTTATAATCACAGGTTTCACAAGATATTTTCACTGACAGACGGTCTGACCAATATTCTTGACAGGGATGATATATTTATGTAAGTATTAGGGATACCACTGAAAAACTTGCAAATGAAGACCTTTGTAAAGTATAAATGCATGTATCATGTATTAACAGGTTAGCAGGATCACTATAAATTGTGCAATGCTTTTTAGATATGAAGTTCCAGAAAAACACAGTGAAGACGTGATCAATGTACCTGTATATTTACGTGAGAAAAAGTAAGTGTTACTCGGCTTGCGCTCTGTATATTTGCTTTCCCTACAGTTTTTAATGAAGTCACTGCATCATGCATCATTTAATATACTCAGATAAGGCCCAACGAGGCTAGGCGAGGCTTAGCGAATACTATAACTATAGTAACCTAACTAGTTATGCCCGCTGCGGATCGGTAGGGATGGAGACGGCAGCACGGCGAAGCGAACGAGCTCGGCGAAGCGAACGAGGTTGGCGATGCGTAGTCTTTACTGTCATTTTCAATCATGCGTACGTCCATCAGATATGGAACCTAAACGGTACCCTCTCCATCCCGTGATCACACTGTCACACGGAATCACAGAAGTGAAAGCCGTGGAAGGAAAACAAGAACACACACGATGCACACATAGTAATAATACGATACATACCGTAGGAATCTTTGCAAACCAACTGAACCTAGAGAAACTAAACTAAAACAATAAATGGAAACCATCCCCCAAGGGTGGAATGTCAGGGGAGGAAGGCGGGGCGAACGAAGCGATAATAAGCAAATAAACAACAAGGCAAGCCATATAAATACTAAGGCCCGGGGAAAATACCCCCGTGCCAAACACCCGACTATGAACCCATGCGAGGGCCAACTCTTCGATATTAACTTCTTTTATTATACTAATAAATACATATAATTATACCAAGCTTGACTCAATACTTTTTCAATTCAATTCCACTTGTTCAATGTCTATGAATGAATCCCTGAAAATATCGGACACTGGAAGCTTGTTTACTGATTCACGGCTCCTTTCAATAGGGTGTATAATCACCCTGACACGCAGGGGTGAAAAACCTGAATCTCATTCCAGAGTTAGCTAACTGATAGTCCTTAAATATTGCAAAGATAATCATTCAGACCGTTTATTGTTACATGGAATTATAAGTGGTTGCATTTTTTTATTTCAGGTATAGCGCCTTTTCCTCTTCCTCGAATATGTTTGGTAGTCCGTTGTTTGTAAAGATCACCCCAGATTCAACTACGTATCAAGAATTGTATGATGCTATACTCTATAAAACGAGGTGCTGCAATCTTATATTCGAATAAGTGGCTATAGTAGCTATAGGTTAAAACGTATTAGTATAATAATATGGGTGATTATTATTAAAAAAAATTGTGCTCTGATTAGTTATAAGCTACCTTTTGCTGATTATTACGCGATGATCAGCCAAGAGTGTTTTTCAATATGGCGGCAAGTGACAGATGGAGAAGTAGGCTCATTTTCATCTTTTAAAATGGTGCTGAAAAGAATCACAAATGTTGAATACTATAATCCTGCATGTATTACAAATCAGTATGTAATTAGAACTAGACCGGTTCTATCTTTCTTACTAACAGACGATTCGTAAAAGTATTTGAAGAGAATGGAGATTCTCAAGCAAAAGGCGTTACGAAATCAGGTATAGTGAACTTGCAGGAGAATTAGATATAATTATATTTCCATCGTGACAAAATCTGCTAACCCTAATTCGGTCTTTTTGTAACTTTTGTGTCGTTGCACAGGATGGTTTCACACATTGCTATATTAGCTAATCGATAACATCCCTTAAATAAATAATAATTATATTCATACACAAATATAAGTTATATAACCTTATATACCATCTTGTAGATGATGAAGTGGAGAACAACGAAACAGAAGAAGAGAAGATCGAGGATAGCAATGAAAAATCTCTGGTATGTTTGTATTTAATGTATTGTTGTCCAACTAATATTTACAGGTGTACTTATAAAATATACCTGCATAATTTTTTATCACTTCATTGTATATTATATTAACTTTGGCAGGCATTGCGGTGTATTTTGCGGGCTAAAATGATAAATTTGCCAGGCTGAAATATATTTTAGCCCGCTGATCTAAGCCAATCAGAAGAAGAAAGTGTTCACCTATTGCATAATTTTTTATACAAAAGTTGCCCTTTAAAGTTAATATAATAGTTATACAGTTGATGTTCTTGGGCATAAATGTGTTTTTTCAGAGTCGAGCCAAAGACACATTTATGTCGGCGAACATCGACTCTATTGTTATATTATACGGGCTGTTAGGGAAACAATAAACTCGATTTTTCCGGTGAATGGCTTTTTGATCAATCGCCACGACCAGTTACATTTGAATGAAATACCGACACATACAGTATGCAAAAGACCCTGGGTACGAGCTTGACAGTATGGTGACCTCTGATTTTTGAGTCAACTCAGAACAAACCGCTCTGCCGCGTTTTACATTCACGAAATATGCAACCCTTCTTTTCACACAACGTTTCTGTTATTTTATTTATTTCAGCATTCATAGCCCAGACTGTATATTAGCTATATATAATGATTTGATGCGAATACATACGTATAATGGCGAGTTTGAGACAAATGTTTAGGTCCTTTAGTCAATATCTGTCATATCGTGTATAACGTGTATGGCCCTGGTTTTAAGGATATGTCGTACTTTGTGTGTAGGATGAGAACAACAAAGGCGAATCAAGTGAGAAGACGGTACCAACATTATTTACAATGTGTACGGTGAATAGTTATGGAAGCGCTGATATCGAAACTCTCAAGGATGATGGAAAGCCTCTCAGAATTTCAGGTATATATATTTCTGGGATACTTTCGTACCATGCAACCAAATGGATTCCGAGAAACATTGGACTTAACTTTCACATTGCGATAAAACAAGTTTTACTTTTAGCACGAAGTTACGTCGCTGTTGACTGGTATCCGAAAATGAAAGCGAAATATTACGATCAGTCAAAAGCCGAGGTATAAACAAACGACTGCTGAACGGTGAAAAATGTAGTTAACTTTATTTACAATCGAGTCAAAACATAGTTAAAATTTTTTCTACATACACCTTCTGTTAGAAACATGAGGGGAGGGATTCTTGTCTAAATTCTGATCCATTACACTTACCAATTTTTTTTTCAATAGGAAGTGACACATCATGAGAGCGTTGATCGCAAGTTTACCGAGAGGAAAACGATCACATTAGATGATTGCATTAATCTCTTCTTAAATAAAGAAAAACTTAGTGCTGATGATCCCTGGTAAGTTATAAAATTTCTAAAACATATATAAACACGCACGAAAGGTTTTCCATCTTATGTGTAATTGTTATACCGACTTGGACTGGTTTTTCGAGAAGTATTGGCATAGCTTAATGTACTGTTCTGAAGATGTATCTAGATTTTGGCTCTTGTAGAGAATGTCTATAAACATTGACATGCATGTACATCTTCATATTCTCTTACAGTGTACATGATCCAATACTATATTATATCTAATCATGTCCGATCATTGCTGACGACCAGACATAACTTTTCATCCAACCAATTGCTATTTCCAGGTATTGCCCCACTTGTAAGGAGCACCAGCAAGCCACGAAGAAATTTGATTTGTGGTCCCTACCAAAGATTTTAATCATTCATCTTAAAAGATTCTCTTACAACAGGTAATTCCTATGAGCCGTAAGGCATATAGTATTAGGCGTCTCAGAATTTTTTTTACTTTATAATAATTCATTTTCAGGTTTTGGAGAGATAAATTGGACATCAAAGTTGACTTTCCTTTGACGTATGTATTATCTGTGCAAATCTTTCTTGTATACACTTAGGTCTTATGCACGAGGTATCTCTTCCATCTGCCCCCTGCGAGAAGTTCATTATTTATTGTTGTAATTACTGTTGTTTTTGCAGTAATTTGGACATGTCAAAATATGTGATCAATAGTGAACATCCTCCCGCAATTTATGACTTACACGCAGTCTCGGTGGGTATTGATGTTGAAGCATGTTTCTTAGTTTATTTGCAGGAAGACTAGAATATCTTATGATATTGAAATTCTATATCAATAATCTCTGCGTCATCTTTCTCTGTGATCCCCATTTTAAAAAATGAGTTATTGTATTAAAGATATTTTAACGAATATTCGAATATTTTTCTCTGGTATTGTAAATGTATTTTTATACAAAACAATTGTTTTTAGAATCATTTTGGAGGTCTTGGTGGAGGACATTGTAAGTTTCGAAGCTGGTTGTGTTTTGAAGTTGCATAACGGGAAATTATGACTCGGCAATTTCCTTTAAATAGACACTAACATGCATGTGTATATCACTCAGCGTTTAATTTGAGGAATGTGGTTGATTTTTAGACACGGCATTTGGAAAGAACCCAAACAAGAACGATTGGTATAATTTCGATGACAGTAGCGTATCATCTATGCATGAAGACAGAGTTGTTGTAAGTACTTGAAATGCTTCTAATATACGTGTAACGTAATTAGCAAAGAAATTAGCTAATTCACACCAAATTCAGTTGTGATCATATACAAGTTTTAACAAGTGATGACCTATTAAAGTAGTAACTAATTGAACTTCAGGGGCCAGTTGTATAAAGGCTTGTTAACTTTTAACTGTAGTTAAGGACAGAATTGGCCAATCAGAGTCGTGTATTTCACTAGGAATTAACTATACATACAGTTAAAGAGTTTTATACAACTGGCCCCAGCCGTAAATCTTCGGTTTGTGTTTTACAGTCATCGTCTGCTTACCTGCTGTGTTACACCAGACGAGGTGACAATGGAAGACAAGATGATATAAACGATGAACAAAGAATGGAATACGATGACGAATCACCTTCTTCCTCGACATATGAACCAACAGACTCGGTGAACGATATGGTGTGATTCATCCAAAAGTAGTAATTTTCCCAAATTGTACTCCAAATTGCGTCCCAGACACGTATGATGAAGTAAATTTAGATTTTATATCTGGATATTATGCATTATTTTAGTTTGTTGAGTGCTTATGTTAATATGAAAAAGAACTGGCGGCAATGTTATAAATGCATGCATGCGGATTGCTATTACTAATGTACCGAAGGATATATTACTGATATTCGACTGATAACCTTTTTTTAAAATACATTTCATGGTTTTATATTTAAAAAGGAATTAGTGACATGTCCTTCACGTGTTCTTTGGTAATGTCAGGTTTAGTATTGAATGGCTGCATTCCTGGTTAGGGTTTATAGTTATATATATAAGTAGGCGTAGCCAGCCTGACGATTTTGTCCCGCTATGTAATCTTCGAGTTATTTTAATTATTCATGTCTTTAGAAATCTATTGTTTTTACAGTCAGTGAACACCAAAATATTAGCATAGCGGGACAAATCGACAGGCTGGCTACGCCACTGGGTTAGTTAAGAATTTTTGGCCTAGTGTGTAATGAATTCACTGTATCGCTCTTGATTAGGGCACAATTTACAAGTGTCCTAGCTTTGATTAAGTATTTTAAATTACTATAGTGAAAATTTTCCTGGAAGTATTTGTCTGTATGATATAAATACTTAAATAAGCTCGCACCCTGAGTAATCCAAATTGTCGTGCAAGTTCACATACGAGGTTGTGAGGAGACTTATTTTTACCGTTCCTATAATTAGCTATAAACCTTTGCCATTTTCAAAATAATTGTGCAAAATGCAATGTTTTTGAAATTCTCAAAATTTCAGAAGCCATATGTCATATGACATCAAAAAAATTGTTTCTAAATTATCTTATATGATACTGTTATGCACAGTATGGTAAAGCTTCAAAGTTCATACCACAGGAGCTTCCACATTTTGGAAAGTGAAAGTAAAAGCAGGCTGCTCTGAGCGGCACTTGTTGAATTAATTAGTGTATTTGTCGATTCTGGACGATTTCCGGTCAACTCATCGACGGCATGCAACTTTTCAGTCTTGTTTTCATTCGACTGGGTATTGAAGATTTCAAAAACACTATGCAAGTTCAAGCAAACACTTGTTTTGCAACTTGCATCTCCCATTCCTTGTCACCTTGAAGGCTTTGAAGCGGAAGAGAGGGTTGCACCATTTGACACCTCGACCTGGAAGTGGGAAGAGACAAACCAACCCTCCGGGATATCATACGACAAAGAATTTGCCAGCTCCTGTTCAGGATCAAGCTTTCTAGTCTCTTGTGCAATGTCGAGATGATAGGGACGCAAGGCTGTATTTAAAAGTTAATTGTTAAACATTTCTTGAAATTATTAATACATGCTTAATTGCATATAACAAGATGTTTGCGCTTTGACGATTGTATATTGCTAACGGATTGTAGCAAATTGTCGGGAAACGCGACCGTAAACGCTCAAACAATTGTACTTCCGCTTGAAAAATGTAATGACGGATCAGATGTCGATACAGATTGAAAACTCAACTACCTTGCCTATAAATGACACAGACGACAATATTGACATCATGTCTTCAACCGAACTAAAGATGAACGCCAGCGATGTAGGCGAAATTTCAAACACAGAGGTATTTCAATGTATTTATCTATAGTCCTATATACTATTTAGGTGTTCGTATTATGTGAATTTATTTTGAACTAATTTATAGACTCTCTGCACCTAAAAGAGGATTACATCTTTTAAACTTTGTTGTTAAATGCCCATCCTGCGTATATATATCGTTGATGGCTTCCTAATTAAGCCCAAGTGTATTGCCAATTTTTTGGTATTGATGTTTGATAAAATATATATGTAAATCTAATACTAATAACAGTATAATATATAAAATCAAAGTCCAAAGGTCCAACCTTGAAGAACTATCAAATTCCTATCCTTGGGGCATCTGGGGGTACATACAAGCTGCACTTCAAATCATTGAGGAGTATATTTAAATCAAATAATATTATTGAAATCGAGATTGAAATTGTGCTGGTTGTGCAGTGAGTTGCTCAAGTTTCCTAAATGCATATTTCAGCAATGTTTTTTTTTCTTCTATTTAACTTCAAGTCTCACTAGGGACCTGTTTACCCCTTGTTCTATATTCTGCTTTTCCAAAGAGGATTGCTGACAGCAGTCTATTTTATGAAGCTTTCTCTTTGAACCAAAAATCCTCTGGAGGTCATCCTATGCTTATCATATTCATCGATCAACCTGGCTAATTTGATATGTTCCATTTCAGCCAAGTTTGATATCATCCTTGCCACTTCACTATGCTTGAAATTGCTATTATTTTTTAGATGTAAAAGATTAGCATTATCAGAAAGGGCTTTTTCTGAGCACCATGTACCTTTTTAAGTCCTTTTTCCAAATTAGTTTATTTAGCCATAGAAAATGGGATTAAATCCAGATTCTGAAATACATACATGCAACACTACTCTTTTAGTTTCATTTGATATTAATCAAACTTTTTACATAATCTTTATTCTGAATAACAGTATACTGAGATGGGCATTAGCAGGTATTTAAAAGAGTCAACAATTATCAACATGTGTTCAGTTTAAATGCCTGGACCAAATTCCTCAAAGGAATGGTTTTACACTCGCCCAAATACATGTGTGTGGTCTGTGACTGTGTGGAAACGTGTTGATTGGATAATCCCTGAGTGACATCAAATGTGGAATTCGTGATGTTACATGAAGTTTGACTGCCTCTATAGACTATCCAAATTCGACCCTGATTTAATATAAGAAAAGTGATACTTAGTTGCAACTGCTGTAATTAGGCGTTAAAGTAAAGATGAAACTGACTTAAAAAATCTAGACTCAAATCATGGGCACGGTGGCATACAAAGAACACTCGCTGGGATGTTAGACGGTTGTGCGGATTTCATGTTAGAGTATAGCAAGAACGATATCTCGACACTGACAAATATTGTGATCGTTCTACTTTAAGTTGCCACCTGGGAATTAAAGCTGGAAAAATTAGCTTGACCACGGTAGTAAAATATTGCGATGTTTTATTTAGATTTGTGATAGCAGTTTGGTTCAAATCACCCATGGGTCACTTAATCCAACAACAGTTTCTCTCTTGCGCTGTAAGAAGCAAATCGTTATACCCTACTACAAGCTTCTTGGTATTGTAAGTAAATTTTAATTTTGAGTTATGACTGAATTGCATAATAGTTTCGTGACTATAAAACGTTTCTGCTGTAACTTGTCCGCGTTTTGCCCAACGATGATATAGCTGAGCCGGGGGGACGAATATCAGATTGAGCCATAAGGTAATAGCCTACCCTCGTTTGGCCATTTTTTATCTCCCAATTTTTCTCGGAATTTCCTTACCACTAAAGGAAATCTTGGAACGCGTTCTTCACCTCCATCGAAACCACGTCCTCTCATCGGAAAATTTCGACAACTACAGTATAAGCCTAGGTCATATTAGATCTATGCCTAGGTCACAGATTAGAAATGCATGTCGCTTCGGTAGATTTCGACCGCTTCGTGGAGCATCACCAAGATTGCCGGTATTCGAATAACGATGCAAGAAAAGGCATATTGCACTTCGCAATGTTTTGATGCCTTCCCCATCAAACAGTTTTATTTTCTTTTATTCTCTTTTATTTTCGTCTGGTTCACTCTATTAGATGGTAAAAAAAATAATTCTCGACTTCTCGTCCCAGCATACTCCGAAAGCTTCCCAGTGTGACATGTCACGCGGTAATTAACTTTCTTAGCCAGTGTCGGGAAAATCGAGAATATCCGACGATGTCAGATTTTTTTACGAGTAAAGCTGGAACGCGTTCCAGAGTGGCTTTGGAACGCGTTCCCATAAATATGGAACGCAAATTGGAATGAACTGGAACGCAATTGAAACGCAATTATTCGAATGCGTTTTGAGCGGTACTTCTTGTTCGTAATCACACTCAGATCAATCTTGTTTCTAAAAATAATATGTCTATATAACAAATTGCTGCAGCTAATAAATTTTCTTAGTTGATTTATGGCTTTTTTTAACTTAAATATCTTTCTTTCAGTATGATTATCAAATTGCTACCTCTCGTGTTTCTTGACTAGCCCCCCTTTCATGCATAGATGAATTTTGGCTGTTTTTTATAGATCGCCTGGCGCCCATTTGGTGGTATGAGCCGAACGCAGTATGCGTTGATAATGAAATTAATCAACATTGTCTATCCGGTTTTGATTGTGTCATTGTTGTTGTTCAGTTACGTAACGAGTGCTGTTGCCTGCCGTGGGGAAACCAGCCGGGTACAATTGCAATTCTACTTTTAAACTGATATGTAAATTAGTGAAGAGTTTTCGGAGTTTGTGTATAAGAAAACGTCTTAGAAATAATCAGAAATACATGACTCTGATTGGTCAATTCTGTCACTAATAATAGTTAACAGTTAACTACGTTTTTATACAACCGGCCCCGCATGCACTGTCACTGAGTATATGACGCCAATATAGAAATCGCGTTTCTGGTAATTACCCATTTGTTCAGTAAAGCTGTTTCGTACTCCAAGTTCAATTTGTCAAAACTGATAAAATTTTCATGAAGTATTGTACTCTATACTGCGACCGTGTATGCGGTTTGGGTTCTTTTTACGACATAGGGATAACAAATCCTTTCAGTTTTTTGTTTGCGTTGTTGCCAAATAGCTGTAGATGCAGTTGAAAAATCAAGACGTTTGTTGTGACCCTTTCTTTTGTCATTCAATTTTAAGGGACTGTCTCTAAATATGACGCATGAGATAAAACTCAACACTCCTATACCCGCTAAGAACATTACCATTTCACCTATGAGACATAACCAAGTCCATAGTTCGGACGGAATAAAGTCAAGTTCACATGAGGATGATCCGTGGGAACCAGCATACAACGAGTGCAAACACATATTTGGTACTTTCATTCTTCCAAGTATGCTTCATTTGTCCGCCTATCTCATTGGATTTTACTTGTATCGTGTTAGACAACACGAAGGATTATATGTTCTTATGGAGAAGGTATTCTGTTTGAGCTAAATAGCATGCTTAATTCCTCTTACTTGTATCCTTCTCCCAGTTTACGCCTCGTTTTTATCAATTAGCCACCAAGCTATTAATAAAGCATTATGCATTTTTCTTCAATTTAGGTTTTTTTACAGAGCTCAAAGCAGAAACGTTTATATGTGACTTTATGGTAATGTATCGCATATCCACAAGTATTGACTTGAGAGCGTATATGTAATAGCTTGCAACTAGATATTCAATCTAGGTTGATTTGATTGATAATTTTTTTTAATAAGTACCTTAATATCGTCGAAGTTTGAATGCTGTTCTGAACTTTATGGGTGACACGTTAAAAGTGCGTGCACCACACGTGTTTAGGCTGTTTGCCATTGTCATTGTTTTGTTTTTAAAGCTAAAATTGTTTTTGTTTCGTTTTCTATAAGGTGTTTTGTAATACTTGGTATGGTGTGGTTAATTCTTGACATGGGTGTCTTTGTTCTGTTTTTTTTCGCATTTGGACCTGAAACGGTGACAGGTTTTCGTCATAACAAGGTGTAAGGATATTATTACATCTATCTAAAATTATATAGAATAACCATTGTCATGCACAGAAGATAGAAGGTGTGCTACTCAGAAAAAAGTGGTCGCTAACCGAGACGGAACCATAGTTTTGACGACAAAAAACCTTCATGGGTTGTATATATGTCGATAGATTGGGGCGAAGAACCTACGTTTCCATTAGCTTGTCGACCGCTTGTGTTTCTTAATTGTTAAAGAGATAAACACTGTAACTTCTTTTTCAGGCTATTAGTTGCAACCGCGACTCTAATGACTATCGGTCAACTGGTTCTGGATTTAGTGAATGTTGTAATCATACTAAGTTACGCCGCACAATGTCAACTTGTTATACACTATATCGACAGCATCACACGCAGAATTGAAGAGAAATCGACGCATCTTCAAAGTATCATGAAGGTATATTACACCGGCAAAGATAAAATATGTAAAGATGCTTTATCTGCATGTATACCTAATAAGCATTATTGATTTAACACACTTTCGTTTGAAAGTCGAATTTAAATGCAAAATATGATAAGGTTCTCATCGTTTCAGGATATCCTTGATGTTAAGAACACTTTAGGAAGAATGAACTCCTTGCTCTCCCATATGGTGTCACTCTGCATATTTACTCTTCTGGAAAGCGTTGTCCTAGGTATATACAGAAGGGCTATGGTACAATGTCTTCTTTAGTTTCGCAGTGCATCGCTAGCTGCATGCCTCTTATTAGCTTTTTCTTTTAATCGGTGAATTAGCTAGCCTTTCTCACGATGATATAAATATGCCGCCATTTTGGGAGTACTTTTTTTCAAAATCGTGAGCGTAGAATACCTCGTCACGGCAGCTGTCTTGAATTTAAGGCTTAATTTATTCTGCAAATCGTCTATTCACTTATTAAAAGTTATATTATTGTTTAAACTCATTTAGGAAAATTAAAAGTACCCCAAAAATGGCAGACATTCGTCATCGTGAGAAAGGCTATATAATTGCTTGCAAAACCGTAATACAATTTAGAATATATTCCAATTATATTCCTTTTTGAATATTTCAGGTTTAATCTACTTGTTGATTAATGAGGGGCAGCAATCATTAGAGGTAACTCTGTACAGAGCATCCTATGTTTTCATCTCGTTTTTGGCGTTGTTTTTCCCGATACTGCAGGTAATCATGCCCTTCAATTAATTTAATAATTTAATGAATTATTACTATTAATAAGATGAAAAATGACCCATTTTGTATATCGTGAAAACATTTTTTTTTAACTTTGGAAATAAGTGCCATATTGGAGGTTGAAACTTATGTTGTGCATTTGGCAACCGCCGAACGGCAAAGACATCATCGCGAGCCTGCCGAACACAACTTACACAAGGACTATACTAGCCGAGCTAATTTACTTATGAATAGGCAGTTTCTCTAAAGTCTGCATATTTATGCATATTGCTTTCGGTTTTCCAGGTCGAGAACTTAGGCAGAATTTTTTTTGTGCATGTGAATGACTGAATGTTAACGGTTACCAACTTGATCTCAACTTGGCACGGCACGGCTAAAATTGATACCCGCGTACCCATTTTCATCCGTGCTCAGATTACCAATACATAGAGTGTAGAGTGTGTAGTGTAACAGAGCTATGGTTTCAAGCGTTGTACACAATTTTCAACTCATCTTTTACACGTTTGTCTATTCAGGCTGCGAGGGTGACAAGTCTAGCATCACAATTCAAACAAATTTCACTTGATGTACGTGTATTTGGCCATCAAACCAGTTCTCAACTCGAGTTGGATTCTTTTCTGGTCTTTGTTCAAAGCGCGGATTTAAAGGTAAACTATAAATATCTATTCTATACCGGCGTGTGTCTGAAAATGAAGTACCCTCTATTTATTATTGAAATCATTTGTTGTTATATAAGGTTACTTTTTTGGGACACATTGTAGTTAGGCCTGGGTTAAACGTAGCGTTTTGCTTGCGTCGAATGCAATTCAAACATATTCCTCGCATTGAAACGATAAACCTCATTATATCAGCTATCTAAACCTTATTATATCATCTATCTATTGTTTGAATTGCATTCGACGAAACCAAAACGCGACGTTTACCATAACATAGGCCTATAAGTCACCGACAGTTATTGCCATTATCAGCGGTTGGTGATCACTGGCTAATAAAGCGCATTATTATTTTGTATACATTTTCTTTGTCACAGGCCACCAACAATAACGTGACTTGAACAGCCTCTCGCGACCGCAAACAGGCTATGCCTATAGACATAGACTAGTAATTTTTCCTTGGCTTGTGCATGCAACTGTGCGAACTGTTCTGTCTCTTCATTATGTGAGTGATATAATGCTTTTTCTTTAGGCGAAGTTATTCCTTGCACCTGTGAGAGGGAGTTTACTATCTGGTATAACATTACTTATCGTCTTTACTTTACTCTTTCTGATGCATACAGGTCAGATCGCTTCGGGTACTAAATTATTCTAGACAAAGTTATTCTAAACCGGTTATTTTAGTGATAAACGCTGTGATTTTGTATATACGAAATTATAATAATATAATATTGGAAATCTATTTGACTGAAACTCATGCATGTGACCTACTACATTGTGGTGGGTGGTAGTGTTGTGGTGGGGGTTGGCAGTATTGTGGTTTGGTGGCAGTTTTGTGATAGGTGGCAAAAAATCAAACGATTTAGTCAGTCATAGTGTAAACATTCCGGGGGACGAGTTGGTCGATTATTTATATGAACTCGACGAGTTCATATAAATAATCGAAGAATCTATGTCGTTCCTGTGAATTTTACGACTTCTCTGTGATGTTGGTTTTGTTTAAAAGGAATTTACCCCCGGAACACCCGATTTTTTCTCGAACATCGCAAAGTGCGCGTGTGCCATCGTGCCTTGATCAATGAAAGCAACCTGCCTTGTTGGACGCCGTTTACATTATTGGGCGCGGGCGTGGCTTTTCGCTTTTGCGCGTGCGCGTACGTGAGGCAGGCAAGGAGCGACAGAGTGTTGCACGAACATTTGTGACGCAAAAATCGAGTAAATCCTCCAGATTCTGCGAAATTTATAGATTTGTGTTATGCATTACCAGCGTTCAGTGATTACCAGCGACACAGATATAATTTGCCTTTATAATCATAGACAGACGTCTCGTTGCCTAGGTATCGCGAGGGCACTCAAACTTTGCACATTCTTGGATCCCTCCTATAGTTCAACATTCTTTGACGAATTGTGTCCACTGTCGTCAAGTCTTCAGGCTCTAACAATCCAATTAACTTGGGTCTATTTTAAAGAAAAATATTTCAAATTTCCAGCTTCATATTGATTATTTTTCAGCGAAACGCTTGGAAAAGATATAAAGTGGTAAGTATTATCCCATACCTAGTGTAAAAGCTATGTTCCTATTAGCTAAGAGCAGGTGCATTCAAAATCAAACCCACTTGCCGAACCCCATGGCCATGCATAACTTTCTGAACACTTTTTCAATAAAGTTAACTTGCGAAATAAAATTTCTCACGTTAGGTGGTCTAACACAAGTCACGTAGATGACAGACTCTTTGGGTGGTTTTAAAAGATTGTTCCACAACATAGTTGTGCAGCCTCATCTGATTCTACAAGGCAATACTGGTTCGGGGTTAAACTGTAACTCAACTAACACGAGTAACTTTGCGTCCCAATTGTTTGATTTTTTATATTTGCTCAATATGTGTATAAATGTTAAAATCAAATATTTTTCAGATAAAATGCAAATACGGCGATGCAACCGAACTTGCACATTATAATTTAGCTTGGAAAGTGTTTTTTCTTGCAAGATAAATAAAAATTTGTCTTTGGCGCATGTCACTACCAGTGGTAGTGACAATGAAAATATTTTATTTTGTGCGGGGAGGAATTTTAAAAAACGTCGATCGTTTTGCCTGAACGGCCATTAAAAGGAATATTAAAAAATTGCAACCATGCAAATCAGAAATATGATATAGTCTATATCCCGGCCGGTTTGACGCATTTGATCACAATGTTGGTCAACAAACCCAGTACCCATGCAGTTGATAATTACATTTTCTATATTGAAACATTTTATTTTCTATTTTACATTATGTCAATATATGTCAGCATTGGTGTCGGTAGCATTTCCTTGATACAGTAACTGTAACTTCTAGTTCTGGTAAATCCAGTATAACCATCATTATCCCCAAATGATCCTCTCCTTGTCCTTTTCATCTTTTTCAGTTTTCTTGTAAGGTAAGATATATAATGTTGTAAAGAAATCCTTTCCATCCGACTGAAAATTTGTGTTTTTTTTGTGCTTTGGATAACCTAAAGATTCTTATGTATATATTTTTCTTGGTTCGACTGTATTTTAAATAGAAATGGCGAAGAAAACCGATAAAAAGAAGGGCCGTTCAGCCATTAACCAAGTTGTTACTCGAGAATATACGATTCATCTTCACAAACGAATTCATGGAATGTAAGTTTTCACAATTCCAGTTTACAATAAAAAGATGATGACAACTTGTTTCCAAGGAATGATAACTTGTTTCTAAGGCCGCAAATGGATTCAAATTCGCGAGTTTTTGTAAACTGTAAACATCTTTGCGTTCGACCTATTATCTATGATACATTGAATAGTTTTGTATTTAGTATCACTTTACCTGCTAAGGACAGTGAACAGGCAGTCAAAAAATTGCGAAAGATGTATTTCAGATTTGTTAAAATTGAAGGAGCTAGAATCTGTCCTGAGATATCCAAGTCTGAAAACCAACTATAGATGTTGTTGTCCTGCACTGGACATAAAATATCCAGTGCACAGAATTCATCAAGTATCCCAGTGCACATATGTATATGGCATTAGAATTTTATTGTCATATGGTTACATACTTATATTCATATATAATTCCGCAAATTGATCATACAATCTTAGCGACCCCCACATGTCATTGAAGTTGTATACCCTCAGTACCATGCACATTTTCAGGCTGCAGTATACAACTTCCCTGTGTATGTGTCTATTTAGAATACATTTGTACCTGTTTAAATACATTTGTCTTGCAATGGAATTTTGAGTGTGACCGCATTCTACGGACACAATATTCTGCCAGCAATATTAGAAGCATATTTAACAGTGACTTTAATGGCATGGAGGGTTATTAAGGTCATATAATCCTTGCAAATAGTGGTACATCATTATTGGCCCCCATTCTTTGATACCTTTGGTGAATTAGTAAAAGCCTGAGTGTTCTTGACTGTTTCTGTAAAAAATATTTCAACATTTCATATTTTTTCTACATTGACTTGCTTAGCTTAGTAAAGAGTTGAACTAGAAATAAAAAGATCTTCATATATGCACCCCATTCAGATGTCCCATATAACATTGAGCAACTAAAGCAATACTGAAGGAACTAGTGGCTTTTCTGAATCAACATCCTTTTAAATGGAACACTGAAAGCATTGAGAACAAGGATTGTGGATTCAATTTCCACCTAAGTTAACTGTTTTTGCAATTGCTAAATGTCCATTTTACTGACATAATTATTTAATTAGCAATATTTCATTTGAAAAAATGATGTAAGTATTTTTGTGATATGAATTTTTCTTGATATAAAGATATTGATCAAGCTGTTCTTTCCCCTGTTGTATTTTCAACAGGCCTTGTGAAAATTTTTTTCATCACTTTAAATAGTGGTTTCAAGAAACGTGCTCCACGGGCTATTAAAGAAATTAGAAAATTTGCAGAAAAAACAATGGGAACCCCAGATGTTCGTGTGGATACTGGCCTAAACAAGCAAATCTGGTCTCGTGGTATCAGGTATTGTAATCTTATGAACAAATACTTAAATTATCAAAATATGGTTTTTCTATATTTGTATAACTTTGAAGGGTATTTTTCATATGCAACCTGTTAAATTTGCAGAATTAGTTGCAACCAATAGCTACTTCTGTGAAACTGCAGGGAAAACAAAAAGGAAAGTTTTTCGTGTGTGCTACAGTTTTTTCTGTATGCATACCCCGTGCTTTTCTGACAGACCTGTTATTATTCTGTTGACACCATGTCTAAATTCCAGATGAAAGTTTTCTGGAAATTTAAAGTAACCAAGTAGTATTGTTTTTCACATAAGAGTTTTTTAACAGACAATGCTGAATCCCAGTTACTATAAATTTTAGTTTTATGTATTTAACTATGATTTAGATTAATGTGGTTGAGAGTTTTTATACAACAACCTCCAGATCAATGTACATAATGTTACATAGCAACAATTTTTGCAATGGTAAATTTACACGGTGTATCAACAAAATTGTTGAACAGTGACACTTTGACTACTTTCTTGTTAAATGTTGTAAATATGTTGATTCATGAATGTTAGGGTAAGCCATAAACAACATAAATGTAGGAGGCTGTTCTCATGATCTGGCCTATTTGAGTTTACTTATTTCAAAATCTCAAAATCATTTGACATTTCATTTGATCTTAAGTAAACCAGATCATGTAAACAACCCATAAAAAAGTAAATATGTAGCTATCACAGTTTTTAATTATTTTTCAAATCTACTGGATTTAATGCCGGAAAAACTACTGGATTTAATTTGTTATGCAGGAAATTAATATGTAAACAGGCGATCTGTGGAATTTGTTTGACTACCTATGCTATTTTATCCTTGCTGTGCCCAAAACGTTCTGCATTGTAGAATTGGTCTACTCTCATTATAGCAAAGTATTTTCTGCCATTGACCAGAGCGAACATACCCTATGATGAATTATGACAATGAATACCAAGTAGAGTACTGGTTGACAAAGTTGACAATACATCAACCTAAACAAAAAGCTAGTTTACAAATGCATTGTCAATCTCTTTAATGAATATATGCGTTCTGACACCTAATCATATATTGCACTCAGGCTTTCCAGTTGTGCTAAATGTGCTTGTTAAACATGAATTTCAACTGTGTTTTCATAGGAATGTACCATTCAGAGTACGAGTACGGTTGGCGCGCCGCAGAAACGAGGACGAAGATTCACCACACAAATTTTACACACTTGTTACCCACGTTCCAGTCGCATCGTTTAAAGGTAACATTTCCCATTAATCTACGTTTTTACTTTTTATCATCTGTCGAGGGCAGAAGTCTGTATGTCACTGGGGTTATAAACAAATGTTTTGTGAGCTGGATTGTAAATGTATTATGTCACTATTGGATTTTTTAAATACATGAAATGCACTCCACCTGAGCCATGTATGCATTATGTTGTTTTAGGCTTAGAAACCAAGATCGTAGAAGCGGATGACTAAGTTGATGTGAAATTGTGTAATAAAGTTTTCAATTATTTTGAGTGTTGTCAGTTCTATTCTTTCCAGACCTGCATTCATATACGATCCATATTAACATAGGTATTAAAAAAGCAAGTATTATATCATTTGATATCAAAGAAAAGTTGTGTAAAAGAAATAGATAAGTTATCTCAAATCATAAAACATAAATATCCTTTTAAGGCATTTTTTGAACCCAATTTCTCAACTCGGATACTGTGGAAACGAGCCATGGAAAACATGCAGGGTGCATTTACACTAATGTCGGACGGATGCCCGTAGAATAAATTTCTATATGTTTCATAAGAATTTCTTAGGTGCAGTTGTTAACTGCTTACAGGTTACTTCATCCACACATCCTATTTGAACAATCGCTGAGAAGCAATACTAAGTCTGTAACATAATGAACAACGGCAATTTCCTTATTGATCCGGTCCAGACAACGAGTCAATAGTATCTCTATAGATTGATTTATTTTCATGTAACTCTGCTCGATTTAGTCGATTAACACGTAAACTGAAAATTTCCTAGTGTCACCAAATTTTTAAATGTCTTCAAGGGATGTTCAATGGTAGAGATAAAAAATATGTTTGGAAAAGATATGGTGAATAAGCACTGTGCAGACGTTAGTACGCAGGCTACTGACCACCAGCCCTTGGCTAAATTACTTGGCTTAGATTTGCTTGCGTCTTGCGAATGAGGTACTTCTATAGTTCTATTGTGTGTAACTAGTGTATAAAGTGACCAGGAAGAGCCAACGAAACAACGTCATAAAGCGAACATTGCTATTGAAAATAGAGCAAAAACTGAACGCGGAAAGGGTAAATTCAACTCCCATTAGTCCCATTTGATATACTTTGGGGGGTTAGATAAGTTTTCTACTGTTACGCAGGACAATTTTCTTTTCTTTATAATTTTCCTTCCTGCCGGTAATACATGTATACCGGAAAACAAACATGTTAATACCAATGGTTATTACCAATGGTTATAAATGTTGGGATACGGCTCCAGTACGATTATTTTAGATCAGTGGGGTTAGCAAGCGATATTGCCAGACTGCCATAGCTGCCAGAAAAACCAGAACGCATCGTAAACATGTTTCCGGTTTGATTTCCATGTATTTACACAAATATAATACTTGTACGCTGACATGGAAGAGAATCAAAGATATTCGACCATTGTATCATTAGAGCCGTTTATTCATCAAGTAGGTGGACATTCCTCTATACAACAGATTGATCAATACACCGTCTGCAAGCCATTATTTTCAAAAGAACTTCGATTCTACCAGGAAGTTTGTTCGCTATTCAAGGCTTTTATTCCTGAATTTAAAGGTGAGATTGCTACAATGTGAACATTCTAGAATGCAATCGAATTCGAATAAAGTAGAAAGAGATTTATTTTGTTTATGGTAACGCGCTATTAATAGCAATTATTAATAGCAATATCCACAATTACTGTGATCTTTCGCCTGGGCAAAATGTCAAGAGATGTGTCTGGAACAAGTTGTCATTTTTGAAGCAATAATCATTCTTAAGTACTGTATTCACACCCAATTCATACATAATCTTAGTGATAAAAAATACCTATAATTGATTTCGTTTCTGGTTTGTGCATCCTATTAAATAGTAAATATTTAGGATATTAAAATTACAGTTTATATACAATATTTTATGCGGGAACCACTGAGTAATTTAATAGAATAGAAAAACAATAGAAACTCCGTAAAAAGTAAACATTTTGAAAAATATAACTTTCGACTAAAATGTAGTCATCATCAGGAAAATATATACAATATGTTATACAATTTAACAGCCTCTAGCCTCTATGAAGAAACCATGTATTTTAAAAACCAAAACTAATGTGTTTGTCACAAAATCAGGATATTCCTTTCAGTTCATGCATACATACAATCAAGTTTTGTTAGGCTTTCAGTGGAGAATTTGAATATATGTAGATAATACTATTATAAAGTTCATTTGTTTTCATTGGTCAAGCCTTGAATTTGCCAATGCAGTCCTGGCATTAGGGGTATCAATTGCAGAAATATTCACTCTGTATTCTGCAATTCTGAAGAATTAACATGTTTGTGTTTAGTGTGTATATATGTATTTTAATCATTTCAGCCTAGTAACCAGAGAGAATTTAATAATGATGTTTCAGGTGTGGTTAATTTGAAAAATATTGGTGGAAATGGGGGAAAAAGCTGGCAAATGGTCAGCTCAGGCGACAAGATAAAACATCATAGTTACAGATATGGTAAACATTGTAGCTCTTGTATGTGTCAAAAAAAAGAGGAAAAAGAAGCAACCCAAATGTACGAAGAAGTATTAAGCAAGGTTTCGAATGATGGTGGACAAGCTAGAAAAGAGTATGATTGTATTTTTTATAGACTTGGGAGTTCGTTCATGGGACCTGAAGAATGTGTCTAATTTAGACAATAGGAGTGATTTTGTTGCAACGTTCTGGGCATGCTTTTATCTTAATTTAAATTGAAGTACTTTTAGATCTGCTCTTTGATCCTCAAGGAATTATATTACTATAACTCAAAAATAAATTGTGAATCCAGTTCAGCACCAACAACCAATTTCACCCTATATTTTCAGTTGTTATGAGACAGTTGTTATCACATAAGTTTGGGCCCAAAGAGTTTAGCAAAAGAGTTTTTTGCCAACTGTTTTACAGAATATGTCAACTATAAAACTCTGCAGTCAGCTCCTCCCTTCTCATAGGTACTCTGAATGCTCTTGCTTGGTGATACCTCATGAGTATACTAAAATACAAATTGATTATGACAAAACGTAATCCTATATGTGTTATGTATTTGGCGAATTTATTCTAATTTGATGTCATACATATTTTTTGACCAATAACAAAGCATTTTCACCAACTTTTTAACATTGGGAACTATTGGGAGGCTGTCACACCCCCCTCTCCAGTCCCTATGCCTCTGCTGTAAGATGCGGTGTAGAGTTAACACATCAGTTTAGCCAGCCTACTCATTCTTGTATATCTTTCCCTTTTGTAGTCAGGCATTGGACAGTGTTGCTGACCATATGAATGATGATTCTTCATTGGGTAAGGTGATGATTCTTTATTTGGTAACAATTTCCAAATTTTCCAATAAATTCAGCACAATGAGATTGGCAAAAAGTCTTAAACCTTAAGGCCCTGTTACACAGTGTAGTTTTTCTTGCAACTTGCAATGCAATTCTACTTTTGAGAGATGTATATTTGGGAAGTGGGAACAACGAAACTTTTGTGTTTATTACACTTCATGCACTGTTTTTCTGCAAGGTGACTCTTTACAAATTTACATCTCTTAGAAGTAGAATTGCATTGCAAGTTGCAAGAAAAATTGCACCGTGTAACAGGGCCTTTACTTCAGTAAGGATTCGGGGTACTGTATGTCTATAACACTATTTCCAATTTCAGAGTGCATCTTATTGGAGAATGTGGTCGGCTACTACAAATTTCCTTGTATATTGGATTTAAAAATGGGCACCCAGAAACATAGCGATTATGTTGTTAGCAAGGAAGAGGCTGATCGACGGCAAGCTCGATGGGACCAAACAACATCGAAAAGTCTTGGAGTTAGAGTTTGTGGTATGAAAGTAAGTATCTCGTTTGTGCTTGTGGCTGCTCATGGGAGGGCGTCGTCGAAGCGAGAAGAATATTGTCACATTATAGAGAATATATAGTTTGCGCATGACCACTATAAACTAACGGCGTATACTGTCCCGTTTTTTATGCAATTGACACGCAAGAATATGATTGAAAAGCTGGTACACTACGGCGTAATTATTAGCCACCATGTCATAGACGGATTGACGAACCAACTACTTTACGCTGGTAAAGCGTGACTGCACGTAATGCATGCGTAGTGTAATGTCCTCCCTTTACCGTGGTTTATAAATCGGTGAAGATAGATCTGAATCTGATAAATTAAATTAGAAAAAGTCTCTCCATGCTAAATGCATCCCATGCAGACATGATAAGTATCCCATGCAGACATGGCCGCATGCACCATGCCAGTCGCACGAAGTCACGAACGATTCCGCTCAAGTCGACCGGGTTTGCCTAAACTGACCTTAATATTTCAGGTTTACCTTGTTACACAAGATAGCTTTCTTGTTAAAAGTCATGGTCGTGATTTAACTATAGAAGGTTTTAAAGACGCCATCAAAGGGTTCCTGTTTAATGGAAAGGAATCACGACATGATGTCATCGCTGCCTTTTTAACACAATTGGGAAAACTTTTAAATATCATGGAGCGCCAATCTTCATATCGCTTTTATAATACGTCACTGCTGCTTATTTATGAAGGTGATGTCTCCAGGTCCGTGTATAATACTTCCACAAATAACGAAGATGATTCTGAAAGGTATTCGATAGGGCAAACCAATTCATTGGCATTGCAAACAAATGTTGCAGTGAGGATGATCGATTTTGCTCACGTACAGCATAACAATCAAAATATGTCATCGGAAATCACACATGGTCTTGATGAAAGTTACCTGTTCGGGCTTAGGTCAGTTATAAAAATTTTAAACGAAACACTAGAAGAATTAAAAAGTAATAATCGCTCTTTATAGGGATTTCAGTCAGTCCCATGTAAAGAATACAATATAGATAGCTTGGTATATTTATATATAGTAATTTTAGGATAATTCTAAGAGGTTTTTTGAATATGTGATGGGGGGACCCACTGTTCGTCCAATTCAATCTTACTGACCTCAAAATTTGATTCACCGGATTAAAAAAATAATACAAAAGGTTGCGGTCAAATGTTCTTCGGCCTGATGACGTGATTTGTTGTCGGTCAAACGGTCAAGTGTCTATCGGGCATTCAGTTGTCTGCCAAACGGCCGCTCACCTGATCCAAGAAATGCAGACTTCCAGTTAAGATTAAAAAGGTCTTCGCCAAGGAATTGTTATATATACGGCGGTCTTTTCTTCATCTTTTACTAGAGGTCAGAATTTCTTGATGCCTTTATTTGTTTTATGGGTATATTTCGATGAAAGAATAGATATGATTGGATGCCTCTCTACTCCGCGTGCGCAGAGGTTATTTTGAAATTTATTTAATATCTTGAAGTCTTATATAAAGTTGAACGTGAGGGGTGCTGTACCAAAAACAAGATTATAAATAAATATTAAAATAACCTCTGCGGAGGAGAGAGATTGGATGCAATGTTTCAGAATAACTGCACGCATGCAAATGCAAAATTTTCGCAAAATCGTCGTAACTTTTTATTAGTTTAATTTAGCTCAGTATACCGTGGTGTATATACAATCATTTGCTACCGCCAGTTGATTTGTGCCATGACATCGTCTAAGTAGCATAAGCAGATTACGTAGGTCCATGGTCTATGAGTCCATGGTTGTTTTTCCTCTCCCCAACAACCCCCAACTTAGTATTTTACATGCCTTGTGACTATACAGGGTGGACGTTGTGTCAAATTAGCTAAATTTGAACCAGTTTAGGATTCTCTTAGCCATTAGAATCCACATACTATATGCATTAGCCACACGCGTTCTCATCCTTCACCGTGGATAATTTAGAATTTTATTTAGACAAATCCTACACATACAAAAGTCATGCATATATATGAATGAAAATGTTTTCAATATCTCAAACAACATTTACAGTTATCCTAGTAGGAATTTAACAGAGAAGTTAAGTTGTGCATGTGGAATGAACTGTTCGGGCTGCATGATTACGGCTCGTGTACAGATGGCAGGCTCCAACATCTGCACTGTCACGTTTCTGTTCTATAGTCATGCAGCGACTGCAGCTTAAGTGTGGTTTTTGGGGTTCATATACGCTGAACGTCACGGTCGGTAACCGTCGGGAGGTATCGACAAGTCCTAAGTCTAAAATCTAAATTCAGCAACAGCCCTTCACCGCGAATCTGCATGCGCTCATAGTTTCAGGTATATTTTTTGGAACGACAGCTAGAATTGAATTAATCCATGCAAATATAGTTATAAGTTACTTGTTCATATTTCATGAAATTAAGCTTTAATTCATTCTGAGATAACCTAAATTTTTTTGAGATGATGATAGTTCTTCCATTTGTTCGTATAATATAATTATTGGGCTAACATATCATAGCGTCAAATAACACATGCAGATGCATATTATAGTTTAGTTGTTCATCGCTTTGAAATGGTGCAAATTTATTTATGTCGATGGTGCGTGTATCTATTTAAATTTAATTCCAAGCAATCCACAATGTCAATGATTCAAAGCAAGATAGGCGAATTCGTTCAAAATAATAAAAGTTGTAAATATTTTTATAATAAATTCAATTGTAAAATTTAGTATTTTTAGAATTAGAACTTGGTACGTATACTATAATTACTGATTAAAATATGAAACATCAAACAGTCTACCAGTGTATATAGTAGGCATCAAGCAAAGAGATGTGGGAGTTTTGCATGCTTGAGGTGCGTCCTTAATCTATAGCAATTCTCGTAAGTATCGTCATAGTCCAAGCATATATAGGGAATTAACTCGAAGCCCTAGTGAAAGTGTCTTTAGGGAGAATCAACAAGGAGGTCAAGAATTGATTACTTCAAAGCAGAGTTTGTTTTCTTTTGATTTGATGTGCATTGTGCAGATTCATTTTAAAAATCGAGCTTAAGCAAACAAGATCAATTAAGTATTAATGAATGCTTAATTAAAATATTTGAAACATTTTGAACACATTTGAAACGAAAATCTTTGTCGATTTTTTGAGATCCTTCCACGTGAGGTAAACGTACTTGCAAGTATACCAATAAATATGACTATAGGTAAAGCATATTAAGCGTGTGCCGTGTTTATCGTGAGACACCTTCCAAGTCATGCTTTTCTTTATTTGGGTCATCCCGAACATGCATGACCTACACTTTGCGATGCATTGAATCTCGTATAACAGTTATATCAAATAGACAAAAACTCTTCTTGGTTTCAAAAACGGGTCTTCCTTATAGGAAAGTGAAAATACGGTATACCTAAAGTTAAAGCTGACTCTTCTGCCCTCGCTGCTTCCTTGTATACTGTGAGATTTCAGTATATTTCGAGAGAAATTCATGGAACTGCCAAATACAGCTGGACCTAATGATTACTTGGTAAGGCAAGACGTTGCCTTAATTATAACTTGTATATTCTCATCATATATATCGGATGCGTTAATTACCTAAATTGGCAAAAATAATAAATCGTGTAACATCTGCCTCATGCATGCAATGAAGCAAAACTTTAACAAGAACTGATTACTTTTTCACTTCATACCTCTATATAGGTGTTTGATTCTACATGAATCAAAAGACAATCTCGCATTTGTGGAACATTGTGTGAAAGTGAAGAAAAGGCGCAATAAGTAATTATCACACACAAGACATGATTGAGGCTTTCTGATGTCAATGATGATTATATGTAAATAAAATGTTTATAAAACTCCGATCCATTCGCCATGCATATACGTCTGCATGTTAAGCGCCGAGGGAGATTGGAAACTCTATACCATGCCACCGTTCACCATCATTACTTAATACGATGACTTAATTGCATTGCCATATTATTTCTTATAAAATCCATTTACTTCAGTATAGACTTTATGCCTGTGACTTATGCAAAAATTACATTCCTGTTGATCAACGAGACACTTTAGCTGGGTTAAACTTTTTTTGCTATTGCAAAGTTTTTATGTATGTTTTAGCTACATATATATATATACACGGACTATACAGAGTGTCGTAAATGTACTAATGGTAGTACATTTTGTTAATCTTGCCACTGAATTAATAAACCTTTTACATAAAGAAACATGGATATGTATATTCATATCACTAGGTACAATAACTGCATGTCTAAATATCGAAGCATTAAAATTGAGCTTGTGTATATTAACGCGGTATGGAAATGAAAAAATAGAAAAGTAATAACGAATATGAAAATATATATCTATCTAATTTAACACATGTATATTGCTGTTTGCATATATACCCAAAAATCACGGTAATGTATATATGTGTGTTTAAAGCAATATCATTTGGGACGTATGGTCGTGTTAAGAATGCCATTTGTTTGTAAATCGACCGAAGCGACCCCATGAATTTTAATGATGGTATATATCGATTAACTGCATGCGATGAGCCTATATTTGACTTCAGGTTAGAAATGAACTGATGGCTAGGACATATAGCCGACCGTACAATGTCAAAAGACTGGTAGGTATACGTTCATGTATCTTTATCTAACTTGCGTTTTCAAACGTTTATATAATCACATTTGACGCAAAAAAGTGCCGATATACATAGGCCTTTAATTGAAAATGTGAAAAGTTGAAATTAGGCGTCAATATATAACTATCAAAATTACACCGTAAGAAAACTTAGCCGGTCGAAGAGAGGCTATAAGCATTAGTGAAACCGTGCTTTTAAAAACCGCAATAAAAGGATTAAAGAAAATACGTATAGAATCCATATAATATAACCCGCGTTAATGTTTCTTCAGGTCGGTGACTTCGAACTAGCGTGGATTAGCTTTTAATAATGTATGGCTGCTCGGGTACATGGGCTTAAATGATTGTCCTGTCTTTTACTAAGGATTTTATTTTAAAATAATAAAAATAGTTCCTATATACGTAATAATTCTTCAGTCAATTGAATTATGCCAGGCCAATGCATGCTTGTATCAACTATAACAAGGCTCAAATTCGTGGACATATGCATGCAGGACAAAACCTCCGATGTCACTGATCGCTAAACCTTCTTAATTATGTGTCGTATCTTTGAACGTTTTCTCTCTTAGTTCCCGCAATCGAGACTGAGAGAATATCATGAAACGCAATGTCTCAAGGCATGAGACATGTTTATAGCGGCGGCAAGCGTTGTGGGTTAACCTTTCAATTTTCGATTTGCTAGACATTCCACAAGTATGGTTAACGGTACAGAAGAAGAACGATTCTTGTCCTCGCCCGCGATCATAACCTTATCTGCAGTTACAGCTCTTATATTGCTGCTTGACTTAGTAGGTAACACTTTAGTGTTGTGTGTGGTTTATCGTCAGAGAATGAAGCCGAATTTACGCGTTGGAAACATGTTCATTGCTAATTTATCCGTGATCGATTTGTTGATGGGTATCTTCCTAATTCCGATGTCAATGGCTGTTACTTTACTGGGAAGAAAAGTTTTAACCGACGAAAGATGCAAATTTAACGGTTTTTTCAATGTATTCGTCGGTTCAGCTTCGATATGGACGTTGGCAGTTATCAGTATTGACAGGTTTGTTCTTATGTATATTTTTCATATCGTTAATTAAATTGTGAGAAAACATCTTCCTCAAAGCAACTGCAGATTGTGATTGGTTTATTTGTTGTCACGCATTGTTCAGTCTCCATGCCATGCATGCATGGATAAATACATACATGCAATATTATTTCATTCAAACATGCATTGGTACTTTCAACACCGCCAAACTTTTAATTAAACTAAATTTTCAGAATAGTGCGTTTGTTTTGTATGTATTTGTATATGCAGAGATTTTTCAAGTACATGCATGTTCTGTATAGAAAATAACAACTTTTGTTGATTGTCAGTTGGTCCGTAAAATATCATGCATTTACAAAGAGTTTTCAATATCTGTAAAGATTACAAAATTTCCATGTAGCTGTTTCAACTGATTTGAGATGAACTAACTAATTAATCCACTAACTAATTCTGACAAACGTTCAGATTTGCAAAAATTTTACTGAGAGTGTTTCAAAAAATGTATACCATATCCCTTTGAAAAAGTACGTATATACGATTTTCAATTACGATTTTTTAAATTGGTTTCTTTTTTAAATGTCATGGATGGTCACGGTATTATTCATTTTTATTTAAAAGGTATCGTGCTATTGTTTCTCCTCCTGGCAAACGTCTACAAATGCATCATGCGCGATGGCTGCTCATAGCTGTTTGGATTGCATCATTAATGATGGCTTTTGCTCCAATGGGTATCTTGGGAGAATACAAACTGAATACGAAAAGCACCAATTGTCGTCCTATAGGGCAGAGTTATGTCCTATTGCTGTCTGTGGCAAGCTTTCTTCTTCCTTTCGTTACTATGACATATTGTTACATGAAAATTTATCTTAAAGTCAGAAAACAACGAATACAACTTCAATCCTGGAAATCAAACAACAGCCATATGAGAACAGAACTAAAGACTGCGAAAATAGTCTTTACAGTTTTAGCAGTATTCCTGGTCTGTTGGTTGCCATTCGTGACAGTTTACATCTTGTTGAGCATTGGTAAAGCCCAGAATATTTCTCCTGCGGTATTTCTGTTAAGTGGTTGTTTGACAGCTGCCCACTCTATATGTAATCCAGTTATCTATTTTACCATGAACAAAGTATTTAGAAATGATTTGTTCTCTATGTTTCCTGGTTTACGAAAACTCTGCAATATACGGGATATGATTACAAATGCAAATCACAGCAACAACGTTGTGGTGGAGTTAAACGCGAAAGACGACAGTAGGCCATGCACAGTAAACTCTTGAATCGGTTTTGAAGGTGCATAAGGGTCAGATCATGTATGGTTATATAGGTATATTGCTTAGTATTGTAGACATGTAGTACTATATTGCAATTACTGATTATTCCATGTAAGCAAACTCTTTTCGTTTGACAAATTCGTCTACATACCGGTTCGCCTATAGATAGATAGTTTGTCGTATGTTTATATGCAGGCGAATGACCTATCAGACGGATCATTCGTCCAGACGTAATCCGTCTCTAGTATAAATCGGGTCATAATCTTTTTGAGATGGGAAAATTGCATCACGAAAGATCCGTTCTGCCGTTTGCTCACTTTGCTGTTTCGTTGAATGAAAACGCCTTATATACTTATATAGATATAGACCCTGCCTATATATCCGTTTTCGTTTGTATTCGCAAACGTTTCTGAAAGTTAACATGCGGAATCGTATAGAAACGGCCAGAAAATTGGATTCTACAAATTCACTGTGCTTCTTGTTGTGTGGGTGGATATCAACTGAATTTACCGATGTACGTCATCGCTTTCAAATCGTTGCGGTCGGGGCCTCTAAGAAGAGGGGGGCAAAGAGTTCAATTTGCCCCGGGCACCTGAATGGTGAAAGGGGGCCCCAGAATGAAGAAAAAAATAGAAAAATGTTAGATACGATACAATAAAATAAAATAGGAGTAAACTGCGTCCATTGTGAAAGGGCCCCAAGCTGGATTTAAAGCCAGTGCGTCCACACGTGCATGACACGTATCCGGATTCGTTACGTTTTCAAACGTTTCCGCTCTGGAGTGCTTTCGCGATACGAATTGCGTTTCGTCATATACGCGCACGTGTGGCCGCAGCAAAATATTTGCGGATACATGCAAATGCGAATAGTTTAAAACAACGTTTTCACTGGCGTCATATATATACAATTCCGGCATTAATTCATTTAAACCATGCATCGCCCACAATGGCGTATTTTGCGTGGATCATGGATCTGTCATGCCTGATTGGCTGATTCCGGATGATTTATATCATAGCTTACCAGATTAACATTTTATCTTCTTTCCTAATTATAAATTACATACATAGAGTCATAGACTCATCATAAAATCATAAATTGATTTTAAAGGGTAAATTAGAAATCACCTTCTGGCCTGCTGACACGACTTTTAAAACCCAGCCACCCAGGTTATAATTCCGATTTCACTGAGTATATAAAATATATATAACGAATATAGACGTATATTATGGTATATAGACGTATTATGGTACAGGAAGAGTTATATATTGATGACTATATAATATATAGTCATCAAAATTGTTGAGAATTTCAACGTTTGAAAAAAAGGTCGGCTTGTGGCAATATTGAGATATTGCACATCACAGGTTTAATTTCCTGTATCATAAAAAACACTTTCACATCAAACGAGTTATTATGCGTTCTCAGATGGACCGTGCATAAAGGATCTTATATGTGCATAAGGAGAACAGGGAAAATCAGTTTAGTTTCTTGATAATACAATACACGATTCTCAAAATTTTGGGAAAGTTTTTTCTGTTGTAGGAAGCCTTCAATTTGAGTCTATATCCGCTATCAGTTGGCGCCAGTGCCATGTAATTAAAACAGGTGGGGCAGCGGCGAATCTTATGATACGTACGTGAACACTTCTCTTCTGTCTTTTTTCAAATCACTATACGTAAAGCTATTTTAGCATGGTTAACATGCCTGCATGGCAAGGATGGAATAGGATGGAATAAAAACGACTGAAAGAGAGCGTGGAGTACACTTGTAATGACTTCTGTACTGAAGTTTCCTTTTATTAACTCGTATTAATAATTGTCGCCTACGATGTCTCGTCGTCCTCCTAATTGCACGAGCTTATACTTCGTACACTAGCTTATGCATATTTTTTTTCCATATATATACTTTCATTTTCGGCATTTTGTCGCTGCATGCCGGCGGAAATTATTGCTGTACCAGAAATTGAATTCGATGCCGGTGGTGTATTACGCCGGTTCGTCAGCCAAATATAATCTGTTTTAAATCTTTGATGGCGAAATGAATCAGCTGAAATTTTAAGAGGTTTGAAAGGGATTTCTTTCGTCTTAACCAAGCAGAAACATCTAAATATGAGGCCATATGCGACAGCTGTTTCTTAGCCATGAATCAAATGAGTAAAAACATTTTGGACTGCAAACTCATATTAATTCCACTGATATTCAACGTTTTTTAATGCGTACTTTATAACCGATTTTCCCTGTATATAGTTTTTCAAACACATTTTAAAAATCCGCGTAGTGGCAAACGAAAACAGACAATGTTTACACTGATTATTGTTGTTAAGATTAAAACTTGTATTATTAACGCGCCGGTCTTTGACTTCTTATATCTACAAGTTATATATACAAATATTTACGAGGGTCGCTGGCGTCTAAAAGATAAACATCAATGATCCTTAACACGAGCTACATGCGTCATACGCAGACTGCATGTAAAGTGAAACCACCTACGTATACATGGTCATTGCTTATTCATCTCTTTAGACTTTACGACCGAACTACGTTTTCATTACGGTGAAACGGCAGAAACGCCTATGACGGAAACAAACTTTTTGAAAGGTTAAGACAACAAACGGATGCTGATATTGGGTGATTTTATACGACTGAATATATATTCTGCACGGCCACGTACGGTTCTAAACAAACCAAACGTATATTGTCTCTAGTAATTTTCGAAAGTCAAACAAAGCTTTTCGCCTTATCGCAGTAAATTAATCCATCGAAAGGGTGAACTTTCCAAAAGAAGGAAGAAAGGAGAAGAGAACTTTATTTCATATATAGTCATATAGACTGATATGTAAGTATATAATATACTGCACAACTTATATATACTACAATTTTATATATGTTATTCATTAGTTATATATATCAATATAATTATATCAATTTATATCCTTTTTCAGCAGACAATTTAATTTAACAGTTAACCATGTTCAAAAACAACTATGCTGAAGACGACTTGAACGATGCATAAGTTGTCTTTTTTTTACTCGACATCTTCTTGAGTTTGCAACTATCTTTGTTTTCCGGCTAATAATCCATCTTGCATATATATATATACTATATTTCAATATATTTCGTGTATTGTTCCATGACTATGTATAATAATTTACACATGGTATATGTAAAATTGTATATGCAAACTTATAAAACTCTATAGAATCTATAGATCTATTGGTATTGCATCGGCAAGTAAAATACTTCCGCCTTGTCTTTAAGATGCGGTCTCTTGGACCCCGGTCATACAGTTTGCCATTCTCGCATAAAGTCTTAAAGACTTAATTGTGACATAGACATATAGTTATCGAAATTCGAAAGCGTGTATTTAATGCCATTTGTTTGCCAATTCTATGGCAATTATAATTTGAACCTAGCTTATAATAATTTGTAGCTAACATGCAGGAAAAATTTGAAGACTATATATAGGCTATACTTGAATATGTTGTAACTTTCTACCCGCAATCTGACAACAGGAAGACTTAGCAGTTTACACAAAAAATATATTTATACGTGCACATTATACGTGCGCATGATTTGCTTCATTTACTCTCTATGACTATGTGCATAACGTTCATCCATCGGCATGCAGATCGTAGTTAATCGTACATATTGTATGTTACATTTCACGTATATTTTTTCTATTTCGCTTTCTTTCGTGTCAAAAAACCGAAAGTCTTTAAGGACTATTTATCATTCGACGACGGATGTGTCGATAATATGTTATCGAAAAACTAGGCAAATATAGAATTGCCTGCCCTTATGTAAACCAAAGATTGTCATGAACAATGACATATTGAGCAATTAAACAACTACCCTTCGAGTCTTCACCTAATATGTCTGTGCATGGTGTTCTTTGTCGATCGTTGGAATTCCTATTACAGCTAGTGCATATAAACCTGTTCGTAGAACCGGCTAAAGTAAAGTTAAGACGTTTTAACCTTATTTTATACACTATATTATGGAGATTGCTACTGAAGTCGCTAAAATGTAACCGGTGAAGATTATACTATAATGGCGTAATGCCAAAACTGTCAAATACGAAACTAATACACATTAACTATATATACTATATAACTATCCCTCTTCAATGATGCAGTATTCATGCACCAGCGAATCTGCATGCAATCAACATGCTGCATGCATAGGATAATCAGGACCTTATACACTTGTGACATGACTCATGAGGAACTTCAATAACTGCCGGAATATACGGAACTTCAACGCCCCACCATTATACTTGGAATTTCTTTCAAATAGTTTGCATCCCATGAACCAACGAAATACCTATTTTTGAGTGTAATCAGTACCTAACCGAATTGATGTGTGCATGAATGCCAGAGCAGACTGCGCCTTTTTATATTTTAACAACTTAAGTCAGTTTCTGATTTTTGAAAGGAAGACGGTGGCGAACATGTCAAAAGAAGACAGTTTAACCAACCAAACTGATGTAACGAGTGAAGGATCAGTGGTTGCGAATGCATTTTTTGTGTTGGCCATGCTTGTGGTGCTCATCGGAAACCTCTCGGGAAATTCTATGGTATTATATGTTGTTTATCACCAATGGAAGAACGTGAAGCGGCGTGTAACCAACTTATTGATAGCCAATCTAGCTTGTATCGATCTTCTGGTTGCGATCCTTGTCCTCTTTGGGATTATTAATTCAATCAATTTAAAAAGTGAAATGTCTAATATCAAATGTCAAATGGGTGGTTCACTAAGCACGGCGCTTGGTGCTGTGTCAATTCTCACTTTGGCTGTTATTTCAATCGACAGGTGAGTTAGAATTATTTCATTTCCATGCGCTGAAAATAAATTGACATGTTGCAAATTTTACTGTTAATTGAAATGTTGCAAATTTACTTTGTACATGCAGAAAGCACCCAGACATGCCACCACTAAATGTTAAGGCAGAGGCTGTGATCGGCGTTCCAAAAAGTGTCCCATTCACGTCATATTATACATATTATATGTTTATAGCATGCATAAAAACAACGCCAGTATACCACTGTTACTATTCTTGATATACCCCAGATTCGTAAGCTGACAGATTTCTTATGCGAGCTAGTACTTAGTATTTACTTCATTGGGGATGTCTAATAATTTTTGGAGATGATTTGCCTAGTTTAACAACTAGTACTTAGTGTTTCCACGAGAGAAAGTTGTGTCACCTACCAAGCACATTACACAGTCAATAAAGCAACTCGTTTGGGCTGGTTATTCCAGAGGTCATAGCCGCATGCATGATCAACTGTAAATAATAAAATCTTATTTCGTCTAGATACATGGCGATTGTTCTGAATCACGGAAGACGACTTAAATTGCGTACAGTCCGAATAATCATTGCTTGCATATGGGTAACTGCTATTTCTATCAGTCTTTTCCCCATCCTGTTCTGGGGAAAGTATTACTACTCCGAGAAGAGCACTTTATGTAAACCCAAGGACGGCGGTTTCCTGCTCTTTTTAGCTTTAACGTGTTTTGTGATTCCCCTAGTGACGATGGTATTTTGCTACACCAATGTTTTCCTCAAGGTCCACCGACATAAAAAAATGATAATCAATTCTCAAAGAGACAACTCGTTCAAAACAGAATTTAAAACCACCAAAATCGTCTTTACGGTGTTAGCGACATTCATCGTTCTTTGGACACCATTCACGGTGATTTACGGTTCTTCGTCGAGCAGGGGGCCCACGGACACTGTTCCCCCTGGTGTCTACAAGTTTTGTGGATTTCTTACCGCGGTTCATTCAATGTGTAACCCAATTATCTACTTTACAATGATCAAAGGATTTAGGAAAACAGCACTCAAGCTTTTGCGAAGGATCTTTTCGTGTGTTCTTCCACCGGAGAATGAAGAATCAATTGCAACAAATGATTCACTATATGGCGACAGAGCAAGTTGTTCTGTAACTCCTTTGGCGGCAAGGAAAATTATACCTGTGCAAACTCTTACAAACGTAGCTACCGGAGACTCAAAAATATAAATTTTTGAACTAGAATCTACACCGTACTGTTCCTGAAATTCCCAGTCTTGATATTTGATATTCTTCGTTTCAAGAAGGGCTTTCGGAGCCTCGCGTTTTGGGAGGAGGATCCCCCCCGCTTTCCCCTGGCAAACAAGGTTTCTTTTGTATATAAATCGCCAATACAAATGGACTAGGAGAATTTAAACCACTTCAGTATTTTAACATAGATCATTGGCAAGGACGATTGAGCGCACTAGCTTGTGCATAAACTGTAAAGTTAACGAGGGCATGAATGTACGCCAACCATATATAATAATTAATGAATTAAAAATATGATAAAATACCTGCCACTTCTGTCATGTCAATTGTCAAGAAATCAGTAAGAATTAGTATGGGTCTAGTTTCAAAGTAATTGCCTTTTTTTCGACTGATTGAAAAATTATAAATATTCAATCGCATCATTGGTTAAAAATTCATGAGAAGTTATGTTTCGTTTGAACCTATGGCGGTATACTAGCTGCAATAGTGCATCATGATCATGAAATGTCATGCATGTATATACAAAATTCAAGATATGTTCAAGATGAACTGTGGAGCTAAATGCACAAAACTCAAAAGCGATGTAAAGCGATGATCTACGGCGAACATCTGTATAAATAGTAATTAAATTAAACCGGTCATACATATTGCGCATGCACACTCGCTATTGTGTATATTGCCAAGTTGGCTGACACAAGATAACGTTCAATTGTTTCCTACGCGTTGCATAATTATAGCTAATCACTGCTATTACAACGTCATATTAAAAGGGTATAACTAATAAATTGATATATTTAAGACACTCTATTTTTATATAATAAGTACGAGAGCCGAAGTGGAGGTAACTATTTTACGTGCAAATATATTTCACCGGCGGTTATCGAGATGCAATGATGCAAACACAATGAGTCTGATGTTACACAAAGTTTGATTGGCTCGTTAGTTTTGCGAAACCAATCAAACTTCATGATATATCAGACTTTTCGCTTACTTGATGTTATAAAGATCTATTATATGTTCTATTCCCTCAACCGAGAGTATGAGGTTTAATAAAGAACCAGTTTAAATATTGATTTTGATTTTTCAATTATCTGATAAAGTGCATGCATGCACTTTGTTGTTTATAATGAATAGAGACGGTTTTCTTGGTTTCTGTCATTTATCTGCAAGTGCATGACGAGAACAGAGAGTTGTGCTTGTAATCTACGCAGTGAAAAAATGAACAATACGACATATGAGTATGTGAAATTCTGTTATCTTGCTAACAGTGCATCATTTATTATACTGCATTTTCCTTCCAGAAAATACATTATCAATCAGGTTGTCGTATGCGTGGCAAATTGTGTTTTAGTGATTCCTACAATAATTTTAAATGGCGTTTCCATTCTTACGATTTCGAAGAATTCTCAGTTGAAGAAAAGGATTTGCTTTTTTCTTATTCTCATACAAGCAATGGTCGACCTAACAGTCGGAGCTGTATCACTTCCACTGGCAACGTTTATTCGAGCAAGTGAAATTTTGGGTACTGCAAGTTGTAAGAGCAACTTCGTGTTGTCATCAATAGCTCTCGTGCCTTTTGGTTTAGCTTTGACAACAACATGTGCATTTACGTTCGAGAGGTACATGGGAATTTTACACCCAATTGTTCATCGTACCTACTTGACAAAGAAAAAGGTTTTAATATACATTTTTTCAAGCGCTATAACCTTGTTGGTTTTGGTTCCTTTGGGAGTTGCCTCAAAAAAAGCATATCACATAGTTGGAGTGGCAGTCATAACCATTCCTCTCATATTTAATGCATTCGCATACATAAAGATCTTTCTTGCAGGAAGAAAAGCATTCCACTCCAGCGACACAACTTTCACTGATGCCTCCAAAGAAACAAGCGTAACAGAAAACACAAGGAAAAAACATCTTCTAAGGGAACTGAAATTGGCAAAATCTTGCGGTTTAGTTGTGTTTACATTCTACATGTGTTTTTTACAAGCGCCAATACTAAATTTTATTTTCATTAATGACGAACCAGCCAATTTTAGAGTTGCCCAATCTTGGGCTGCAACTATAAGCGCGTTGAATTCTTCACTCAATTCATTGATATTCTTTTGGCAAAGCCCATTACTCAGAACAGAAGCACTGAAGGCTTGCACCAGTCTCTGCCAGAGATGAGTTTAGCTTGTGTTCATGATGAACCCGTAGAGATGTGAATGACTTTGTACTTATTAGTTACTCCTAAAGTGTATATAATTATTAGTTATAATATATGTCAGAATACTTTCTAGCTCAAATACAGCCGAACTCTGAAACAGAGGTGCGTTGTTGAGAGGTGCTCATCATAGTGAAGCGGTCAGTATATAATATTCCACTGAAAATGAATTGTATATGTTAGGAATAATTAGTTTGTAGATAATGAACAATACAAGAACATACTTAATTAAATGTACATCGTTATTAAAAGGAATTTTACTGGATGTTGGCTGTTTTGAGAGGTGTAATGGCAGCTACGAAAATGAAGTAATAAGGAAACATCAGGATGAATGTTTGATCGAAAGAAAACCCTGTGATATAATTAAGAGGTAATAATAATGCTTATGATTTATGTGTAAATTACAATTACGAGGGAGGAATTCTGATTGATAGATAATGATGACAGAATATTTAATTTTCTGCTTAAAGTATTTCTTGAGAATTTTAGTCAATTTTTTTAAACCCCCGCCGGGATTTTGTGAAGATTAAACTCTCAGATATTTTTCTAGTTTTCACATTACCCCCATATCTTTGTAGCAAAGATCATTATAAAAGACACCGGACGTCAATGTCTTTAGGGAATTATTTTCTTTTATTGTGTCTCGCTGCTATACGCGTTTATCTTATATCCGGTGTCTTTGACAATAAAAAAGTTATTGATCAAGCGGATTTATTAAAAATTCAAAAATGGTGTGAAAAGTACACATTTTGCATTTTGCATTCGTTTTTTGATTGGTCAATGACAAACATTCTTTCAACGCAGTTATCTATTGGCTTGCAAAAATGATATTATTTCTTTGAAAGAAGTATTGGCTTTAAGCTAGGAAGGCCCGGGACACGAGCGGAAATGCAGAGGAGAGACGGGGGGGGGGCGATGACCTTCAGTTGTTTACACTAAAGGAACAAGGCCCTCGCGTGGCACCATGGTTGCACGGGGTAAAAAATTGTTGAAGATTAGCAGCTCTGGAACATCCGAAATTAATTGACTACCGAATCAGCTGATTCTTGTAGTCAATTAGACGGCTAATGGGATGTGTCCCCCTATATTGTCCGTGTATATTAAGGTGGCTCCTTACAATTTTGAAAATATGACAAAATATAGATTTAGATTTAAAATTTTGGTAGGGTATTTCTTGTAAAAGAGAAGAAATTTACCACGTATATCCCATTAACCTTGGCCAGCATTTTAACATTTTATGAAATTGTCCATTGTTTCCATAACAACGATATTGGAACCACATTTGCGGACAATTTCCGACTGTTAGAATATTGGTCAGTATATGTGATTTCAGTGCCGTATGTAATACGTCCAAGAGACAGAGAGAGAGCCATCTTAATGAAGTTAGAACTGAAATTAAAGCACTTGAATATAGGATTGTGCAAGTGTAAAAAACATGGTTGTATGTTTTATGTTATATAGCTTGAATGCGTATTATTTTAAATAATATAGTAAAATAGAATAATTCATTGAACGTGTTAGAATTTGGTGGTAATAGATATTCTATGGCGCCTCCCCTCCAAATTGAGGATTGTCCGGACCCCTGACTGACACCTTTGCTTGAAACTCTACATAATACTTTATTAATTAATTCTATATCCTCCAATTTAATCTGAACAGAAAATAAAAAAAGATTTCAAAACAAATTTCTATCTCACTATACTTCGTGTCCAGAACTTGCTGCAACAAATGTTGCAAGCTGACTAACGATTGGAAGCAAACGAAAGTTACATTACACCTTGTGATATTTTTTAATTTCTTTTTTAACTATAATTGTATCCTTTTTGCAACAAAATTGGAGGAGACATATAATGTTGGCTCGTTTCCGCTACTTATTTTCTGCATTCACCAAAGGAAACATATAACAAAACATTTACCTCATTTGTAGTATGATTACCGACAAAGTCAAAGGAATCGTCATAAAGCCAAATTTTCTAATATACTTGCATGGCAAACAGACTTACCGTTACATGACATGCATATATAGGTAGAGCTATACATTGTGTCAAACGAACTAAACGATCAGAGCGAAACTCTGCGGAAACCAAACTGGATTACTGGATGACGGTTATTTAGAAAACCGTGGATCAGTTTTGTTAACCGTGGATCAATTTTGTTAACCGTGGTTTAGTCAATGTCAGCAATCAGTGCCTCAACCCTACACAATCGCTTCGGCGGTCTTATATCCAATGTTCTAGAAAGTTTTTTAACGATTCGGTCGTTCTGTGTGCGTCAACTGAACTAGTCAGCTGTAAAATCAATGACATTTTAACCTAGGATTTTAATTAGCTCTATCGGCAGAGACCAACCAGATATACAAATCAAATGACACACCAGACAATCAGCTTCTCGCTACGCCCCAGTTTTGTTGGTTACAATAATTCGTAACTATACCAAACGAGTTAATAATTAACGTTGTTTTCACCTACTTAATGATATAAGTTCAAGGTCTTGTTTTATCATAAATAATAATACATTGCATACTGGTTTAACATAAATGTGAGAAATTGCTGGCGAAGACTGTATTATTTATTTTTACAAACCCAGACAAAATATTTGGCCGCTGTGATGTGAACAAAAGGATTAAAGGGCGGTACGTGGCTTTTGAATTAGCGTCTCTAAAAAATTATTCATGATCTCGATTCAACCAGAATTGTTTGTAATGATTCTGGATGATTCGAAGCATTAACTGCCGTTGCGGACAAATGATGGCAATAAAGAACAAAAACGAACGACTTTGATTCGCTCTTCCTATATATATTCCGTATTCTGAGTTCTAAATAAATATGTTTTTAGTCCAGGACACTGATATATAAAATTCCCACAGTTTCCAGCCAAGTGTCATAACTTTAAATTTGCGAAGACAATGAAATGGTAATTAACTGCACGATGCTGCAGTTTGATTGGTCAGAATCGCGTGTTCTTTATTTAAAGCACTAAATGCGTGTTAATAAGAGGTTGATGTGAGGCATAGCGATCACTTGGCAGGCACGCCTTTCCTGCAAGTAGAAAGACGAACAACTTGCTTCGAAACTCAGCTTTCAGTGTTGTTGTAGTTTGCTGTGGTGCATTTCAGACGGAGTGGTCATGGCCGACATAACGGTGAATTTAGACGACGAAAGAAAGCAGACAGGGAAAACCGTATTCGTTGGATCAGATTTTACAGATTTAACCATTCAGCAGATTGATGATGCGAAGGAAACATTCCTCGACCTTGAAACGTACTGGAGACGATTTCGCTTTGAAATTGATACCCTGAAAGAAAATCATCGAGGAGAGGTACATGCTTTTATCTTTACTCAAATATTTCCTAACCTTTTCAACTCTAGATCGGAGTGAACAAAATGATAACGCATGATGTTGTCAACTTAACGCCTGGATACGTTAAATATCATACAATTTCTCACTTATGTAAAAGAAACCTAGACCTTTAAGTAGGTGAAGCATGTTTATATCAATCGGCTTTGCTCATTCTCAGTTTGAAATATCCAATGCTCTTCACAAGTGCACAACAACTTTTTAATATTACACAAGATTCTGTCACTTTGTGACTGATCCTAGTTTACTTCGAGAAAATAGACGCATTTTACGCAACAGTCAGTCAAGGTAAAACGCTTTTACACCCAGGTACATTCTTAATGTGCAAATTGTCTGCCCACGCTCATGCAATGCCCTCGTATTATTTCATCGAGTACATTTCATAGTAACCATACTGCTTTAATTATTTCCATTTCCAGCCATAATTTTTACTCCTCATTATACACTTGTTGTTGCGTACAAGATGTCCAATATCACAGCGTTGATATAGAAACTTTTGAAAAGTTTAATCATTCCAGTTGCTTAAAGTCTTCAAACCGCAAAGCAGAGCATTTGCATAATGCACAAACAATTAAAAGGTGAAATCAAAGAGAAGCGGACTTTCTTCATGAGATGAAAATTTCTAAGCAAAATCTTTTATAAAAATAGGTATATTAAAGGTCTTTTCATTTTGTTTGTAGCCCAATGACGTTTCTAAAATGCAAAGTTTTAGATTGTATAAGGTATTTCATCAGGTTGCAGATCACTAGAGCGTGTTATTAGGAATCGCCGTATAGTTAGTGGCGCCAGGAAGATTCGCTCGCACGGAATGATGAAAAAGGAATGATGAAAAAAGTTCCTGCTTTAAAACCATTCAAGATACGAGCCTTAACTTGTTAAGTTTAAATTGTTTTGTCTATTTAACGTTTCGAACGGATTCTTAAAATGCAGATGCAATATAGAGTAATTGAAGGGTAATTTAAATCTATTTTGGGTATACAATATAATACCAATATGTCAAGACCTGTTTGACTTTGCCGAATTGATTTTGCTGAGCGACAAAGGAAGCATTAAAGTTAATGTCAGTCTTTAATCCCCGCATTCTGGGAAGTTAAAAATACGAGAAGATATTGTATAAAATTGACTTGAATTTCTGCATGCCTATTCTGCAGGTTTTAACGCCAAATTGTGGTCAACCCAAGAGGTCTGATGGTGATTCGTAACCTTTTAGTCTTTTACCTGAACTAGCAATGATCTAACAATGTTATATATTGTTGTTAACATTTAAATGACTTTTTAGTCATACAACTCGATAGCCTGCGTGTAACTGACCCATATAGTGATACCTGTATATATGACTGCTCATTGCAAAGTCAATGGAATGTAAAATTGCAAAACTTGATTGTAAAAATTCAATGTTACCGCTATAATATTATTGAAGTGTGTTGGAAGTTTGAAATGCGGTAATAAGTAGAGGTATAGTAGAAACGCAAGAAAAAAATAAAATCCATCCTGGATTAATGAAAAATTCTGCAAGTGGAACATACCACGGTAGTGCACAGCCCTTACTTCACAATATGTGTTGGGGCAACGCTACGTGAAAGCACACCATGCGCTAACCTAAAAATGCTTAGCTGGTGGGAATTAAGCAAACCGGCAGAACTGTTGGTTTGTTAATTCAACAGACCAACACTTTCCAGAACCGACTTGACCTTGTAGTTCACTTTAGTTAAACGGTTTTTTTTTATATACAGCCACAGGAAGTATAATTACCAGTAATTGAAATTTTGCAAAACTGACTATATAAGCCAGCGGAATTTTTGCGGCCAGTCTTCGCCATTTCCAACCGAATCTAAATAGGCGGTTTACCATAGCTCGATGGAGTGATGATACACGTGATCATACTCTGATTATATTGACAGTCTTTTTAGCATATTCTAAAACCTCTCTTTTATGAGACGCTTCTTTAGATACGCATCGATGAATATAGTTGCATGCATACATGCTTTGTGAATGTTAAAATATCGCGAAGAATCGATATGCAGCCATCGATAAGTTTGTACTTTAAATTGCTCCACACCGATTTGAAACCTAATGGTTTGTTTATAAGTGATAAAGCGCCGTCTGATATTAAATTTGAATTGGTTCATTTGAATAGAATACCTTATATTGATTTTAAAAACAAGGTACATGCAAATCAGTATTAAACAAGAAAAACAAGTTAATAAAGTAAACATGAAACCCGACTTTAACGTTTTCTACATGAGACCAGTACTGTATGACTATACTAGCTGCCACATTACTCTTGGGTCGTCAGGCGTAGTTGAATATTGAGTGGAGGTTTTCGTAAGAGTAAAATTTGTCATTAGTGAATAACGTTTAACCTTATTCAACAGCTAATCGTATCGTTTAAACAACGTGGTTTAAAGATGATTAGCGCACCCCGCAATGCGATAATTATGTTGGACTTACTTATTCGAACACAGCTATCCCAGGAAAATATAACTATAATTTTGTTACATGGCTGTTTAATATAATAGTTGGTGGCTTTCCCTATACGTTCGAGTGTATCCTTTTAAATTTTAGAGTTCTAGGCATTTTGATAGATATTATACCGGATAAAATAGTTTGAGCCTTTTTCTCGAGGTTTGTCTAAACTCTAAATTACCACCAGCAATGCACAGCACTTGAAACGGCACAATTGTGACAAGTACCACACTTCCAAATACCACAACTATTTATAGCAAAGGTAAAAACTGAACGATTTTCTTTACTTGGTATGGCGCCACGTTCACTGCTTGTAAATTAAGGAATGCCTCACCATGGGGCCGGTTTTTATCAATTTCAATTGCAACTTAACCACAAAAATCCCAAGACTTTCCGTAGACGGCGATTGACGTGTGCACACAGCGTATATACAGTGAAATGTTTCAAATAATTGCGTTATAACATCTCGTACAGTTATTAACACCAAAAAAGGCTAACGTTTCTCGAAGAGAATCGAAAGTTCGCCGACTAAGTGATGCCCGGTTTACCGGACACCGGATTCCTCGTATGTCGTAACGACATTTTTGTTTGCCGTTTCAAATAGCAACTAGCAACAAATTCTTATTCAACAGATTAACTGATATAAAAAGAGAAAACGGAGATTAAGGACAGGATATTATTTATTATTGATTGATATTCTATATATGATAAATTCACTCTATCGCAGAGGTTCAGCATAGACTATATGGTTGAACAGTTTCAACCTTATTAGCTATATATATGTATAGCGACGCGTTATAACTTAAAGGGGAGGGGGCGTATGGAAATAATGCAAGGAAAGTATAGACTGTATAGTATAACCACAAAGCCCAATAAGTCAACTGTGTCAGCTCCTTGAAAGCCTAAGCGAGAAAATTTTTGAAAATTGATTGCTCTAGATCTTTGGAAATTAACATGTCACGGACTTTTTCATGAAATTTTTTATGCTGAAAACCATGTACAATGTAAAATACTAAGTTAAATTTTGAGACAGTTTATCCGTTTTATTTGGGAGAACTAAAAACAATAGAGGGTGACTCAATATATCTCCCGTTCATTTCCCGACGAATTGTAAAATTTTCCCCGACAGGGGGCTTGAGTTCCCCGGCGCCACCTCTCTGGCGCCACCCCTGCTTAGCTTTGGATGCTTTAAGATCTGCCTCAAGAGTTATTCTATAGTTACCAATATGTGTGACGAGAGTATCTAAGAGCTTTTGCAAGGGACTGGTTATTCAAAAGCAAGTTAGCTTAACCATGGGTTTAACGCAAACCTTTACATCCATTTTTTTGAATCGATAAAATTGAATATGGTTTTCTATAAGTACTTTCCAGCTAAATAGAAGTCTTTTTTTGTAAAGTTTTAAAACGAACGGCGGTGCAGAGTGACATAACTTAAAACAGTGGATTAAAATATAACTCGGGGTTAGCGCTAACCTAGCTTTGAACAACTGCCCCCAGAGCAAGAAAACTGATAGACTATGGAAGAGTGAGTACCAAAGCTCCTTAGTCGACCAGTTTTCCGGTCCCGTTGAAAATACAATACAGCAAATGGCGTTTCACCGGAACTAACCCTTCTGCCGATATAATATTCCAACCTGATTCAACTTATTAAAACTATGTATAGGTTGACAAACTTCGTCAGGAAATCGAGAATCTATTGCGACAGAAAAACGCGCTTCAAGATCAGGTGAAGACTGCGAAAGGAGATGCAAAACGATTCCAAGATGACCTTATCCGATCTCAAAGAAATTTTACCGAAAAGCAGTTTGAAAATGATGGTTTACAGAAAGAGGTTAAGAATAAGAACGGGATCATCGACAAACTGAAGTTGGATAAGAATGCGTTGCAAAAAGAAATCGATCGTTTGCGCATGGAACTTGCTTCGAAAGATATGATCACGGTCAGCACATCAGATAATGTAGAGTCGTCAATGGACGGTGATCTTGATAGTCTTAACAATCAACTTTCCGACTGGCAAGCCAACGCTGAGCTGGCCAACAAAGAAAAAGAAGGGTTGTTAAAAGATCTAGATGATATGCAAAATCGTGTCAATCAACTTCAAAGCGACTACGACAAGGCCAAGAGAGATCTTCAAAAGCAAGAGAAGTCGAGTCAGGTGCAAATTTCAAAGTACGAATCGCAGCTGCAAAATGCGCTAAAACAAAGAGACGGTTTGAAACAGCAGCTAGACAACCTTAAAGATCAGTTAAAGAAGAGCAAAGAAAACAACGCACAGTTGCAGAAGGAGCTGCTCGACCAACAAAAGGAAGTTGATTCACTGAAAGAGGAAGTCGGAGCAAAAGCTTCTCAAATCGATCGCCTCGAAGCCGACAACGACGAGTTGGATAACAAGATCGAGAGGCTGAAGAAGGACCTTGCTCAGGCTGAAATGGCAAACCAAGTTTTAGGAAAAGAACGTGATGGACTTGAACGTGATTTGCAGAAAGCTGAAAGTGACATCGACGACCTGGAAGGAGCTCTGGACAAGACCCGGCAAGCGAAGGAAGATCTTAAGAAAGATCTTAATATTACAGCAAACAAGTTGACAAACGTCGAAGACGCAAACCGAAAAGCACAAGATCGTATAAAAGTCCTGGAAGCTCAGATTCCGAAGTTGAAAGCGCGTGTTACAGAAGCAGAAGGAAATCTTTTGTCGATGAACAGCAAATACAAGAAATTAGAGGATAACTTCAACAAAACCAAAGCAGACCTGGATGAAGCCCAAAACAACCTTGCTATCGCTAAGGAACAAGTTGACCAGCTGGAAACGACGTGCCAAGGAGCGATAAAAGATCGAGACGATTACAAACAGCGCCTTGCAAATAGCGAGAAAAAGATCGCAGAGTTGAAACAGCAGCTCCAAAAAGTACAGGAAGAAAGAGACGAGCTGGATAGCGAAGTTTCCAAAGCACGCATGCAGATCAATAAATTACAATCTCAACTGGATAACGTACAACGACTAAAGGCACAACTGGAAAGTGATTTGGCCGACCAGAAGGCAAAGAACACCAAGTTAACAAACGACTACACTGTCTTAAAGACATCGTACAACGAAGTGAACAAGAACCTGCAATGGCATAAAAACCAACTCGAGAGCAAGAATAATACTATTGCAGAGTTGAAGAAACGTATCGCAGCTTTGGAAGCGAAATTAGATCCGCTGTATCAAGAAGTTAGCGACCTGCAGTCGAAATGTGAAGTCCTTGGTAAAGAAAACGAAGATTTACAGGATAAACTACTGGAAGCCGAACGAAGATACAAGGAACTACAAGTCGAGTATAATCTGCTGCAGAAAGAGCGAGACGATCTAGCAAAAGAAATTCAAGATCTCCTGAAGAAAATTTCTGAGCTCCAAACAGCATTAAACATCAGTCAACGAGAGACGAATGACTACAAGAACCAAGTAACTGTCCTGAAGCAGAAAATTGTAAAACTCGAACGTGATTTGGATACAGTGACGAAAGAAAAGAACGACCTAGATCTTCAGAATAAAGATATTCAAGCAAATCATAAGAAGAGCAACGACGAAGCAATAATCCTAAAGAACCAATTGAACGATGTTCAATCCTCGCTTGACGACCAAAAAAATAAGTTGAATGATAATGACAACTTAATTACAATGCTTCGTGAGAAGACCGTGCAACAGGAAAACGAGCTCGAAAATGTCAAAGGCGATCTGGATCATTACAAAAATTCATTTGAAACAACCGAAGACGAAAGGAACAAGTTGGCATATCAATTGAAAGACAGGGATGATGAAGTTGAAAATCTACATGGTGTCATCAAACAAAAAGAACAGATGGATATCGAACAAGCGATAACTGTGCAAACATTTGACGTTGTGGAATCCAGTATGGGCGATGACTTCTTCAGTGGTCCATCACAGCAAGATTTCGATAACGAAGTTGCAAGAAATCAACTCTTACAGAATGAAGTCGATAATCTTAAGACGAAGATAACGCAGCTACAGAATGAATGTAACAGCACAAAACGCGACGTCCATGATCTTCAAGAAGATTTGCAACGGGCACAAGCAAAAAGATCAACCAATTACAAGACGAGAACGATCAGCTGGCTGCTGATAAAGCTGTTGAAGCTGAACGAGCAATACTAGCTGAAGCTAAAGCCGATGACCTCGAGAAGGAAGCAGACACCGCTAATCAACTTCGCGAAAAAGCGGAAGAAGACCTGAATGATGTGCGTGGACGAATACCCAAGTTGGAATCGCAACTCGACTCGTTACAAAAACAGAAAGCAAAGTTGCAACGCCAGCTTGACGACTCCAATGCAAATCTCACGAAATGCAAAGAAGACCTTATGAATCTTGAAAGTCAACTGGCTGAGCAAAAGAGAAAAAACGACACAATGAGTAATCTTTTGGAAAAGAAAGAAAAGAATCTCGCTGAAGCAAATCGTAATGTGAAAGCCTTGGAGAACGAATTAGATGAGCTGAAACGTGATTTGGCGAATCTCACAGCAAGCAATGATGCGTTGAAAGCGGAGAAAGAAGACGACGATAGACGTATACAGCAAATGCAAGAACGAATTCAAGATTTGAACAAAGAAGTCCAAAAACTCCGCGAAATTCAAGATAACCTTGAAAACCAAGTGAACACAAAAACCTACCAGCTTACAACGGCTCAATCACGATTGGAAAATGCACGAAAAGATCGTGATTACTACAAAAATGAACTTGCAAATGCGCAAAACAACGCAAAGAAAGATCGTGAAGACATCGTTCGTCTTCAAAATCGTGTACGTGCGCTGGAACGTCAAAACGAACAGTTTGAGAAAGATATAAAAACTAAAGATGCGCTTATCGAAAAGTTGAAAAAGAACAAAGCACAGTTGGAATCGGATCTCCTAAAGACGAGAAAGGAGCTGGAGTCACTTCGCGTCGCATACCAGAAAGCCCAAGATATCATTCGAAAATATGAAGATCAAATACGCGAGAAAAGCCTAAAAATTAATTCGATGGAAGTAAATATTACCAATTTGAAGAAAGAAGCAGTCCCAGTCAGCTCCAATATCACAGTTCAGCGTGTGTCTAATGTTGAAAGTGCTCCTCCTGGTGCAGCACCAGAGCGCGAAAACAATTTACGATCGGAAATTCAAGTAAATAAGAACAGGTTTGGGAAATTGGAAGGAGATTACAAGAAAGCTCAACAAAAGATCATTGAATTGACTCAAGATAATAGAATGCTCCAGAAACGCGTAGACGACTTACAGAATCGCTTGGACAAGAGCAACGCCGATTGTCAGAGATTCAAACAAGACCTTAACGATGCTTCTGACAAGATTTCCGACCTCGAAGTGAAGAACGAATTCGAAACTAGGGAGAAGAATAGCCTTCAGCAGCAGTTGGAAGATGCAAATAAACGAATTGCAGCCCAGCGTGCGGATCTTTTGAAGGCAGAACAAAAAGTGGTTGAAACAAAGATGCTGTACGATGTTGCGCAAAATGATCTGCAAGAAAAAGAAGACGAGGTGCAAGGCTTGTTGAAAGACAAGAAAAGTTTGGAAAAACATCTGGATACAACAAAGGCAACAATGAACCAGTTGCAAGAAGACAATAATCGACTGAAGACGGACCAAGGTCGTCTCCAGCAAGAAATACTGGACCTCAAAGAAAAGGTAAGAATGAAATTTTGAAAAGTGTTTAGTTGTATGAAATTTTCCCATATATACTGCAAGTAGAATAATTTTGTTTGGCTCAAGACCTAACAACGAACGGTTATAAATTTTGCCACCTCACTGATGTAAATTTTTACTTTTTTCAGCTTGCTGATTTGGAGACTAGATTACAAAAGGCCCTTACTGACAAAGACCGTGCACAGAAAGACGTAAAGGATTGCCTTGCGAAAATTGCTGGCTTGGAGCAACAAATAGAAGAACTTACAAGAGACAAAGAAAGTCTGTATCAAAAAATCGAAGAACTGAAAGCTACTGCTGGGCGACACCGTGATGAGTGCAACAAGTGCGAGAAGGAACTTGCACAATTGCAGGCAGAGTTCGATCGCCTGAAGGCAGACAATGAGGAGAAAGAACGTCAAATCGATAATTTAACCGAAACCAAGATTGTCGTAGAGAAAGAAAACGAAGAGTTGAAGAAACAGTTGAAGAAGCTGAACGCAGACTTCGACGATGCTGTTGAGAAGAACCGTCAGAATGAAAACATGATCAGCGTATCCAATGTGCAAAATGTCGAGAGCGCCCCAGATATGTGGGATGGAATGGATCCAGCTGAAGATTCAAGCATTTTAAAGAGGAAAATAGACGAGTTGGAAAATGATCTCGGTCAGAGCCAAAACAAAGAAAGGGAAGCACAAGGTAAGCTCTTGGAACTCAACGCATACATCGTGAAGATGGAAGGTATCTACGAACAACTACTTGCCAGGAAAAAAGAGATCGAACAAGAGCTATACGATGCACAGCGTGAATTGAAACCACTCAAAGACGACTTTGAATCGACGAAACAAGAACTCCAGGACCTTGCCGCACAATTCTCTAACCTCAAGAGAGAAAACGCCAACTTGCGAATGCAGCTCGAACAAGCACAGCAAGCGAAAAATCAACTCGAGAAACAACACGAAGATGTTATTATGAAAGATAGGAATAACGAGCAGAATCTCTTGAACACTGAACGTAAGCTTCAAGAATTACAGTTACAATTGGAACAAGGGGAAAATAATAAAGACAAAGACAAGATAATTGAAACTCTTAAGGAAGAAAAGAAAGAGCTAGAAAAGCAAGTTCACCTCCTTCGCGAAGACCTCAATCTTATGCAAACAAATCTTGGCAACGTTCAACGAAAACGTGACGATCTCGAGAAGCAGTTATTCAACATGCAGAAACAATTCTCAGATGTTGATCTTCGAATGAAAACCTTGATACAAGAGAATAACGAACTGAATGACGACATCATAGCTGCACAACGTAAACAAGCTGATCTTCAAAATGAACTACAGAAAGCACTGAAAGAGAAGGCAATGTTGAGAGGTGAACTGGATGAAGCGAAGGCACAACTCTTCCGAAACAAAGAAGTTCACTCCAACTTGGAAAGACAAGTTGCCGAACACAGATCCAACGTTGACGCATACAGAAAAGATCTTGGGGATAGAGAAAACGACGTTGACTGGCTACGAAATCAAGTTCATGCATACGAGGACGAAATTAGTTCATTGAAAATTCGATTGCATTCTTACCGAGAAGACTACGAGAAAGCGCAACAAGACATGACCGTACTACAAAGTAAGCTTCAAGAAAGAGATAATACTATTGCTGATATTGAATTTAAATTGAAAGCACTCGAACAAGAGAACAAGAGGCTCAAAAATGAGTTAGGAGTTGCGAAAGCTTCTGCTGAAGATTACAGAAAATCGTACTTTGACGCAAGAAAGGAAATCGAAAGATTACAACTCGAGATCCTTGGCCTCAATCAACAGGTTGCTACATTGCAGTCGCGTCTGGAGGCCACCGAAGAAGACAGAGATCGTTTGAGAGGTCTCTTGGACAAAATGAAGAAAAATAATTCAGAAATGAAAATTCAACTAGATATAGTCCATAACGAAAAGAGCAAGATGGCCAATGATATGAACGTGATTAAACGTGAGACAGAGAACGTACAACATTCCGCTCCACCCGATCAAGTTGATTCAGGAAAGGAAAAATTAACCAAGATCTACGAGCTTCAAAGTAGTTTTGACAACGTCAAACGAGATCATGATGATGCCCAGCGTGATCTGGCTAACCTTCGCAAGAAGAACCTGAAACTGGAAACGACAGTTTCTGATCTTAACCGACAAAAAGATGGCATTGAATATGATAACCAATGGAAGACGAAGCGAATTGCAGATCTTGAGAACCAACTTAATGATTTGCAAAACAGCAACAAGGTTGGTCGGGAAGATATTCTTGGATGGCAGAAAAAGATCGCAAAATTAGAGCAAGACCTCAGCACTGCAAAGAACAAGAACAGCAGATTGGAAGCGTACAATGCTGCATATGATGGGAAAATGAAAGAATTAAATGATGATCTCATCGAAGCGAATCAAAAGATTGCACAGCTTGAAACCTCGCTTGATGGGTGCCAAGACACAATCGAAAAGAAACAGAGGGATCTCCTTGACGCAGAAAAGAAAGCTGGTAACCTGGAAACAGCCAATCAAAACCTCTCCAAAGCAAAGAACGAATTACAACGAAACCTTCAAGCAGCCAAGGCGAAAATTCTCGACCTCGAGGAAGACTTGCAAGCGGAGATCAAGCAAGTTGCACAGCTCAAAGGCATCATGGGCGACTACAAGGTTAGAAACGAAAACCTGAAAAATGAAAACGCCAGACTTCAGAAGAAGCTCTTGGACTTGCAATCGTCAACAGATGTCAGTTCTCGTGATGTAGCTGAAATGAGATACACAATCAACAGATTGGAGACGGATAACAAGCAATTGACTAGTGATAATCAATTGCTGCGAAGGCAATTAAATGATGTCAAACAAGATAATGCGAAGATTCAAAACGAAAAGAGAGACATTCAAAACCAACTTCAAAAGCTTAAAATGCAATTCGCCGAACTTCAACACAATAATGATCTACTCCAAGATGAGAATGAAAAGCTCAAGCGTGAACTAGCAGCAGCTAATATCCAGATTCAAGAAATGGCGGACAATATGCAACAGCAACCGCAACAAGAGGTTATGGTGGAATCGGCTCCTGACATGTTGTTTAGCGAACCAGATTCAGCCGAGTTGGATTTCCTTCGTCCAGAAAAGGATCGTCTACAGAATGAAGCTACAGACTTGAAAAAGAAACTCGACAACTTGCAAGATGCCTATGATCACCTTAACGACGACAAGGCTAACATGGAAGAAAAGATCCTGATCTTGCAGCGAAATGTTTCTGATCTTAATCGAGAAAAACAGGAATCAAACGGAGAACGTGCAAAATTGAAGCGTGATCTCGACGATGCAATGGAGAAGCTCGCTGATCTTGAACAAGAAAACCAACGGCTTAAAGTTGAAAATTCTTCCCTCAAACAAGACTACGAAGATGTGCAAATTCAGTTGGTCAAGATTCAAGCGCAATACGATATTCATATCACGCAAACATCGGATAACCAAAAGGATGCCCAAGCGTCAACGCAGAAATTCAAGAACCTCGAAGATGCGCTAAAGCGAAGTCAAGATCGTGAGAATGAATTGCAGAGGGAAGTATTGGACGCTCACAAGAAAGCTGCAGCTCTGGAGTACGAAGTCAAAAGTGCAAACGAGAAAATAGTGGATCTGGACGATACAATGAAACAGAACAATGACAAAATCAGAGTCCTTAAGGATGAAGTGGTAGGGCGGGAAAAGAAGGTTTCAGAACTGGAAGCAAACATGGAAGACGCAGCCGACACGATCAAAGGTCAAGAATATGAAATCGATGGTCTCAAGGATAAACTGAACGAGCTGGACAGCAAAGATAGACAATCGCAAGATGGCAGAAATGACCTTGAAAGCCAGCATGCAACTCTTAAAAACCGTTGCAATAAGTTAGAAGACCTGCTGAACGACGCCAATCGTGAAAAAGATGACCTGCAAAAGCGTTTGCAAGATCTTCAAAACGAAAATGACAACCAGAATTCAGATTTCTCGAAACAAATCTCCCAAATTCACCAAACCACTGAAATCTACCGACGGGACCTTACTGACCGCGAGAATCAGAATGAAAAGTTGAGGAAACAAGTGAGCGACCTGACTAAAGAAAACGAGCAGTTAAAACGGGATATGGCGAATAAGAAGAATAGCGTGGAAACCTACCTCATTGAAATCGAACGATTGAAACAAGAATTGGTGATCATTCGAGAACGTGTCACAAAAGGTGACCCGAGAATGGCTGATGAAATGGTAGAATTAAAGCAGAAATACGACGAGATCGAAAGCGAGAAGGAAACACTTCGAACAGAGAAGCAAAATCTACAATACCAACTGCGAATTGTAACCGAGAAGCTTACAGAAATCGAAACAGTCTATCGACAGAGCACCAACGGTCTGGAAACGGTTACACAGGAAATGTACGCGTTACGCCAAAAGATCAACACAATGGAACTTGATTTGCAGAAAGCGATCAAGGACAGAATGATTCTGGAAGAGCAACTCGAAAAAGCTAACCGTGAATTGGTGATCCGTCACGAATTGATTGTCAAGTTAGAGAAGGAAGTCCGTGATCACCGTGTCGAAAAAGAATTCCACGACCAAGCAATCGAGGAACGAGAGCAATCCATCAAAACCCTCCGCATCAAGGTTGTCACTTTGGAGAAGGAGATCGCCAGTCTGAAATGGGACATCGAAGTGCTGAAGAAGGAGAAACAAACCACGGAGGTTACGCTGGATGTGAAACCAAAGATAGAAAGAACGACCTATGAGATAACCCATGCCATGAGCCCTGAAACCAAGTCAGTAGTGACTGGTAAGCCACACGAGATCTCAACGTTGGATTTCAGCGTCAACGATAAACCAGACACATACAGTTTAGGGCAGACAACAACGCGTGTGTACTCGAGGGGAAACAGTGATGAAGCTAGCATGAGTTTTGGTAAGTTTAAAATGAGATTTCAGTATAAGATAAATAAAAACACGCTAATTATGTCAAAGTTTTTATCATTAAAAAAGATAAGCGGATTAGAATTGTATTGATAAAAACTTTTAAGCATTATCGGTTGATATTTGTTAATCACCCATAAATATTGTTTCTCTTTCAGTCGAGGGAGGTGATAGAGAAGTTCGAACCCGAGTTATCAAAAGAGAGACAAGGACAATCGAAGGACCCTTGTCACCTGGTTCTTATAGCCACAGTATTTCCGAGGGATTTTTGCCTGGCGAGTCGACGACGACTTACACCCGAACCTTGTCCGGTGGCCCAGAAACAGGAGAAGTTCAAGTGGTTCGTAGAGAAAGGCGAAGCAGAAAATTCTTAGACGAAGGCAAATATTGACAATAATGAACACGAATAACTTTACATAAATAGAATTGCATAGCTTAGTTTAAGTCGATCCTCATTTGATGTAGTAATTTTGGATATTTACCATCCAAAAAATGGTGGGATTTTTTTATCGGTATTTATTGCGCAAGTTTCATTCGCAAGAGAAAATTCTTTTTTGACAATTGATCTTTGGGAATTGCATAGGAGGAATTGCTCGACCAAGGTTGAACTATCCTACCATTTCTATAGGACCAAATATTTTAAAATTACTGCAGTACATGTTAGTACAGTGCATTTGTAGGACGAGTGCTTGTTTAAATTCGTTTGGGTTGTTTTATGCACTTAGATTTTAATATGGTTTAGTCATAGTTGTGCTTCAGTGTATTACATGATCAAAATAGCCGATCGGACAGAATAGGGAGAGAGCTTTCCATCTGCACTGTCAGATCAAGCTGTGAAACGTATTGTGGTTGAATAGCGCTTACATGAAAAGTGTAGGTCCATTTTAGTCGTATTTCTATTATCTTAGCAAAATCTTACCTTGTTGGGTCAACCCGTTCGGCTGTTTAATGGAACATTCCCCACGTGTTTCTCAATAGCATATACCATTACACGACACTAGGTTAATGAATTGATAGAATTTGTAGTATTTTTCTAATATTTTTTTCACATTTTTGTCACATCAATAGTATACGTAATTTCAATTAAATTTTTGCCTCATATATTAATATTGTTTGATCTGTCCTAATTTAGCTATTTTTCTTGGACTTTCTTGGAGGGGAGGGGAGGGAGGGATGAGTTTATATAGGCAGATATGACACGTGAAAAAAGTTTTTAAAAAAAAATTTTCGACTTCAAATGGTTTGATATTCACTTACGGCTTGATACCCATAATTTCAAAAGTCCATTGGAACTGGGCAAACAACAATAATTGAAGCCGAAATGAATCAAATTATATTCGCAGGCATGAGGGGCGCCTTGGCATTTGGAATTAGAGTTCATGGTTTTACAAACACACAGGCAAACTCGGTTTTGAATCCGACTAAATAATGACATTGCCTTTCTTTGCAATTGGCTTAGGTAAGTGCATGATCAAACTTCAAAGACAAGACTCGATGGTAGAGATGCTCTTTATTAAGTGATATAGCAACCATTTATTAGCATTTTGAGGCAAATAATCAATTAGTTATTCCTAGTATCTATGTATATAGTTTGAATATGCTTTTTTTCTAGTGTAAGACAATTCAATATACAGCCCAATAAGCCCAAATCTACCCAATTAACATGATAAATTTGTCAAGTCTAATCTTATTCACCAAGGAAAGCAAGGATCACGACAATATCTTCGATAAGTCCTCACTTCACCCGTGCTCACATGCATAATAGCAGTATAACTCGTCAACTATAGAAAAGAAAACGTCGATATTTCCATCATAACACATTGGCTCTTACGTTATTTTACCTGCCTGGTTTCCACTCACTAAGTCGTAAGGTGTCTGAAATTTTGCCGAAAGACATTTTGCCGATCGGTCATTTTACAGAAAAGACAATAACTTTACCTTGTTTAATACAGGAATAGTTGATAAAACATTGAAAATTCCTTTAAAGCCAACGTTCTATAGAAATCAAGAATGAAGCAGATTGTGTGTCTTTATGCGGGTCAGGAAACTAGCAAACGCCGAATAATTTCTTCTGCGTGAGGAAAATTGCTTCAGTTTACTGAATTGAAAAATATTGTATACCGTTTGGGTCATTTCCTCCATGCACTCGTTCCCCTAAAAATATAAAAATCAACGAAATATATATATTATTATAAATGTATTGATGATACCTAAAAAACCGTGTACTTACAGGTGTACGCCGATCATCGATAATCAACGGATTTTTCCAGTGATCATAATTAGTTTGTAATAGATACCATCCACTTTTACCCTGGTCCATGCTGGAAATAAAATTAAATAATGCCATACATGATCACATGACCGCACCTCAAACCAAACAAGAAATGGTAAACATGCATACCTCAAGGGGTATAATGACTTCGTTCGAGAACGTGAAATAATCATTCCCTAAAATCGGACGAGTAAATAGGATTAAATATGTTGTAACGACTGATAGGAAAAATATATAAACTTTTTGGAAACTATATCTTGTACGTTTACGACATAATAAATCGAAAAAACACAATTATGATATCAGCTTTCGTTTGAAGAAATTTATCATTGCTGGTATAATGGCACATATAGCCGGAAAAAAAATATGTCGGCTTACATATGCATGCGGTCATAACTATATATATTTGTCCTTAGATTACTGGAACGATTGCGTGTTATTCATGAAATTAGTCTTTAATGGTTAATGCGTCATGATAAGACGTCAAACTATATACCTGCCCCGAACTGTTGCCGCCAAGAAGATAATAACAAGGTGCTAACGTTTTGGTATTTGAAAGCAACTTTTCTGCATCATCAAAGCTAGAAAAATAAAATCAATACAAATCTTATAGCTGCCTGCACTCTTTAATGAATAGTAGTAAAACGACTTTTAATTTATACTTTATTTATGAATCAAACATACCCAACGCCACTATCAAGAACATTTCTAACCAGGAAAGTTGTCCAGTGCGAATCCCGCTCTCCCATGATCCACTCCAACAAACCTAGAAAATGGAATTTAGAGAAAGATTTATCAAAGGTATCTTCAAAGGTAAACACATCTTCATCTTTCGACTTTCGTATACAATGACATTATAGCCAAGTATCGATAGAAGACAGTGAACCGTTGTAATGCCACACCTGAATATTGCAAAATAAAGTTTAGACTGAAAATAGATGCTAATTATTTTTTACCAATCTTTCCTCCGGCTGTTGAGAACCGCGAGTTCATTGTAATGGTAATCTCTCCCTATCATGAAGCAAGAAAATTTCGTCATGCGGGTAGATGCAGGCAGTTGCATTATGCAAGATCATGTTTTTCTGTTTGCTGAAATGAGCTGAAGAGACCAAAGGCTACGCATATCCACTGACCATTTTAGTGGTATATACTAACTCACGAGCCAAATTAGTTCAAGGCCTCTTAAAAATTATTTCATGCATAAATTTTCGGAAAGCGTTGATGAAGAGTGATTATATCATTATTACGACCATATCATTCCTAGCCAATTTTGTCATATGGATAATTTATTGCTTGTTGGATCATTTATAGCCAAATACTTACTGGCCTAAATCCAGTGAACGCTCCAACAAATCCTGGAAATCCAGTTGTGATATAAACGGTCTTTCCTTTTCGTTGAAAGTCGAAATTAAGTACAAGAGGACGTAATGCTTCCGCCATGGCCCATGTGTTGGTTCGAACATCCCACCTTAATATTGGTTGATTTTCATGATACAGGAGACAGTATAACAGAACGTTTCAAGAACGTCTAATCTTTATTCATTGGAGACTTGGCTAATTGTCATCATTAGAACGATAGTACCGGATCAGGCAGCTTTTATAGTGTTCTTTCTATAGCTCTTTCGATATGCTTCTTTAATAGTAGTTCAAAATGAGCGGTTTTTACCTGGATGTGCTACCCTCCGCTGTGGTATCACAACTAGGTCCTAAATATAGCCTCATATAGATCGTGTAACGTTTGCGTTTGCAGTCTATAGTCAGTCCTATGACGACTATAGGCCTGACTATAGACTAGGATTTAGGTAGAGACGGTTTCGTTATGGCGCCAGACTGCATGACTAGTAACAAACAGTCATACTCTCCCTATTCAAAAAGCATGCTATTACAACTAAAGTTCTGCTATTTCTGAACACACGATACATTCAATTCGATCTCGAGTCGTTTAGTGAACCTACCCATCAAACAGGCCAAAATCAAGATTACGAGCATGGAACAATTTCCCTATAATTTACAGCGGAGAAAAAAGGAGAAAAAAGGCTAAGATATATGATAGTATTTCACTATCCTGAGAACGAGGTTGAACGACTGATTTGTGCTTACCTGACGGAGTTTCGGCAATAATAGAAGTGCAGGCGACTGTTAACTCGTAGAAAATGTTGAAAAGGAGAATTTCTCCTACAAAACAAAACAAAACAAAACAACAAAGGCTTAGTTTCGTTCGCGGAACATACTGCATTCACGGATTTGTATTGTAAATCATTGATGTGGATAATGCGCGTTTTTCATTATATCGTAATTATCGAATAGATATCATAATTGTCGTGAGCAAGTCATTTTCACACACGTAGAAATATTCAGTATTCTATTACATGAGACGTTTTCACGACAATTAGACCAAATGAGAGCGACAAGTGACGTACCTAATGGGATACCGGTCGCAGACGAAATGCCCTTGATTTCACGACCATAGGGATCGGGTAACGAACGCATAAGTATGGGCTAAAACAAAAAAAAATACATCAGCTAGGATATTTACATTATGAAGTCAGAAAAATAAATTTAATATCACGGTTGAACTTTGTGCAGATTTTATTTCTTAAAGCCGAGCCAGGAGTCTCGACAAAATCGCCACATGACTAGAAAACAATAATATAATATCATGCACATACCAAAAATTTGTCGACATAATCGAACAGCTTTCCATCGAAAATAAAACTTGTAAAGTTCTTAATTTCTTTTGCCAAGGCAAGAATCTATATATCGGGTTATAATCATGAAATGTTACATACTATATAAAGCTTATTTAACTACCATCCATCTTTTTAACATAAAAAATATACTTCTGGTTTTTTCTTCAGAGTTATATCTTTCCATCTCTCTTCTGGTTCCAGATCAAGATCAATTACAACTGTATCAACTTTATCTCTTTTCATGCAAAAAAAATCAGATACAATCTACAGGGTTCATACACATTCTGTATATACGGTAACAAACTCAACTTCTTACTTATCAGGTGGAGGATATGATTGATGGTTGCAAACGGTCTTTTGAGCCTGTTGAAAATATTGACAAGTATTTCAACATGCATATGACATAGAGAAATAAATCATATATATATAGCTTGACATTATATATAGTTTTCATTTATTTTGATAGTAAGTCAAAATTCGGAGTATATCTTAGATGGCTCATTATAAACGTGGAATAACAAGCTATGACTTGTTCACGACAATAGACCTTTTTCATAATAACGTCAAACGCGGAAAGTATGATGTTACCCGACGTTTGATTGGCTCGATAGTTTTGTGGAGCCAATCAAATTTCGTGTAACATCAGGTCTATTACGACTTGATTACGCCTTAAGCAAAAATCAGTCTGCTGCGAAACCCGCGTGCTGCGCATTAATGGGTGTAAAAACCACAGGTGTACTTAAATTCATGTCACGAGTTCAGTTGCTGCTGTTGTCAATTTGTCATGAACTCTGAGTCTCTAATACTCTTTTTACGTACAATAATTCATAGGAAGCAAATTAATATTAATACATTATAAGGAAGAAAATCATTATTAATTACCGTCATTGAATATGCGCTGCAGAAAACCAGAAACAAGAATCCAAATCTTGTAAGAGTCGCGAGAGCCATGGTTTGTCTTCTCTGATACCTCAGATTGTGAGTTCCGGCTTAAATCATATGATGATGTTTCATAACATATGTCATGTGATAACACACGCCAAAATGCAACCACAAATATCTGGCCCTCGCAACATTTTGTTCACATCACCGTGACCAGATATAGTAATATATATTGTCATTTAGAATTCTTTGGTACTTTCATTTAGGTTTTGATGAAGTGAAAGGTTTTCGCAAATTTAGCTGAGTCTGTAATTTTTAGGCAGTGAAAACCTAAAGCGCCAATGACACAAATTCCACCCTAAATGTTCATGGTTGCATTGCAATGATCACTCGCGTGATTTTGTGTCACAGGCACGGAGGAACACATGACAGTACCCGGAAGTACACAGTCATTGTTTATATATATAATATCAAATTTCATAAATTACTAGTATCTCGACTTTCATAGGGTAGGGAAATTCATTTTTTAACATTATGCAAAACGTATGCATTAGATAACCTAACAGCTTTTGTAATCGAAATCTATTTAAGATATATTATAGCGCTCAATTTGATGATTTCACACATATAAACACAGAATTTAAACAGGTATAGGAATGAAATAGCTAAGTAGCATTTCCCACCCTGTGGGTAAACTAGTCCAGATATGGTTGTGGTTATAATATATATATATAGACGCAACACATAACAACATCACATGACGATAATTGCGGAGCTGTACAGCAACAAATATGCAGCTCGTAATAATTATTAATTTACTTCTTTTTTTCACTTTTGTGGATCTTCATACACTACAAGTAAGTAATAAATCTACTTCACATTAGAAATTACCTGCTTCCACAATTTCACTGACAGAAGCTACTACAGGAATAGATCAGTCAGGCTGGGTCAGGCTGTCAGCAGTATAACGAGCGACGTCGGTGAATCTGAACCCCGACTATACCACTAAATAGAGGAGAACTAACAAGGTTCTCTCACGGATTGACAAGTGCAATCAATTTGATTTTATGCGATATGTTGACATTTTTTTTTTGTGTCCACGACAAGGTTTCGACATATGACACTGATGAAATTCGACCCCTATAAGGATAGGTTCCTTAGGTTCCTTTAATACTTATAGTATTGTGGGGAATACTGTATGGCAATGTGGGCAACGTAATTAACTTAACTTACGAATGTTAAAGTAATGGTAATGAATGGAGCAGGGCCAGATTAATACGCTGTTGGGCCAGGTTCTTAGGGAAATGTGTGGGCCTAAAAATCTTCAATAAACATAAATTTCAATTTATTCTGTCTCTACACTGTTGCAAACCTATTTTTCTTTCCAAAGAAGAGGGCCTATCTTCACATCATCCCTATGTTAATCTGGCCCTGTGTTGGCGGGGTATTGTCACACACTCAACAAACCCAACTCCTTGTAGTTAATCCCTCAACAGGATGAATCTATTCATACTAGTGACTTAAAAGTCAGAAAGAGGTTCCACAGGAATGATTACCTGTCTGTGGCCACTCTCACTGAACTTCGCCCAACTTCAAAGGACTCTCCCTTGCTAATATTGGGTTTGTTAATTTGCATGTGTTATACACTGAAGAGTTTCATTCAATACTCACAATTATAATAAAATTGTTTTATTTGTGTATTTATATCAATGTTTTTCAATTAGAAATTATCAGATAGTGAACAATTGAATGTAAATGCATTTAGGGTAAACATAGCCCCATACAACTGCATAAACACCTGCAAAAATGGGAATTGACAGATTAAACAAGTATGATCTCCTCATTTTGCCTAGCTCATGACATCTCACCTCCCCCTGTATGCACATTTGCCTTTGTAGGCTTTGTTGATATTCAATTATGCCCATTGTTTGGGGGCATAAATCCTGATGGTTTTGACACATCAGAACTCATTTTGAACCCGGTGCTCTCTTATATTTAATTAGCATTGTAAGAAGGACCAAAACCTATTTATGCCCAAGAACATCAACAGTACTACATTTTTATACCCACACTTTTGTGCTTGTGCTCATGTACTTGGTATTTTATTGTTTTCATGCATCACTGGTATTATATTCTTTAAGATTGAAGACACAAAGTGTCGTACAGATGCTTATCCTGGACCAACCACGTGAGTTTTCTCATTTTACTGTGGGTGTCAGGGCGCTATATATATATATATGTAAGCGCGCCCTGGTAAATGTGGAGCTTTTTGCGTTTGTGCTTTTCTGGGGGATGATAATAGTAGAGTAAGACCCTTTTCAAACGAATGAAACGATGCTGGCATGGAACTCTGTTGGTAGAATCGTCACGGTTTGACCGTTTTAACTGTTTCCACGATAGCAGATGAGTGTCATTACGTTTTTGGTGTTGCGAGTTCACAGGGCCCTGGTTCAATGACAATTTATTTTCGTTTTCACCCGCCCACCAAAATTGACCCGCTTTAATAAAACTAAATTCGCGTCAAAACATTTTGCATTACCGAATGAAAGTTTTTAGGGTAAAGAGTTCACACCGCACTCTGACGGTAAAATTTGTCACGGTTTTGAACTTTAGCGGTATAAGCGTTCAGTTTCGCATTTCCTCATATAATGTGTGAACATAATCCTCTGCCAATGTGCGCCTGGCTTTAGTTAGGAATACATCATGAAGTTTATTTTACTAATTTAGAGACAAAGTGGACGATGTTGTGATAAACCTTGATTTAGAACCAGAAGAAAGATGGAAAGACATCACAAGGAGAATGAAACCAGAGGTTGCTAACGAATAGAAATTGCCTTTTCTTTCCAGTATTCAGTAATCATATACTACTAAAAAAATTGGACTATGGCAAAACTTGTAAGAGCTTAATACCCAGTACCCATGTACATTTATTTCCTTGGGGTTGTTTCCTATTGGGTAGATGTGTTCATTTTTTAACACTTCATCCTATTACTTTGTTTGCAGTTGCTCCAACTTCTGCAAGAAATAAAGAACTTTACAAATTTCATCTTGAAAGGAAAATTGTTTAATTACATCAATGAATATCTGGTAATTGAAAAATATAAAAAAATTGTGTTATTCTTACTTCCATAATAGAAAGAAATGTAGCATGTGAAGCTAGTATGTGAATCAGGGGTGGATCCAGCACTAGTGCACTAATTTGCATGACACAAGAAAACTGCTAAAAATGACCACTTTGTTTTGTAATGCAAATTTGTGCACTAGTGCTGGATCCACCCCTGATGTGAATGGTCTAATTTTCCCACATTTTATCGGCCACTTTTCCCATTGATGCCAGTATTCTTAGATAGCTGTCCTGACTGTCTGTCCATAGGTGTAACCCAAAACGAATCCGTAACTATACACCATTATCTAAATACCCACACCGAACCTTGTTCGTAAGGCATAAAACTAAACCTAACTAACGCTAACGTAAATCCTAACCTTGATCGGAAACCTAAATGTAAAAAAATGAAATTGCTTTTTGCTTTATTTAACCAGCCTTATATTGCGACTACTTTACCGGAGCCGTATGGACGTGAATTAAAAGGAATAGCGGCCGCAACCGAAATTCCTCTTGGTAAGGAAACTCTCCAAATATTAAACATTGCAATTTATCGTTTTTGCTGGTACTGGTTACAGGTATAGTGTTGGTGGAGTAACTACTTACTCATGTACATAAGGCGTAGATTTTGTCAACACCTTCATAACGGTAACCGTAATTTCAAAGCCCTGAATACAAAGTAATTTTTTCGATGACACCTACAGCAGCGCACCTATACAACAGAAATAATTATCTCATCCAGTCATTTTCCTTCTGTTTTATCAATCCTATGAGTAACGATCTCATATAGTATTCTACTGTGCGATAATGAAATAATTTACCAACCTAATTGAGACTAACCAGAGATCACAAATTTTGTGTTTTTAGGTGAGATAGTTCTATACAACATATTTTACGAAGTATTTACCGTATGTACATCGATTGTAGCCGAGACTCCTGAAGGTAAACGGATTCAACTTCCTAGTTCAATTATTTCACCTGCAGCTAGTCATATGGTGACAAACAACAGTTTAAGACATTAGTTCAAATTTGAATAGTTTTATGTTGGTTTGCCCAGCTGATGGGACCATAAAGAGCTTGCTAGCTCTTATTTACTTTCCTTCCTTATACCATAGCCTTTTTGTTTAGGGAAACTTTACCATGCTCGAAACCTTGATTTTGGGCTGTTTCTTGGGTAAGTTAGTGTATATCTTTAAGATATTTGTACACATTGGTGCTACCACTCTGCAGTGTGCTATGCGCCTTGTTGAGTGTTTTCTTTTATCATCCTGTTTTTTTTATTTTAGATGGGATGTTGCTAACAATACATGGGCATTGTCCGAAGCTCTTCGCCCGCTTGTCATGAACTTTCACTTCCAGCGAAGTGGAAAAACAGTTTACGTCATTACAGGATTTGCAGGTTTTGTTGGTGCCATTACTGGCATGAAACCGGTAATATAAAAATATAAGTGGATAGATCTGTAGCTTTGCAAAGTAACACTGCATGTGTATATGATTTAAACATTGTCATGCATTGATACAAAGGATATATAAATCTATACAGATGCATTTTTTTAAAAGGGTGTAATTACATTGACAATGAATGAACGCTTTGTTCCCGATGGCGGATTTGTTGGTAAATGAAAGCTCCATAGTGTTTCTATTTCTTATGTTAAACGCCATCTTGGTTTATTTTACCAAAAAAATTCTGCTTTTCAAACTGAATTTATTATTTTTGCTAATTTGCAGGGACATGCAACCTTGATTGAATATTTATAAAAATGATTTTGCACCTTGTGATAAACTATCCACTCATGCATTTGAACTTCTAGGACTATTTGAATGGCTCATTATGGGAGAAAGAGATTCACACTGGGTGACTTTCTTGGCAAGAGATCTTCTTGATACGGCAACGAGGTAGTAAAATTACATTTTTATGAAATAGGTTAAATATTGTAATGTCTCGTGTGGAGTCTCCTTATAGTTATGAACCTTGTTGTAGACCGTTGTCAGTTTTTGCCGTTAACAATAACAACAAAAATTTGAATTTGCCTTTTTACTGCTTTAATAATGCCTGTTGCAACTATGGTCACCATATGCTTCATGTATGCACTTGTAATGTTTTAGCTATGGCAGATGGTTATTTTGCATTAACCTCGTGAAATTGATTGCTTTTAAACAGCTTTGACGTTGCCTCGACTGCCCTTTCTAACACCAAAATATTGGCACCATGCTACTATATTCTTGGTGGCAACAGCTCCGGTCAGGTAGATAGTTTTTTACTGTTCTTTCTCTTTTACCATGCCCTGCATGCATTTGTTTTCTTGTTCATTGGTTCTTTGTCCATTTGTTTGTATATGAAAGCAGTTGTAATGGAATGTATATACTTTTTAATGTATTTTACTTTTATATCATCAATAGGGAATAATTATAACACGTGAAAGAACGAAATCGATGTACCCGATGAGGTATAATTTTTCAGTTTCAATTTTTGCCATTATTACGATCGTTAAGTTCTATTTTTTTCGCAAATAAACATACTTTTATACCAACTGTCACCACGATACACCTTGCTGCATATAGTGCATGAGCTAGAGCAGGGTGTACCTGATATTTACAAAATTTTCTGTTTTTTGCCAGTATGAGTCAAACTAAGGCTGGCTGGTATGTGTTGCAAACAAACTATGATCACTGGAAAGCTCCACTCATCGTCGATGACCGACGCACACCGGTAAGAAAACTCCGGGGACATGAGCTAGTGCCGGAGAAAGAGAGCGGGGGGGGGGAGGGAAGGTGTGGTATCGGCTTGTTAATTACAAACATACTATCCTGACTGTAACTTCTTGTTTTTCGATACATCAGGGAAAGGCTTGCATGGATGAAATGACGCAAAAGGTTCGGTGATATGCAATAACATTTTTCAATATTAATTAAGCTGCCAAAATATATTATATATTAATAAAATTTGGGAATTTAACGCACAACTTTATCGAGTCAGACAGTAGCGCAGGCAGCCTGTCGATTTAGACGGAATCGACGTGTTTCCGTCGTTCCGATAAGGTTATAGGACAGTTGAATCAATTTTTTTTCTGGATAGAAAGTTTTGCCATGCATGTTTCTATAGAAAGGACTTTGAAATAAAAATATTTCCTAAACATTGAAATACCATTTAATTTCTGTGTAGAATGTTGGTTTTGAAGGTTTATACAATGTCCTGTCTACGATTCCTGTTTTGAATAAGGTTGGTCGTTTTTCAGGATTGATAAAATTTCGCGAGTTTTTTATTTCAACTTCCAGAATTCACACGCATTTTTGAGTCAGATTGCAACTGCTAGTCTGCTCCGGTCTAATAATATATTTCGGTTCGAATATTCGATTTAACATTCAAGCTTGATATCCTTTTCCTCTCATAGCTAACGACGTACACTGTTTTGATGCAAGTTAATTCTGGTAAAGTGGAAACATATCGTCGATATTGCAAGGATCCATGCTTTCCTTGGTGACGTAATTAAAAGTACGTGTTTGCCCACGGGGGTTAATTTGTTGAACCGATAATGTACGTTTACATATATAGCTAATATTTGAAATATACGTGTCAAAATTCAGCACGACCGCACCAGCTAACAATAATTACCATTTAACATTTAGCAAAACCTGAAATAGACTGCACCGATCGTATTTGTCACATTTAATTAACATTTGGGCATTAAATTATTAAATTTATGACGTATGTCGCAGTATAGATTGAATGTTGTCTTAAATCGTTAAATATAAACGAATGACTGAAGAGTACACATATATACCTCCTATAAATATTATCGATGCATTTTACCGACATACATGTAACAGTAAATATAGCTAAAAATTATTTTGGAAGAGTTTGAATTTGATGTTCACGCCCAAAAAGAAAGCATTGAAAATCTTTCCTATATAACCACCGTAATTGCTGCATCTCACGATACGTTACGTTTCTGTAATAAAACAATGCCTCTTGCTTAGTCAAGGGATTGTAATATTCTTGCCTTTTAGGAAACGAAACTTTTCTTGAAGAATTTATTTTTTCCAGAAGTGCGCTCGCGTCAATATCTACGTTTTGAACAGAGCCAATAAATTCATAAGGAATCAAACACGGATGACAGATATTAAAAATGGGTTTCCAGTGTCCATTCATGTTGTCAGTTTTTGTATCCAAGAGGTATTTAATGAACTCTCGAAATGTGACATCATCACCTTTTACTGGTTCAGATGAATTAAGGCCACGGTATTTTTTCACGATGTATATGCCGTACCTCCTATGCAGGTCAGTTCGTTTTCCAACCACACGATGTCTATAAGCTGAGACAAGTCGCTCTAGGGGATGGCGTACGAACAAAAATTTGAAGTATGTTTTTATCATTTCATTTCTTTGGGATGCATTAAAATCACCGAGAAATTCAAATCCTCGGCGGTCAAACTCTTCGATAGCATCTGGGTTCTCCACTCTTCCTTGCAATGCTAATACCAACCGTCTCATATTCGAAGATGCAGCTTTTGGCACGTAGCAGTAAAGAAAGCGATTCTTCCTGTCCACTATGACATTCCTCAAGAGCTGTGCAGACCGTTCTTCTGGAAATTCATCAAAACCATATTCTTTACAGCATTTCCGCAAAGTAAACACTCGTTCATTTCTCTGAAACTAGAAAAAATATCATCTATTATTTTGGGTTAACCTGTATAGACGCCGTTCACAAGATTCAGCTTTCCTGAGATAAAACGATTAAAGCGATGATGATTTCGAGTTAGATAAGTTTATGTTATAACACAAGTTATGGTAATTATTTGTGTTGGCATTGCTGGACAATGACTTCAATGATAGTATACCATAGGCGCACGATGCACAGCTGCCCTCCCCCCCCTCCCCGCCAAAAAAAACCATTTGAATCTAGGAAGGTTAGGTGGGCTAACCAATTTTGATCAAATTTGACCAAAAGCCGGGTAATTTCTGCTGAAAATAGTGATACTTTGGGTGACATTAGTGACAATTTGTACCCGTAAGTCATTTTCCTGCGCCCTAAATTCTAGGCCCGTACGCCTATGCATCTGATATACTTCATGCAGTTCAACTTATTTTCCGCGCGTGTTCGTGTCGTGTGAAGCTATATTTGGTATTATATGTTGCCTACCTTTGCTCTTTCGATAGATATATCTACAGAACTGATTTCATCTAGTAAAAAATTTAACGATAGTGATTGATTTGCACACAAGGTATTTCTAGTTTAGCCTCCTTCCGAAAAAAAGCTATTGTTTGTAATCTCGAAGAAGGCAAGCAATATATAATTATCATCAATTGCGCTCAGTTCTTGACCTAATGTCTTTATTCCTCACTTCTGAAGTGGCTTAGCTAAATATAAGCTCCTGCTCTTTAATAGAGGCACGAGAACGCGCATGAACTGATGAACCACCGGGAAACGTCCATAGCATTTGACAATTTAACGCGGTAGTCGTAGAAGAAGACCAAATGTAGATTTGAAAAAGGAATTCACTCAATTCAGTCAATTGCGGTTGATACATTCTGGATAATTTATTTCATCACTGTATGTGATTGCGTGAAATAGCCTATAATAATATTATAATCACCTGAATAATGCTGAACGTGCTTGCTCTTGTTGATTTTGTATTAGTATTATACTATTATCATAATTAATAGTTAATTAATAGAATTAATAGTTATCTATTAATTTTATCACGGGAAGTTAATGTTGAGTCGAATGCCTGGCGAGCTTTACCACTGTTGTCACTTGTCAGTAATATAGGAAGTCAGCGTCAGCCGTCAGAAATGACACCTCTCTGACTATAGAAAATGCCGGGAGATTTTCGCATGCATGTATGTATAATGCACATCAATACCAAGTTTTACAAAATTTCTAGCCCTCCTAATAAGGCTTAACCTCCTAAGTTATGCTTGAAAGTCTCCCCTACTAATACTGTACTTCTCAGCATTACACATCTATATTCAAAGCATCTCTTGTATTTATAAATACAGACAGTAATCCCTTATCCCTTGCGCTTTGTCTTGTTAATTTTTTCCTGTTCTCGCATCGAGCAATATAGTCTACGCTATTCTGGCATTTTTCAAACAGACATGTGGAAATGTTTTATCTTTATTATAATATTGACCTGTATGATCCCCTTTGGTGATTCGCAATACCATACAACTTACCTGCCTGGCTAGGAAGGATATTTTCGTCTCTTGGTATAAGTACTAAGTAACTACATCCGTAATTTAAACCAATAATAAACCCCAAAAGACCAAATACAGTCAAAAGCAAGACACGTAAAAGTATAGTTTGCTTTGTTGTCATTCTCGATCATGGACGCGCATAACATGCACCATGCTATGAATTAATCGCCTAAAATTTATGATACGGGTGGGAATATTACGTTGACTCGATGAAGGATTGAGGGTTTAAATGGCGGCAATATTTTTTACGCTTGCCTGAGGCCTAGTTTACATTTAGCTCATTTGCATTATCTCCGACATACGTGTAAGCGCCGCGTATATAAATCGGGCCTGAACTGTTTACACCATTCTATTGTATGAGCGTTCTTTCAGGTTTCAATGTGAGTATTTATCGAACAGCAAGATATCGCCTGCCATTAATTCGTCTTTGTTGAACGAGGCATGTGGGCACCACAAGAAATCTATTTCTTAAAGGCCAAAAGACTATAACTTTTCAAACTGGAGATGCCGAGCAATTCGACTTGCACCTTTCTTTTTTGTGCATATCAAACCGCCATTTTTTTATCAGTAGCTTATTCCAGACACACAAAGTCCACAAAGGACTCACTCATCATTAATATTAACATGGATATAATCATATGATACAATGCGGCACGCCGAGAGGCGGTAACTAAAAGAAGCTTCTTCCTGTTTTTTTTTTAATATTCGCTAGTCTTTAACCCCTTCAAGTTTCCTGCAATCTATTTTATGCTCCACACGCTATTTCCGGCATTAGGTTACAGAGTTGATGGCGTATTCGCACGAAGTCACTCGAAAAAATAGTGCGCCGACAATTTATATGGAGAATCCAAGAATGAATATCTCCCAGCAAAAACCGCGGTCTTTTGATTTTCACCCCTTGTCCCGATTGTCTAGGAAGAAGCAAATTGCGAATTAGAAAAACGAATTGAGGATCTAATTCATCTAAAGACATTTGGAGAATGAAATATTATTGTAGATTGTTTTTAGGTAGGCTTTTTCAGATTTCAGTAATATTGTTAATATTTAGAAATTGGAATTTGCTTCTTACGTTTTTTCGTTACTGGTTTATTATATCTAGTGGCTCTCCCCGAGTGTTTTACGAACAGCTTCCGACAACAACGAGATCGGATCGAAACGTTCCGATATTCGGTTCCGATGTTTGTCTGCTCGACTATTTCGATTTTCGAGTGATTTCGTGCTCTGGAAACATGGCGGGAAGAATTTGCTGTAAATTTGTGCAAAAATAACGAGCACTTAAATGAAACACAAAATAGATACGATACATAAATTCTATGGAGAACTACATAAGTGATTCATAAGTGCATTATATGTGCTGAGAACACCACGCGAAAGGTATACCGTTGTGTGTTGTATCTGTATCATAGGTCACATGTCATCGTTTGTGTTATATTTATGTGTATTTATATGGAAAATAGCATTTCGTTGCATAAGAAGAAAGATATTCTTTGTTTGCCAAATTCTGACATTCTCATACTGTTATTGCAGTATTATTTTGCCTTTGTGTATTTTGTTTTCCCATTATTTTGGATAAAATGATGTGGTCACGCTTGAATAATTTGTCCTCATGAACATATGACTTTACTGGTTTAATAGAGTATGGATTCAGATTACAAGCCCCGAGGGGAATATTTATTAGCAGAATTTGGCCACTGCCAGCTGTTGAACTGTTGATTAGTATTTAGTTTATACCCAGGATTATTGACAATGAAGTGGAAAAAAACCTATTTTTCATCCAGTTTTACAACAGTTTTACAGAGATACAGTACTGCCTATATTTTTTCATTTATACGTGTAACTTTGACTTTAAATAACAAAAAGGAAAACTACAAAATCTTCTAGATATCTAAGCCTCTCTTGAGTTGTTATGCCCAGGAAAGAAAAATCTCTTATTCTCCTCATTTGCAAATTTATTCTGCATAAACACAGTGAAGTGCTTTAGGGGCTGTTCACAAAGTATATTACACTCTTTTGGCCATTTTTTCACATTCCCCCTACCTGTGACTCTGTGTGATAATCACTAATATACTAATGTCAATGATTATGTGATGCTGAGCTATTGTACAGTCTGTACTGTATATATCCCTTGCCTATCCACTGTTCTAATAGTACACTTACTACACTAAAATAGTACACATCCATTCACACACAATATAAGATGCCTCATAATAGTCGTAATGCCTAACAAGAGTTGAAAAACATTGCAACCAGCATTATTCATGGTATGACCTCTAGAGTTGATTTGAACAATAAACAAACAATTATTCTGCAACTTTGTCACCAACTAATTCTCACCTCTTGTCACTTTACATCACCAGTGTCAGCCCCCCACTAACTATGATACCCTCTCAAAAAAATCCTCCTCCACCCCTCAGAGAGGTGTGTATTTTTTGAACAACCCTATGTGTAAATTATGCAAGTCTCTGATGAATGCACTTTGCTATTAATGAATGTTCATTTTGGTGTGTGTACTGTAACATTCACCCTAATATGTTTTCCTACTAATAGTGCAAGTGATGATGCAGGATGATGGAAGTAAAGGTAAGTAAGATTTTGCCCTATATGGTAAATTAATGATATACAGTTTGTTGTATTATTGTTGCTTGTTCTTTCTAGGTACGTAGGCTGATTGGGTAGTAATATAGTTGTCAAAAAATGTCAATATTCATTATTTTTTAAAAAATTGTAAACGATATATACTGATTGCATTGAAATGATACTGTGGATAGCAAATTTCCAAGACTGAATGAATTGCGGAACTGATATATATACAATGGTAATTGCACTGAGTGGAGTGCAATTTGGTGTAAAATCAAATGCGTGATTACAAAAATGTACGACCGTGAAGTGGGAGTGCGATTGGTGATTACAAGTTTGATTTCACACCAAAATTGCATGAGACGAAATGCAATTTCCACTTTATTATATTTATTTTGAAATCATACAAAAAAGTAAACAAATTCAAAATAATTTATTGGCTGAAAGAACCGAAAATGGTGTAAAAAGTGAGTGATTTTCATCTATTTTTGTCAAGAAAATTTAAAAAATTATTATTTATACTTTTATTATTACAAAATAATAAAATTTTGTGGCATTTCCCCTGTAATTTGATTGGATACAGAAGTTACACTAAAATACTATTTGGGAATTATTCACACTATTTTTAACCAATCAGATTGCAAGAAACACCATTGATTTCAAAATGTAATAAATGGTGTTATTTTCACTATTCTCTTGAGATTTATCATATTGCATGAAACTAGTGCCTTCTAGTTGTTAGTGAAACTGGTCTGCTATGGCATGCTAGTCTTCATGGGGTCATCATTCCATTTTGTAAAGGTCGACCCACTAATATAATCAACTTTTGGTAAAGAAGTCATGCCAGTTTTCCATGTTCTAGGTGATGTTCCAGTTAAGATAACAATCAAGGATGGGAAGAAACCTGCAGAGGTAATTTTAGGATAGGCTAAGATTTTAAACTTTACCGAATACACTATATGCACCTCATCAAACCATAGGTAATTTAGAAATAATCTGATTGGTATTTGCTACCATGAGATAAAATAATACATTTTAATGAACCCTTATGGAAAAAGTTTCCTGTCACAAGACATTTGGATTTTTTCTCTGGTGAACAAAGCTATAGATAATATATGTTATTTAAACTAGAACTTAATCATTGCATATATTTTTAGGTGTTTAGAACTGATTTGATTACTGCAATGAAGATTCCTGATCATCAGCTTGTCACACCTGGTACTTATTTTAATCTCAATGACCCTTGGAAGCAAGAATGGGAAAAGGGTGTTCAGGTTAGGATTGTGTTCCTTACATACTATACATATCTATTAAAAACATCATTTTCTGGCAGTATTGTATCCTTCATCTGTCACATAGTGGAGTAAAGTAGGGTGTTTATGAGGTATTGGGTTATTAGCAGTGCTGGGAATTATGTGGCAGCTCTAGCAGAAATTTTTAACAAGAAAAATTATTCTGGATATTTTTATATCTCACTCGAATTATGTATCAATTTATTGATATTGATTTTTATTGATATTGATATTTTATTTACATATATCATACTTCTAAATTTTCTTTTATATTTGTTGTTCTTATTTTTCAGGTTCCTGTTAATAAGGAGTCCTTACCAAAGCCATCATTTAGGTATGTTTCTATATTGATGCTCAGTGTTTGTTTAGGGAAAGCAGATTGTTGCCAAAAATCTCTATTGTTTGGGGATGTGAAAATAATATAATCATACATGCAATCTACACTTATTATTAGTATTATTATTGTATAGTATACAGTGTATATACCTATTATTATCATTACTGTACAAGAATTATCAGATCTCAGTTACATGTACATGATGAGTTAGTTGGTCAGAAAATATTCAGTACATTATTCATTACTCTACACACTTCATGGTTGCTATGTTAGGTAACCAACATTGCAGTAATCAAATATATATGTTGTATTTGTTTACAGTTTAACCTAACTCTGCACAGCTAGACATGTACCAATCATGATGTACATTAATTGTTCAAATGGGGTCTATTGTGCCTTTTGTGATGCCTTGTTATATAGAGCTCTCTGCCTCTCTCTATTGTGATTAAATGTTTCGTGGTTGTGCATCAAAACAATATGTAGACATGATAAAAAAACACTTTGGGTATGGATTAACAACCAAGGAGTAACAACCAGGACACCTGCAATGTTGTCCTTTTTAAAACGATATACTATAACTATACTACAACACCTTATCTATGTTCATTCAGATTTTTATTATTTATTTAGTGTTGCCAAGTCAAACAAGATTTCACCAGCAGAGTTTAGAATGTAAGTATTGGATTTCACCCGGCTTCGATTTAATCAGCTGTGCGTATATTACTTCTCGCGTGCATGCTTCTTCTCATTTGTGCATACACACAATGTGTTAGAAAACGCCTGAACAATACTGTATGTGGATTTTAAAGGCCTCATAAATTGTTGAAATATGGATCGAAGAAAGAAAACCAGAGACTTCAATCATATGATTTGGATGATGAGGATATGGAGTGGCTAAAAACTTTAAATAATTCAAGGAAGAATAAAGGTAATGTTCGAGTCCGTTCACACGCTATAGTTTACGCAAAAGTTCTAGTCTCCAAAATTTTTGCACCAACTGAGCCCCATCTCTGGTCGACATTAACGATATATTTACTGCAAATTCTGTATTTTCTACAGGGCTTGAACTTCTTGATGAATTGACAATGGAAAATGCTATTGGATGTTTGGAGGACCAGGTAATGTGTAGGATCCAGTATGTTGTACTTGTGCTGCCAGTTGAAATATAAAGACTTGGCGAAAGCTCATGCAATCGACGTAACTGATCAGACTACAAGGTTTCTTCTGTCTGCGAGTTCTCACGCTTAAGCTTGGTTTCCATTTGACGCCGACGTCGGCAAAGTATTATTGTCGAGGATTATTAAAGAAATAAGTCTTTTGCATTTCTGAAATCATTTTCTCATTGGATGATTACAGACAGTGAGTCGGCTACAGTTTGGTGTCATATTGGAAACCAGGCTTAACTGTACTTTTGTGAAGTCATCTCGTGAAAACACGATGTCACAATATCCTTTTTATTAAACTTTATATAGTGTTATACCAATATGGGGGAGACCATTTCCACAGCGAAAGGACTGAGCATAGAGTATGATGAGGACATAGCTTGTGATATTTGTAGATCGGTACGTAAGCGCCTGCACTGATTTTCATCCACTTTATTAATTTCCATTTCCCCCTCATGCAAAGCCATTATAAAAAATAATACCCATACCCCGTTTTTGTTGTTTTTTGATTGCGTGTGTCACAGATTTTATTGCTTTAAATTATTGCTTTAATGCCTTAAAGGGAGAATGTCTTTAATGCCGTAGTTATGTTGGGCGCAAAATTGATGTCGCGACAACAAAACATGAAGCTAAGAACTTTGCAGCTTCAATCACTGTTGTTGGAAATACCCTCTAATAGTCATTCTATTATCATTGTAGCCAGATTGCGAAGAAGGCAACGAGATCTTGTTTTGGATGTATGTGATGTAGCTGTTCATCAGGCTTGCTATGGAGTGCAGAAAGTACCTATTGGTAGTTGGGTTTGTAAGCCATGCACACAACTATTAGCCGATAGTTCATGTTTGCTTTGCTCAACACGTGGAGGCGCTATGAAGAAGACAAAAACGAAGTGAGTCATTCTGCTATCTTTATTAAACTTATCCACAAAGGTGATAGAGTTGGACTGGACTTTCCAAAAGCAGGTTGAGGCAATGAGAAAGAGATCTCCCCTTTTATGAAAAGAGCGCGCTGCTGAGTTAGGTGTACTAAATTAGACCTATGTTTATAGTCGAGTAAACACACTTGTGATTGGGTATATGTTGTTCATCACAGAGTTTCACATAATTTTTCCTTTTTCATAGGGAAGGGGAGGGATGGGTGCATATGAGCTGTGCACTGTGGATTCCGGAGGTTAAAATCGGGAATGTCGAGAAAATGGAACCTATCACAAGAATTGAAACTATTATTGTAAGCTTAAAAGCTGCATATCTACTGGAGCTAGTGATACCCGTCTGGGCATGAAATAATTACTTCTTTCCTTTTCAGCCTGGGAGGTGGAACTTGTTATGCCACATATGCAGAGAGAGACAAGGGGCGTGCATACAATGCTCGGTGAGTAACTGTCACACAATGTTCTCTGGCAAAAGGTATAGGAATATAAGTACAATCCAGAATGTAATAGCACAGTTCAAATTTTCACTTTGTTTTCAGGTAAAGTCGTGCGTTACCGCTTTTCATGTCACGTGTGGTTTTGATAATGGTTTACATATGCAGACTGTGTGGGATGACTCTGCACCTGATGGGGTCAAGCACGTGGTAGGATTTCAATATTTTCAATATCGTTGTTAGTACCGCTGATCTGATAAAGCAACTTTTCCCATTAAGAACAAAATTTAACTGATGTGACAATACTCTAGATATAATGTAGCAACTATACCTACGAAAATCGAAGCCAGAATAATGAACCTCCGGAACCCAATCTTAAAGTCGTGCGCGACGCCCACAGGGTAGTGTTTTTCTCCATTCTTGGTCTCCAGAAGTGCATTAATTCTCGCTCGATTTTCATAATATAGTTGCTATATCCAATGTATTATAACATCGGTTGTTAGAATTAGAGCCACTGTATATATTGCGTGCAACCTCCCCATATTGTTTTGTGGCTGTTTATTTATTTCAAAATTATGTTTTTCTTCCTAAATCTTTCCTCTCTTTCCTAATTTTCTAGTGTTATTGTACAAAACATACTGAAAAGCGAAGTTGTAGATCGCCATGCAAGTCACCCTCTTCCATTCAGACACCACCCAAATCACCCAAGAATTCCTCCCCATGCACAACGCCATCAAAGTCCTCATCAACATTTAGAGCCCAAGTACAGGAAGAACGAGATAATCTTCGCCAAAATAGGTAAGCTTTGTTCTAAACAAGCGGTCATGACATTTGATATCACTGAGATCAAATCACTCAATAATTCTCTCAATAATACGTGTTGAAAACTTATGTTCTAATGAAAATTTGATTCTGAAGCTTGTTACATCAATCTGAATTTATACAGTACATGTACTGGATCTTTTTTTTTCATCTCCATTCTGCTTTTTGTATCATGTCAGGCTGCGTGGAATGGAAGAGGAGTTCTACAAATATGCGGATATACAAGATCTTGCTAAGGATTTGAACATTACTAAAGAATTAGCAACCTCATTGTATCGTTATTGGACTTTAAAAAGAAAGGTAATTTTCATGATTCGCATACGTATAGTTTTATTGTAAATTATACTTTTTACACCATACTGTACAATATATCAATTGGCAAGGAATGATAATATCTCTTGAAATATACTTTATTTCGGCTTTAAATTTATGTCAGAGCTATAGTTCTTATATAAACTAAATATAATCACAAAATTTCGACCATTTCCGTAAATAACTATAATTGATGAAATAATGCAGAATGGTTTTCTATTTCGACAACCCTTCTGAGCGCTGATTTGCTATAATATATGCCTGAGCGCGGGATCACCTGGATGCAACTCGTAATGAATATCTACTAATTCTTCCTTCTTTGTTGTTTTCATAGTCGCGAGAAGACGCTGCTTTGCTTTCCCCAACAGCTGAACAGCAAGAACTTTTGAGTGGCCGGCAGGTAGTTTAAAAAAATTTTACCTTTAAAAGTTAACAACAACGGCACTATGAAACTCATGTCTGGTAATGTCATTGAATTTGTGACCGTTCGAGTTTTTCAATTGTCTTTTTCCAAGGAAAAATTATTACAATAAATATAATTTCTAATCTATATAGCAAATAAATCGTATAATAGTATCATCATTAGTATTGCCAAGCCATTTACAACAATATCACAGTAAGGATGTGATATTAAGATTGATATGTGAACAAAGCATCTAATTGCCTACAAAAATATACGAGTTGTTCTGAAATCGAAAGTGTTATTGCTCACCGTAGTTGTGTTTCGGTCGTTATACCTTAGGAGAAAAAGGATAACCCTTACCGAAATGTGCATAACCTATTAGAGACCCATGTCCCCATGCACCTATAGATTCTCATTATTTATACTCTAGGACACATTATATCGCATGCATGCACTTTATGTGTATTTTGCGCGTATCGACTATTATACTATTTTAACGAGGCGAAATTACGGGTGCAGTGAATGTTTAACTTCTTTCAATGTAGATTAAACCATTCCAGAAGGCAACGATGGAGGTTGAACGAGTGGTACGATTACGACAAGACCTTGAAAGAGTAAGTCAATGACAAGCACAATATATAAAAACTGAACATGTTGTTCGTGACGAGTAAAGATTATACTTTTTCTGACCTGAGAGCCCTGGCTGACGTGAAGGTTTCATTCAGTCATCTTTTTGAGCAGTTATTTAATCGTCAAGAAGCCGGTTGTATTTCTATGTGTAGGTAGTTCACTTTTAACTTTAGTTACCGGCGAAAATAGCCAGTCAAAACCGTGTATTTTAAAGTAAGCTACGTTTTAACCCAAAATTTATTCAAGAGGCCTATGCAAGATGTTAAAAGTCTTGCAAATGCGAATGAAACCCCGAAAATTGAAACCTCGTCAACTCATGTACTTCCATCATTAATTGAGTTCAATGACATCATGGATAATAAAATGAAATCTACATTTTTTTATCCATGATGACATGCATGCATATAACGTCATAACTAGTCATGATATATATATATATATATAGGCACCATCTTGGTTGAATCTTCAAAGTTTAAGGCTTCTGCTTTTCAATCAAGATGGTGGCGATTAAATTCAACGAATTAAAAAATATAGTTGCATTTTTTTGTATAAAATAGTGTTAGAACAGTTTTGGTTCCTAAATTGGTTTCATGCAAAACACTACGGAACTCTTTGTTTCAGATTCGTAACTTGTGTTATATGGTTGAAAAACGCGAAAAAATGAAGAGAGAGCTAACAGCAACGCGTGAAGTAGTGTTTCGCAAAGAACTCGAAGTGGTCGCTGATGTGTCGGGTAAAATGAGTTTGGAAGATATCCAATGGGCACGCTCTTGTTGCGTGAAAAATTTCACCGAATACGAGGTACTGCAGAAACTGGATTTGCGGTGTCCAGAAAAGCCAAAGATTTATAAAAAACGTGGCAGGAAACCTAAAAGAAGAATAATAAAGCGAAATAAAGACAGATATGTTCCAACTGCGAGCCAGGCTAATGCTGCTCCCACGAGTGAATATAGCGGAGAATGTGACAGAAGCGAACTTGTTAATCGGAGCAATGAATATGCACACGGTTCCAGTGATGTTTTAAGTGATGATTTAGATATTAATGATACAACATCCGCTGAGGAATTACACATGAAGAAAACGTCATCACGCAGCAATATATTACCTGTTAACTCTGTAAATAACCTTTCTGCACGCCCAGGGTTCTCAAGAAATGAGTGTTTGTCATCTGACTCAGATTTCGAAGATGGGTTGGCTAGGAAGGAAAGGCGACGACCTTCTACAAGACAACTGCGAAGGCGCAAGTTATCAAAATCTAGGAGAGATGCAGTTGGTCAAACTAGTGATGCCGAGTCCACTCCTAGTTTATCACCTGTTCCATCAAAAATCATTTTGAATGGTTTAAATCTGAGCGCTCGTGTAAATTTGCCAGAAATGAAGAACGAATTGAGTCGGCTTTGTAGCATCACCAACAACAGCGCAAATGGGCATTTTAAACAAAAAAGAAAAAGATTGTTTAGTGAACTGTCTGAGGAATGCAACGAATTTGAATCATCACGGACACCAAGATCAAATGTTCCTAGCGAACATTTGAACGATAACATGAAAACCGTCAATGAAGTTTTTGACACAGAAAGCAACGAGGAAGGAATTAATAAACCAAATTCGTCGTGTAATCGTAAGAGTCAATCAGAGGAAGACGGCAAATTGGAGGTTCGTTTGACAAGATCGAGAAGCCGTTCATCGTGCCCCGGTTCTCCAAAGGCTACACCTGAACAAGGCGAGGTCTTAGGTACTTTGCAGTCGGACACCAACAGTGTTGGTCCGGAGGTTTTACGAACAAGGTCGACATCAACCATTCCAGCGATTAATGGCGTTTTGTGTATCGCAAAAAACAAAGAAAAGAACGAGAAGAACATGGAAAGTCACAATAGTCTTTCAAAGGATACCAATGTCTCGGATGTCTCATCACGAACTAGATCGCGTAGTAATACAATGGATTCATCCCCGGTAAAGAATGACATTGATGTCTCCAACATATTGACATCTCAAATCAATGAATCAAATTTTAAGCAGGATATTGTTGTAAAGGAAGTAATCCCTAAAAGTTGTAGAACTCTCAGGCGTCAGACAAGGCTATCGAATGACTTGGGTACTTCAAATGGGAAATTGTATAGTCCGAGCAAATGTTCGAGATTTTTTGGTAAATTGCGGCATGCGGCAACAACTAGTGCGTAAGCTTCGTGACTAATATTGTAACCTTTTAAAAGTTGCGCTAAACAGTTCAAAATTTGTTAGTGTTTTTATAGTCAATAAAATTTACTGTTTAAGAGTGCGTGTGCCTGGCATACAAGATAATGCGAAGAGATGTCGAAGAATGAGGTGTAGTCCTTGCGAAGTGTTTAATTAATCCCAGTCAGCTATAGTTAAGCTAAACTGCCGATAAAAAATGGATTTAAGTAACTTTATTATATTCATTTTTCCCTTAAATAGATTTAATGTATGATGAATGCATCGTCTACAACATGCTCGATCATTTGTTGCAAAACAATACCCCAAAAATAACTCCATCGTATTCAAAGCTCGTAAATTTTTCTTTTATCCAAATTCGGCGTACTATAAAAATACTGCATGATTATATACTGCGTACTTTTTAACGGTGGAAGTCTTTGCTTTTATAAAAAGTTCAAATATGTTCACAATTTGTATACCTTAATTTAGCATTTGTTTCGAAGTCGTGAATTTATAATTGAAACATTTAAAATCGTTTAGGTATCGTTTGTATAATGAAATGTAATCATCAACTGCAATGTTTTGGAAAAAACCTTCAATTTCCTTCTTGGTTATTGGGTTACCGTAGTGAGACTGCTTCCTGGGAAATGTAACGCTTTTTGATGCATGTAATCTCGCCAGGAGTGCGTTTATATCAAAGTCCAGGTTTTCGAAAGAGCCGATAAAATCATAGTTGATGTGACACGGTTGGCAAAGCTCGTACATGGGCATCCAGTGTTCGTTCATGGTTTGTAAATCATTGTTTTTGTCTATCAAATACTTTACGAATTCCTGAAATGCAACGTCGTCCCCTTTCACCTCGTTTATCGGAATACTCGGTTTTCGGTATTTTCGTACAATGTCTTTACCAATCCTTATCTGAAACTGCACGTTTTTGCCATGAAATTTGTTCCGATAAGCGGAGACCATTCGTACGAAGGGATTACGTACAAATAAAAACTTGAAGTAAGTATCCAACATGTGTTTTCTGTCTTGTGGGGAAACGTCGCCCAGGAATTCGAAGCCACGTTGATCAAAGTATCTTATAGCATTACTGTCCTCTGTGAAATTTTGTAAAGTCAATATGAGTCGTTTCATATTCGACGAGGCTACCTTGGGAATGTAGCAGTAGAGAAGTTTGTTTTTCCTGTCCACGATGACGTGTTTCAATACATTTTTTAATTCTTGCGCAGAGAGACTGGTGGGTCGACAGCATTTTTGCAATGCGTACTTTCTTGCTTCTCTTTCAAACTAAAAAGACAGTGATTGACTGGAGAGGATGTAAATAATGTTCACACTTTTAGTTTCTAACTAACGATTTAAATACTTGTATTTTGAATGACGGTTTTCGGTGGGAGTGGGATTTGGTGCGATCGCCGAACCCGAAAACAACTTTCTAACAATCGTATATAGCTGAAAAAAGTGTTTCGTAAGCGTTCGTATCTTGTATCGTTCCGTTCGAATAGCGACACTTGGTTAAAGTTAAAGTTTTTTTAAGTTTCTGCTTGCCTACGTTCAGTAAGGCATTCACTATTCAGCAACGTAGGTACGGATTTACGACCAGTTGCGTGACACGAAATAATGTAATATCAGCCTCGTCCCAGGCGCTTTAATAGTAAAAGAAATAATATGAGTGTGTGTCGCTGTGAATTATTTCTGTAATTCTAAAGTGGGAGCGTAGAATTCTTGTATCATGCATGACCTACCTTTGCCGTTTTAAGCCTCAACCCTGTATTTGCTTTTTCAGGCTCTGAAAAAGACAACATTTCTCTCTAATAAAAACATTGAAGTAAGATTGCACCTTGGGTACGATATTGCGTTTGGATATATTTAACCATGTGATTTACACCATATGATTGGTCGGTCTGTGCATTCATATTCTGAACAATGTGACAGTATATAGAATATATTTTATACTGTGACGATCGATGTTCAAGGACTCAAGTTGATTGATAAATGATTTAAATTTAATAAGTCAAAATTAAATAACACTCTCTTGAATGAGTCAGCTTGAATATTATGCTCGAATGTGTAGTTGTAAACTTTGGACTTCATACAATACTGCCCCAGGGGCCGGTCGTTCGAAAGGCGTTTAGCTTTAAACGGTGGTTTAATTCAAAATGGAAAACAAAATTATCTATTTATTGAACAACTGAGCTGAAATATTTCTATGTAAATAGCTTAATTTTTAACGGAAGTACATAAATTATTTAATGAGAAAGATTGCAGCTTTAGTCATTCACAAGATGTATGAGAGTATTTTTTAACTTTGGCTTATCCACCGTTCAAGCTAAACGCCTTTCGAACAACCGCCCCCAGACTGCTGAAAATCAAACAACTCTATATTGACAAAGTTTGAATTATATAGCAACAGTGCTGGGCACAATAGCTCCTCATGTTTCGCTGATGTTTTCCTTTCAACATCTTCCTTTTATTTTCTTTTTTCTTTTCTGGTATTGTTTTGCCAAAATCATGCAAATCATGCTTTATGATTAGAGGGGAAATAGTTTACAATAGTTTTCAATGATTTTCATATAGTGTACAATTAAAGCCTAAAGGGGAAAAATAAAGTTTGTCTTCGGCGCATTGCATAACAGTACCAGTGCAACCTGTGCCAGGGACAGAGCAAGATAAATTTTAAAAAGTTAATCGTTTTGTCTGGCTGTCGATAAAAGATTCAAAATTGCTAACCAAACAAACCAGAAATATGAATGTTCCCTGCTTATGCTTATGAGCTAAGTTGACCATGTATGATAGACACGCATGGCGACTCCTCGTAGGCAAGTGAAAAATACAAACTTTATGTTACCAGGCCAACATTATCAACAAGCATGTTTTGAAAAGATTATTTAGTGAATAGGTTCGCTTTGGGGTGCACTAAACGAAATAACTAGTATATCGGTAAACGAAATAACTATTATACCACTTTGTATTATTATACTATTTGAGCTTGTCTGCGACCCGTAGGTCAACCCTTATACTATATTCACTTAGTCTGCGACCCGTTAACAAGTTTGGCAAGCCGAACATAGACATGATTTTTGGTAGCATTTCTACCCCATAGGTAACCTTGTTTCCGCTGAATAATCATTTGCATTTGTTATAGCAACCAAATCGGCAAATCCCAGGCATCACTAAAAAGTGAATATCATAGTTTGATTGTTTGATTACAGCTTGTGACAAGAAGTTGTTTTTAGGATACACATATATTTCAAAATGCTTTGATTTTCATTTGTCATAAGCAAACCCAACATGGTTGGAAATCACGGTCGCCGTTGCGTGATTCTAGACGTTATAAACGATATAAACTAACCGCGATAGTAAGAATGTCCATTGTTTTACCTTGATTCGTATACAGATTTCGGTCCAAAATTTCGTAAAAACAACTACGCCTTCCAAACCAGTATCCTGTAAACGTAAATATCAATAGAAGAAATATTACAAACCATTGACAATATTGTCGACGCATTGTGCCAAAATTCAGATATTTTTGAAATACAATACGATCTAATAGCTGATGAGAAATGAAATATGAAACCATAGGTCCACATAGCCATAGGCATAGCACATGCTTGGTTGTGTTGGACATGCAACTCAGTGATCTACTACATAGTATCTGTATTCTGCATGTAATTATTTCTTTCCAACGATCGATATCTGCCTATGGTTTGTCAGACGTTTATGCTCATTTATGTTTTGGGAGAATGGCACATTAGTGACATGCATTACTCCTAATTTTTCCGCGGCAAACTAAAATATGGTCTTTTACATGTATTTTGGTATGACTTAGCATCAAAAGTGTTATAGGCCTAGGAACTGCCTAAAATAGACAAAACACTTCTCGACGTTTCGACCTGAGGGCCTTCGTTAGTTTAGTTTAGGCAGCTGTTATACCACATTAATACCGTATAAACTCTCCTGACGAAGGCCCCCAGGTCGAAACGTCGAGAAGTGCATTTTTTCTATTTTAGGCAGTTGTTATACCACATTTGATGCTAAGTTGTTTGAAGACGCTGCCACGCTGCTCCCTGGTTATATTTTGGTATAGTTTTATTGTTTAAGCTTGATTTACAACAATGTAGAAGACACAACATACGTATGAAGGAACGATAAATTATGTTTTTATGCAAATTTCTATAGTTAAATCCAGTGGGTAGTTTGTATTTTGTTGCGCTTAAAGTTATAGGCATAGGGAAAGTAAGTCGCGAACTCGTCGTATAAACAATAGAAAATACGTTCGCATCTTAGATAAGACGGGCTTGGCACACTCGTATAAACGGACAGTTCTGTCCTGACGTCTTTTCCCTCGTATAAACAAACATATATATATAGATATAGTTATACTCGGAAGACTATCGGATTGCCTCTCAGTATGCAGCCCTTTCATCGAAAAACCTGTTTTCATATAGGTAAATCTAAAGCAATTATGACGTTTTTTGCCTTTATGCAAACATTCTTTATTCTTTATTAGTGCTGAAAAATTAGGTGCTGGCTGGTTTTAGCACTGGTATAGATTTGGTGCTAGAGCGATCACTGCAGTTTTACCAAATAATTTATCACGTTTAATCATATCTTGTCTCAATCTCGTTTTGTTAAACCTCCCACTTCCACCCTATACCTATTTTTATTCTTGCGTGTCGATTCTGAATTCGCTTTTTCATTACGAAATCATTACTTTAGATAAATTTCAAGAACCCATGCAGTAAAACTAAAAGCAATATATATATATATATATACACCGGTTTGTATAAACATATTATAAAAATCTTTCCGTACGAAAACCCAGCTAGTAAGGAACCTTTTCCACGACCTATAGTACTGAAGTGAAACCGAATCCGGAAAAAAAACTCTGATCAGTCTTTCCATGCACGATTGCCAAAGTAGAACTGTAGAAGAACGCGATAAGTTTGTCTTCCCGTAACTTGTTTTAATTCTTAATTGTTCTACAATTATTATTGTATTTATCTTCACATCTAATCAAACATTGTCATAGTTACAAACATTGAAAATACATATTTTTAAAACTTATTACGTGATACATATATTTTGGTATTATATAAATCAATGGGGGGTGAAATTCTCGTGAGAACAAGACGCATTATAAAGGCATATAAATGTATATAAATGGGAATATATATATAAAGGCATATAAATGTATATAAATGTATATAAATGTATATGTATATCATACATACACTAGTCACTATGACTATAAAAAATGATGCAAGGTGACAACCAAAAAATACCTTCTTTGACTTTGAAATGAAGCTTTTGTTGGAGTTTGAATTATGCATTATTATTCAGTATGCCAAACCCCGTCAAGCTAATTCGATTAATGGCATTTTTTGTCTCGCAAAAAAAGAACCGAAAGAGAATGCGTCCCAATGAACCAAGTCACGATTACCATTATACAATTCCGAAAAGTACAATTAGTATACTCATTCTTATACTTATGAGTCAAGTTGATTACGTATTATAGACACGCATGGCGACTCCTCATGAACGTTCAAGTGAAAATACAAACTTTATGTTACCGGGCCAACCTAATCAACAAACATGTTTTTGAAAAGACTAACTTAGACCCTTAAGTGAATAGGTTCGCTATGGCCATGGGGTGCATCAAACGAAATAACTAGTATATCGGCAATTAATGATTATTCTTCTCTACTTCAGAAAAGATGGCAGATTATTAGACACGAACACTGATTAAGGCCTAGATTAAACGTAGCATTTTGGTCGCGTCGAATGCAATTCAAACAATAGATAATGAGATGGTAAACCTGATTAAGCTTCATTATCATCTCATTGCCTATTATTTGAATTGCATTCGACGCGACCAAAATGTGACGTTTAACCTAGGCCTAAGTAAAACGAGGTTATTTAGAAAGCATTTATACAGGGTGAGTAAAAAAACTGACACCTTTGAAATTCAATTCCGGCTGTAATGTGACAGAAGTTGCCTAAAATATCTCAAAAAACATAAAGTTTGTTCCCTTTAGGAGTTAAAATGCATTCTAAGCTCAATAAAGCCCTGTAAATACAAAAGAACAGTTTTATCAAATCGTTTTTCTAGCACACGCGCCACGTTGAATTAATTCAATTGGTTTTAAACCTTAAACACTTTCGCATTAATTAACCACGTCCTGTTGATTGTACACATGGGAATTGTCCAATTCCAGCCATAATTTCGCGGCTAATTTGAATTTCAAAGGTGTCAGATTTTTTTGACTCACCCTGTATAAGCTGGACTCCTTATGCCACGAAAATATTTTTTCCTATAAACAAACGCAGCAAGTTAGTCAACTAAGTCATCCAGCCAAACAACCCTTTTAACTGAAATTCTTATCTTTCTCACATGCAGCATTACTTTTTTTTTACTCGTATAATACCGGAAAGATTGTTCTGGATTTCTCGAGGCTGTGTTTGCTTTGTCGCTTAGTAATCATAAATTATGCGTTTCTCGCGAAATCACCAATTGTTCTAGCCGCAATCATCGACCATGCTAAACATAATTAACTAAGTGAATCTTGAGAACGGTCGCCTGCACTGCCGGGTCAGGAAGAGGTGATCAATTTTTAAGAACTTTGACAATGTGGGGATTATGGTGCGTGGTGATTTACTTCGGAGTTCTAACTAATACAGGTACGTTTAGAGATTTTATGTTTTATACAATATCGCAAAATCTTCAGTTTAATCATTTATCAGTTTAGATTTATTTACTTGAAAGTATCGAGGCAATTACTGATTACAACTAAAAATGAGACTGGACTTTTCAGTAAGGAGTTGACAATAAGTCTTCTCTGTCATGCTTAATATCAAATGTTATGAAGCCTAATCAGTTGACTCCGTACTTGCCAAAGTCCCGAAATAATGTTTATGATTTGGAAGTATTTGCAACTGCATGATTGCACGCCTTTAGTGTGGATAATTGTAGGCATATAGCTAGGCTAAACCGTGAGAGTTTCAAGTATAGCTATTTCAAACTTCTTGTTCATGCCAGATTGTTCGAGCTATAGCTTATTGCTGTCAGTGATCATGCATGTGGTTGATGTTTCTATTGACCACGTATTGAATTTTGACAACTCTGCTAGTTGTGCAATCCCGTATTTTGTGTGTTCTTTTGACGGAGTATTGGTTATTTCATTTTGTTGGTAGTATTTAGATGCCAAATATATACGTAGCTTCGAGTCTTTCAAATCACTAAACTAAAGCCTAAACATTTAACTCGTAATCTGTAAGGCTATATCGTGGTATATGGCTTTAATAATACCCACTGATTACTGTTGGATGATAGTATAATAAATTATATACAAATTTATAATACTTGCATGCGTGCAAAGGTTATGCATGTCGTTTGAATTGTTTCATTTCCATGCAGTTGACTATATGGACTCGTGCATTTACTTTCTTACAAGCCAATACCCCATTGTTAACGTTTACTATGATTTACTTGTTAAATTATTTTTCTTATATGTTTCCCTATATAGTTTTGGGGCAGTTAGGGATTTACGAAGGCAGTGCCACCGGACATGGAGATGTCGCGAAAGGTACAAGACTTCATAGGGAGATTGTCTTAAATTTTTTTGTTTATTTCTGTTTGCTTGGTATCATGGTGTTTCGTTTGTTACAGGCTGCATGGCAACGCTAGAAGGGGTATACGGGTGAAAAATATATTTGGCGACTAGCCCAACACTGAGTTTACAATAGTGCACCGCAAAGCCATATAGAGCGCTACGAGGCGGGAGGAGGGGGGGAGTCAATTGGGGAGGTGGTAGTTGTCCCCCGCAGAAATATTTGAATGTAGAAAAGTTAGACAAATTCGGACAACTTTTGCCAGAATCAGTGTGATAGGTCGGGCATTTCTTGTTCTCTTGACTTAATATTTGCTGAAATAATTTGTCTGCTTCCTCCCCAAAAAACAATTCAGCCCGTACGTGGTTCTATAATCTGTGAATTTAAATATTGCCAGAGTTCGTTGCTATACTAAAAGGACAATAGCTTAAAAAAGCGATCAAATTTTTTTCCAGAAAGGTTTGTTGAGTCTTCAAATGATCCAATTTTACCAGTTGACGCACAAGAGTATGGTGAATGCGTGCCGAAAAGTTTTCCAGGATTACCGTTTAATATGAGGGGAAAGTTATTTACAGAAATGTTTGTAAGTATATTGTAGTCTTGGATTAGGTATTCACATTTTAAAGTTTACGTGCATCAGAGAGTCAGGTGTGAATTTCACCATTTTAGAATAATGTATATGAGGAGTGTGAAGTTATTATACTACATCGATTAAATCAATATCGTTTCTCAGGGATCCCACTATTCCTCGAACGCAAGATCGATCTTTCCGATGCCTTTTCTTTGACGTTTGACAGCAGCAAAAGTTTTTATTAACAATTTATTAGTTTTTAACAGCACCACTACTCGAATACTACTCATGAATACACTATCGTTTCTTACCAGATTTGTCCGAACGGTTTTGTTAGTTTGAGTGATCCCAACATGCAAAATTGGCCATTTACTATTGGAACGCTGGACACACAGAGAGACTCTGCATTCATTGCTCCCTACTGGTCAAGGGTTGACCTACCAGCTTTCACCTCGGGGAATTCCAGAGTACGCTACAATGACTATCATAAGGATTTCAGCTATGACGAGAACGTTTTTACTAAAGTTAACGAAGACGTTAGAAAGTTTAATAAGAATGATAGTTTTGAGGCAACCTGGGTTTCTGTTATCACGTGGGAAGACGTTCAACCGTTTGATGCAGGAACATTTGGCGGGGTAAGCATAATGACGTTGAGATGTTCCTCGTCATTACTTTTTTCAATTTCAAATGCAAAATGTAAACCCGAATCTGAGTAAGTTGTTCATTGTGAGTAAATTTTCTTGAGGACAAAAAAGGAGAACAATTTTCTTACAAAATCACATTCGCATGGTCTAATTATATCTTTAAAAAGGGTTGGATTCATATCAACTCTAAAAAATTTGCTTGTGCAGAGGCGGTCCTGTAAAATTGATTGCACTGTTTTATGTGGCTTTTATAGAAAAATACATTTCAAGCGGTGTTTGTATCGAATGAAACAAGTTGGTACCTCATGTATAATTATGGCGATATGGACTGGGCAGTTCGTGCCCCAAGGTTAGTATACCATACGGTATAGAAATGTATGTTAAATACGTCACCTAATTACGACTTTATTGTAAGATAGGATGCAGTTGGGTTATCAGTCAAATAATCAGGAATGTGCTTTCACCACTTTTAGGGCGGATTACACTCGATATCAAAATCAAGCTGGTTTACCAGTTATGGGTTGGAATGCAGGAGCTGTTGGATTTGACTACTTGGCGAAGCAACAATATGAAAATTTGCCCTAGTAAGAAAGTTCACTTGCTTTTCGTATCTGTGATTCGTTTGCGACTATAATAGGAAAGTTGAATGTTTAATTCGTACCTATGTATGGAGTTATTTAATTTAGGATAATTTCGAATTAGTCATTGGTTATTGCCTGTTTATAAATTCTACATCAACATTTAAGTTGCTAACTTGCTGTTCTCATAAAATTCGCTAAGCAAAAATAAAAAATAATTTCAACAATCTATTTTCATAGTGAGTTGACACACGATTACACATTGTTTTTTTCTGCAGTTCTGGTACAGTAAACGCCGAGTTAATTGATGATAACATTGAAGGCCAAATCGGCACTGGACAATGGATTTTTAATGTTGGTCAAACCGAGCAGTTAACGGCAGACTTACAGTGTTACCAATGGTATGAAAAACGATCCAAGGTCCCTGTGGTTCCTAAACGACAATTGAGCTGTCCATCTTACTTCGATTTGGCATCGCTTGACGATCGATTTAACAAAGAAGCAGCAACAGAGACTAGCGAACGGGTTTGTTTTATCAATGTTTTACCGAAAAACGGCTCTGCTGTTCGATGCTGCTATGGAAAAGACCAGGGTGCTAGTCTAATCACGTCAATGCCACTGGCCGGAAGTGCCCTAACTAAGAACCCCCTATACTTTGAAACCGATGACTTATACGGACATACAAAATGCTGTATTGAATCTAACAGATGTAAAGCATATTACAGTTTACTTCCTATTGAGACTGCAGGGTCATATGAAGCACCACATTGGGGTAGGTACCACTAAACCAATACATAGTCGTGAAACTGTCGGGCTTGCAGGCTAAATTTGCGTCAGATATCCTATACTTTACCTGCAGTAATAATCGGTGTAAATCTATCATTTTCCCTTTATTCCTTATAGCTTGGGGATATGGAGATCCACACTATGACAATATGGACCGCATGAACTACACATTCAATGGTTGTGGTGATTACATGTTCTTAGATACAGATGATAGTTCCGTTCAAATTCAAGTGAGCTTCAGGCAGGCCACTGGAGCTGGCCTTGGTACGGTGATATCCGCTGTCATACTTAATCTGGCTGGAGTTAGTCCAATCCAAATTAATTTAAAGTCAAATGGTATGTATATAAGCATAGAATATTATGCAGTTGCAGGGCTATGAATTTTCATGTTTGGTCGATTACCATGCATAATCAATATCAATATCGGTAATATAATATTATATAATGATATTTTCATAATATATAATATTATTTTTGCCGCCACAAGAACATAAACCTATGTGCTCTGTTATATTATATGTTTTTGACTTATATAGTGGGAAACCGCGGAAGCCATTATGGTTATAACCATTTGCAAATTTCAAACATCAATTTTTTCGATATTTTTTTTTGTTATTTGAAATGCCGAAGCGATGATACATCGCCATCAAAACATCAATCAAAAGGCAATAAAAGAATCTGGTATAATAACTTTTGCTTTCATTTTTTAAAGGAGGGTTGCTATTTCTTGTCAACGGAATTGAGTACTCTGGTGCAAGTAGTTTTGGAACGACACCAACTATAATAGAGGACAGTGTTTCGGTTACGAAACCTGTTGAAAATCAGTTATTACTAACGTCTAGCAGTGGAACCGGGATTACAATCAGAGACGAGAAAAATCATCTTGTAGTCACCATTGTTTTAGAAAGGGGCCTTTTTGGTAAAACCAAAGGTTTGCTAGGAAACTGGAGCGAAAATACAGACGATGATTGGTTACTTCCGGATGGAACAATCCTGACACCACCACTGACCGATAAACAAATTCATTTTGACTTCGGAGAAAAATGTAAGCTCTTGGACTTTCGTCGTTGATAATTAAAGAGCATTGACTCGTGGATAAGCTATCAATCGCGCGCACAACTAAGCCTTTTTTGTTTGTTCTAGGGAGGTTGAGTGATTCAGATAATCTGTTTGTGAATACTTCGGTGGATAGTGATTTTTTCTGCAGGAACGACTACATGCCCATTTTTGCGAACAACGTTACGTTTCCAAATGAAACGCTTAAAGCTGCCGCGGAAGAGATTTGTGGCAATGATATGAATTGCCTCTTCGATATTGCTGCTACTTTAAGTACGACATTTGGACAGACAACGAAAAACAGTTCTGCTGCTTTACAAAGTGATAACAAAATCATTGGTACGAACATGCAGTTTAAAGTATACCATTGTATTTTATTAGTGAGTTCACTCAGCGTTTAACGCCAGATGAGCTGGATCAAAAAGATATTTTTGCTCGTGAACATCAACTCTATATAAGACTTTTGTTATTTTAATCTCTTTTAGCGTTTATGATGCGATGTAGCGTAAAATGTTAATCTCAAAATGATTTTGTCTTAGAAAACCTGGCTCCCGTATTTAATGTGGAAGAAGCCGTGTTTAACTTCACATTGGGTTCACTATTTGAATATACCATCACAGCGTCGGATGCAAATGAAGATGCTTTTACTATAAGAGTCGACGGTCTGCCCACAGGCGCGACAGCTGTGCAAACTGGGAACAGTTTAAAGTTTTCATGGTTGCCAAATAATACCAACCCGGTACGTATACTATATTCAATAAACTACGAGACGATAAAAAAAATCGACCATATGTCCGGTTTCGCTATATTATAGACAACAAATGTTCTTTTGTATAGTTCAAAGTGAGCTTCATTGTAACCGACTCAAAGAATGCATCTACATCATTGGTACCTTTAATTAACATGTGCGCATGTCAAAATGGCGGCACTTGTTTCGAAGCTACAAGTACGGGACTGAATGCGCTAACCTTTGACGGTTATGTCCTGCTGGAATGTCGGTGTGCAATTGGCTACGAAGGAAACCTCTGCCAAACAGTAAAGGATTTCTGTGTAACTGAATCTGGTTCACCCTGTCATCCACAAGTGACCTGCACCAATTCCCCAACTGGATACATTTGTGGACCATGTCCCACTGGTTTTGGTGGAGATGGACAAAATTGTTCAGGTATTTCTAAGAATATACAGTGAATTTAAGCTTCTTCAAAAACTCTTCAAGTAGGTCCCAGCAACCGCCTAAGATTAGTAGGATATATTGTATATGACGTTATGACCTATTGTCACATACAATGTTTAATATTCAAACTATATATACAAGTTTCAATAATATGAATGCCTCGACAACAACAAAATTTACCGACCAAACCATCAGTACATCAGTCTCAATCGATACTTCTTACTGAGTATGTTAACTATGTTTCCATTTCGTCCAAATGGTATGGTCACAACCATGCATTGATAAAAGCTCAACTTTCAATTTTCGCCTTGTAGACATCGACGAATGCGAGCAGAAAAAACACAGCTGTGAAATGGTGTGCAAGAACAACGCTGGTTCTTATGATTGCAGTTGTAATCTTGGATATGTCCTCAATGCCGATCAAAAAAATTGTGATGGTAATTTAAAATTTCAGTGATTGTTTTAATCCCTTTTTAAAATTCTTACAATATCGATATTTTTGAGGTTTTGATTTAAATACCCTTTATTTCATGCAATATTTAGATGTTAACGAATGCACAAGTGGCCATGAATGTGCGCAGACATGTGAGAACACCGAAGGTTCATACAACTGCTTGTGCTTAGACAATTTCAAAGTTGATCCAAAAAATCCCCGAAATTGCATACGTAAGTATATAGGGCGGAGCTTTCTATAACGACCCTAATGGGTGAACTTTGAAACGGCCTAAGAATGCCCTGGCGTCAAACGATCAAATTTCGCAGTTACAGATTGAAACGTTCATTACAATTCGGGAAAACTAGGAAATTATCAAAATTAACAAAGCGGTCGGCTCCCACCTTCTCTGCGGTCCTTGTAGGCGAGTAGGCACGTCCACATATTGCCTTTAGCTTGGGTACTTCTGAAGTACTTAAGTAGCCGGCTGCATGAGCCTTGCACCGCGCCCAAATAACAAGGCTGATACTAGAGAGAAAATTGGGTGGTGAATATTCATTTATATTGTACTGCCCGACGAATTTGCATGAATGCACACCTGTCCAATAATCGCATCTTGTTTCGGCCCGGGCGGAAGATCAAGTATAAATGCTAAAAAAGACATTTTTTCAGCTGAAACTCCATGCACAGGAAGTGGAAAATGTGAACATGTATGTTATGTTGATGAAAGCACGAAAACGGAGGCTTGTTCTTGCAACCGAGGCTATCGTCTTCAGGCAGATGGCTTGTCATGTACTGGTAAGGAGAATAAAAACCAATCGGTTGGGGTAAAGATTAAAGAAAAAGCCGGAAGAATCATATAGCCAATGAAATAAAATATGGGGCTAAAGATATACTTGCTTTTAAAAAAAATAGGAACAGTATAAAAGTGTACCCACAACTTTCTACAAGCTTTGTTTTGGTTTTGTGAATAATTTGGTAGTATATGGTGTCTTTTCTTTGTTATATTAAATATTACACATTGTCAACCATGTTATATATAAGTGTCGAAAATGTTAGTTAAACCTATTCTGGAACTTTTTATTAGAAAAAAACTGAATAAAAATCTCTATTTTAAGATATTAATGAATGTGACGAGTCCACAGATCGCTGTTCTCAAAAGTGCACCAATACTCAAGGAAGTTACACCTGTTCATGTGTTGACGGGTATACTTTGCAAAGTGATAGTGTAACCTGTGAAGGTATTAATTCTTACTGTATGAATATATATAGAAATTAAACTTTTTCACGTAGAATCGTAGTAGACATTACTTGTTGAGGTCTTTAGGTTGATTTGTTGTCAATCTGTTTTAGAATTGTTCATGCATGGAGCAGGATGTATAGGAGACAGAAATTTATATGGTCAAACATATACTAATGCGATACTTTGCTTTAGATGATGACGAATGTATTGAAAACCCAACAGCATGTGATTCTAGCATTGGCGAAAAGTGCTTCAATCTTCCCGGAACATTTAAATGTGATTGTAATGATAATCAAGGACTTGTGCGAATAAACGGAACATGCCAAGGTATACAGGCCACCATTCATTATCAATTGTATATAGAAATCATTTATTTGTAAATGTAATGATTGGTGAATCTCAAAAATTATTCACTTTCTTTCTATTGCATGGTACTCTATCACGTACTGTATAAAGAATGTTTTATTTTCCTCCAGTTCCAACAAATTCCACTAAAGAAATATTTGAGCCTGCTCCAACTCCGCCTGATGCCACTGAAGATCAAATAAGCAATGCTGTAGAATTCCGTCTTTCCAATTTCCAGTCCACACAAGTGAGTATGGGCTGACCTAAATAATTCTTTTCAATGCATTACATTGCCGGGTGCAAATCATATGTAATTTAATTCCTAACTTTGGTTTAATCTGCATTCAATTTCTTCATAATTTTAGTACCAGAAGCAAACCGATTCTGCATTCAGAGCAGCCCTGGCTGAAGCCCTCACAACCTACTGTAATTCAAACGAGGAAAGAAGAATCGAGTGTGGATTGCCAAGGTGCGAAATCTTTTTGCTCGTTTTAAACCTTTTCAATAATTACGTCACCACTTCATTTTTTTCAACTTAGAAACACCTGGCCATGAAATACATTGGTAATCAAGTTGCAAAGTTGCAAAATGCTTTTTTCAACACACGCAAGCGAAATAATGTTTTCGCTGCATAATATGGGAATGAGCTTTAAAACGAAGTCTTTGTCCCGAAGCCTCGTTTTCGTACAATTGCTAACAAATGGCTTTATTCCGTCTTTATTGTTAAAGTGCATGTTCTGAAGGAGGATGTTTTGCCCTTTTACCAAAAGGTCAATTAGAAAACTAGTTTCTCTTAACCGTTTTAAAACAGGATTTGTAGCCTAATGTATTCTTTCCAAATACAGGAATGGATTTGCCTTTACTGAATTACATGTGCATCGTCTTGCTAACAATCCACAAAATGACGGAAACGATGCTCTGATCTCGTTCTACGCTCTTTATCCCAATGGGACCCAAAGTACAGCCGGCGTTCCCGTTCCTCGGACTGTTTTAGTTACCGCTTGGACAGACCGACTAGACAAAATAAAACAGGACACGGGTCTTGAAATTTCGCTTACCCAAATTGAGAAGACAGAAGAAGAGTCGAGTGGAGGAGAGTCTGATGAACTTGATTGGCCTTTAGTTCTTGGAGTAGCTATCGCTGGTGTGCTCTTGCTTGTCCTGGGTGTTTGCGTTCTAGTTCTGTAAGTATATAATAATTTCAGTAACTGTACTATTAATACTAATTACTAACTAATTTTACTTATTACATTCGTGTTTGTGCCCAGTCGAGACCATGCATGAATGTCTATTTATATACGATTTGCAATTTCTTATGTGCGATTAGCCTTGTTTGCTTCTTGAAACTTTTTTGTGCAAATATTTTATTTATTCGTGACGTTCATACCACGAAAATGAATTTTCAAATGCTTTCTTTCAGGGGATGTGCTAAGAGACGTTCTGGAGGTTTCCCACCTCAACACGACTTTTATGAACGAGGAAGATGGTCATTTGGCGATCCAAATTCCCAAAATTCCATCACTGGAGGAAGTCAACCAGGGTTTGATGAAGACGGATTACCTGTCGAAGTCGGGACAAATTATGGTAGTGGAAGGTATGAGGTTGATGGGAGTGTAGACCAGGCATACTATAACTACTAGGCACCATGCAAATAAGACCCAAAGAATCAAATGACCTCCGACGTACTGGATTGTGAGAAACCCGGCACTATTCGGAAAGCAATGCGAAATAACATACGTTATTATGCAAACGGTAAGTCCCTTCTAGAAGGAAAATATCTTTTTACACATTTCCCGCAATTCGCCGACATCCAGCACTGTCGGGAGGTCAAAAACACTTTTGCAGTTAAGTGCCATGAACGAACACGGACACATGAATGAAATACGGACCCAAAATTTTATATATATATATTAGTATAATAGGTTCAATATGACGTATGACAATTACCACTAGTGCCAGGCTCTTAGTTGACATGCTGGTTTCGCCAAGATCTTTGGCTTGCAGTCATTTCAAGAAATATAAATTGATTGCTAAATCGATTCCTTAAAGAAACCATAAACTCCTTTTAACTGTTTTTGGAATACTATACGTTGAAATGTCACAATTGAAGTTCATTGCCCACGTTCAGTGTTGCAAAGTCTGCTCGCTCCTGAGAACCAGGCACTGGGAATTATTTGTCACACATCACTTTTCAAGATTAGTTTAGATTAGATTAGTCAATAGGTTTACATTAGTTTAGCTTAAATATATAAATTTCCAATATATGTAATTTATTATAGATCCAACAAATCTAACACGTTTAAATATAATAACAGCAGTTACATGCTTATAATGCATCGTTCACGATTGCCAGAGGGGCTGAAAATTAGACCATTCCCCACGGATGCTGCGTAAAGGTTGCATATTTAATTGCTGGATATAGAATTTCGATACTACGAAAAATTTAAATATGTGAAAAAGTCGATTTGTTTTCAAAAATTCGGTTCTGATGGCAAGAGCGAACATACATGTTGATGGTATAAAGCCATTAGCTGCAGTATATATAAAATAAAGAAAAAAATTGTTTTAATTTATCATTAGTTAATATAGCTCTATTTAGGCACAAATATATTTATGCATATCTAAACGGTCATTGAACACGTTTGTTTTTTTGTGGCAACAAGGTTGCAACTGCCACGTATTTTGCATATAGCTAAGCTTAGCTAACACAAGGACAAAGTGTCTTGTCCCAGGAGCGCACGTTTCCACTTCAAGGCCGACTACTTCCGTATTTATTCGTTGCCCTCCTCCCCCCCGTCCTGCTTCTTAAAACTTAACGTTTAATTATTGGCTGGAACGGAGACAAGATAATTTATTTTTCAGTCCCAAAACTATAGTTCCTACTTGTTTTCAACGATTATCGTACAAGAGTCAGGCGAGAACTGGTCTCACTGATTCTAATTTGCTGGATGGCGACGAATGTCCCTCATCCCGGGAGATCACCTCTCATATTTACATCAATGCTGTCCAATACGACCTTAGTTCGTACTGGCATAGTTTGCGATCGAAAAAATGAGCCAAGACAATGGTAGTACAAACTGTACAATCACATAGTTTTATTTATGAAACAAGCGGTATATATACCAAATTGAAAGAAATTAGTTAATTGAATGTGATTCAGTAAATTATAAAGAACATTCATGCAGTATAGTTAAGTAAATACCAGTCGAGACAATCTCACACAGGGTCGGAGATTCTTCAACTCGTCAAATAAAAATCATTGCGGTGACAGCCGCGGCCATGAACAGTAACAAATTGGTAAAAGCGGCATTGGATAAGCCACTGTTGCCTTTTGGCGTGGTTCCCATGTCACGACTACCATTTTCGTTTGTCTTAGGCGTGGTGGTCATGCTACTGTTTTTACCGGGGCATTTATCGTTGTTTGGCATGGTATAGTTCATTCCATGAGTCTAGAAAATAAACAAACAAAAAATATTCGTGAGATCTTCGTTGAAATATTTTTGTAGTTGTTATAGTTGTTGTATAATTGTTATACCACACTTGATGCTTATGTTCATATAAAGTTGGGAACACTAGTTTACGAAGTAAATTTGCACCCATAATTACATACCTTTTTCTCTAATACGACTGACTTCACCCGAAGCCAGAATGTTGGTCGATCTTTTAGGATTGTTGCGACGAATTGAATTTTCCCACTTGTCATTTCAGTTGGTTTCCATTCAAACATAAGCATCTTCTTTGGCATTTGTGTCAGCGTTCGCATTTGCGTTACCGCAGCCCGCTATGTATAAAAAGTTATACATAAAAGTATGTCAACAATTAGTAAATTGTATATTTATTTTATATGAATGAGCGCACTTTTCCGAATCTGCCAAAAGTCATTTGGCGAATATTGTTGGATTGATGCACTTGGGGAATTTAACTAACTAACAACCAGCATTTTTTCAAAGGCATTGTACGTGCAATACGTCGTGACTGGAGTTTAATCTGCATCTCACGGCTATATAGGTTTTGCATTTTCTTGCTAAATTTCTATCATATCTCTGGTTACGTAACTCGTCAGTAATTACCCGAACAATATCATTTTATAATTATAAATCGCTGCAACACGTTCGCTGTAACAAGTACGTCGCAGCGACAAATTTCATCATCTAAACAGGGAAATTTGAGCGACTGAAACGTTTTTGCTTTGACGCAAATTTAGTCGCTGCAACACGTCGCACAAAAATGAACAAAATCAAGCGTTTGTGCGACATGTCGCAGCGACAATGCTAAAAGTTATACTAATACTAGTATAGGTAATTTCCCCTCGCGGGCCAGTATAACCGGCTGAATCGTCGGTTCTGTCATCTGCCTGGATATCGACTCAATCTTACCTCAGTATCAGCATTGTCGGCCGTACAATCAAGATGCCTTGTGTTTTCTGGTATCTTGGAAAATTGACCCAACGGTTTATTACTGTTTTCCTCTCTAGCTTGGATGAGAAATCCTGCAATTTCCATTCCATCTTTACAAGATTTGATATAAACTTTAACCGTGTCATTCACTGCATAATACGACTTGTCAACTTGTATGACATACGGAGCATCAGTTTTTTGAGGTTGGCCGTGTTTTGTTGGGCTCGGTGTCATTGATATACATGTCTGTGAAGGAGCGCCTCCAGGCAGTGCGTTTGCGTGTTTGTAAAACAAAATTATGAAAACGCACAGTACGATTAGTTTGTTCATTGCGGACTGAGGTGCTGCAACATATAACGACAATTGGACAATGTCGTGTGAGAAGAAACGCTTAGTGTTTATATTACCGTATATCACTATGACATAACATGACGACTTTTTCCTGTCCCCTTCTTTGTTTGCTTGGAAATTAGGGTGCAGTAACCAGGAAATATGAAAAATTATGTAACTCTGGCACCATATTTAATGCTAGCTTAATAGCTTTTTTCCGGGCATTGTCGTATTTTTGTATGCACGCGTATAATAGTGCGCACGTAAATGTTTAAATCCACTCAGTTAATTTTTTTTACGATAACCGACTAATTTGATGTAGAAGATATTTTTTCTGTCGATAATTGGAATGACTTTATGCTATCGAAGAAAAACATTTAAATCACAGACTTACTTGTTAATATTACAGTTGTTTTTGGTGTTTTCATTCAGCTGGGTTTTCATATTTTGTTCGCGCGTATCCCACTTTTTTGTGTGTGGTTCTGAAAGAACTTTGTAGAAATTTTAGTTGTTCTTTTCATCCGACCGCCTCCTGGCCATTTTAAAGCTGTTTTTCTTCTTGATGATACCGGAAAATAGTTATAATATTTGATCATGCGACCGTGACAGTCATGCAACATATCCAAGGTGCCATAAAATGAAGACCCTGGGTACGAGGTTGTGGCAATTACTGCTAATCTATTTGCAGTATAAGCTCTTTAGTTTAGGGTCGGCTCATCAACTCTCTTCTTCGTTCTCCTTCATCACATTCGGCATAGCAATTGTACATGTGGGCGGGGTTCATTGTGAGGTTATACAGAAGACGATCTGTTCTACTTATTAAGGAGGTTCATCGAACAAAGTCTATGTTAAATATGATAAAATTAATCTTTGAGGAGTTACGACTTACGAATCAATCATTCGAATACCTCGTCGTCCTTATACAATAATTAGAACAACTTCCATGAAAATATTTTTAGCACATTGGGAAGGAATTGATAAATATATATGCGGGATTGACAAATATCGTCCAGTGAAAAAGAGGAGTTATATAGAGAGGCCTTACAGTCCCGAAACTCAGACGTACTCAGTCCAGTGAGCTCTCTCTCTATATATATTTTGAGAGAGACTCTGAGAGAGAAGATGGAGAGCTCACAGCTGAGTCTCAGACAGACGTGTTCGCCGACCTTTTCCGTCCTCTTCCGAGTTTAAATCAACTTTAAAGATGGCGCTCGCAATACGGCAGTTATGTCGTCAGGCGTTAGGACAAATAAAACGCCCGAAAACCTTTTTGTCAAGAGTAAGTTTGTACTATTTCTTTTTCTTGCAGTATCAACAAAAGCTTCAACGATCGCTTATGTACTAGGTTTGCGGATCTCAAATTGGGCAAGATCATTATCGACATTTGTCACTTCATGAATATCAAAGTATACAACTGCTTGAAGATGCCGGTGTTTTGACGCCGAAAGGAGGAGTAGCGGAAACACCACAGCAAGCTTATGAGATTGGTGAAGTCATTGGTATGCGTTTCTTTTAATACAGATGCATAAAATAGGTTTTAATTTTAAATGTGATAAATGCAAATTTAGATTAAGAATATCAAGTCATAGTGCATCAAGTGTAAAACCCTACGCCGGAGATATCCATATAGAATCTATTACGCCATTTTCTTTTTACCCTGTTCTCAAGGTCTGCAACCTTGATAAAAATCTATTTGTGGCTATGCTGCTGCATTACAACTGCAGGCTGCAGCTGCACAGCTGCAACCCCCCCCCCCTGACATAAGGCAGTTTGAAGTGGTGCTGCTTGTACCAACCTTTGATTAATATGAAATAAATAAACCTTTTATCTGTCCTGACCAAGTCCTGACCAATATTAAAGATGGAACAAAAAAATTGAAATAAATACTTTTAATGTTCTTGCCCAAAAATTGAAGTCATGGTATAGCCTCATTGGACTGCCCATGCCATCCTCACTTGTTATAACCAAATGTTTTGATGTGTGCACATTGCACATGTTGCTTGTTATGCTAGCTGGGAAAATTATTGTAGTTCCCTGGATAAGATGGATTGGCCTTAGCTATGTGTATGATGGAATCATGTTGTTTTAAATGATATTTGCCCTTTGTAGTATCCTCCATAATTTGGCAATTTATAAACTGTGTATAGCTATCTTTTGAGCAATAATTTTTTGTTGGAGGACATTTTTTATTAGAAAACCTATTGCAAAGTTGCACTTACACTTTCATGAAACCAACCAATGCAAAGCAGGGCAATATAAGTCTCCAGATGTTTGAACGCATATTTTGATGAATCATTCTTTGTTTTGATTACATGTAGGTGCAGATGATCTTGTCCTCAAAGCACAGGTTCTTGCAGGTGGAAGAGGCAAAGGTGTATTTGAAGGAGGCTTACATGGAGGAGTTAGAATTGTATTTAGGTATGTAATTTGGTTTTAAAAAGTTGTTTTATATAAAATTTTTGTTTGAATATTTTGTTATAAAGTGATTTACACTGCTGTGTTAAAGGAGTGTCTAGTGATGATGCTCCCATTTAGCTACTTGTGCAATGTTTTTATTTGTGTTTTATAAGCACCTGGGTAAATTTCATGTACTATACTTTGCAGGAGGATTTTCTTGTTTCCTCTATGTACATGCATATACATGCATTGATTGTATAAAGAAATTAACAAATGAGCTATTCATTTTATTTCATTAACTTGTTGTACAATATTTTCAATGTTTTACCTCAGTCCAGAAGAATGTAAAGAATTTGCAGCAAGGATGATTGGAAAAAAATTATTCACAAAGCAAACTGGTGAAGCTGGAAGAATTTGCAACAAGGTGAATATGTTCATAATCTCTGATTGCTTTCTGTTTGAGCACAGTAAAATATTAAACAAAAAAGACCTTAGATATGATTATAAAAAATAATTAAGTGTCCACAATGTACAGTGCTGGTACATAGAGGTTCAATGGTACATTTAAACTGGTTTCAATCATTATATACTGTAGGTGTTGATTTGTGAGAGGTTATATTCTAGAAGAGAGTATTATTTTGCAATAACGATGGAAAGAGCTTTTATGGTGAGACAATCCCCTTGTTTATTTTTAATCAAATATTATAGTAGCTTTTAACACAAGTGTGTCACTTTGTTCAGTGAAAAGACTAAAATGTAGTTACAATCCACTGCTCTAACACCTCTATGCTCTTGAAGAGTTTTCTCCAAAGTTTTTACCCTAATTACCTTCTTCTTGGAATCGCTGGTGCTTATTATTGGAACTACGACTTGTTAAGTTGCTAGAATACTGTATACTAACAGTTTTCATGTTAAGCAATATCATTCTCAACACTCATTCCATATTTCTGTGCACCATGTTTTATCCTCTATGTAAACGTTTCATTTATTACTAGGGACCAGTACTTGTTGGGAGTCACCAAGGTGGAGTTGATATAGAGAAAGTTGCTGCTGACCATCCAGAAGCCATATTTAAGGAGCCTGTGGATATTAATAAAGGTAAAAATAGATACGATGGGGTACAAGGTCTGCCAAAGACCGAGGATAATTGGCCTAACTTGTTTACGCACTTGTTTGTACAGTATATACAACCTTGTTCCGTTATTACTTTGTTAGGACTGAGCCTTGAGCAAGCTGCAAACTTTGCGAGAACGATGGGTTTCTCTGACAGTTGCATACCGGCTGCTGCTGATACGATTATGAAACTTTATAATATTTTTATTGAGAAGGATGCGTTGCTAATCGAGATTAATCCGTTGGCCGAGGATTCACTTGGAAGAGGTAAACTGCAGTACATTGGAATATGAGAGGTTTTACAATGACAGTGAATAGTATTCAACCTATGGCTATGCGCTTTGTTTCTTCACTTATAGTGCAATGATTGTTTTCATCAGTGATGTCTAATGTTACAGTCACAGATTATGTATCTTGTACAATAACTTGTACATGAATCAGATAACAAATTGTGGCCAAATTAACGACTTCTTTGTTCTACATTCTCAAGCGTATTTGATATTCAATTTATTTAGTCGTGTGTATGGATGCGAAGCTAAATTTTGACGACAACGCTGCATTTCGTCAAGACGACCTATTCAAACAACGGGACTGGACTCAGGAGGATGAAAGAGAAGTTGAGGCAGCGTCATATAACCTCAATTATATCGGTTTAGATGGAAGCATCGGTTGTCTAGGTTGGTATTGTTGTGTTGCGGGTTATAATACTGGACTATTAAGTATGTCAAGTCAAGGAACTGTGTGGTTGCGGGTGTTAATACAGACCAACTTTCAACCGCGCTGTGTTTACTCCACCCAGTCTATTTACTGACACTCCATGCAGGCTCTTTCAGACAAGGTTGCATGCTCGTTTTTGTTTTTCTTCGTCGCCCTAATTTGGCTGCATGCTCGTTTTTGTTTTTCTTCGTCGCCCTAACTTGTTTATATGTTCATGTCGTAGTGAACGGTGCTGGTCTTGCTATGGCCACCATGGATATTATCAAATTACACGGCGCTGAGCCTGCAAATTTTTTGGATGTCGGTGGAGGTGCGACTGCAAAACAAGTTGCAGAAGCTTTTAAATTAATCAGTGCTGACCCTAAGGTAATATTTTTGAAAACGATTTGTGGTTTTGATGTACTGTGCTTTTAGAGAGAAGATAAGGATAATTTTCTCTATACTCATGTGAAAAAATGCCATTGTAGGTGCATGCAATTCTTGTGAATATATTTGGTGGAATAATGAGATGCGATGTGATTGCTGAAGGAATTGTAGCAGCTGCAAGTCAACTTGACCTAGACATACCCATAGTAGTGCGACTGCAAGGTAATGATAATACTGTTATTCTGTTAATAATTGAGAGATAACTTCCGCGCAATTGGGCTATCCTGGTACCTTCATTGAGCACATACTTGAACCTCCAACGCTAATACTTGATACTCGAAAGATGAATAAAAAAATGCAATGAATCACAGATTCAGGCGCTGTCACACGGAACATCTTACAACGCAATTCGCAAAGCATGCCGAACTTCCAAATCAATCGAATTCCATATCATAATCTATGGAACATCCCTTTTAGATTTTACAGACTGAACTGTGTATAGCAATGGAAAATGAGAGATATATATGGTAGTGGTAGTGCATGTAATCCCATGTATGTATAAATAATTATTTAAATGAGTATATTGTTTTAATAGGTACACGAGTCGAGGATGCAAAAGCAATTTTTACCACGAGCGATCTTCGTATATTGGCTGTGGATAATTTGGAGGAGGCAGCAAAGATGGTAACGTTGATTCACACTCCTCTTTTTACCCTCTTTAAAATTTTTCCAATCCTGAAATACATATTATAGGACCATAAATTTTTCAGTACTTTTGGCATAACAAATACATACAATAGCGAATTTATCCGATAACGATAATGTTACCAATAGAATCATAAAACTATACATAGGTATAAATTGAAATGTGAAATGGCAGCTAATGTTAAACAAGTAATATTCTAATCTAACATGCAGCTCGATTAATTTCACCTTATTTACGTTATGTAGGCAGCACGTTTATCTAACATTGTAGAACTGGCGAAGCAAGTATCCGTGGACGTTAAATTTGAATTGCCAATTTAAACCACCCCCGTCTTGTATACGGATGAACTGTAAATGTGACATATTACTTTAGAAAATATTCTGTATGACATTGTATAATATTATACTCAACGGTTTTTGGTAACCTGAAATGAAAGTTAGAATTACTGTATTTGAGTATATATGTATAAAAAATTTTATTGGCAGAGTATCATTGTGGCTCTTTCATTAACTTTTTTATGCTTTTTATTGGTCAAATGATGGACAGGATAAATGTCTACTATTTTTATGGTCTTCAGTCATATAAGTTGGCGAAGGCGTTACTGGAGAACAGTCATGCTCTTGGGGAAGTTGGGAACCAAAATTGCGCAAAACACAATTTGTAATAGCGCGCAGTGTAACGCAAAAGGGACTGACGTATGGACTGCGCAACGATAGCTCAGTAGAGGTTCAGGCGAAAGAATTCGCTAAGTAAGTAATTCACTAAGCTGTGAGGAGTCAACCTTCTCCGCAGGCCCTTTTCGGGCAAATATGGCGGCCGGTGATATCCAAAATCGCCCGAAATGCTCCCTAGCGCCTGCGGAGGAGGTAGGTGAGAGGAGTGATACATCTATCACGGGAGTTATTGGAACCAGGCTCTCTGGCCGGTGCCCTAGCCAGTAGTTAGAATTCAAAATGGCGTCCCTGCAGCATGTGCAGAGATAATTTTCAAGTGATCTTACGGATAAAACAAAGCAAAAATGGGCATTAAGTTGATACAAAGAGCCAAGGGAAAACTTACTTCGCATGCTAAGCAACAAGAGAACATTGAAAGATCGTGAGTATATTTTAGTAATTTTACGTGAGTGCATTAATTTGGCGCTTATTTTGTAATTTATTTGTACAGTAATTTAATTTTGGTATAAAATTTTTTCGATAATTTGTGGTTTGAAGTGACTGGCTGTATGTCCAAAAGCAATACTTCTTGGGCAAGCTTTGACATACCCAAGTGCAAGGTGGCCTTAGGTGGGCTTTTGAACAGGAATCATAGTTCATGATTTTGATCAGTGATCAGGGGACACCGGGACAGGGATCAGTCTCATAGAAGCTTTATTTCTGAAACATAGTGGATGGTGCAGTGCATTTTTAAAAAATTGCACTTCTCTGTAAGAAGAGCCTGCATCCAAGGTACATTTTGCACCCAAGCCAAGAGTTTGGATATTGCTGGCACATGGACTGCGGAACCTGTTTAAAAGGGGGCTAGGCCATGCAAAATTTTATATGATAATTTTTGGTCTGATGAAAGAGTGGGAGGGGGACTTGGGCCCCTTGCTCTGGATGGGGTCCATAGTAAAATATGGTTGATTCATTGACAGTTCTTTCTTGATGATTTCTTAGTGAAAACAGACCTAATGATGATGATCATTTATATTACTGGGCTCCAAAACCTTCCACAGCATTTATGACCTTGTTATCTGCCAGATACTGCAGTGCATTATGGAGCAATATTTCTGATTGTGATGAAACATACAATTATTGGGAACCGGTATGCACAAGAACTATATAACATTTTTTTGAGGCAAAGGCCAAACACAGTTGTATGTAACATTAGAGAACAATGGAAACAATATTCAAATGATTATGTATGTAGTTAAATTTTATGATAATTACAGATTACTTATCTACAAGATGTAGTTTACATTCGTAATATTTTATTTTCCATTTCTGTTTAGACTTACCATCTTATTTATGGCTCTGGTTTTCAAACATGGGAATATTCGCCTAAATACGCCATTCGCTCTTATGCCTACTTACTCCCTCATACCTTGCCTGGATTTTGGCAGAAATATTTTCATGAAAAGCAAGACAAAGTAAGAACTTCACCATATTTGTTTTGAGATTTAGTTTTGCATTTGTTGATGAACAACATGATTATATTAGTTTGTGTAGTTTCTATTGATATTTATATATCGCTATGCCCTTTTGGATGGGTTATTCTTGATCGTTTTATTAGGTTTAGACCGTGTATACAAGTGTATAGTTATTTTGAATGATTTATTTGGTAATCATCAACTTGTGATTTCTTATTGTTTGAGCTGTAAATAGGTATTTGAAATTCTTTTAGGTAGTTGCATTTTATCTGATTCGCGTTATGTTGGCTTTGATATGTGCCTCGGGTGAGGTATTTTTCTATAGGTAAATAAATATCCATTATGTACACAATTCTGTTGATATATTATTATTCATGATACCATTCAATGGTCATAATGGAAGCAATGCTAAGATCCTAACTTAAGGATATTTTGTTATGTAGAGGTGTTAAAAAGCAATTTGGGAATCGTGTTGCAAGAATTTTGCTTTTCTGTTTAATTTTTGGAAGCGGTATGCATATATCAGCTGCAGGTATTGTATTCACAGAATACCATATTACACGTATATTAATTATTGCGAAAATACTGTAACAAAAACTCAATGTTTGAAGTCAATTTATCTACCAATCCAACAACCAAGTTTTAAAACTCACTAAGGTGAGGAATATTGGTACTTTAATTTGTTTAATGAATTAAGGATATCAGAGCAAAACAAGCTACTGTAGTTTATTGTACGTATAAACAAACAACAAAAATAGGGAACAGATGTTGCTGTATTTATTGAACAATTTTTTCAAATTAATTTTATTTTCAGCTTTTCTTCCCAGTAGTTTTGCCATGGTGATGATTATGTTTGCTTATGGTGGATGGTACATTGGGGATTATTCGGTATGATATTTTTAAAGGTTTTCAATCAGGGATTTTTCATCAACAATTCAATTTCAAGAAAATGTTTTGGCTTGTTTTTGCTCATCACCCTTGTGGAGAACTCTTCAATTAGAGCACAGTAGCTACTGGCATGGTTCATACAGTTACTGTTAATTGGCACACATATTAAGAATCTAAAAGAATGAAATTGCATGCTCTAATATTGTGATGTTGCTGCTCTGAGTGCTGCTTTCCACCATGGAAATTGAATCTTTATGCTACCCTAGATTATTAGCTTGGAGCATAGAAAAACAAACATTTGATATATTGCTTATAGATTGCTATTTTCTTCACCGCAACTGCATCACTTGTTGGTTGGCCATTTAGTGTTCTCTTAGGGTAAGTTTGGTAAGCCTATATTTTACCCAGGGGGTATATCCACCATACCAGAACCTCTGTATATCCACCATACCAGAACCCCTGTATATCCACCATACCAGAACCCCTGTATATCCACCATACCAGAACCCCTGTATATCCACCATACCAGGACCCCTGTATATCCACCATACCAGGCAACTTATTTGTTCATATCTTGTACTAGAGCTCCGATTGCTTTTGACTTAGTAATTGGAAGGAGGCGTCCGGTTTATTTCATCCAATGGTCTCTTATATCACTTGTTTCTCTTATGGTAAGCAAAAAACAAATTGCGAATATACATCGTGTGTGAAAGTAATACCTCCAACCCAAACCCAATTGAACCTTTTATCCACAAGTATCGCCAGTGTTATAGGTAAATCCTTATTTAACGCGGATCAACGTTTGCCTCATTTTTTATCCTTGGTTGGTCACCACCATTGAAACAATGCATTAGAATAGACTTTTCTCTCAATGTCGTAAAACGCGGACGGTCGGATGTCACACGAAGCTTGATTGGCTCCGCGTTTGATGTCATGATGAGGAAGTGGCTAGAGCATTGCACCGGCATCGCAAAAGCGTAGGTTCGATTCCTGCCGGAGGACCGATAGTTGACTCATTTTCCGATCAACTGTTCCTGGCTTGAATTTGAAGTGTGTATAATTCCACTCGAAATTAAGACCCTTTGAACCTCTAGAATTTACCTGCATCGAGTGAAGTGCCAAAAATCATCCAATCAAGGTCTATTTATGTACAGAGAGTAAGACTCTTATGTTTATTTAGTGTCCGTTGGTGTACTTCGACTCATATTATTATGGGAAGACTGTTTTTACACCATTTAATATAATATATTACAATATCTTTGGAAAGGGAGGACCTGATCTTTACGGTATGTTCATTAATATCCAGCTTATTTTGAATTAAATGAAGAATCTATACCAGAGCGTGCAAGAGGTGTTAACCTCGGAGTTTAGCTACGTATTTTACCCCAAACAGTAAAAGGCTCGTAACATGCAGAAATCAACTAGGTAAACCCATCATATGTCCCAATTAATGGTACCAATTTTGTAGTAATTTTAATAATTCGGTTTTCATAGGTCAGATTGAATAACGATAATTACCACATTCAGTGATGATGGATCCATTGTGTTTTTGTAGTGGGGGGGGGTGGGGGGACGGTGCACAGATCTGCCGAATTACTTGATCGCTGGCAGAAAAAAGCTTATTCTAATTAATGTACATACAGTATTCTTTTCAATATTGTAGGCACGGAACCCTGGACATTCTACTTTGTTAATGGCTTTCTCAATTTTAATGTTGTGTTTCTTCTTGCTTTAATATCCCTTCCTTTATATGTAAGTGAATTTTCGTGTTTATTAAAGCTCGTGCATTTTAGGAATATTTTTCATGCTCACGGCCTATTTTAACAATTTGTATCATGTTTTTTGCTCTCAGATGCTTCACCAATTTCACTCTGGTAGAAGCAAAGGCAAAAGTGGTAAAATCATCGACTAAATTTGAATTTGTGTTTCCATATAAACAAGACTTTATAGGTTAACTTTATAGATCCGTTTTATCGATTAATTAGGTCAAAATATACTTATCCTCTCTCATATTCATTTTCCATTTCAGTGTATATGCCACCTCGTTCTACTTTGTCGATGGTAGGACTATATCTTTGGATATTGGTGTTCTTTACGAGACCACATAAAGTATGTCTGCATACATGTGCATGGAAACTATATGCGCCTATGCGTATAAATTTGCATTAAACAAACTTCTGCAAAAAAGTTCTGTATATATCTAATTTTTTATTTAAAATTCTGTAGATAACCACGTCTGTTAAAATTATCCTTCTTAGTTAGAAGAAAATAGTCAACAATAACTTTAAGCATTTTCTCATTTCTTCTTTAGGAGGAGAGGTTTCTCTTTCCAATTTACCCCATAATTTGTCTGGCTGGTGCAGTAGCTTTATCATCTGTTCAGGTATAGTCTGAAGTCTTTTGGCAAAAAAGTCTCAGCTCTTTTCTCTCGACAGAAAAGGGTCCTAGTATATATGTATAGCACTGCTCATATATATATGTGCATGGAAGATATATATCATTGTGTTATCCTGCATGCCAGGGTTTCTGTGTCACAGAAGAGAGAAAAATATTAACCCTACATTTCCAAGTTCCAACCCGTATTCTGCCATTTACACGATGATGATACATTCATCTTTTAATTTCAATGTAGACTTTTTTCGATTTATTTTGCCGAGTGACAAAAATTCGACATTTAAATGGTTCCAATCTCGTTGTTATCGGATCATTGTCCATCTTTGCATTGCTATCCGTATCAAGATCTATGGCACTGTTTGTAGGTATAGAGTTAGCTATACGATAACTTACCTTGTAATTCGCTTGGATCAACGGAACTATATATAAAGCTATATAGTACAGTTGGGGCATAGTTTCGACCTAGGGCCTTCGTCCAACCTCGTAGCCAGGAACTTTTACCTCCGCCGCAGCGTGGGCCAGGGAGCGGAGGTAAAAGAGCCTGGGTACGAGGTTGGCCTTCGTCAGGGTCTTCCAGAGAAGTTGTTCGCTGCCACACTGCACCCTGGTTATATTGGCGTTAAACCTTGTTTCATTATACCTGCGAACCTTATCAGTAAACCATAGGCAGTTTATAGCTGATGAAAACCATGCATGCTTTAAAAACAATATTATTACTTCAGGGTATCATGCACCATTAGATGTGTATCATCAACTAAACTATTTGAATGAAGAAACTCATGGTCAAGAGTTTAACAAAAAGTCAAAAATTAACCTTTGTGTTGGCAAAGAATGGTATCGATTCCCTAGTAGTTTTTTTCTTCCTGAAAGGTTAGTATTTGATATATTTCGGTTTTATATACTTACAATCACTTTCAGCGTAACAATCTTGCTTGTACTTGATCAATTCTGATTCATATTTTAATATCATTTTCTTTTTAAAATATGTAAAAGAACCTATTGACAACTCCCCATGCACTCTTTGCTTATCCAATTTTTAATGACTGGCAAATAATAAGCAAACTGGATAATGGCCTTGTGTGCATTGTTTCAGGTGGGAACTGAAATTCATTCGTTCTGAATTCCGAGGACAGCTGCCTAAACCTTACAGTTTGTATCCAAATGCAACCAAAATTATTCCTAACAAAATGAATGACATGAACAGAGAGGAAAAGTCAAGATATGTAAGTAAAAACAATGATTTAGAAGAAATTAAACTTATATGATTTATAAGTATTTAAAAAAATAATATACATGCAACAAAGAACATCAAAAGAACTAAACATGTGATTAAAAAAACGGTGTTTTTATGCGGGACAAGTATGTGTCGTCACACTGTATCGTTATGTGATGGTCAGAAGACAGGCAGCCGTCTGAATCAGTACCAAGATGAGATAATTTTTCTTGCATTTAGGTTCCTATTGAATCCTGTTATTACTTGATGGATTTGCACACCACTCATGTAACAACTTTAGAACCAAGCTATGCAGAACAGAATGAGAACTGGCAAGTCCTTATTTCTAAACCGTTTTTAGACTCCAACAGGTAAGTTCTGTATATTGCATGGTTATGATGACTTGAGACGAGTTCGTTCTCGGTGAGGAATAATTCCCACAGATGAATTTAGACGAAAAATTCTCTTATTATACAATCGAGTTCAGTCATACCGAGTATGAACAATGTCGCGCACGTAACAACTGCTTGCAGTGTATATCTTTATATATATTGTAGTGTAGTAACAAGAACTTTCATACTACATATCACTCTGCACTGTCACGCGCGATGATTTTGGTATGGGTCTATTAATAGATCAGACTAATTTTTGTTTTTCAGATCCCCAGCCTTCTATCGTGCGTTCTATATACCATTTTTATCAAATAAACGCAATGTTTTTGCAAACTACGTTTTGCTAAAGTCAAAATTTTGGAAAGAGGAAAAAGTGGAGGCTAAAGCCTCTGTTCATGCGAATTTTGAATACGATGATCCCGAGGAATTTGAAGGGATAAATGAGAATTTCAAAGGTGATAATGAATTTAACGATTAAAGAATTTGGTAGCGAAATGTTTGCCAGTTTTCAAAAACCCAAATACCACAGTTGACCATGCTATACAATCTACAATCTACAAGCAGCAACTGTAATATTAATTATCCGGATCATTTTGCCAGAACCTAATTTTCCTGACGAATTTCCCTCATACACATGCGCGCACATGCACTTCTATCTTCAGGAACATCAGAAAGTTATAAATAAAATTATGCCACTATAAGTGTAACTGCATTATTATGTCCTGCTTTATGTATACATAACACACTAATTATAAAAGGTACTTAAAATTGTATTAGGTTTTAAAATTGTAAGATGAAGTTAAACGGCTGGATGTTTATCTTTTTCGAGTTATTCATATATTCATATTTAATATAGAAATTCTTCTTTACATTGTTTATATTGCGAAAAAGAGTTGAAGCGGCATCTTCCGTTCCTAGTGAGAACGAAAAAAATACCATAGCAATTTTTCATGTGATCAAAAATGTTTGATATATTGTAACCATGTGTTACCATGACCCCGCGGATATAACGCGTATGCGATATTCTCGTATACTTAAGTAGCTAATGATATTTTATCAGAAAATTGTTAAAACATTCTTGAGTCGCAAGAGGAACTTGTCGACCTGAACAGCTTTACGAAAAACTGCAGGAATTACATACATACATAGGTCTCAAACACAGAGATTATATATAGGTCTCAAACACACCCAACAATTAGATTTGTAGTACTACCCACGCCGTTAAAGATATTAGCTTATAATTCTTTAAACAAAGAGAAGCTTTGCAAAACGAGTACACACTTCAATATCCTTTTGTGCGATTTTTTGAACAGTCATCAGACCAAATGCGTTTATAATATCATATAATTCCATGAACACTGGCGATTGTGGCAACAATTTGGTGAACATCTGTGTTTTTGTCTTTTGTTATTTTGAGCTAAAGTGATGTTTCGTTTACTAAAGACAATCGTTATCTTCAATATTTTTTGCCTCAACAATGTTTTGGCTCGTTCTGATGGTGCACCGACAATCAATTACCCAGATGTATGTAGTGATATGATGCCTAGAGATCCACATTCGCCAACTATGTCCAGTGATCCTAGTCCTTATACTGTGAATGTCGACAAGACCTACTACAAGCCGGGAGAAGAAATAACCGTAACAATAACTGGAAGCCAAATTATCAATGGTCTTCTTCTCCAGGCAAGGGTCAAAGATACTGGAGAAGTAATCGGAAATTTCATTAAACTTCCCACAAAATTAAGGAAAGCTTCGTGTCCTCAATTACAGGTTTGCTATAATAGAATATAATTGTAAATTAATTAAAAATATTGCTCAACCACCCAACAACTATACCCCATGCGTGCATGTCTCCATCGAGTAAACCTCTCCATGCATAGGTATAGTAACCTGGAGAAGTTTGGTAAACGATCAACCTTATTTACTTTCCTGGGGCCAGATGTATAAAAGACTAGTTAACTTTTAACTGTAGTTAAGGACGGAATTGGCCAATCAGAGTTCAACTAGGATTTAACTATGCAAAATGTAGTTAAAGAGTTTTATACAACCGGCGCCAGGATGCATAGTTACCCATAGTTCATACCATAAAGGCAATCTCGCGCGTAGCCACAAAAACATGATTTTTCAAAGAATAATAATTTTAATATTTATACCAGAGTCAAAATTCATTTTGCGCTGTTTGTCGTAAACTTTGTAGACAGGCAACGGCTACCTAATTTATCATTTCGAGCGTTTTTCGGTGATTCAGTTTGTCAGTTACGGTTAAAATGGCCGGTAATGGGATATGACAATATTTTACGGCCATTTTATAAGAACAGAAATAGCCTTGCACGACCTTGTAAGTATTCGGGCTTGGCTGTATGCGCTGATATATCTTGAAAGAGAAGGCAGGAAACTAAGATTGCGATAGGGGAGATTTTGGCAAATCTTTAACTGATATTGGCTAAATCTTTTCAAGTGTTTTAAAAATATTTCTATTCTAGAAGTTTTTTTTGTTTATTAGTGTTATTAAAGCACGCTATATTTTTACCACGAATATGATGTACTATTTCTTGACTGCATTTTGCGTGTAGAAGTCTACTCCAGAAATATATTTAGGTCTTACTCAGGTGGTTATGACGTACTAATTATATACAAGTTATGATTAATTATCTCTCCGAGTCGTCTCATTCATGAGAAGTGATTAGTGAGCCCTCCTCAAGAGGGCCGCTCCCGTGGTAAATTTAGTTCTACCGCTCAAGGTAATGAGCAACTCGGGGCAAGTTGTTCAAAACCTGCGGGTAAAGCAAATCCTTACATTATTTTTTTAATCGCTTGTCGACAAAGTTGAATATCTTTTTTCATAAATATTTTCTGGTCTGATAGAATTCATGTTTTCTAAAGTTTTAAAACGAACAGTGGTTCCGAAGCACATAAACTAAAACAGGGGATTAAAATTTATCCCAGGGTTAGCACTAACCCAGCTTTGAACAACTGCCCCCCCCCCGCTCTCTATATATTGTATACCGTAGTAGTGTATAGACGTCTTTCATCCAGGCGCTTTAATATTGCAAGATAAAAAACTAGCTACAAATATAGAGATCATTTAAGAAATAGAACAGACCCAAAAGATGCACCGTTAGCTTGATGCAATGATGCATACTTGCATTCTATATATGAATATATATGTATATATGGTTTTTAGGAAGGTCAGACAGTTACACACAAGGAGCTTATAAAATCGAACACAATCAGCGTGAAATGGTTATCGCCAGCAAACGTTTCTACGGTTGCCAACATCTCGTTTCTTGCTACAGTTGTGAAATCACTTGAGGAATATTGGGTGAAACTGGAATCGGCTCAACTGTACAATTCTAAGCCTAAGGTACGTTGGTGACGGTAAAGTTTTTTTTATTTCCTTCAAGTAAATATTTATCAAATTTAAACACGGAGCACCAATAGTTAACTTTTTTGCGTTATTAGCTCGAATAGCATGCGATTTGTGCAATGAGTTTTTTTTTAATTATACATCAATCCTCGATTTGCATTTCACGTTGTATGACTGACATGCAACTGTCTACTTTTTTTATACACATTTTGTTTCCTCTGTGTGTTTCTGTGTGTCGATGTGTTTTAATAAACAAAAAATCTTTACATAAACGTCCTGTGCTTCCTCAGGCTAATGCTAAGCCTTCAGTGGCGACGACCGAAACCATCGTCACCAGAGACGTGAAATCAACGGCTCCAGTTTTTCATGATATCTCATCAATGGTGATGTCAACTTCACTTTTAACAATGACGAAGTCAGCTGTAAGAAATGAAACAGAAATTACATCGACACAGAATTACCAGAATATGTCGACGGTACTGCCCATGACAACCACATCAACTACCAAATGTCCATCTGTGAAATGCGCAGGTTATACCTGTATTGCTAATATATGCGTCACGATATTGAGTGCCTTTTTGGTGATTGGTTATATTTTGGTATTTGAAATAGTTTAGATTATTCAAATTGATTACAATTTGTGGAGAAGTGGAATTTTTCTCAGCTTCTTGATTTATGTAACTGCATATATAGTCATAGGATACACCATAAATAAAGGTATAGCTACCCTTCAAGGATTTAATGTGACTTACCCTAAATAGATCTTCATGCCTAACAAGTATTATCTCAAAATCATGCCTAACAAGTATTATCTCAAAATACATTCGTTAATTCGTCGGGAATTAGTAGCTTCTTTGTACTACGGTGTCAGTATAATGGCGTTTGCTTAGTTTTGCTCGCGGAAATTTAAACTGCATGGGGGTGTTAAGTGAACACCCCCCCCCCCCCCGCGAACGTGCAAGCAAACAAGGGACATGTCGCAGTGCTCGGAAGCTTTCGTACAATTGCATTTCTTGTCTATAATGACTATATTCCCGAAACAATTAAGTCTATGAAAAGATAAACTTGTGTGTTTTTATGAAACTTGTTATAAAAAATAGGAAAATATTACTATATAGCCAGAAACCACATACTTGGGCTGCCTATATGCTAAAACGGGTGCTCTACGTGCGAATGCATTCATATGGCCATGATCAAATTAAATTCAGTCATTAGTTATATACATATAGCCCGTAGAACACACATCAAGTTGCTTTTACTCCATGAATTTATCGCTTCCAATTTTGATATCTAGTGAATTCATAGTCATAGATGTTATCAAAAATAGAAAAATAATATTGACTATTATGCATGTAACCGCATACATGTAAACGCATAAAATATAGCAGAGAAGCTTATGAGAGGCAATTATAAACTCGTCACGAGTTAAGTTCAGCAAAAATATCGGCTCGACCACAGCGGCTTACAAGACATGTAGAATCTCCCACACTTGTATATATCAACGTTTCCTATGGGGTATACTTGTAAATTTGTAATGTCATCATCGGTTGGCTCAAAGCCTTTTTCATCTATTCTTTACATAGTCGTGATATGTTTGCTCATACTTCATTGTATCACGGTTGAAGGAGTCCGCAGGAGGCCCAGGGTTAGGAGAAGATCATCAAGAACACGGACAACTCTATCAACTTCAAAAATCACTGCTAAAACACCACTTCCAGTGAGATCATACAGTTCAAGTATTATAAAGAGTCAAGCCCTGAACCCGGCGTATCAGCAGCCATTTCGAACACGTTTCCTCACGGGAGCAGTAGCTGGAGCATTAGTGTACAGTTACTTGTATTCTGCAAATCGTGCTTATAGTGGACTTTACACTCCTTATGAAACGTCAAACTTTTTAATTCCACAAAAACGAGCGCTGAGGGTTGCCAAGGAGCGATACCGAGTGCAAACAGCTGAAGGTACGCAATGCACTAACGGTACATTGAGGGTTGAGTATTCGTCCTCGATAAGAAATGTTACAACAAAGATTTTATATCAGTTACCACAACAAAATTTAACGAAAACTTTATCGAATTCGTCGGTAACAAATGCAGATATAACCGATGTTCCTGGTATTGAAAGTTATCAAGTAAATATGGAAGTGCATTCTCAGTATGGAAAAAGTTTAATAGTTGAAAGCTCCTATGAAAACTGCACGGATATGGTCACGAGCGTTGAGGCACATATGATCAGAATGTATGACAAAAATCCAAACTATAATTCAGCGTTTAGCATTGGATATATGTGGCATTCAGCTTCATTTAGTACACTTGCATTTACGATTTTATTTTTTTACATGTTTTACATATAAGCGTGCATGAATTCAGTTTTAGTTTATATCATGCCGGCGGTGCACGAATCAACTCACGTGCATGCCTCTTATGCAAATTTATATTCTCAAACCTTCCAAAACATTTTATAGATATAGGCCTAGTACTTCAATGAAAGATATCTTGAAGAGCCGGTTTAGGACCGTTTATCCATAAATGAAGGACCGTTTAAATGCATTATATATAGACTGCCTTTACATAATTATGTTTTTAAACGCTGCAGGTTGTTTTGTTGTTATGGGGTGTGTTGTCATGGTGTTCATTTCATTTCCTGAGGAAGCTGTTTTTCAATCGTTCAGTTTTACACTTGTGCTGTGACAGATAATTAAAATTTCTAATAGCTATATATTCTAAATTTACAGCCAAACACGCAGTCCGACCGTTATCGCGCAGGAAAAATATTGATCTCGAAACATGACATGAACAGGTTTACACAGTGTTACACAGTTTATGGTCCGTTATTCTAACAAATTTAGGCAATATAATTTTGTCAAAATAGACTGAAGCTATTGTAGTAAAGGACCGGTAAAAACAAAAACACGCGCCGCGACGAGGCTGATAAAGGACTACAGAAACTCGATTAAGTAATCATGATAATGGCTTTTATTAAGTGGCTTATTTGAACTTTACTAAAATGACGAAATTTATCACGAAATTTTTACTAAGAAAGTCATACACAAATTTTGCTCACATATTTCCCCCCGAAAAATTACGCCAATCTGCTCTCCCTTTGAGGCAGCACTTAACTTGCGATTGTAACTTTTTATCTATAATTATTCGTGTATGGCGTGCATGCATGTATGCGTGTGCATTCGTTTATTCCTTTTTAATTCCATGGCTTTTTGCGAGAGTTATGGAAAATGAATTTTGTATTTTGTATCTTGTATAGCTTTGAACGTACACATATGGATGCATGCAAGCTTATTAGAATTGCAATATTGCCATATTTGGTTATGTTGTGACGAACGTACGTGACGTACGATTACGCACGCAAAATATTTCATAATTATATACATGCAATAATCCTCGCCTCATAAAAAGCATACAGTTAAATACAAACTGCAGCTGTCATGCAGTTATCTTGACAACTACGACTTCGTGTTAGGTAGTTACTGTTGTCTCTCCGTTATTAAAATAAAACTACAGCTTAAACAACAATGTTGAATTTAGTCTTCGCAATCTTAATCTCAACTATATTCCACAAAAGTCTTGGTTATCCTTCCGGAGCTCCGTCTTCAAAATGTGGCGACATGACACCGCAACATGATGGAGTTAGCTCCCAACCGGCAGGAACTAGTCCATACAGTGTTAAAGTGGAGAAACCCTATTATATGCCAGGAGAAAATGTCAGGGTTTCAATTGAAAGTTCAAGTAATGATACCATCAAAGGTTATTTGATTCAAGCGAGACAAGTTGGAGGAAACACAGCAGTTGGATCGTTTTCATCGGCTCCTGCTGGTGGCAAACGTCTGAATTGTGGCAATTCCGAGGTACAATTGAACATTTATATGGAAAATTTTATATGCCAGATAATTCACCCTATAAAGATGACTGAAAATGTTTGAATTTTGAACAACGTTTTATATAGAATTTTAATAACTTGCTTCCTTGTTTTCTTTACGATGCAATCAATAGCTCGAAGCTAATTGTCTTTTTTATTTTTTACTAAATATCATGGACGTAAACATTTCGGGTTTGAATCAAGTACAAATTTCAAGGCTTAAATTAAGGCGTATTTGATCATACGCTTCTTTCAGACAGGATGCCGAAATTTCGTTTCGTTAGGCCAACTTGTCATTAATGCTATCAAGAAAACAAAGAAATTAAAAAAATGAAAACAAAGAAATTGTGTGATGTTGTCGCTGTTGCAGCTATCTACCAACCCTGAGAATAGAATAAGCTCTTTTAATATATATTTTTATGTACATTTATATAGGGTGCCGTTACACATGATTTCAGGCTTAACTTGAAGAAAGTAACATTTGAATGGGAACCACTAAAGAGTCTTTCTGGAAATATTTCGTTCTTTGCAACGGTTGTGAAAAACAAAACTATGTTCTGGGTAAAACTCGAGTCACCAGAACTCTACAAGAAGGTATAAGACATACAACATAAATTCAAATTGTATTTATATAGGGCATTCATCAAAACCATATACACTCGACCCATTCTATATATGTTACTATAGAAACAGACGGTCGAGCGAGTAAAAAGGTTATCCCTTATCGAAAGGGGACCACAAACACCTCTAAAAGTGTTTTGCCTTCCACATATGAATCGAATGTGTATCACAAATGCTTATTTTCCCTAAGCCAGGGCTTTAGAGGGCATGCACTATAGGGTCGCTTTAGTAACTTCTGGTGCACATAGCAATAATAGCATGTCTGCATGAGATTGCAGCAAATTAAACTGCACCGCTATACCAAAGTGAGCATACTTAAACTTACAATATGCTGTGTTGTGAATTTGAATTTGAACCGTTCAAGTTATCATTTCTGTATCCAAACCTTTTTAAAAGAGCCTGAGATTTTTATGAATGAGGAATGGAGAAAAATGCTAGAAATATAGTATTTTAACAGAAGTTAGAGATCGAAACTTTAAAATATGCCCTGTCTATATATTTTTAGGACGTACCTGGCGCAAGTCTGACTGTTCAGTCACCTGTAATCACAGAATCGCAGACCACTGTTCCTTCGCATTCTCAAAAAATGCAAACAGCAGCTCAATCGGTTTCAAGATACATATCTCCAAAAGCAAAGGTATCATTGAGCAGAAAATACATCATCCATCATCTGATTTTTAGATCTGGTCGCCCAGTGCACTTAACAGAAACTAAATAATTTGCTACAATTTCAAGGTGCTTCGAAAAAATGAACAAAAAATTTCAACTTTATTATAGGAGCACGTTTTTACTTTTTAGCTGTAAAATTACTTGTCATGCTTCCCTTACATGATGTTTATGATGTTCGCTACATCCTTTAAAACAAATTACCTTAAATGCCGATGATTTTTACATTTTTGTAGGAAACACAAATCCAATCAGTCCAAAAATCCGGAATCACAATATCCGGGTTCAGCAATTGTCAACAAATGCCAACAACATCTCAAGAAAATGTAATCCCCTGGCACACAAAAGCTGCAAAGACATCGATGTTAACACCAAGATTGATAGAAAATTCAAACCCAGCCTCAATTATATCGACGACGTCATCACCACGTATAGCAAATTTACCCCCTTCACCAAAGGTTGTATCTTTAGCATCCAGTTGGCATCCAGTTAGCTTACATAACGACACGGGCCCTGGAGTCACAAAGCCCGTAAAGACCTGGATATCTACACCAATACAGATGGTAGATTCAACCCCAGCTACAATTACATCGATGCATGAAGCAAATTCAACCTCTTCTTTCAGGTTTGCATCTTCAACACCCACAACAAATAAAACGTCTTGCCAACACAACGACGACGCGAAGTGCGATGGAGCTCAGACAAATCATGGTGCCATGTTTATATTCTTCTTTGTGTTTACCTTGGTATTCTGGCAAAATGCAGTCTGAATATAAGTCCAATTCAGTGACTGTCTAGCCTTTGCACTGGGACCTTAAATGGAAGTTATTTTGCATTTTCTAATATTACAATTGTTAGTATATAGTTTACGAGCAGATGCATGAGTTTTAAATCTTTTAAATCTTTTAAATGTGAACTGATAGTCGAGCCCTGCATGAACCCAGCGTATTATTACTTGTATTCTGCAAACCATGCTTATAGTGGATTTTACACTTATGAGTGAAACATCAAAATTTTTAATTCCACAAAAACGAGCGCTGAGGGTTGCCAAGGAGCGATACCGAGTGCAAACAGCTGAAGTACCCAATACACTAGCACCCAGTACATTGAGGGTTGAGTATTCGTCCTCGAAAAGAAATGTTACAAGGCAGATTTTACAGTCAGTTAACACGTACAAAATTTAAGAAGATTAACGAAACTTTATCAAATGCAGATATAACGGTTTCCCCCCCCCCCCCAATACGGTATATAGCCAAAAATGAATTTTTGTACCTAAACACCTGTAAAATGGCCTTTTATATTATTGTATCTTGTATAGCTGTGAACATACACAACATATGGATGCATGCATGCTTATTAGAATTACAATGCTGCCACATTAGTCATATAGTTGACATGTTGTGACGCACCACTACGCACGCAATATATTATCATTATACATGCCGCAACAACTGTACGACTTTGTTTTTGGTGTTTACTGTTGCCTCTCCATTATAAAAATAAAGTTTTAACAACAATGTGGAATTTAGTCTTCGCAATCTTAATCTCAACTTTATTTCACGAAAGTCTTGGTTATTCTTCCGGAGCTCCGTCTTCACAATGTGGCGACATGACACCGAAACACGGAGTTAACTCTCGACCGGCAGGAACTAGTCCATACAGTGTTAAAGTTGAGAAACCTTATTATATGCCAGGAGAAAATGTCAGGGTTTCCATTGAAAGTTCAAGTAATGATACCATCAAAGGTTATTTGATTCAAGCAAGACAAGTTGGAGGAAACACAGCAGTTGGATCCTTTTCATCGGCTCCTGCTGATGGCAAACTTCTGAATTGTGGCAATGTTAAGGTACGGACGAATAAATAAATTAAAAGACAAGTAATTCAATAAGTAATATATAGCAAACGTTTATCGATGGGAATTTTTTGATGCGAAATAAACATAAAATGTTAAATGTCTGACCAAGCGTTTTGGGTATGGCTTCCCGCTGTGGCATGGTAGTCAAAATATGTATCTCAATAACTGACATGCAGGGAGGAACGTGTGGGGGCGCATTCGAGTAACTTTTGAAACGTGACATATTTGTCTAAATATTTATGTAATGTGATTTTTTTTCGTATATATTCAGGAATGAAATTCTACCAAGGGAAGTCGACGTTGTGCTTATTATCATCATTATTATCGATCCCTATCAGTGAACCTAAAGCGGTACCCCTTAAACACATTTAGGCAGTTGGCGTTAAACACGTTTAGGCAGTTGGAGTTAAACACATTTAGGCAGTTCGGGAGTTAAACACATTTAGGCAGTTGGAGTTAAACACATTTAGGCAGTTGGAGTTAAACACATTTTGGCAGTTGGCGTTAACAAAATTTGCAAAGATCATGGATCAACTTTCGTACCTATACAACGGTTTTTCACTTCATGCACAATTTCCCCTGCCGTCGAGGAAAGATTTTGCGGACGATTATCTTTTGGTTTGTGTTTGGTTCTGGTTGAGTTACTTTAATGTAGCGAGTATTAACCGAGGTTCCTCGTTTTAGCAAAAGCAGCATACATCAAAATAATTTTCCTGGCGTTCCCGCCTTCAATCAAGCTGCCTTCGGCTTTGCATGGCTACGAAGTGTAAAAATACTTCAGTTATATTATTCTGAACCACGCGTATATATATAGACCTATATATATCAAGCCATGACGTATATATATATATATATATATATATATATATATATATATATATATATATATATATATATATATATATATATATATATATATATATACAGTAGTCCCCCGCTAACTCGAACTCGCTTAACTCGAACTCCTCGCTAACTCGAACTAAATCCAATTCCCCTTGAATTTGATAGTGTTTTTTATAGTAATTTACTCCGCTTAACTCGAACTCGCTTAACTCGAACTCCTCGCTAATTCGAACAAATTTTGTTTCCCTTTGGTCAAATGTATCCGGTTAACTCGAACTTTGGTTTCGAATCATAGATCAGCAAACTTTAAAATGTGAGAAGATAGAATTTTGACAACTGGAAACTATCAAAATAACAACAAGTTAATCAGTGTATAATTGTATATAAATGCTTATAAATTTTAAAAGATTTTGTATGGTGGTTATTGATCTAACGTTTTTAGTTCCTTTTGTATTCTTTCGATCTTTTTAATTTTAAAACGTCGTCCACTTTCGCTGACCATTCATATTGAGAGGCCTGGTATCCCTTAAAGAATGATTCGATTGGATTTTATATCTTACTTATCTCATATCTTACTTGTATTACTTATATAATAAACGTAATCTGACACCAACTCCGGTTAACTCGAACCCCCGGTAACTCGAACAATTTTTCTTTCCCCTTGGGAGTTCGAGTTAGCGAGGGACCACTGTATATATATATATATATATATATATATATATATATATATATATATATATATATATATATATATATATATATATATATAATATGTATACCTTTGTAGGGTGCCGTTACACACAGTACTGGACTAAAAAACGTAAGGACCGTGAACTTTGAATGGCAACCATCACCAGGTCTTTCTGGAAATATTTCGTTTTTTGCCACGGTTGTAAAAGAGAAGACGGTATTCTGGGTAAAACTGGAGTCACCAAAAATATATAAGGTAAACAATATCTACATAATTTTAATACACCGGAGGTGTGCATGGTTAAATGTGTTTTAAGAGCTCCTGCATGCATGGTAGGCATGAATCTCAGGACAACGATATTTATACCTTTTATCTTCTATGCCCCTGGCCTCCTCCTCTTGGGCTAGCCTCGCGCGACTGGAGGGCGCTCATTAAACCTTCATGGCCAGGTAACTGAGGTTGGGGTCATGATGTTGGGATGAGGTAACTTGGGTTAACGGTGAGGTAATATATTTATATATGTTGGCTTCCCTCTATTTGCTGAGACAATATTCACGACCGTCGAAGATCTCAGACTTGGCTATGTATTTGCATTAAGAAATATCGTAGAAATGATAAGGGTATGCTTCTATAAGCACCTATTTTTGTAGTCTGCATTTTCCTTTTCCTCTTCCTTCTGTTCTTTCTTTTCATGGTTGCCTTTCTTGCATGCTCCTCTTCGTCTTCTCTCTATTCCTCATGGTCCACCTCATGTATGCTCCTATAGTCCTATACTATATATTTTTTAGCTCCCTAGGCTGCTACTTCAGCGCCCTAGGTTTAAGTTTTAGATACGAACTTATTATTTGAATATTTAAAATATCGTTACTGTAAATATTAATTTATTTTTTTAAGAAAATGGCTGGACTAACCCCAAGTCAGACTATCTTTTATTCGTCTCAAACATCTGTATCTTTGATCACAAAGCCGACGATGAGTGTTTCTACACACACTCAACCTATGCCGTCTACCTCGGAACAAGATGAAAGATCTAGGCGAACCTCCCAACAAAATGAAAAGTCTAGACCTTCGGAACCAAAGGCATCTATGGTCACTTCAACCTTAACCACAGTTGTTTCTTCAACGCCCACAACCAGTAGTACCAGCATTATTAAATCAGTAAATCATAGCATCGTGTCCATGATATTCATTGGGTTACTTTTAGTATTTTGGCAGAATTAAGTATTGGGAGCAAGAAACGAACTGAATTTTCATTTACACCTTTATTATAACTGCACTAACTTTTATATTTTTTACGTATGCATACTATATATATACGGAGGGACAGCATTATGTTACTAGGGTGCATGACTCGCTGCATGGGATTTAGCCCCACCAATAATTTTTCCGTAATTAGTTTTTAATTTCGAATATTTTTTAGTTCGCTCAAATTTACAAGCAATATTTTTAGCAATTTGTAGTTTTTGCTTACAAATACAAGCATATGCATATCTTATCTTGAATACTGTCGCAACATTCACATCAACTTTAATAACCAAACAAACGAGTATTCTAATAATCTAATTTCCTACGATATATCTGTCGTGATAAATCCGCTATGTTTACAGAATCAATCATCATGACATTAGTCTATATTGCTTTTTGACTATACTACATCGTCGTTAGTGGAACATGATTATAATAATGAGTAATCTGACTATAACTTCGTGCAGCAGTTAAGTTTTACATGGAAATTTATGGATTGAAATTAGTTATGTTCACTACATATGTTTAGCCAAAATAAAAAAAAACATGGAGACAAAAAATATCTACTATTTCTCAATAATCCTTAAATTGAGAATCATTTGTGGCCATTTCAAAGGCCTATATTTCAAAATTGTCCCTGACCACCCGACAGTCAAAACCCTCCACAAAGCCAAAGATTATAGCATGCCTTCTCCTTCGACGAATTTGCAGTCTAAATTTTCTGTTAGACGCGATGAGGAACTAATATATTTTCAATATTTCATCTACTGCTTACTTGCATTATATTTCGAAATTAATAATGCTAAAGCAAAGAGGAACTAAATCCATTCAAACTCAGCGAAATATTCTATAATTTCGAAGCGGCATTCTCTATGTGTGTAGTTACTCCTATAAAGGCATTTCCTTTTCTCCGACCAAATTTTACATTTGTACCCATCACTTTGCAGGTCCTTTTCAAGTATTTCCATCAATAGTTTCATGTTGATGTTAGACCCATCGTCATCAATAATTATATCAGCGGCTTCAAGTCGTCGTTTCGTTTGACCAAATTTTTCTTGCTTGCAGTTACCCTCACATTCAACCGACAATAGATGTTCGTTTAGAACACACTCAATTGGATCATCCAGCTTCTTTTTCTCAGATGAAGTAATGAGTCCAACAGTCGCTACTTGTGTAAGATTTTCTTCGCTTTTCTTCTGGGCTTTCTGAATCACATTTTCTTTTATAAAATCGAAGTTTTTCAACTTGTTTTTTGTCGCCTCCTGCAATCGAAAGCGAAATATACCCGGTGTATTTTCGAGTCTCTTTATTAACGTCTGAATTTGGTAGTATAAGGCTTCCTTGTAAACCTGCAATTGTACAAAATAAAACAAAATATATATCAATACTTGAATGGTTCATGTTTTATTCTATAGAAACCTTTGAAAATTAACCATAAAAAAATTATGAATTTTTCGATTGGATGAAACCTGCATGCATACCTGCATGCTAAGATTATTTGGTGGCATTGTCGATTTATCTCTAAGAAAATTTAATATATGCTCAAATGGTTCTCCAGGTCTATCAATAAATGGACAACCATCTTGATCTCGTTCAAGATTATGTTTTCCACTAAACATAGACGAGAGCATTGATTCCTCGCCACATAAAGTAGCTAGCAAAGTTTCATAATGCACTCCTCCAACGTTAATTCGAATCACGGATGGTAGAGCTCTCTGAAATTGAAAAAGTTAATTTTGTAAAATAGCTATGATATTGCTTGTAATTTTAATTTTAGGACAAATCATATTTTTATGTTATGCATATTATATTTTCGTACAACGTACAAAGATCATATTCCAGGGGGAAAGTTTGAATTGGGTCAGTTACCGTATGACTGCTCTAAGCCATGCAATGATCCACGGCGTACACGCGTACGCGATGTATATCGAAACGATTTCGACTATTGGCATACAAGGATTGTTAAGTTAAAGTTAAAGTTAAAGTGTATAGTTTTCATATATATATATCGTTGGTCATTGGCCATGCTCCACGTTTTATTGTCGTTATTCAATGAAGTATTTTTTTTGGAGAGACAAAGCATTTTATCAATGGCGGCGCCAGGGTAAAATGAAATGGGGGGGGGAGGGCAATTGGGGGTCAAAGAAATGTTTTGGGACTGTAAATTTCACACGCAAAGAAGCAGTTGTAATTCAAGAGACCCACACAGAGGCAGGACGCGATTTGGCAACGTTTTTTATATTTCAAAATCGAAAAAATTATGAATCATAATATTCTTGTAGATTTAACGATAATACATTTTGACTGCTCTGGTGTTCTTAGATTCCAAATTTAGTTTCCAGAATTTAATCTTAATGCATGAGATTGATGAGAACGAGGCTTAGACCGCCCTTGCATGAATACAGAAAGCAGTCGGGGCCTGATTAAACGGATTTTTTTGTCAACCTTACATGATTGTCATTATCACTCAGATTTTCCCCTTTCATCACTGCAACTTTCAAGATGCCAGTTCTGCTTCCTATAATCAAAAACAATATTCAGTTTATTTATTTATTTTTCTTTGCCAGTCGAACACAAAGAGATACAGTAATACAAAAAATAACTGCACAAATAATTACATATATATACAGTATATTTCATAAACTGACAATCATGGCAGGGTATTGCTACAGCTCACGCCAATTACAGCAGCCCTTTCAAAACAAATAAAATCGACATGGTGCAATCTCTATTTGATCATTTATAGTAATACAATATCTAGTTTCCACTCAGGAAAACCATCCTCATGATAGGTGCAGAATAGAAACTTCAGTATTAATAGGTCGTTTGTACACCATGAGTTCACAAAAGCAAAATGACTGCTCACACCCCCCAGGAAGATCCACCTATGAGGAAATTTACCTCTAACAAAGCTGGACAAAACGAACACAAGGACACACATTTGAATTAATAGCAGCACGAGTTTGAATTAGACAAATTAAGGGCGTTATCTTCACTGCGTTGTTAGTCCTTTTGGAACGGAACATTCCAAGCTCTCGCACAACGCTAGAAAAGAACGACTTCTGGAACTTTGCAGTCTTACACTTTGGTGTGATGAACGTCAAGCACTCGGGGTTGGATGATCTCGTGTTGCTCTCTCCCGATTCTGAATTGAAGAACTCTACCTTTAACTTTTATCATTCCATTGATTCATGAACACCAGATCCAAAAATTCGAGCCAATAGCAGAGCGGAATGAGTCGCTTACTATATATAGTTAATATCGCAGATAATTGGTGGATCCAAAATACACTTGCTCCTCGCGTTTTTTCGTCCGTTTAATCATGCAGTTCCACAGCTTGTGGCGCCCAGACTTGAGACGCATAGCATAGCTTTCAACGTACAAGAATCAAATATAGAGTACGGCGAACCGAGATAGATTTTATATCCAGTGTAGACCTCCTAACGTATCCGATTTTCTCGTGGACTGAGCACATTGGTCTTCAACATGTTTGGACCAAGTCAAATTGGAAGCACTCCATACTCCTAAATCACGCTCTTGAACAGTGCTTTCTACGACGGCATCGTGTAATTTGTAGTTCTATTTTCTGGTGTTGTGGGGTTATTCGCAAAACTTTACATTTTTCAGCGTTTAACATCAGGTTTACCTTACTGAAACGTTGATTCTTGAAGCGATGATGCATCAGACATCCACTGTTTTAAAAACCTTTGTGTCGTAGCTGCAAAGGTTGCAATGCTCGATTTGTCCACACTTTCGGAGAGGTGGTTTTCGTACGAGAGAAACATGCAGCAGTGGGCTGTGGCATAGAATTGAGGCTTGCGTTACGCCAGCTAATGGTCTTGATATTGCTCCACCAACTGCTGTCTGTTGATAACGATTGCTGAGATAGGATGCAAACCAGTTTAGAATATACCTTGAAACCCGAACTCGCATAATCGGTGCAAGAGCTGAACGTGACTTACTTTATCAAGTGCCTTCGACATGTCCTGTCCAGGTAGATTACGTCTATCTGCTTACCGTGGTCTAATTTCCGGACTATCTGTTCGAATACTTCCATCAGTTGCGTCACGCATGACTTTCGACGGACAAAAAAAACCGTGTTGAGAAGAGTTTATTTGTTGAAAAACGTGATGTTCGATGTTGAGGAACACGCAACGTTCAAGGACTTTAGAGACAATGGGAAACAAGGAAATTAGACGGTAGTTCTCTACGTACGATTTGTCGCCACGTTTTAAATACAGAATAATTTTACTCCCGCATGGATAAATGCGGGGGGGGGGGGGTCGCGAGGGTTATTCTGTTTATACATCACGATCATGCTGGATATAATTTTAGATATCTTAAAATCATTGCTGATGAATTACGTATTTTGAACCTTTAAATCCCAGAGGATCGCTGAATTGATTTATATAAAAGATAGTCTCGATCGGTTGACTGCATCACGAACGATTTAGAAACCGGTCCCCGCAAGCATACACTAAGTTGAATGGTGATGGAATTGATGACGGAGATTAGTGAGCTTAAGCGTAAGTGACGTTTTTTGACAACACAAACGGTATGAATAACGTCAAAAGACTGGGTCAAGAATTGTAATTGGTGACAACGTACGTGTTGTCAAAAACGTCACTTAATTCCTTAGCGCTTCTTTCCACTTGCACTGCACGTTTTTTGAACGTATCGCGCATATATGGACGTAAATTGTGTTTTTCTCTGGCATAAAATTAATCTAATTTAGAAATTATATACAACAGCTTAGAAGGTTTTAAATGCACGTGAGTGTGTATATATATATATATAAGCCCTCAGGGCTGCTATCCACTGGCATGTACTGCACGTTTTTTTTAACGTACCGCGCATATGCACGTAAAGGTTTCAAATAATTTAAATGATACTTATGAAATCGACGATCGAATAGATGCATAGGGTTGTATTCTATTGATGATTTGATGTGTTTTTTCTGGCATAAAATTAATTTAATTATATACAACAATTTAGAAGGTTTTAAATGCACGTGCGTATACGCGCAAACAACGCGACATGCATGTACAGTGGAAAATAAGGTTGCACGCGTACTTTGTTATTTTGAACAAATTTTCTGCACCGGCTGCCAACAATTCATCGCCGACTGCGAACCATGCTTAATTTGACTTCTTTAGCTGTTTGACGTTTGCCATGAACGTCAATTTAATGCTAATATATGTTATTGCCCATCATTTTTTGCCCAGTAAGAAATGCTTCCTCTTGGCTTGAGAAATAGTATATGAAATAATTGAATGACTGCGACTAGGCGTTCTTCTTGATTGATCTTTAGATATTTCTATAGCCATATTCACGCAATTGAATGAGTTAAAATTAAAAAGTGCCAGTCAGTGTATTACTATGCAATTGTTTTGGCACTAAAATTGAACATCAAAGACAAAGTATAGCAGATACGATGCTTCTGAAGTTGGATAATAAAGCTAAAACTCAGTAAAACGACTAAAAGGCAATGTTTTTATCATTTCGAGACAGAGCGAGCATATATATACATGTTGATATTATAAATTATTAATTATTGCCCGCACTTTTGAACAATATAAAATTTTCTCAAGCGTCGTATAAATAGCGTAGAAAACTATTTCCACTGTATATTACCGCCATATCAAAATTTTATTATATGTAGAAGAATGTATTAAAGTTTATACCTGTTCAGAAATACTAGTTCAGCTTTAAAAAGGTTATGTTTGATCCTTTCTTCGAAGCAGAGAGTAGTATAACATCTGCTGACGGCCAAAATAATATATGTATTCATTTGTTTTGGCTTGTCCCAGTCCACTGTTTGTATGTATGAGACAAGATGCAAATGAAACACCTGTCATATATAAACGTGGGGACTATTTCGTATTTCATATTTCCGATCGTACACTCGTTGAAATAAAGAGCGCCACTATATCGTTCAAATTTTTTTGCGCACTAGAATTTCAATGTTGATTACAAAGGTATTTCCGAGACTGTGACAAGGCGGTTTTCAACTGAGCGGGTTTTTCGATCGAACGATTTTTTGCTCGGCTTCCTCTCAATTTTTATCGTTCAAGTGATCCGCTTCGCCTTTGGTCAAACGTCTCAAAAATTCGTTCGATCACAGAATTCCGCCTGATAGTGGAAAATCGGGTCAGAAAAAGGCCCGATTTACAAACTTTACACTGTTAGATCAGAATTGGAATTTTGAACAGGTCTAAGACTTTTTTATAGAAGAAGACATCGAAGTAGAACTCTGGTGTGTATACTTTAGGAATAAAAAATTCTTCTTAACAAACGACAAGGTTTATCGCAAACCGTTCAAGTATATATATGCGCGTCTCCCATGCATGCAATGGTACACTATTGTCCGCCAATATTACTATCAGCATTCATCTCATACACGCATTTTGTCTTCATTGAATAATTACAGAACCTCCATGTAATTGAAATGCTGATAAAGAGAAAAAAAGTAAAATTAATAAAGTAAAGACTGAAGTACCCATTGTGTACAGCTAATGCTGTGGGCTCAACTACTGCCAAAAGTGTTGTTGCATTATACTGATAGCTATAATGCAATCTCTATAGAGACACTTTTCCTCTCACTTGCAATATTTGACCTTCATTAGAATCGCTAAACCATCGATCACTTATATAGGACTTCTGATCGGTGCATATAATAGCTAACACATGCATGCATACACGTATGATTCTTGGCAAATGCAGGAACCATGCAGTTTATTCGTTTTAATCTAATCTTAGTCACCGTACGTGCATGGACATTATAAGATCATGCAGTTTCAAGAGATCGCTTGTATGTATATATGAATGATATTTTTCATACCGCCAAAATTAATGCTCCAAAAAGAAGGGCTTTGCTTTTTACCGGTAGGTCTTTATCGACTAAAATTAAATTAAAAATGTAAATTAAAAATGATGTTCACCATGCACTATAGCAAATATATAAATAAGTTATTAATGTCAGTTGGTATATATACATTGACGTACCCCTAAGTGTAAAATTGTCAACCTCAGGTGACAAAAAAAGACTTAGACTACCACCGCAGCAACCTCGCCAGTCATGAGATATTTCACCAACTTGTTTTGAAAGGCTTTTATTCATAATCTAATTGATGATAAATAATTAGTTTATATAATAAAATACTAAGCAGCTATAGCAGCAGATACCGGTATATAATACCCTTAATGTATGAAAGTTTTGTTTTCCCCGAGGGGAAGTGAGAAACATTGAGACTCGAGGGAAAACAAAACTCACTATTTCCCGAGGTATAGTGTACATCAAGTGTTTTGTTATATAGGAACAAAAACATACATGTTACACAACAATTTCATTTAAAAAAATCCATGCACTTTACTTTGTTATGAAAAAATGCGGGCAACAATTTTTCACTTGTTTCCCTGGAGGGAAACATTGCAATTATTTAAAGTCACGTGACTACGAATGAACCAATCACATTTAAAATACACAGCACCTATATAACAACATTGTCTAACAGTTTAACGTCTTTTAAAAAGGACATCAAACTTCTATCATAAATCTAAAATGATATTATGCTACAACCAAAAACATATATTATTTTTGACCTGCAGTCATCATATATTATTTGTGACCCGCATACATGGTATCGCGTAAGATATGGTGAGGACAGTATTTCACAGTATTTTTAGGCTTTGCTGACTAGCCAGCTATATAGGTCTTGATTGTCTAAAATGATATACCGGCCCCCGCGCATGCTGCAGACTGAATTGGAATTTGCCGTACGTTTTTTCCCAGACGGGGTTTCATGCCCTCGATCGAAACCGTCGCACACCATTTTTTTCTTACCCTAAAGACATCGGGCCTTGTACACTCGAACACGCAGCCCCCAGGACCATTAACAATAAACTCCACATTGCCTACTTCGTCTGCAATCTCATAATAAACAGAAGGACCAAACCACGACAAGCAGGTTTCACGCGCACTAAAATGTTGAAATGATTTTCTTGAGAGAAGATTGACCCATCATCAGCCATGCATGCTACACATGCAGTTATTGAAAGTTAATTGTTCGCGAGAGTACGCAAAAGTATATATACATGCATGCACACGAAACGCTCTGTTTTAGGATTAATCAACCTACGCATGTTTGACAAAACCCAAGATCTGCGCTCTTCTGTCTCTCACAACAATGGTAGCACGTGAACGAGGAAAAAAGATTGGGCTACAACATTTCATCAATCGTTCAAATTCCAAAATTTTGTTGTTGGATGTTTTGTCGAACACACTCATAAAAAAAGGACGATTAGTTGAACATATAGCTCTGACAATAGCCGGGTGAGCATTCTCTGAAAATAAATATATATATATACTATTATTCAGTTCGAAATCAAGTTATTAAAAGGGAGCTATAAAAAAATATCACCGGATTCGCCTTAAATTATCTTGGGATCTTGAAATTTTCACTTAAACATATTTTATTTAGACTATCGCTAGATTGTTTGCCTCTCCAATATATAGCATGCAGGAAAATTAAACAAATTTCGATTGCGTCTATAAATACTAATTATCTAACTCTGGATTACGAAAGAGCGTGATTGCCTACTAATAAATACAGGGACTGTTTACACCAGGACCGGTTTTCGAAAGGCGTTTAATAAGGTGGATAAGCCAACGTTTAAAGATACTCTCTACATAACCTACATCACTTCCATTGACAATTAACCTACATATTTACATCGAAATATTTCAGTTCAGTTGTTCAATAAATAGATAATTTTTTTTTCTATTTTGAACTTAACAACCGGCCCCAGTGGCATAGATCGATCCGAGTTCGATCGGTTTAGGAAGGTGATCTAAGATCAATCTGAGGTTGATCTAGTTTACATGCATCTGGACGCATTGATTGGATATCGATCTAACACAAGCATGGAAATGGAATTATTACCAAACTGCTGAAAACAGAAAACACTAGTGGACAAGGTTTATTACGTTAGACTATCAAGCTATCATATATACAGAGCTTTATTTTAAGAGCTTTAGATCTATATTCGTGATCGTAACACGAAAGGTTATAACCCCGTTTTTTAGTTTCCATCTGCCATAATTCGGAACCAATTTCTATAGTACAAATGAAGCACACTCAAGTCAACCGACCTGTTCTCAATGAAACTATGTATATAGATCGCTATCGCTTAGCATGCATGTGTATATAGTGTGAATTAATTAACATCTGCGAAAAGGAGCCAAATGTTACCAACTGTATAGATCGATCGAACGATCATAAACTGAATGAGAACAGGTCCCTTGAAAACACTTAAAGAAAAAAAACGTAATCTCATTCATAATACGCATCCAGGGTATTGTTGGGGTTACATTTTGGGTTATAAGAATGGTGAATTTTCCAACCTTCCTCTATTGTTAGTACAGTTTTCATGTTTCCGTCGTGAACCTGATATTTGTTGCAAGTCCACCATGCTATATAAAACGGACAGACAGTAGAAAGTTAGAAATCAGATTGCATATATAATATTCTCCAAGTAATTACACTTAAAATCACTACATGCATGTATAAAAGTTCAAAGGTTTAGACAACTTTTTTGCAGTGCCATGCAGTAGTGACTATTATAGAGATCATCCGTTTTTCATTTTTCATCCCAAAAACGTGAAGATTATTCAACTCAAAAAAAATATATGTGGCAATGTGCCGGCAAAAGGTAATTTTGAGGTTTATTTTGCATATATATACATGCAAGTTTCGTTACTTTTCTCATGACCTCTGCTACATGCATGCATGTGCTGATGATGTACATAGCCTATATATATATGTTCAATCAAAAGGTTTGAAAATTCCATCATTAATGAAACCCTTTACCTTTTACATCAGGGCATTTACCTTCAGTTACAAAAGCTTCGGCGATATATTTTATATACCCTCGTGGCTTTAGCCTTTACTGCATGTTGTCCTTTACGCGTTAGCTCAGACGGCTATATGGGTACGCGGGTGAATTAAAAACACATACATGCACATGTTCATTTGCTCATCTCTCGGAGCGTTTCACATTCGATCGAGTATTGCTTTGGACACACGCGAGCTATACCTCAATGCTGTAAGCTTCTCTATCCATTTTCAACCAAATATTTGTATGGAAAGTAAAATTATATGCGCGACCTTGGCATACGAAATTGTTTGCTTTAATTGCTTATTTGCAGACCGATTCAAGGATCGCGTGGTCCATGGATAATCAGATACATACGTTCATTTTCTTCCTTTAATTGCTGCTGTCCGACAAGCGTTGTGACTTCTGATAAACTCGCTAGTTCATTTTCTAATCCAAGCGAACCGATATTTTCACCAGAAAGCACATACTGTTGATTTTGTGTCTCAGCCATGATTGAACAAATTAGAGTGAGTATGATAGCCGACTAGCCGTGGAGAATTGTTTATGGTGTATTGAATTACTGTATGCGGTATATCAAATGACAGCACTTTCTGATTTGTTTGGCAAAGTAGATGGTATCAATACAGTAAAGATAGAACAAGTACGTGCCATTTGAATATTTTTTTAGCTTTTCACAGGTGCGTTAGCGACTTGCTGCATGCATACGGTCCATGCAATTATTGGTTTCTATGCAGGAGTAAAAATTAAAGAGGAGGCATGAAAAAACATACGAAAATGACCTCCGAGCTGAGACTTCAGACTTAATCATTAAACTATATCATGAGATCATGAGCAATGCTTTATAATTGAGCTTTGGAAAATAGGTTTTAGGGTGATCGAAAACATATTTATGCAAGTCTAAAACTAAATGTTGATTTGGCGTCATATCAGGAAATGAAAAACATTTAGGCATGGTACTCTATAACGTATTGTATGATTTGTATCTTCTCTATAGCTATTGCAGGATTACTCTTTAATTCTATTTTCCGGATTTCCATTCACATGCAGGTTCAGTTTTTCGATTTCTTCAGCAACTCGTGTTTTTATCCGCTACACGATAAACGCTTCTTCCGTTTCCCAAGCTTTTTCATGTTATCATGCAGTTGCGTTTGCCCCTCCAGACTTAACAAATGAACCCACGTTTTTCCCTTTATCGCTTCCGCTTTTGCCCACATTTTTCCATGATTTTCCCATATGTTTTGCACCAACTACGACCGTTCGACTTGATTTTCGGCGTCCCCCAAACCACGCGTCGGTGTCGACAAACAAACAGATAGCGATAAACGCGAGAACCAAAATTTTGTAATCAACTTTCATGATTTTCATATGTGGAAGACACCGAACGAAAGTGACAAAATCTAGAGCGCTTGCGTTTTTAAGGAGAGGCACCCTATGTGGCCTGAAATTATATTGACAACATATTTTCAAATAATAAATACATCTTGTGACCTTGACGTAGAAGAGAGAACTGGAAGATTCATGACCCATGTCATGAACGGATTCAATGATATATATTTAACTACTACTCGCGTGAAACTAAATGGAAGTACCAACTACCAAGTGATGAATTGTAACCCAGTGCAAAGGGTCTGCAAAGAATATTTTAATTCTATTGAATTGGTGGGTCTCATCGTACACTGCATGCATGACGTTAATAAATCGGTTGATGTTGACTGTGTGTCAGCGTTGTGTCCACGTTGTATATCATAGGCAAGGCTTTTTTTAACAATATAACTGGAGAGAAAAAGCCTCCCAGCCCCTCCTTCGGCCCTCTTGAAAGACCTTTTAAAGAGTTCGATAATTCGATTCAGAAGAAACTCAAGAAAGTATAATGATATTCTGCCATCAAACCTCCCCGTAATTCATATGCAATGATTCCTCTTTGTATACATATTTATTATATGCGTCAATACTATATAAACCTATATAAAGAAGTACTGAAAGTACTGATCTTTGTAAATTTAGTACTTCCTGTCGTGCATGAGAAATCTAGCTGAAACGCATCTTTAATTCGCATCCTCTTCAGCTCTGAACGGCGTATATACAGTTTGTATCTTCCTGCATACTTTGTCAATTATAGCTATTTTCCTTAGACGGAAATGCATGTGATGGGGTATAAAACCATCGAATTACCTTTGGGACGTCAGAATTTGTACAGTATCTTTTCAGAGTAAGTTTTCATCAAAGAATATCCAGGATGGTTCTGAAATCGCTGTTGTTATTAATGTTGTTTGTTGTAGTGGCGCAATCATGCAGTCGACGCCGTGGTGGCGGTGGACGTCGGCCGAGTTGTAAGCCCATTTGCAAAATAGAATGTGACCGTATTCGAAATTGCGCCCAAGAAGGTTGCCCTGTTGAAACAACTTGCCGTAGAATTTGTACTTGTAGAAGTGTTAAGAAACGGGAAGTTCAAACTGGTGAAAGCGATGTAACTGTTTTGTTACCAGATTTTCATAAGTTTTCAGACTACGACAGTGATCAAAATGGTGAGATTTCCAAAAGCGAATTTTCGAGTGTGTTGAATGTGACTGAGAAAGATGCTCAGGAGGCCTTTGAGTTCCTTGACATTAATGAAGACGGGAAGATAACTCCTGATGAGTTTGAAACAATCAAAATGAGCGTAAACGAGACGGCGCGCGATTAAACGAAGACGATTAAACGAAGATGTTACAACGAAGGATTTTATGGAATATGGATTTATTGGATTAACATACTATAGTATAGTGATACTAGTCAAAACGATTATATACTGATAATTAAAATTTCATGTTTCGATAATTTAACGTATATAATTTAGAGATTTACAGATTTGTCTTTCCTCTAAGAGGAAAAAATATAAACCGTTCTTTTGATGCTGTTCGATTAAGTTTAGATTTAATTGGGTTAAGAATATATTTGATACATGTAGATTCTGGTCCTATTTCAATAATATCACTGCTCTCTCGCGCGTTCAAACCGGTTACGTCACAAGAATGCAAGGCGCGCTAAGGACGACTAGGGACTAGTCTGGTTTTACAACATACCTATGTTGAGACTTCGGAGGCTTTATATGGCACGCCAGAGCAGTGCTTCCACTCGCTTTAATCGGAATTTTTTTTTCTTTTTCTCTTTTCCCTTCAATTTCCTTCCAATTTCTTTCATATTTCCTTCTAATTTTCCTGGCAGTTTTATTTATAAATATCTGAATTTTTAACCCTTTTATAACTCACGGGGTGTGGTTAAAAATGTCTCGGAAAACTTGGTCTTTGATAAGTGTAAATTATGTACCAATTATGTAAAACTGGTTTATTAGGTAAATTTGTCACGTGTACAAGTAGAGCACATGCAAAACAGCCCCTAAAACAAATAGGGTAACAGTTCCCTCCAAACAGAAATTATACTAAGATTTATAATAAATTGGGCGAAAAGCTAGAACACAAGTTACAACATAGTGCCAGTAGTCAACTATGAGCGAAATAAATACAGAAATAAAGACAAATTAGTGAGATTACATCCCGACTATTTCTTATTGCTATAAAATTGACTTAATTAAGTGGAGCCAGCATGAATTTCTTTTAAATTTCCTTCCAAAAAATATTTCCTGGCATTTTTCCTGCCAAAGGCCAATATTTCCTTTTCAATTTCTTGGCAAGTGGAAGCTCTGCGCCGGAGTTAACGCCAGAACAGGCGTCTTGTTACTTCGGTGTGGCGACGGAGTTGAAAATTCGTCTAGGTTTTGTTTTGCTATAGTTTTTTTTATAATTTTTCGTCGTCGCAAGTGTGTTTTGGCACGAAATATACTAGTATGTGAAATGTGTAGGTGGTTTATGTGACCGTATTTATCTACGTCACAGTTTTGTGTTTTAAAATTATAGAAAGTTGACCAGTCGAAGGAACCTATTTCAATACCTTGACGATGATCTACCTACACAACCCGCCAACCAGTACCGCATGAACGTCCTCTACTGAAACAGCCTCCGCTCCTTCTGCAGAATGAGAAAGAGAAATAATTTTTTATCTTAAAAATATTAATCGAAAACCTTCAAATGGATGATAGAAACTTAGCTATACCTGCTGTACGATGAACGACTGTGGCTTCTTCCACTGCATGCTACGGCGTCCCCATAAAAACCATGCGTCAGTGTCGACAAACAAACAGATTGCGATAAACGCGAGAACCAAAATTTTGTAATCAACTTTCATGATTTTCATATGTCGAAGACACCGAACGAAACTGGCCAACTTTAGGGCGTTTGCGTTTTTAAGGAGAGGCACCCTATGTGGCCTGACGCAAATCTCCTCGAGGTGTTAACAACTCCGTGAACGGATGTTCTGAATCGCGCTGGAAGCCAAAAAAGTCACTCGTGTTCTGAATCGCACTGGAAGAAAAAAAGTCACTCGTTAATCACTTTACAGGATAACTGCTCATTTGATCAGACTCTGGACTATTACCTGAGTAAATAAGCCAAATATGCAAATGACCAAAGGGAAAACGAAGAAAATTGAAAAAGTTTACGAGACAGTGTCAGGCTTAATTATTAACTCAACCAATTTATCAGGCCCTCCTAATCAAAATATGCTGTCATACACCTACAAAACTGCCAACACAATCGATTCATTCAGGGAGAATTTTGATTGTCTGCCGAAAAAAAATTGTATCTTCGTTCAGGCAAACCACCTCCATGAAATTGCTGGGATTTAAAAACGAACCCGCGCTAAATTTAACATTTTAACTTCGGTCAGTGAATTAGTCGCAAGAAGGAGAATGAAACGGAATGACAAAATTATCGGTGCACCATTGGAAACGGTAATGGGAAGCGTTTTCAACAAAGCACGTGCTCTAAAATTCATGCCCGGAAAACCACTGCATATAACCTTAAAAACTTTAAAATTAGTTGCCTGCACAGGCTACTGATGCATTTTTAATTCTATATATTTCTATTTTACATTTCTATACCCTATATGACTTGATCCCATATATTTGTATGTTAAACATTCATGAAATATATAGCTAACTTTATATAGCTAGCTAGCTTTATAACTAACAATTAAATTATATTCACAACATATCAGTTTCAAATAATAAATACATCTTATGACATTGACGTTCATGACCCATGTCATGGTTCCGCTAGCGCTGAAGAGGATGGATATATTGAAGGATTATATTTAAAAAAAATACTTAAGTTAAAATAGCACTAATCACTACTCGCATTAAACTAAATGGAAGTACCAACTACCAAGTGATGAATTGTAACCCAGTGCAAAGGGCCTGCAAAGAATATTTCAATTCTATTGAATTGGTGGGTCTCATCGTGCACTGCATGCATGACTTTAATAAATCGGTTGATGTAGGCAGTTGACTGTGTGTCAGCGGTGTTTCGACGTTGTATCACAGGCAAGGCTTTTTAACAATATAACTGGAGAGAGAAAGCCTCCCAGCCCCTCCTTCGGCCCTCTCGAAAGTTCCTTTTGAAGATCTCGATTCAGAAGAAACTCGAGAAAGTATAATGATTTTCTGCCATCAAACCATCCTCTGCTGTTTCCCGAGATAAATTCGTCAATGAGTGACCCCCAAATGCAGGAAATCAAGCCATAGAGACACAAAAATACAGACCAAACCCCCGTACAACATGCACCCATATCTTTTATTCCTCCAAGATATCAGTCCCAAGATGCCCTTACTCATTTCAACACATCCGTTCAGTTTTCTCTTTTCAGTGTACGTGGTAATAAATAAGTATTTGCTTCCCACCACTTATGATGACAATATACTATAGACCACATCTCAAAATATTTGTGAACTAAAGTCCTATACGTTTAAGATGTGGTTATGATATCTGATTCCGTAGGGGGAATGGTACACGAACACCAAATTTGTTTTTGATGTGTATTTCATATATGTTTTAATTAATTAATGTGTATTCAATGCAATGTTCCTGGAACACTCCGTAACACCACAGATGATATTACACACGATATCTTCTAATTCCTCTTTGTACATATTTATTATGCATCAATACTATATAAACCTATATAAAGAAGTACTGAAAGTACTAATCTTTCCAAATTTAGTATACTCCCTGTCGTGCATGAGAAATCTAGCTGAAACGCATCTTTAATTCGCATCCTTTTCAGCTCTGAACGACGTAGATACAGTTTGTATCTTCCTGCATACTTAGCCAATTATAGCTATTTTCCTATCATGTTTCAGGATGAACGCTTAGACGGAAATGCATGTGATGGGGGTATAAAACCATCGAATTACCTTCGGGACGTCAGAATTTGTACTGTATCTTTTCAGATTAAGTTTTCATCAAAGAATATCCAGGATGGTTCTGAAATCGCTGTCGTTATTAATGTTGTTTGTTGTAGTGGCGCAATCATGCAGTCGACGCCGTGGTGGCGGTGGCGGTGGAGGTGGAGGTCGGCCGACTTGTACGCCCATTTGCACAATAAGATGTTACCCTATGCGAATTTGCTCACCGGGAAGAGGTTGTCGTGTTGAAAGAAATTGCGGTAGAGTTTGTACATATCCTTGTAGAAGTGTGAAGAAACGAGCAGTTCAAACTGGTGAAAGCGATGTAACTATTTTGTTACCAGATTTTCATAAGTTTTCAGACTACGACAGTGATCAAAATGGTGAGATTTCCAAAAGCGAATTTTCGAGTGTGTTGAATGTGACTGAGAAAGATGCTCAGGAGGCCTTTGAGTTCCTTGACATCAACAAAGACGGGAAGATAACTCCTGATGAGTTTGAAATAATCAAAAGGAGCGTGAACGAGGACGGCGCGCAATTAAACAAGGACGATTAAAGGCGATTAAACGAAGATGTTACAACGAAGGATTTTATGGAATATGGATTTATTGGATTATCATACTATAGTATAGTACAGTGATACTAGTCAAAACGATTATATACTGATAATTAAAATTTCATGTTTCGATAATTTAACGTATATAATTTAGAGATTTGTCAACGCCTATACGTTGCCTCATAGTTGTACCTATAATTGTATAATTCCTTACCTGTAATTGTATTAAAATAATATTTCATTGCATATGCCCATCTCTCATATGTGCAACACAAAAGACTCCGCAAAACTAACGAGCCTATTCGTGTAACACCAGACTTTTCACGCTTTACCGCGATATTGGAAATCAGCTTCCCTTTTTTCGCCCCATCTGATCATGTATTGGTTGGCCTTGAACTGATTAGGTATTTTATACCGTGATTTGAGATGGAATCAGGCAGTCAGGAGTCAGTCAAATGTTTGACTACAACCTCACTACAATTACTTTGCCTTGATTTCGAGTTTTTTCAACCTGATCCTTTGTGTGGCATACTGAAAACCTATTGACCAAGTAGTGGAAATTGTAGTAAGAGATTCCTGTACTGATTAACGTAATCCCGTCATATCTATATAGACAGTGACTGTGTGCAGAGGTTAAACAGGTTTTGAATGATCTACGAGTAATTAAAAACATAATAGGTCGTCGTCGTAAGGTAGACATAGAGAATAAGTCGTCATAAGCCGTGAGACGGAGTCAGGCTTCAAACCTGACTGGAGTATGTTTTACCAATAAAAAAGAAAAAAACTAATGCAAGGTTATGAAAGGAAGTTTACAGAAAGGCGGTGAAATTACGAAATTCAGGGGGGTATTAAATCTAGAGAAACGTTTGAGTACGAGACTACGAAGAAGCGGGCTTGGTAATCAACTGTAACTTGTAAGCAACTTCTTCCACGACCAAAATTTGTGAAATATTTTCATAAAATTTATGAAGTTTCCATAAGAAATACTACATCGATTAAATTATAAATTTCTAAAGTTACAAGAGAAATCATGATGACCTCTATTATATGCTTTGTATTAGGCTTTGTAGGCAAACGAGTCCCAATGTACAATATATATCCGGACGCCTACTGGGACGCCTCACCTTTTCCCCCCGGGAAAGTACATAATCTTCCAAAAGCCGAAGCACTTACCAAAAGCGAATCAAAAGCGAATAGACCATAATGCAACGGAAGTAGGGAAGGAGTTTCAAGGCTGTCGTGATGGCTTCCACGAAGAAGAACACGAAAAAGCAGGATGAAAAGCATTTGAAAATTCTTCGGGAGCTGTGTTCTTTGCCCCACAATAAGAAATGCTTCGACTGCGGACAAAGAGGACCGACTTATGTCAACATGACGATAGGGTCTTTCGTTTGTACGTCGTGCAGTGGAATATTGTAAGTATATTGAGCTGTTTCATACTCGGCATTCGGGTCGAATCTTAGCTCGAATATTCATTATTCTGCCTTCATTCTTATTATAGTAATTTTCCTAATGTTGAAAACTGTCTTTCCTTGCATTCAAATGTTGCGTTATTTTTCTAAGACGCGGATTGAATCCACAACATCGAGTGAAGTCCATTTCGATGACTAGTTTCACTCCAACTGAAATCGAGTTCCTTCAAAATGCAGGCAATGAGGTAGGCACGTATTGTCCAGGAATTTATCTGTGTATAACATTTTCTCGACATTCTATACAGTAAAATTATAATTTGTTAGCTGTACTATTTGTTTAAGTCTTAAAATTCGTTTGGTTAAATCAATCTTACTATCTGACAGAGAAATTCAGAAATTATGTATCGTCGATTATGGGAACATGAATTAAACATAAAAACTACCACCAGTCTCTTGCGATATTTGTTAGATATCAAATCTAAGGCAAGTTTTGATTACTCAAACTACAAAAGAGGTACTTTTGGATGTACAATTTTGAAATCGGAAACATGACAGTAATGACACCAACTAGGCAATTACATATTATATACAATATGTCTAAATCATTGTCACGAGTCCTAAGTTGTTATGGCAGTACCATATTGTTTTTATTTAGTTCTAATTGGCTTATTATGTTGTAATTTCTAAACAAAATTTTTGCCCAACTAAGTAAATGCTTGATTTCTTAGTCCTATTTAATTCAGTAAAAATCAACCTGCCTGAGGTTACCCAATAACTTATAACGTGAACTCACCCAAATTATATTCAGAAAGTTTAAATTTATATTGCCATCTACTACATACATAGGCTGATTTCCAATATACACAACGTTTTTACAAAGCTAAGCGTATTATTAGATTGACAGTAAAGCAAGCATAATTAGCCAATCCTGAAGTCATAGTTATTATCTGTATTCATGGGAAAATTATTATTTGTAGATTTCATTGTATTGGCCATTGTCTGCACTTAAATATAAGCTATTAAATTTTGTTAATATTTGTCAAAAGCCATTTAACATCCATTAACCAGCCACATTGCTATGACTGATTTTTTATCAATCATGACTGGTCAATGTTTTGTCAGAGGAATTGTTGAAAATTGTTTAGTATATAAAGATTTTTGATATTTTAATTTTGAGATATGTGAAATATGGGATCGGAATAGATTTGTCCTGATTTTTTAAGGTATGCCGGCGATCTTGGCTAGGTTTATGGAATTCTCCTAATCCACCAGAACCAGAATCTAGAGATGAGATAAAAGTGAAAGATTTTATGATGCAAAAGTATGATAGAAAAACGTGGTACATTCCTCCATCCCAATTACCACCTGCTAGCCCAAAGACAGAAGCTTCACAGTCTTTGCCTGAAAGGAAACCACTGAAACAACTCCTTGGTGAGGGTTCACCAACCCTTGTTGTGGGGCAAGAGGTATAGTATATTTACAATTACCTGTGGATTTGAATATTTTATGAACGCTATTAACACAACAAGCTATATACGTTCTTTGACATTAAATGCAATATAACAAAGTATGTTATACATTTCCTATGTATTTTGTTGCATAAATATTTTAACATGTCTAATGGTATCAAATTGCACTTAGCTACAGCTTCTATATTAGGGAAGCCAAACTATTGTAATTGGGGGAGGGGGGGAGATGGGTGTGTTTACATAACATTAAAAGGATCAGGGCACTAGGCATATTGTGGTGAAATATTGTGGTGAACAAATACATATAGGATATTACATAGTTGCAAGTAAATATGGATTTTATGTTCAATTGGCAAAACCAATATCTTACAAGTGAGGGTAGCGAATGAGTGAGGTACTGTTTTTGACACAAGAACTTCATATCTTCAAAATTCATATCTTCGAGAGAACCGTATAATATTTTGTTTATTATATAAAATCAGAGCGAACCGTGTAATATTCTGTTTATTATATAAAATCAGAGTGACAAAAATACACAAAAAGACAACAAGTAAGATGCCACAAACAGGGCCGGATTAACCATATGGCAGAAGCGGCATATGCCACGGGCCCCGCGGTTTTGGGGGCCCCACGCTTTACTCAGTTCAATTTTTTTTCGTTGCATGGGAGACGGAGAAAGGGCCACAAAGCCTCATGGCCACAAAATAAAATAAAGTGACTCCTAGGTCGACTAAGCTATCGGAGCGAAATAAATAACGCGAAACCTTAGAAATCAAAAGTCGAGGCCCAATTAGGTACCCCTGCAACCAGATTCTCCCAAGAAAATTTTAGGGTAATGGGAAATTTAGAAATTTAAAACTTTAAGTAAAGGCAGAGCCACCCAGAGGGGTGGTCAAAGGGGGAAATTAGCCCCGAGCCCAGGGTTGTTAAGGTCCCCAAAAACCTACAAGAATAAAATTAAACTGCATGTTGTTGGAATATATAGTCCTCTTTCAGAAAACGTCTTAGGTTGTTTATATGTAGTTTAGGTAATGCAATATTATACTCGATTTTGCGGAAATCTCACCCCCAAAACGCAGAAAATCGCATTTGCTGCACTCTAAAACTCAAAATTTTCTTGGGGGAGGATGCCCCCAAACCCCCCTAACACTGCTATAGCCCCCAAAATTTAAAGTTAATACACCAATGTTCTGGTCATGCATTATCTCGCTACACTAGCACAAATTGCTACTTTTTTGCGGATTTTACTGCCCTAACGAGAATTTTACCCGAGCCCCAAAAATTCTGTGGCCGGTGAGTAAAGGCTTTGATGCTTTACGGGATTGAGGGGCCCCGCACTGAAAAAATGCCATGGGCCCCGCGAAAGGTTAATCCGGCCCTGGCCACAAATGACCATGATAAAAGTGAATATCTTTTAAATTATACAGCCTAAACTTCACAGTAGAATAATTTTTACTGATCTAAAATGTCTGTTAAGTGTTTTAATTTGTATTTCCAATTTTAATTTGGTTTTATATATGAACCAAACACCATTTGTATTTTCACAACAAAAACAATGAAAATGGTTGGGGAAATTTTTGACATACGGAAAATATGTGACATACGGAAAATATGTGTAAGGTACTCCGGATGTAGTGGCATACAAGTTCTACAAGTGTTTTAGTTTTCAGTAAAATACCCCCATCCGTATAATAAAGTATATGAATATGAACCCCCAGTTAAACCTCTGTTTCCAAAATAGTTTAGTGCTTTTATTTAAATTACATTACTGTACTCTACTCAACATTTTCCGCTTATGGGAATTTGAAGTGAAACCTAAAGACAAAAGATAATGCGAACTTAATTCAATGAACAAAGTGTTTGTTCTGCACAAGAAGAAGTTTGCCATAAATTTGCATTTCTGTTTTCAGTAATGATTCCTTGTTTGCCAAATTTTCAAAAAAAGGCCAATTCCCATCGGCGGAAAAATGTAATTTTTATTGACTTTTTTGTTGACCCAACATTCATTTTTCAACAGATGAATAAACTTAACAATGGTGTAAAAGTCAACCAATTTTATTGCATATATTCTGTGTAAATACACACCAATTTTGGATTCGAATTCTTTTGATACACACTGTATAATGTTTTTACTCTATAGCATCATTGTTTTTTCAGGCTCAACCAACTCCTAAACACGTATCCAATATTGGGGTTCCTGTATTACCACCAGTAGCACAGCCTGCTATTTCACAAGCACCTAAACCACCAGTTAATGATTTATTAGGAGATTTGGGAGGTGATCCATTTGCTCAGCCAGCAGGTACTGTTTTCATTCATACTTTCTGCAAGATAGAAATGTTATTATTGATGAATATGTTTCCATTTCAACAAAGAATTATTTTTATTGGCATCTTTTCAAAAAATGAAGAAAGTTGTTTTCAAAACTTTGCACCCTCTGTTATAATAATATTTGTAATAGTATATTTAATAGCATATTGCACGAAATATTGGTGTATTAGATTTTTGTTAAAATGCTCACACATCTGATGCGTTTTCAAGCTTCATAGCTTGGGTGGTTTGGAATTGTTCAAGCTGAGGCTCAGAATACTAATCAACAACTTAATACATTTATAGCTCCTGCAGGCTTCAATGCATTTGCAGGTCAACCAGCTGCACCAGCATCCAGTGGTGGTTTTGATGTATTTGCTAGTTCACAACCTCAACAACAGCAGCCAGCTCAACAGCAACAGCAACAATTTGGTGGATTTGATGCATTTGCCAGTAACCCACAACAGCAGTCTGCTGGTGGTTTCAATGCATTTGCCGGTGGTGGTGTGGCTCAACAACAACAAGCCCAAAGCCAAAGTTTCAATGCATTTGGAACACAACAACAACAACCACAGCAACAACAGCCGCAGCAACAACAGCCTGGCTTCAGTCCATTTGGCACATCACCACCCAGGGCTCAACAGCAAGGAGGTTTCAATGCATTTGGCAATACTCAAACTCAACAACCAGACCCCAAACAAGGTTCTTTTGGAGCTTTTGGAAATCCACCAGTTGCAGCCCCTCCAGCCTCTTCAAATTTTGATGCCTTTGGAAGTTTCAGCTCTCCATCAGGTAAAGTATAACCTTTTACGATATTGAGGTTAACCTGCCTACCTGTATGATAAGGGAATAACCCATTACCTTGATATCTCATTCTTAGTAAACTACTGTTCCCTTTTTGAGAATCATTTGAGTGGCAAATTTCTTCAACTGATTTAATAAAAATAATTTTAATTTCCTCTAACTTGCCATTGAAAAATTTGCTCAATAGTTTGATATTGTTTGAATGAGCATCCAGGACCATAGTAAAAGGGTATTTTAAAGGTCTTAGGGCCATAGATATGGAGGGGGTTTTTGGGAGAGGGTTAAATTTCATGACCTGTTATTTGGATTCAATTATACTAAATGAAAAAAATATTGATCACCGTATATTGTTTCTTTCCAGCTTCGCAACAAACCAAGACAACGTCAACTGTAGGAAATTTCGGACCAATGGTTTCAACTTCGGTCGCCGCCCCTCCAGCATCATCAAGTTTGGCACCAACCGGTGATAGATATGCAGCGTTAAGTGACTTAGACTCTATTTTCAAAGTACAAACACCAACGCCTAGTGTTGGGCAACAGGGATCTGTATTCAGTAACACTAGTAATACTTCTAATTCTCTTGGTATATCAAGCATGCCAAGTTCATCAGCTGGCTCCTCGGCTATGTCATCGGGACCTAATCCATTCGCCAGTATAGGAAACACGTCACTTCCTACCCAGTCTAACCCTTTTCAAAGTTCAACTGGAGGTATGGCACAATCAAATGGTTTTCCCGGTGGGAATGCTGGGTTTGGAACTGTTCCACAGTCTTCACAGATGAACGTTGCTGGCGCTGGAATGACTGTTATGGCAGCTAATCAGTTTAGTAAAATGGGAGGAAATCAACCCGGAATGTTTGGTACTCAAGGGGGGACTGGTTCCATGCAACCAGGGGCATTTAATGTTGGACAAGGACAGGTATCTGCAGGTGTCTCGGGACAATCAGGAGGCGGTCAATTCGGTGGTCCTCAGTTAGGAACTTCTGCATTAGGTGGCTCGCAGTTTGGGGCTTCCCAATTCGCTGGTTCTCAGTTTAAAGGCTCTCAATTCGGCAGCTCTCAATTTGGTGGCAGCAATCAGTTTGGTGGTGGACAAGCTGGAAGTAGGCAAATGGGCGTTGGGCAGTTCCCTGGTGGGCAGATCGGTGGGGCGGCAGCCATGCAACAACCGCAACAGCCAGCGTTTGGTGGTGGCATGGGAACGAACCAATTTGGTCAGCGGCAGCAGCAACAACAGATGCAGCAACAGCAGATGCAGCAATTTGGTGGCGGTTGGCAACAGCAACCGCAGTCTAATCCATTCATGGTAAGGGTATATCTTAATATTCGTTTTATGCGCTTCAAATTTACATAATGAAATATAGAATATATGGCGTATAGTATATGGCAAATCCCCGTAGCGTGGATAAAACGATTGTATACAAATCGGCATACATATGCAAACTAAAGCCCAGGAATCCATCGTCTCATCTGGTGTAATCATCGGTAAAATGTCTCCGAGCAGAATCAAAACTGCTAGGCGTTTCTGTTTGCGAAGTAACTTATGCTGACCGTCGTAGGCAGAAACACATTCAATAAGTTTTGAAACCAATCAGTGTTTTTTAGCTATGATTATGTATATGCACAGGAAAGGATACATTTATTCTAAAGTTAATGCTCATATTACTAATGTTTCGTTGGTGTTCTTCGTAACTAGAAGAAGATGATTTCTTTTCATATTTACTTCGCTTCATTTACCTGCATGGAATACATCCAGCTGTATACAATGCATTATTTTTGGCATTAGATCCACAGTCTGATTACTGTTTCTTTCCAAATATAGGGCGGTGGCCTTGGTGGCGGACTTGGAACACAGCAAAGACAGTCAACAAACCCATTCATGTAGCTAGTTGCTTCTCCTCCCTAGAAATATCTATGATTTATCAAATAAAAATGTAACGTTTTTACTTGATGTAATTAAAAACAGTCTTAGGATTAGAACAAAAAACATCCAAGCAAGCCACGTCTAAAAATATTACGTATTCATATGTATAGAAAGGAATAGTAGAAGTTCCTTAGCCGCATGTTGCTGTGCTGCATGAATATGAGGGCAGGCCATTTGATGTTTAATGAGGGCTGCGGTAGGGGCTAGGTTTCTCTTATTAAAACATCCGATACGCACTTTAATCCTTAAAAAAATATAATGCAAGACTTAAAAGATTTAAAGTGCAAAAATATCGGACGCATTGAAAATTGGCCATCCCCCGTCAAAAGTCAAATGGTCTGTCTCTAAAATGATCCTGAACTGTTGAATTTAAATTGTATGAACTGATCAGTAATTAAGGAATGTTTTCATTATCAGTTTGCCATAAAACTGCTTAAAACTGCGTAACACATTATTGTGAGTGAACAGTTGCCGGACTCGAAATCTAAGGAGATTCATATCTAAGGAGAAGATATTTGATGTATATTTGGTTTCTGGTTAACGGTTTAACTGTATTCTCTCTCTGAGCCGAACTGATTGATAATTTTAAAATACCACTATGCTATATGATGTAAGTTATGTGTTTCCAGTAGTGGTACTTTCATTTAGTGCATTCAACAGTGGCCGTGATATACGAATAGACATTTCTTTTTGCATTCTACCTTGTTAAATTATTAAAAAAGGTTGCCTTTAGTATGGTTTGATTGTGAAAAGAACGTAAAGGATGTAAGGATGTTGTAACGTGAATTTTTACTTATACCCTAATTGTACCCTTAGTACCCTTATTTACACCGCTGTTTGTACGCAGTGCGGCTCATTCCATATTCGGAATGATGAATGATCTCAAAACAAGAAATGAAAGGATTTTGATCTAACCGAGTGACAAAGTAAACTCAATCTGTTTCATTTTGTAATACGAATGTAGGCTACGGTTATCATCTTGTTCGGTTTTAAACGACGATTGGACCTTAAATTTCACCGGTTTTCACTGATTCTATAGGTAGGTGATGATTATACAGATTTATATAACATTTTGACACCGTTTAGTGTGCATTTTTTAACTGGTTATTAAAACTCTAATTTATATATAATGTATTAATGTTTACGATTCATTGGAGTAATTTAAACATTTGCAATGCCACAGATATTTGGTTTAATGTATTTTATTGCTTTTCTATTGCGAATATTAGATCGTAAATAAATTCAGTCGTCCAAATCGTTCCGAATAGCAAAACGTCAGTCTGTACCTTGAAAAATGTGATTTCCTGTCCTGTGTCTATTAAAATTGATGTCTAAAAACGAGTCTACAAAAGCATCTACTGCCTTTTTTGTGTGTATATGAAAAGGAGGTTTCAATCTTTTCTCTGCTAAATAGATTTCAATTTGAGGTTATTTGGGATGGGAGATTTATATGACAACTAGATTTAGATCAGACAAGGCTCATGTACAGTGTACACTTCATAATTAGTCCAAACCGTTCTTCCTGGTATATATGATTAAACAGACACCCATATTATACAAACATGATATCTCAACTCTATGATAAACCAAACCTATTATTGCCTCCAAAAATATAGTAAATCATGTGTCAAGTTTACAATAACCAGTTTACAAATTTCATGTGCTGGTTGTATATGAACTTCCCAAGTTAACAATAAGCTTCTGAATCAACTTTGGAATAAGTTACATATGTGGAATAGACTGTAATAGAGTAAAACCTTCAAATGAAACACAATATTGTAAATAACCTAATTATCACCTTATATTATATTATATATCCCCCCATACAAAACATGTTTTCTCCCCTATTTATTTTCATACTAACTCTCCTGACAAAGGCCCTCAGGTCGAAACGTCAAGAAGTGCTTTGTCTATTTAGGCATATATAATCATTATCAAAATGGTTTTCAGCTAAAAATACGGTAGTCCCTCGCTAACTCGAACTCCCAAGTGGAAAGAAAAATTGTTTGTGTTACCAACCTCTTCAACGCCAAATCTCTTCAACGCCATCATTAGGTGAACAATATTGATATTAGTAAAGAAAAAGAGAAACGTGTACAAAAGAACCATGTTTAATGGTCATGTAATTGATATTTATATTTTTGTATGACATGGACAACCTTAATGATAAAGACCGATATATATATATATTAATATATATATATATATATATATATACAAATATATATATATACATAATGTATGGGCTGGGACTCCATAGTTTAGAAATTGCCAAAATTTAACAATTTTTGAATTTATATGAACATAAACATCATGTTACATTTATTTAGAAATCTAACAAAATAGAATCATGTTAAATATACCGACAGGAAAATTTATTTTAAGGGATATAGTGGTTCAGTATGTGAACAAACATTTTGTTTATATTATGGGCTGTATCCTACCTTTAAAGTAATAGTTACACCATGAGCTATGTTATTTCAATGTGTTAACTTGGTGACATTTACAATTTGTCTAAACATGATTTTCAGTTCATTTATTAAGTAAGAATTTACCCAAAAATTAGCAGAAATCATTCTTGTCAAAGGATCACACACTTTAAACTTGAACTGCACAGTCTCAACATATTGAAGTGTATTCCCTTGCTGTGAAAATATCATGATATCATAGCTAATAGTGTGCCCTGCTGTGGTCATTTATCATGGCAGATTGAGGTTTTGACTTTTTGTCATACTTCAGCCATAATTTTCAAATTTACTAGTCTGAGAGCATATTTGTTTGAACCTCAATAGCAAGGAAGAGGAATTGGGCATTCTTCCAGAAATTGTTGTATTTTGACCCTCAGGAAAGCAGCTTCAACTTATATTTTATGATTGTAGTTGATTCGTTGTCCGTTTTGGGGAATTTGTAACGATCGTAAAATCATGCATTTCAGAAAAGGAAATGACGCGGAAGAAGAGAAACGGATATTTTTAATGTTTTATGGCTACTGTAGATCGTGTCTAAAAAAACACGCATTGTTACAATTTTTTATAAAAAAAGCTATTGTGTTCAAAACCAGTCCCTGATTATTTTTATTAAAAGAATGTTTACTACAAGTGAACCAGTCAAATGGAAAATTCTTATGTTTTTCTCTGCTTATTGCAAAATTAATATTTGGGTTTCTTTATAGATATGTCGCTGGCAAATGTCCATCTTGTGGAAGCAATATTTCCTTTTACAGGAAATGATGAAGATGAGGTATACATCAGTCAAAATCTTACAAAAACGGAAAAATACCATACTGAAAAATAAATAACGTCTTTATATTTATACGTGGTTAATGTGGTTTTCCATTTTTTGCTTGGTTTAGCTGTGCTTCCAAAAAGGGGATATCATTGAAATAACCAAGGTACCCTGTATCCATTGCATAACTAAGTAGCTAAGCATAGCTAAGTTGGTCGATGAACTGGAAAAAAAATTTGAATTGAATTGCAGAGTACGAACATTTCAGTGCACAACATGCTCTTAACTTTAATTTGGCAGGAAAAAAATCATTTGTGTGGAATATATTGATCCTTTTCTCTTTATTCGTTATCGAAATATAGCTACATGATTTTTTCAGTGTTTTTTATATATTTCACTTCCATGAAACGAAGTTATAATTTATATGAAATACTCACATGTAATCGTATTTTCTATCCTGTCTTGTAGGTTGTCGAGGGTGGATGGTGGGAAGGAACCTTGAATGGCCGCAGTGGATGGTTTCCCAGTAATCACGTTGCAGAAATTTCTGCAAGTACGAACTTAAAAGCTAAAAGCTAAATTGCGCTAAGATAACTTTCCATACAATTTAATTTTTTTCCCGAACTGTAGGTCCTGAGCCAACTGGTCAATCTGCTGTTTCAACATCTGATAGTGCTTCTGATAGAGAAAATGTCCGCGTCTACCATAATTTGGTAAGTTGGATTGTGACCTCACCACACACTTATATAGAAACTGGATGTTGTAGTCTAAGCCTTCTACAGAAATACTCTATTAATCTAGCAACATTGTATTGGTTGACGTAACCGAAATCGTCCGAATTTCTTATTAAATGGACCTTTTGCATAATAGACCAACTTTCGATTTAGGCAACAAAAAGGAAATTTCCGAAAAGTGCATACTAAATTTAATAAAATTACCAAGTTTGGCTGCAAAATATTGTAAAGTATACGGAAAGTATAGTCTTTTTTACTACGACCGGAACTAAATTAGTTTAAAGCTTCCGGCCGTAGTAAAAAAGTATACAAAATTGGCTACTTCGCATGGCTATATTTTCTGTAATACTGGACATTTTGTGGCCAAACTTGGCGATTATACTAATTTCGGCATGCTCTTTTTAGCTGCGGTGAAGTTTACTTCCTTCTTGTTGCCTAGATCGTAAGTTGGTCTATTATGCAAAAGGTCCATTACAATTCCATTGGAATGTAAAATTGGTCAAAAACTGGGTAGGGCTGATCAGGATAGAGAACCCCGCTTTCGGGTTTTCCTAGATCCTAATGGTTTGTTTCTTAGGTACTTCAAAATATACTGGACACAGAAAAAGCATATGTCGAAGAACTACAAGTGCGTATAATACATATTATAAAGACTTTAGATGCAATTACTGTAAGACTTCAACCAGAATCTTGTATTGCACCTGTTGATGCGCGAAACGTCTTATATTACTACTGTATGACTATTCTCATCATTCTCGCACGTATAACAACGTCTATTAGTGAAGCAAATCGCAAAACTATGATCAAGAATAGGCAACAACAATGTTTTTGACAAAGGCGAACGTTCAACAGAAATGAATTTGACATTTCTTAGCAATCACGACTTTTGTTTTATTGCTGCTTTCAGCGTGTATCTCTCAACTTTTTCATTTCAGACGTTATTGAGAAATTATCTCAAACCACTTCAAGAATCTACAGCGTGAGTACCATCGGATTAATGTTAAGTTGCTGTAACTAGGACCAATAAAACTCTTTGTACTGGTTATAGTTATTTCGTGTACATGTATGTACAGTACTGATCTCTTTATATAGAACAGTATATAGCAGGTTTGGTAGCTGCGAGTTCACCATCCATGTTGTGTCTTACACAATTACATCTTGTCATTTACATCAGCCTCGCCCAAGCGATTAAATAGATACCCCGCATTCAGCTAGTATAGAGATGCACGTTGTTAGGAAGAAAGGCTGCTTTCTTAAGGCACTTTTCAGTTAAACCACTGATTTTTATTTTGGTAGCTGAATTGTGATATTTTTTACAAACTTATAATATTACCTCTTCTCTATCTCTTTCATAGAATTCCATCAGAGGAAAGCAAAATTCTATGTGGGAACTTTAAAGGAATCGTCGGTTTTCAGGAAATGCTGTATGAGGAGTTGAAGGAAGTTTCAGAGTATGTGCACACCTGTTAAAATGCTAGGACACAGTTTGAACTATCTTAATGGTCTCTTCAACTTTCCTTCGAAAACGTGTAAAAACGTTGGGGATTAGTACAAAACAAAAATTCTTGAAGCAATGTTGATCAACATAATGCATAGAAAAAAAATAGGGAGGAACCACTGACCACTGACTCAACATAATGCATAGAAAAAAAATAGGGAGGAACCACTGACCTATACTAGGTCTAATATAATTCAGTGGGAGAAACTAGCAGTGTTGTGAGTCAAACACCCTACCGGTTACATTAGTTGATTTAAGAACGTTTGTTTTATGTATAGACAACCGCTAGCACAACAAAGAATGGGAGCTGTATTTTTACACGCTGCACCTAAAGTATGTTAAACAGCATTCAATTATATAGCCTTTCTCACGATGACGAATATGCCGCCATTTTTGAGCTGTACTTTTTTTCAAAACCGTAAGCGCAAGACTTCGTAACGGTGGCTGTCTTTAATTTAAGGCTGAATTTATTCTTCAAATGGTCTGTTGATCCTAAAAAAATTGCTTTTCATGTTGTTATAATTTTTTAACCCCATTTGAGAAAATTGAAAGTCCCACAAAATCGTCATCGTGAGAAAGGCTGATTGATTTCTATGTTTTTTATATAGGGTTGCATGATTAAGGGATTTTTCTCAGCATTGTAACTCTTACTTCAACTGTCATGTACATTTGAAATCGAATTCATTCATTGCTTCATTTTGTAGATGAAGGATTTTTACATAAAATATTGTGCGAATCACCCCCGAGCTGTCGAGGTTCTTACTAAATACGGGTAAAATTATACAATTACTCAAATATAAAATGTAATTTCACCTCAAATTACTCTAATTTATAGATTTCCTTGTCTTTTAATTAATCAAAAATGGCAAACGCTTTTTTGATAGGGACGAATTGTCTGAGTTCATGGAGAAACAAGGAGCTGACGCTCCAGGTGTTTTGACTCTAACAACCAGTTTAAGTACAGTAAGTGAGGAATATTCTTCTATACGCGTAACTACTGGTATAAAACTAGCCTATAATGTAGTAATATAGCCTAAATAGATATTAATATCACACATCTGTATTAGTTGTTTAGACGGCTTGATAAATACCCAACACTTTTAAAGGAACTTGAACGGCATTTGGAGGTAAGTTAGGGACATTGCACACTGACTCGCACCCATCGACAATTATGAGATATAATATTGGTGCAAACATATACTAATCTTTATACGTTCTCATAATGTATAATTTGTTATTTGGACTCGATTCAGCGTGGTCAGCTTTTTACCACAACGTTCATAAATTAACCTTGAACTTTACACAAGTCGTATTACTGCATGTGAAACACGAAACCTTATAGCCACTTAGTTGATTTGAAAATTGGCCTCTTATTGTCCTAATATATGCACAGAGGACTAGAATGACAATTTTTTAAATAATAATAACCATAATTTGACCTTCCCCGCATCCATCATTTCAGGATGGCCATGTTGACGAATTCGATACGAAAAAAGCGATCGCCGTATTTCAAAATATTGGGGTAAGCCGTAGTCAGGTGGCTACTGCGTTATACAGTCTAGCTTTTTGCGGCTGAAAGCGATCTAAAATTGCTCTAGATGAAATACTATCATCCGTTTACTATTAGGAAAGTCAAGAATTTGTATTTTCTTTATTTTAGACGAGTTGTCGTGAAATGAGACGCAGAAAAGAAACAGAACATGAAATACTGACCGGTACAATTGAAGGATGGGAAAAAGAGGTTTATCTTTATACCTATATATAGTTATGACCATGCTGTTTATCTTTGCAGTATATACTTTCAGTATACTTACTTTAGATTCCCGTATTGACTCGTGAATATATAAAAAGTATATAAAGAATGCATTCAATTAATTTGTGTGCAATTATTAGGAAATGCAAAAACTGGGAGAGCTTGTGTATATGTCTTCATTGCTTATTCATGGTGAAAACGAGGTATGTTCTTCACTGTGTTGGCACCGTGAAATGGCTCATAATAATGTTTTTGTTTTCAGTCGAATTGCATGTGAAGCATGTGAAGGTTTTCCTTCCTTCAGGAATTGAACCTACGGCTCTGCAATTACGGAACACTTCCGTCACAATTAACCTACGAAGCGATACAGTAGAGCAGTGTATTGTCGTTTTACTTGTGAAGAGATATAATTATCATATAATGTTGATATAATTTAAGACGATGTTCAAGGACAAATCTGCTCTATTTTGCAGGAGGTGAAAGAAAGACAATTTCTATTGTTTCCTGACGTGTTGGTCTTGCTTTCTGTCAGCGAAGACATAAGCGGATATTGTTTTGAGGTATATAGGCAATGTGTTTATATATTTCAACTTGCATTCTTCTTCATCCTGTGGTGCATGTATCTCCTCATTGATTGACTAATTTCCTCATTGATTGACTAATTTCCTCATTGATTGACTCGCCCCATAATTGATTGACTAATTATAATTTTGGTACCGTTATGTTGAATTGACATGCACTGTAACATTTCCAGACTAGTTATAAAGTCTCTGATATTAAAGTGAGGAGTTTAGAAGATACTGAAGGAATATTAAATGCTTTAGAAATTGAAGGTAAAATTAAATTTGCTTCAAAGTGTATCTTTTGTTGTTTTGTTCCCTTGATTAAATAATTTTAGCAGTGTGATATAAAAGCTGTTTTTTTCTTTATTACCTGATACTCAGCAAACGACCAAACGCTGGTTGTGTCGGCAAACAGCGAAAAAGAGAAATCGGCATGGTTGGAATCTTTAGCAAGCGGACCACATAGTCCTTTAGTTGGTAGTCCTCAGAGTAATGGTTCTCCAGAACGACATCAAGGCAAAGAACCACTTTCTGCAGCCCAGAAAGAAAATATCAAACCAGCTGACGTTTTAATGAAAAGTGAACATGTGCCTTTGAAAATAGTGCAGGTACGTTAAGAGGACTGATCTCGTTTGCCCTATACTATAGCTGTATTGTGATATTGAACTATATAGATGTTAAATTCAACCATCGAGACTTCGCTTCTATAGAACTCGTGCCGTACGCCTACTGCAAATTGGGAAATTGAATTCAGCTGAGCTGGACTTCATTGAATTCTTCGAATTCATTTGAGCTCAAATTCAGCTAAGTTCGACTTGTGAAATTCATTTGTCGCATCTACTCCGATAGTCTTTGGTTTTATAAACAAAGCCATGGGCAATCCATTGGGCAAAAGAAAACAATGAACTAATTACTGAGTAATGTTACCATCAGTGATCTGACTATTTATGTTATTTTATACAGTCCCACACGTTACCACGAACAGAAACTAGCGCAGGTCATGGCACGTCCTTGCCACGATCAGTAGCGGCGCTGACTGACGCGAATTGTCGTGATATACCGTCGCAGTATCTTCAAAAGGAACGGAAATGGGATTCAACTCACCTCCGTCCCACTCCACCCTTAAGACCGGCCTTTGCTCTTATTATGAAAGAAGTAGGTTCTTTTTCGCATTCATTTATCACTGTAAAACCTGGTTTCCACCGAGGAAAACCCCCAACGCGGGGGAAAGTCGAAGAAAAAAGGCTTATCTACTCACTGCGTATTTTTTTATATTCGACAGGATTCTGCTAGTTCTCCAAAATCGATGAAGACCCTGCTTCACCCAAATCGTGGCAAGAAAGGTGAGTTATAAACAGCATGATGTTCTAGCTTTGGAATTGAACTGTAAAGTAGGCTTCTAACAAATTTAAGAATTATGGATGGGGCGTTAACTTCACGTTATAAACACTAAAACATTCATACCTGTATAGTTGCCTCGTATATGAAAGGTTCAAAACGATATCAAATTTTTTTGGCTTTTGTAGAAGTTACATTCTGTATGCGCGCTATTCATATTGATATTCCTATATAACAAAACATTTGATAAATTTAATATCCAATCGTCGCACTTCAAATGTCAATTACAGTATATACTAATAAAGTTTGTATCAATGATACAGGTGGACTTCTGTATCGAATGAACCTAGCGTATACTGTATAGGAACAACTATAAACATAATACGTAAAATCTTATATTGTTAACAATAACTGCATGAATGTAACCCCAAAAATGTTTTAGAATTTGAGTACACCTAGTTCGAATTAACATCTTAAAACGTATGTGACATAACTTTCTCAGCAGGTATTGACAGATATCAAGGCAGTAGTGCATCATGGCCTGTAACCACAGCTAGTTGGATTGAAAAACGTTTGTCTTTGGGACTAATAAACAATCAATCAAAATTTAACATAAGTTTAAAATGGACAGGTTTGTCTCTACAACATGCAGAAATAAAAACGAGCTTCGTCAAATGACGACCAGTAAATAACTATCCAAACCGTTTTTCTTCATAAACCAGATAAAAACTATGTACAATTCATCCTAAGATAACACTTTGTCGTTGTTATGTCATTGATATATACTGATATATAGAATTAGTATATGAAGACTATACGGTAGTTGGCAGCTTTAAAGTAAAGTAAATTTAAATTTCTAAATGTGTTTCATTTTTTTTTCAAAGTATATAAAATACATGTTGAAATTTAATGAGTGAAACAAAATAATCTTGAATAAATATAACAAATTACACTCGTGTGTCAAACTAACCGACAGTTTTTATGCCTATATAAATGTGCTAATTATTTTCATGATTATCTCTACACCTCATTAATCCAATAAACTTTACAAGAATTAATTTAAAAAAAGAAAATTATACTTATAGTTTTTCGCTAGCTATATAGCCTGCATTACAGAACATTCATTATAAAACAGCCCTATATATATATGTCTTTTTAGGTCGCTCAAAAAGTGAAGACGAGTATCGTCAAAATGCTTCCTCGTGTAAGACTTTATACTGTAATTTTTTATCTTTACTGTATCTATGTATATATATAGGGTAAAAAATAGGATTATTTGGATTTGAATCTTGCCAAATCTAAACCATCGCATGCATGACAGGGTTGTAAAAACACTGTGATCACTGTCGTAACCTTTCCTCTCAAACCAGCCTTCACTCTTTAGTAAGTAATAGGCTAGTTCTCAAATAGGCTTTCTCTCTTCATTAGTAGGTATTCCTGTTCAAATAGAACAGAATAAATAGGCCTCTCTTGGATAAACCTAATCCACTCGATTGATAAGCTTGTCCCCCCTATATCTGTCCAGTAGCCTTTTATTTTCCGGGATCTAAAAAGTGTCAGTTTTTTCGGGTGTTCGATATACCTAATACTCTATATACATATAAATACGAATAGATTTGAGAGCAAGACGTTTTCTTCTTGCAATACTGTGAGTAACTACGTACGTAATAATTCTCTTTAAACAGCATCTGGTCGTGTCCTGGAAGAGGATATGTTGATACTTGGTGTAATAGAAAGTTACTGCAAGAGTGCTAAAGAAAGATTGACAGTGAATTGTAAGTATTATTATTTTATTCTATACTGCATGCATGCTGTCACTGCACCTTCCATTCAACACAACGCTAGTTTGCACATTAATATATTGCAAATGTCATTGAATATCGTTATATATGTTCCCACGAATCAGCGAATGATTTTAACGTCTGCTCCATGCATGGAAATGTTTATTCTATTGTTTCTGTATGGTCTTTTCAAACGATCCAATTTTGTCACATCCAACTACATTCCGTACGTCAAATTTAAGAGATATGGCCTTATTTTTTTACAAATCAGCAGCGGGCGGAATCCTATATATAGCCTTTCCTGCAATCTGATTGGCTGTAGCGGCGGGCAGAATTTTACGATATCTGACCACGGTCTGGAATCCTATATTTTATATGCTCGAGCGAAAGCGTATTTGTTTTGTTTTGTTTTTCTAAAGATTTATTCTCAAACTTTCGACTTTTCAAACATATGGGCCAAATGATTATCACGATAAATTGAATTTTAGTGAATTTTAGTGAATTAAACAAATGAGATTTTGATTGTTTATATTTTGTCGCCATTGCCGAGTCTGACTACACAATGATAATACCGCTTTTTGTAAAAAAAAATACATCATTTACCGTTTTGGTCGGTCCGCATAGAAAAATATTTCCCCTCGGTCTCTTTCCCCAGACCTGCGATCGTTTTTGATACTTCAGGAAAATATTTTTCACAAAGTGGGATCGTGTGAACGGGCCTTAGGTAAACAATTTTATAGTTAGCTATGTAGTATTTATTTATTAAGTTGCTCAAAATGTCTCACTTAAAAAGTCTTTAAAGTCGGATGGAAAATTGACTGGTTTTTGCCGAGTTTTTTTAATATTGTGCTTTTTATATGTATACTCTTCTATATATAACATTTAAATCATCACACTAAGATGTAACGTATATTTTATAACGCTAACCAAGAGAGTGGAATGGAATGGATGTATATAGTAATATTTTTGCAGTAGTCTGGTAGCGTATGGCGGCAGAAGGTATAACAAGTTGAATTAGAAAATTTTGAATTTTGTTAATTTTATGTCACATGTATGTATGCATGCAGTGGTGCACCAAAAGAGTTGCAAAAAAGCTGCGGGCACGCGGGTGCCACCCGGAGGAAGGTTTGTTTTGAATGAGGTTTGTGAGGAAGGTTCAAAGTTAAACAATCTATAATTGATCACATGCATGTACCAAAAACCCAAATATTTCTTTATGCTGGTTGCCACTTGACTCAGTGTCGTAACGTCATTTTGAGGAAGGTTTTCAAAACTTGAAATCCTACCGGAGAAAGCTTGAACTCGTTTTGCAACTCCGGCCCATTCGCCACCAAGTATTTCGACACTTCGGTCGTTGTATGAGGCTATGAACCAATATTTGTCAGGAGAGGTAAAGAAAAAAGTTTTATTCCTGCAACGGAATTTTCTGCACTCCTATATAGGTTTACAGTCATGCAGGGGTGTAGGGAGATCTCTCCGTATACACATGACACCTGGAGGGTAGGAAACGCTAGGATGGAAAGAAAGTCGAATTTGCCGAGAATTTGCCAATATATGACTTAACTTAATGATGAGTTATTTATGAGTTAATCGACCGAATTATGCTGTAAATGAAACAGTTGCGACTTGTTTCCATCATCACTACATTTATTTCATTGCACTCTTTAGGGTTAGTCTGCCGTTATTGAATAGTTGAATGATGACTGGTTAAACAATGCGAAATTTTCTTGTCAACTCATACGTATACCATGCATTCAATACATACGCATTCAGAATCCAAACAACCGCTGCACCATGCATGTTTTTTGTTAAATTTCTGCACTTTCTTTTGTCGACCATGAGGTGTTTGTTAAAGCTTGTTATACCTTCATTTTCTGCCATGTGTTAGCTCGACCAATCCCGGCTCGACGTTCCATTACATCAGAGGAAGACGACGTGTTCACGAATGAGGAGACTGGCTCCAGTAATTCCACTTTCAATAAATTACAAGCACCATTGAGGATTTTCGCCGGCGCAACGTGTTGTATACGATATCAAAGTGGATCATAATATAGACTACAATAATGGTCATTGTGACTATACAGTGGTCATTGTGAATGTCGTCCGTCCTATAACTTGTAGGATATACGTAGATCTTCAAAACAAAGAAATCAGACGCGCGTGTAAAAGAAAATATAAGCTTTCCTGAGATAGAATATATCAGTTGTAGGATTTTTGTACAACAGATAAAGTTGTAATAATTATAATTGATAAATTTTGATATATTTATTTTCACAGTGCATTTTGTATAATCGAAGATGTATTTGTTTTATATATTTTAACCTTTTAGTATAGATATATCTGTAGTGTTCATAGTAATTATTTTCATGTATTTTAACAGCATATATTTGTATTAAGTATATTTTTATACGATTTCTATTAAACAACGTTGAAAGTTCACATGCGTTTTCTGAGAACATGAGGTCACTCGACATTAAGCGTAAAGGCCTGCATGGAAACTATAGAAATGAAAATAGAAATAATGGCAAACCAGAAACCATCAATGTTTTAACAACAAAATTATAGTTTCAAAACAAATCATAGTATATATAAAGCCTGTTGAAAAAGTTTGACGCGCTGTTGCAGTTAGTAAAAATTATTTTCCTCCTGACAGAGAAATCTAGCTAACTAATAAGGTGTACCGCAAGCGGCTATTTTAAGTTACACGTGCTCTCGGCCATAGTTTGTCTTTATATTTACGTTATGTTTAAAAATATAATGCACCAATTTTCCATGTTTCAGCGTTTGTTTCGAAAATTTAAAATGAATTTTGAGGTGAAAGGTGTTGTCGCAACTAACCCGACCAAACAAGAACCTCCTCTTGCACACAAGGCTAGAAAAAAATTTTAGCGTTAGCTTTACTATCATTTCGTATTTTCCGTGGTTTATAAAGAAATATATTTGCATATCAAACCGCATGCGCCCTTTATTGAATATGGAAGTTATATGCAATGTTGCCTCACTTTATGTACTTAACGTTTACTAACACTGTTATTCCAGGTAGCCCAATTCCTCCAACCGTTCCACCGCACAGAAATTCCACGGCTTCCACTCTGAAACCGGACCGAGAACATGCAAAACAGAAGAAAAAGAAAAGGAGGTGAGTCAGTTCTTAGTTTGCATGAGCATGAATTTAGTACTCTCTAACACTTTGATATATTGTTCATGATAGACTATAAACTATTAATACAGTTGAACTGTCGATGGTGCTCAGCGAAAAACACATATACGTAGATACCCCGGGGACACGAGTGTGGGGAGGGGGACACGAGCTCGCCATATTAAATTTTCGTCTGTATTCTATATAAGAGTTCCCTGGAACTTATAGTGTAAATTTAGTGCTAATTATAATGTAATTTAATTATATCAATGTATACTTTTTATATTTTTTCTTTGCATGTTCGTTGTGCACGTCCAGAGTATAAACTCACGCGCAATATTCTTCTTTGTACGTCGTGATTGTGCAATTTTATCGAATGTTTTACTGATTTCTCCTCCTTTCTTTTTTCCAGCTTATTAATAGGTGAGTTCAGTTGTCTGCGAAGTCAAGAGGAAGATCTGCGAACAGTAAGTGACATATCATTCACGTCACTTGCGTATATTGCACCTGCACTTCGCACCTCTTAACCTCGTATACACCTTTTTAAATTCCGATCCTTTATAAATTCTGATCACCACGATTACGAAAACAACAAACATATACAAAACCGGAGCTGCATTCATTCTCTGAATATCATATGACTTGTTTAACTTGTGGACGAAATCTTTTGTTGTATAAATACGTATTTTAGTCAATTTTCATTATCAAACTAAAAGTCACATGCACATTAATGTGTGGCGTGAGTAATTCACTGCACGCCACCCCAAGCCAAAAGCTGGTTTATTTTGTATTCTTTACAACTTCCATCCATTTCATTGATCCTCTGATGAAAAATATACCACGTCAGAAGAGGTAAGCTCTTGTAATATAAAGTGGAGCGGTATTAAATAGTACTATTTCTATCTTACTGTATTCGATCGTGAGTGAAATGAATTAGTATAGTACAATTATATACACTATTTTTGTTCAGCGGAAAATAATACCAACCAGATTAGAGTATTAAATTACATCCATCCGGGATTATTTTGTATGAGCTGAAAGGGAAACTGATTTGGCTTTCGTGATTACAGGAACCCACGGAGGGGAAGGAGCCGGTGCCAAACCCACGAGTTGGGCAAAAGAAGACAGAAAAAGCGTCGCATAATTCAAACTATTTACAAAAACCTTTACCGTCAATTAATAGTGAAGACGGCGTGCTTTTATCGCAGTGATTGGAATGAAAGAGCAATTTATTTTTATACTTTGTAGAATTTAATTTCTCATGCAATTAAGTTTCCTTGCAATGTCATATGATATCAAATTACATAAAACTAGTAAAACATATGCATAGTGACACTCGATTTTACTAAGATATTATTCGAGTTCACTCTGTATTTTTACCGTTCATGCTTTCACCTAACACGAGGATGAAAATTGAAAAACTAATTTTTCCCTCGAGATTGGCTGAACATTTTATCATTCTAAATTTTCAACAGAGATTCAATATGCACATATTATTTTGCCTTTTAGGGACGACCTAAAATTGTACACAGTAATTCGGTAAATTCAATCAAATACGTTTACCGTGTACATTTGTCAAATTGCCTGGTCCGACAGATCACTTCCCTTGAAAGAATACAGCACTTTTTCTAGGAAATTATATATTTATATGGCTACTTTTGATTTCTTTCATGAGTACAGTAAATTCTCCACTTGCAAATTGAACGGCAGAAGTTGAAAAAAAGCGTTTCAATGTACTCTTTCGACAAGTTCAGGATGAGAGCGAGGCTCCCATGCCTAATGATGTAATTATTGAAACTTGAAAGGGTGTATTGAAAACAAACTCATTGCACAACTGGAGATTGTAAAAATAAACAGTTTATACCAGTGAACTGGTTTATACCGACAGTAATTGGAAAACTTTGACAACTGTCATATATTCTCATAGAATGCATTTGGGTAAATAAATATATAGAACAATAATCATTAACAATTAATAAATAAGTTTAAGGTTAATATTTTTCATTATTTCCAATATATCTTTGTTAATTCCTCGACAATGTGTATTATTTTGGCCCAGATGTTATCAGTTCTGCCGGATCTAGTCGCAAAAATACATTAGCCTTATAGCAATGAAGGGAATGCAGGAAAGGTAAAAAGTTAATACTGATACCGTCTAAAGAAGTTAGACCTCCGTCTATTTTGTCCTTTAAACAATCCTAGGACACACAGCTATCCTTGGAAATGCAAGAAACCAGCTTCAAGGGACCAAGTCTCAAGAGTATTGCCACACAATTGTCAAGTGAAGTCCTCCCTGACACAGCCACAGGAATAATGCAACAAAGAGAAAACAAGATAAAACAAAGTTCAATGATTTGCAGGCGTTCTCTAGTTTGTGTCATACAAAAGTACAAATTCACCGTTTATCGCTCTTGCAAGGTTGTGTATAGCAGTATAGGCAGCATCGTCAAGGTGTAGTAACCTCTTGACGTACGAATCATGGTACGTACCTTGTCACCTTAACTATTTCGCAATAATTTCGGCTCGTTCGACAGTCGTAGGTTATAGCTAGTCTGGCCGTCTGGGCTTGTTCGCGTGCTTACAACATTTTATTTTAATTTTTAGCTTCAAAGTTGAGTGGTTCATTATAAGAAAAATCATAAGATGTCTTTACTTGAAAAAGCAAGTGATTCTGTCAATAGTCTCTGTCTGAAACTTTATAACAAACTGGCGGAGGGTAGTCAGGAAAACGTATTTTTTTCGCCATCCAGCATTGGTATTGCACTTGCTATGATCTACGCAGGTGCAAAAGGTAATACTGCAAATGAAATTGAACAACTAATGGATTGGAATGAACCCAACACTGTTGATGATATGATGCAAAAATTGCAAGAGTCTGTTTTGTTGTCATCTGGTCGTGAAGTAAGTCTTGCCAATGGCTTGTGGGCACAACAGGGATTCGCCATTTTGAATGAATATACTGATTTGCTGAAGTCTCGGTACCAAATAGAAATGGGCAAAGAAGATTTTGAACGAGAGACTGAAAGTGCTAGGAAGGAAATCAACAAATGGGTGGAAAAGAAAACAAATGATAAAATGAGGAATATTTTAGCTTCTGGGGCTGTTGGGCCACACACAAAGTTGCTGCTGGTTAATGCTGTGTATTTCAAAGGTTCATGGGAAGTGGAATTCTCAAAGGAGCATTCAATGGATTGGGAATTCAAGATTAATCAATTAAACACATGCAAGATAACACTCATGAACAAGACTGCCCAGTTTATGTATGCAAGGAATGATGATTTGGCATGTCAAGTTCTCAAGCTTATGTACAAAGAAATAGATCTTGCCATGATGGTATTATTACCAGATGAAGTTGACGGGCTACCAAATCTTGAAAAAAAATTGAATGTCACTCAACTTAAGAGATGTAACGCAATGTTAACCAAAAGAAAACTTCAGGTAAGTTTGCCGAAATTCACCACTGATTGCAAGTTTCAACTAAAAAAGGTCTTAGGTGAGTTGGGTGTGGTTAGTTTATTCTCAAGCCAAGATGCCAACCTGTCTGGGATGACAGGAAGTAAAGACCTATTTGTAACTGATGCAATCCATCAAGCATTTGTTGAGGTCAATGAACAAGGTACTGAGGCAGCAGCAGCCACAGCAATGATCATGGCTCCAACTTGTATAAGCATTCCACCTCCACATTTTTTGGCCGACCATCCATTTGTCTTCTTCATCCAGCACAGTCAATCTGGTGGAATATTGTTTGCAGGGAAGATTGTTAGTCCAGAGTATTAAAAATCTCTGAAACTTTTGTATATGCCATATTCTGCCTTTTTAAAACAATAAGAAGTAACTCTTATGATTGTTTCACTCTGATTGTCTACAAAATATCTGTAATCATGCAAAAAGAAGCAGATTGGTCAAAAGAGGACAGTGGAGTGAAGACTTTATATTGCAACTGTGAAAAAATTTTAATGTTTTTGTCCCTCACCATTCATTGCAGCTAGTACAAAATTAGGATATTACCAATGCAGCTAAGTCTCATACAACAGGCTCTGTGTAAGTTAGTTAAAAATTAACAATGTCAGTATTGGCCAATCATTATCATGTATTTTAATTGACTTTGAATTTTATTGTATTAAATCATGTTGAAAAAATTAGGTCAAATTACCATGTTGGAATTATTACATGAGATGGTAATTGAAATTTGAGATACCAACAACCTCGACCATTTTCAGAGTCAAATCAACAAACATCGTCGTTCGAACAAAATTTAATTTAACAAAATTAAACTGACTAAACTATATTTGTGTTATTTTTGGTATTATAAGATACAATTATTGACAATCATACAGTGTTATGACGTCTACAATTTTAGATCCCCCTTGGTGTATCCATCTCGATCCAGGCTATTACCAGCCCAGGATGATGCATAGTTTTTGGTAACACCGTCAATATTTGACGTTTTCATTGGCTCGGTAAAATTCCCACCTGCCTTTCCCATATCGCTTCTGTTGCCATGATAGAAGATAGGAATCGTATAAAAGCGTCCGCTCGGTTTTGATGTTGTTTTAAATTTGTTGTCATCCCACCAGTATTCGAAAGCGGACGATCTGTCAAGAATACGACGTGAATCTCTTTCGGCCTCCACCGCTAAATCTGGCTTGTAAGCATGCAGCGACTTTAAACTACATGCTCGGTTTGCCGATAACGATTTTACTTCGTTCTCGTTTCGGACGGATGGTTTTTGTTTGTTGTACGCCAACTTGAATGGGGAGCCAGAACTAAGAGAAAAACATTGTAAGTAGAATGGCTGGAAGGAATCGTTTGATGCAGCAATAAAAAGTTATCTTTTTGTCTATATATATATATTTTTTTTTTTCCCCAAAGAATTTGGAACCGTGTTCGAACTCATCCGGTGTTCATTTGTAAACCTCTAGAAACGGTCAAATTTGTATCCATTTTTACTCTGTAGACACCTGAACCGGATGAATTCAAGGACAGTCCTGTACAACACAGAAGCAGAACAATTTGATTAGCGCTCAGTTTATAGTACAGAATAATAGGTTGAAAAAATAGAATCTAGGTCCCCGGGCATGAGCCCCATCTTCATCTCCGCATTTCCGTTATATATTCTCTGCTGCAGAGATTTTTCTGCCAGCAATTCTTTTTAAAAAGTTGAAAGTGTTTTCGGTTATAGACTTCTTAGTGTTCGCTTTTCTCCTGTGTCGAAATTTCTGTGCTTACCCGTTTATATATTCTCGAAAAGCTATAGCGATAATACAAAATGTGATGAAGATGGTTGCACCAGCAAAACATAACATGGCGATGCCGACTATTGTCCATGATGACATTGACATTGTCGAAATGTCCTACAAAAAAATGAAAGGGAAAATTCTAAAGTGATTCTGATTTCTGAAGGTGACCGAACAACTTTGTCGATTTTAGATTTTGTTCTGTGAAAAATCAAAATTGGTTATGTTAATTAAGCAAGCACAAATTCTTTCGATTAATTTTTGTGTAAATTTGGTGTAAACTGTGAGCGTGTACTAGCTGGCCTGGTTTCCGAAAGTCGATTTACCACCCCCTCCTCTCCAATCATTTCACTGTTTGTTTGCTCTCAGGTAAGCAGGAAACAGCCTCTGATATAGACTTCCAACTCTATGGAGTCACTCTCATGCAGTGACTCCTTGCATGGACATTGGTCGTGAGCAGTCTGCTGAAACGTAGCAGTGCGTGCGCAAACTGCTGATGAGTGAATGGTATCATGTGCCAACAACATAAAAGAGAGTTAAGGCCACAACCACTCATCCAGTCATGTTAACTGGGAAGGCCTTTTGCATGGCATTTAATAATGATCATCATAATCGTCATACGGCGTTTTAAACATAAAAACAAAAATGTTGGATCAATGGATATCATGCAGATAATAAATGCTCATTATTGATTGCCTCCATTGCCAAAGACAACCTGAATATATGCTTCTTTATGCTTGTTTATGCTTGCTTCTGAGGATCGTGCATTCATGCTTATATCAGTGCTTCAAAGTAGGCGAAGTCCACACCTCGCCTAATTCACTTACCTGATGGTTCAGCAATGACACCAGAAAAATGTGATCTTGACGAACCGACACAAAATATACGCTTCGAGTCTTCGACGCCAAATCATGCATTTTATACTGAATTTGTAATTTTTAGATTAAGCATGATGGGTAAATGTACCATCGGTAATTACAAGGTCTTTTCAGACGTCGAACATTTTTCATGTGTTGAGTCGAATGCAAATAAACTGAAACAAAGACTTAAGCTCATTAACATTAGGTTCGGGACAAAAAGTTTGAAGTTTGAAACGGGCCTCACAGTAATATAATTGTTTGGAGTACAGTAATAGTATGTGGAAACAAAGTCAACATAACACAACACAAAGTCTTGAGGTTACAATAATCCGACTTTTACCGCAGTTGACGAAGTGTCCTTCTGAACGAACTTACGTACAATTGCTTAGATAGTTCGTCTGATTACTTTGTCTCTGTTGATTTGTGTTTGACTGCAGATGTAGTGTATGTTCACTGAAATGTTTTCATTTGGGAGATATTTGATAATTGTTTTATATCAGTTTTCACCTCGCCTATATATAGCCGGGATAACTCGCTCATGTAAACAGGCCCTTAATTGCAGGTAACTCGTGTGACGGTGTAAGCAATCGCCCTCTCTATGTAGGGTCTCAAAATAGGAAAACCATTGACATATTCTCTTGTCAGAATTTGAATGCCACAACATTGTGAAAATACACGTATCTGCATCACTGAGCTCAGTGATCTGCATGGGATCCCAGATTCGTATTATCCTGACATCAAGTTTAACCATGCACCTGTTAATAAAGCGCCGTTGTCACTTTTTACAGCTTTTCTTACCAGTAAATTTTGTTTAAATCTATGTGTTATAAAAATTATTATTATTTTACAGGCTTAACTAGGCCTTAGGCAGTTGAACGACGTAAAGGGGCGAGGAGACGTTTGAAAAGGAAAGCATGGTTTATAGACAAAACATTTTGTGATCTTCACCATGTGGTTTGTATTTAGTTCATTTTGTTCTATATATGATCATGTTTTATGTTAGGTTTTTAATCTAAAATTTTAGTGATTCACTAAACATCGCAAAAAGAAAAGAACATATAGGTGACACCATTCAGCCAGAATATTGAACACACGTTCTATAGCTAGCTCAAAAAACGTCTCAATGTTTCGCATGCATGGATATAAAACTAACTTATATATGACTGATCACTGATGCAAACTTATTACACTGCGACTGCAATCAGCATAATGAGATATATTGATGCAAACTACAAAGGCCCCATGCAGTGAGGTTATGCAGTTCTCAGTGAAGCTGTCCAAAGTGCTATAGCAACCAACAAAAACCAAGGGTAATTTCAATACCAGATACGCTCGGTTAGAGAGCCACCACTGACTAGAAGAGGAATCGTATAAAAGCGTTTTTTATGTTGTTCGGTTTTTATGTTGTTTTAAATTTGTTATCCTCCCACCAGTATTCGAAAGCGGACGATCTGTCAAGAATACGACGCGAATCTCGTTCGGCCTCCACCGCTAAATCCGGCTTGTAGGCCGGCTTGTTATAGATAGAATTAAATTATACTACGATGTTTCACTAAATCATCGTACTAACGGTTAGTCTTTTTGACAATTTTGCTGTCAGCGTGATAATTATTACATTTGCAGAAAGAAAGAGGTACGTCAAAACACTCATCCTATGAAAGATATTCAACTCAAACTTCTTCATGCATTTAACGCGAATGTAAAGAAAATACCTGTATCCCTTCCTTTGACACGTTCCATTCGACTCAGTTATAGGTTCTGTTAAGAACACTCTTCGAATCCTGTGACTGAACTTAATTAAGTAACGGTTTTATAATTACATGCACGATACCAATGTATTGGGGCTTTGAAATCCAACTATCAAAATATTGCCCAGAGTCAGAGACTGGTCCTTTTTTTAGGAAACAGGAAAAGCTCTTCCTATATTGATTTTAAAATATTATAGTCTTATAGGACCAATATCTGGCATCGGATAGTATTTTGATCGAATATGTTGTCGTGGTATACTATTGGCATTGTATTTGGAATAGTCTGTAACACATTCATTTTTGTGGTAATAATATCTCTCGTTTGGAAAGCCAAGAAGTTAGCAAAGCAGTAAGTACTCTAGACTTCATAGCTTATGATTAGTATAACTGTATAATCGTGACGATGGTGGTGATATGATAGCTTGAAACTGCTCAGTTTGCAACAATCTTAGTGCAATACAATAGAATGGATTGATATCAACTCATCTTAATCTCTTCACTAGTTTACATCTCTCAAAAGTAGAATTGCATTGCGAGTTCCAAGAAAAGTTATATCGTGTAACACGGCCTTTAAAATTTGAGTGGCTCTTCGAATAACAAGGAATACAACATATTTTCAAATCTTAATTGTACATATAATTAGTTGCACTGGTATTGAAATGCTATTTGCAGTATCTACTTATGCAAATTACAGTGCATGTTCGCACTTTTTATACACCCTGTAGTGGTATTTTTCATCTGTTCACAGGCTTGAAGATAGATGGAAAAACGTGAAAATTTCATCGGGTCGACGTTCAAATAAGAATGGCCAATTACGTGAAGTGCGAATACCTGGCGGGAAAACGATGTTGCAACTACAAATTGGCGGAACTATCTCTTCCACATCATCTGTTCATCCCACAAGAGAAACGTGGTTAAATATTCAAGACTCAATGTCAACTAATGATAATCACACAGTGAGAACAACCATGGGAGATCTACAAGAAATGTTCTCTGCGGCACGACAGTCACAGGAGGGTACCTCTTCAAGAACTAACGCTGCCAGTGGAATATATGTCACGAACGTAACAATTGAAAAGCCATCGGATAGTACGGCGTAAACTGAAGACTTCATGACAAATTGATGTCAATTAGAAGACAGCCTGCGCCCCAGAGGCCCTACATTTTAGGGTATATTAAGTGACCATCACTAGCTCAGTCTATATAGCTGGTACAATAGACCTTTCTTATAATGACGTCAAACGCAGAAAGTCTGATGTTATTTTCATACTAACTCTCCTGACGAAGGCCCTCAGGTCGAAACGTCGAGAAGTGTTTTGTCTATTTTAGGCAGTTATGCTTCGTGTAACATCAGACTTTCTGCGTTTGACGTCATTATGAAAAAGGTCTATTGATTGACTCGTAAAAAAGGCCTTTCCATATAGACTATAGACTATACGATTAGTATATGCAATTATCATTCTGACGAACAGAAAAGAGGGCTAGGGCCTATGCCACAATCTTTTTTTTATTTTGTTCAGTTGTAAATGTCCTGTTTATATGAGTGCGTTGTGCATGGGCCTAAAGTACAATTATTGTAGTCATAACGTCAATTTGACTAGGAGATGCTTATAAGATAATATATACTACAACTCTATAAGTCTACAATCAAGCGAACCGCGAATATACTATCCATACATCCAGGGGCAAGTGCCCATGCCGATCATTTGTGGGAAATTTGATCAGTTGTAATTGTATAACCACTCAAAAATTTAAGATTCAAGCGCCGAAATTCAAACTTCGATAATCAAGAGCTGAATTATTTTCAATAGTTGTTATGCATGGGTTTTTGGATCATCTGTGGAATATGTTAAGCTGTCTTTTGTGAAAATCTTCGCAACGCTTCGGTTAGCCGACAATCATGAGCTCAGTTGTCTCGGCAGATCTAGATGAAAAATTATTCGGTGGATCTCGGATTGTCCTCTAATATAGCTAGCAGGTTAGTTTAGGGTTGACAATACAATACATGCAACCCGCGCCGTGATGTATTCAACCAAGACTTGAAAGGAGTGTGCCGTATTCAAAATGATTTCAATGACTAATAACCTATGATCTGTTAGAAATAACTAGAATCTCAAGGGAAGGAGTGATGTAAACTGTTAACGAACTTTAGAAGTTTGGATCTAATCAGTCCAATGCCCAATGTTTGGGATTACATTCCAAGTTCTTATTAGATCCAATGCTATGGGAAATGGCGGGCCAGAGTTGAATATTCTTATGAATAATATTTAGTAAAATTCTATATTGTTATGCAAAATCAGAAAAAAGAATTTGTATTCATGCCAATGAGAATTCCAAAGTCAATGGTAAATAGGTTGTCTACCTGCTTAATTTGTACTTGCATGTAAATGCTATTATAATATGACGAGCTGTTCGAGTGTTTCTAGGTAGTATACAGCCATTTATTTACCGTAATATATGAATTTAGAAGCTATAACACTGCGGGAATTCATATATAGATTGAGAAAATATACTGAATATAAATTGTCGTCATTATCAATTAAAGTGCGCGTGCATGTTGTTTATAGACAATATAGTGGGTCACTAGGTTGCTGCGATGTCCTAGTGAGTCACTCGAATTTTCTGGACAGCCTATAACGGACTATTTTCACTCGCTTGGTAAGCCATCTTATGTTATTGGTAAGTGACTAGTTTTAGTTTTATCCTAACTATAAATATCTACATCCATTAATATAGTCGGCAGAATTCGTTGTCGTTTTTATACAAGAAAGTATTAGCTATATAGACCTAATAGTTTAGTAAGTTAATTAATTGAAATTCGTTTATAAACTAAAGACAGATATACATGGATGGAATTATTTCGCAATCATCGCGAATGCATGATATGTGATATTTCTTATGTTATATTATATTTGTATGGATATATATATAAAAAGCTAAAAGCAGTAAGCCCCATTTACACGAGGATTTTTTTAGATGAGATCACCAATTCACACGGGAAAAATATTTCGTCGCATAAAATTTGTTGAAGTCAAACGTTTGCCCGTGTAAAACGGGCTTGGCTATATACGTGTTAAACCGAACTGATTGAAAAACTGTTTTGCCGTTTCGGGTAAATTAACTTCATCTATACTATCGATTTGAACTGAGAGACTATATGCTAATTATTATGCTTGATATGACGCAATCTCAGGAGCTGAGCCATCTTTCATTTCAATAGAATATATTAGGCCACGATGATTCGTCAACGTGCATGCAAAGGCTGTATTTGTCATTTTTAAAAAAGCTAGATTAAATCGAAAGAATATACATTTGTTGATGCATGTGTAAATAATAAAAATTTGGAAGCATTCAAAGTTTTAAGCGCGTAAAAAAACACGTAAATGGAAACCAGCCTTATATATCTTCATACGCACGTACACGCACGTAAAAGTCTAAACGCGTTATGTACACGTCAACACATAATACATCTGGATTGACAAAATGGTAGCCTATTCTTGATCACGAGTCAAAATTGTATTGTTCATTTGACTAAGTTCATTGATCTTCATTCCTCTCCTGTTTCTCAGAATTACGTAACTTTCTCTTCACGAATGAAAATCTAGGTATAAATTTCCCATATTTCCACTCATTGCTAACTGTCATAAGAAAAGTCATCGTTCTTGGAAATATGGTAACAGTATTAGGGAATACGCATGACACTCGTGTATGTCTGGCCACCTTAACGTCGATTGTGAGATTGTACATTAAGTGTGAGCATGCGTTAAAAGCTTCATAGGTTGAAATTGCGTTTTGTTTTTTCCCCCCGGGCAGGGAATTTTGTCTATTTCGTGTATAAATTGTCAAGCAAGGGTGATCCAAAATTTGACCAGTTGGAACTAGAGAGAAACTTCTCAGTGATGCTACTTTCCTACTAGTGAATTTTTGACGCCATTTGAAAGCATTTCGCCTGCCTGTACGACAGGTACACAACTTTGGATTTACGTTTCTATCCACGCATTGTTCGTATTCGTTAAATGAGCTTGCGCGAGTAAACTTGTCCAGACTCATTCCCATTTCTTGTTTAACTGAAAACGAAACTTTGATGTCAAATGCTTCTCTTGTTTTACGATCAAACGGCTGCACGAACAGAGTGAATGAAAGTACCTCATCGTCACCGGCGACTCGATGTCGCGGGAGGCCTACTCCAAGACCAATATAGCGTTGACATGCGCCGTAGCCGTAGAAGTCTGACGTCAGCAGCTCGGGCTTCGACTGCTGAAGGCCTGTTATAAATTGGTTGTGAATTATTTTATTGAGTGATCCTAAAGCAAACTCTGCGGCCCAGCTAACGTCTTGTGAACTATTTGAAATTGATTTATCCATCTTATCACATAGACATAAAACGTCCGAATCTAATTCAAGTTGTTCACAAGTGCGATTGAGTGGTATAAGGCGAAATAGACCACGTTGCAATTGTGGAGTTGCTGGGTTAACATATGTCTGCAAAGCATCGCCAAGATCTTGAAGCCCTACCAAACGTTTCTGATTCGCGAACAAAGCATTAACCACTTCGGGTCCAAGTTTCTTGCTAACCGCATGAGGAATAATCATGAACATAAATGGCTGAAATATCTCATGTCGTCCTTGCACTGTATAAGACGAAAATTTGGTGGATTTTCCACCGTGATCTGATATAAATATAGTAATGGTGTTGACCATCTCGGCCGCTTCTCGCAGTAATTTCGATAGGGCAATGTCATCATTAACAATGCGTCGTCCACTGCGTTCGTGTGATGTAATTAGATGAGTGTATGCTAGAAATGGACTTTCCGCATTGTCGTTAAGTTTCACGTACTCGCCTACATAATCCAGAAAGAAGGAAGAAAAATGTTGTCCTGCAAAGCAAACTTTCGGAAAGTTCTCCGCGTCGTAAACATTTGTTGTACGCAAGTATGAATAGACGGAACAAGACAAAAACGTTACACCATAGTCGTCAATACTAAGACTACGCTTGGTATTCTGAAGCAGGTCTACAAACTCTTTCCATATTTCATCTCTTGTCTCTTTGTCTTTCACGCGACCAGTCCTGTAACGAAAATCAATAATTGTTCCCCATTTATCATACCAACAATTATCCTCTTGAAATAATGTTCTGTAACCAAACTCCTTAAAAAGAGAAAAAAATTCTTCAAGGCCAATGTTGTCGGACCTGGAATGTAAATACTTCGTTCCTGAAAATAACCGCTTTAGGTTCGTTCTCGTCGTTGTGTCGTAGCTCTGGACTTTCTCAAATTCTAACACAGTTGCGGGAATTGTTCGGTCGTAAATAATGTTTCTCAAGGTCGACGCAGTTTTCAAAAGTGTCCTGAAGAAATGTTTTCTCGATACTGAATCCTCCACAACAATATTAAAATTTACTTTATTTCGCTTTCGTCTCGTCGTAGAACGTTTTAGGATTTTGGGCAATGTTAAAACTTGAAAAATATGTCTACTTTCGCATTTCAACAACGCAAAACCTGAACCAAATTTAGACGACAGCATGTGAGCACGAAGAAGATCCCCAATACGTCTTATATCTAATATTACTGTCCAATTATCAACCACTCCTGTTTCGCTTCCTAACAAACCAAGGCGAAGAGACTCGCCCCCACAGTGACTTAAGTCACAAACTACATCAAAACTCTCGATGTCTTTCTGCAGTACAATACGACACATTTTGACCACTTTGCTAACGTTACACATCACTTCTTTGATCTCTCCAGGTTTGCCGTAATATTTTACACTTTCATTACAGTCGTTATCAGTCTCCAATCTCAGACTGCATATTGGCTCTTGTGAGTGAACAGTGACTGTTGATTTTGCCTGAGGCTTTCGTAGACCAACATACGGGCAAGCACTGTTTTTTGGAAAATCTTGGTTAAATGATGCGTGCATATCTTCAATGATCATCGCCTCAAATCCATAAGCAGGCGGCGGTTTTTGAGACGAATGTGCTACTTTGCGAGTGTGTCTAAAATTCTCGCCAATTGTATGAAACTTCGGTGTTTTAAGATGTGTTGTGGGTTCCTTTGGCGTCGGCGTTGTGCTTTCATTTTGAATACCAGTTTTAAGTAAACTTTCTGTCAGTAGAACTAGAAGAGGAACAGAACTTGCAGTTGAGAAAATACACAATCTTTAGGAAGGGAGTCAAAGTCAAATTAAATTGAAGTCTCACTGTTTTGCCGGTTTTTACAATTTCAATTTGCAGTAATTTTTCCTGCTGACCTGCATGTTGCATGTTGCATGTTGCATGTTGCATGTTGCATGTTGCATGTTGCATGTTGCATGTTGCATTGATGGGAGAAGGAGAATTGCAATATTTTGCGACACTATATAGTAATTGCTACCTGGAGCCAGACTTGATATTCTGTTCGATAAATGGATGTAGCTGAATCCAATCAAATATACGACGAACATGATAATGAGAGCTAATATCTAAAAAATCGAAACAGATTAATGATTTGAACGAAATATTATGTATCTAATATTTTGATGTGCTGACAATCAAGTATGTAATTGCATGGCGAATTGCTGCGCTGTTAAAATTTCTTGATTTTCGTCGTCCCCGTCCGCCCAACAACCAAATAACCAATGGTTATCTCTTTGCAGAAGACCTAAACTATATCTAGGCAGGAATGCCGGAACGATTCAAAAGCAGGGGGAGGGGGCGATTCTCGTAAAAAGGCACTTCTGTGTTGACGCATACTAGAAACATCAGTAGCTGAACTTCGTCTATCATCTAAAAAGGATTCATATTCTTGCGGGGTTATCATGCAACGAACGACGAAATCTGCGAGTACAATGAATCAAGGGATTATTTTTGGGATGTAAACAAAAGGCTCCTCCCCAAAATTGCCCCATGATGCATTATTGATATCACTAGTAATTACCAGTCCTCCACTGCATGCAATACAATGCAACATCGAAATGGCTAATGTTAGAATGGCTGATGTGGCGGTGTATCAGCTTATTATCAGGTTGCTCCGAGACTGATGCATTTAAAAATTCACAACTGGTTCAGCGAGTACATCAGAAGCACAAAGGATTTTGGACCCCGACAATTTTATACACTGTCTACCACTGCATTTACGCTTCTAAAATGCATTTAGAAGTTTTTTTAACACTTTTTTTACTCTTTTGTGTTTCCAGAAACGAGTGCGACTAAGTTTTTTTGCACTTTGCTGTAGAAACTGAGGCATGTTCCCCAATTTGCTGCTGCCCTTTCAGGTGCGATTTTCTTCGTTTGACAGATGCAAACGAGTGAATAGTTGCCCTAATAAGTAATAATTGTCCTTATTTCAACATCCATAATGATTCCATTCGACACATCTATGAAACAAGAAAATCCTACCTAAATTGACCTAATATCGCAGCAAAAATCCGACCGTGACTATGTGAATTGTCCTTGAATGCGAAATTCATTCAAATGGTGATTCGGTAATTTGCATTACACATAAATCAACCGACTTTTAAATTTTCAAAGTGAAAATTTGCATTTCTATCAAAGTCAATAACATGCACTTATTACATATCTGGATATTCTAAACAAATTTAGCCGCGGCTGCTGATTCAAGCGTAGCCCCGCGATATCCAACATGATAATTTACTGTGTGCCTTTCGATAAAGCTTTTTAATTGATAAACATCTGTGATAATGTAAGCATATAAACAACTTTATGCCGTCCAAGCGCCTTAGATACCTCATAGTTTGCTTCTTGATACCGGTAAGTTGATAGATTTTGAAACACGAAAGTCCATCACTTGAACTACAATTATTTAAATAGCACTTTAGTGGTATGTCTGTATGGCCGGTTTATCACGATAGATGAGAATGTTATCTGATATATAGCCACGGATATAATTATCCGAAATTATCCGGATCCCGATAATTCCTCCTGATGCTTGAAAGTTTAGGCAAATAGTTTCGAAACACTTTATATTCACAGACGGTCAAAAGATTGTGAAACGCTGGTCTCCTTGTGATTGGGTATATAGATACAGTTAACTGACAAATCTAACAATGTTTATATGTTTTAAGGATTTTTATCCCACTGTGGCAGCTTGACTTACTTAATTCTTCCCAATTTTATGCTGTAACTCACCCATTTTCTTAATAATTTCATCATTGCTAAACATCAGCTTTTGTTGACTGTAGAATCAACGCTTCATCGACGTACTGATATATTTACATCAACTGTTTCCAAACTTCTTTCATGAACTATGAACCTGTTGACGAACCCGCGATTCTAACAATCACTGCACTGTTATGGAACAGGTACGCAGATATCCAGAGAGAGTGTAGAGTCTTTACTAACGAACATGCAATAAGTATAAACATTCGAACGTTTTCTAATATCACCTCTCGGATTTGTGTTGGTTGCTGTATTTCCAAGCGATCAGTTAAAGTATTGATTTGATCTACCGAAGGCGTAAAGCTCTAAGCGTAGCCCTGGGGACGAAGATGTCCATCGAACATGAATTTAAAAAATACAGATATAATACCGATTCTCTTTTGTTAGCCTTTACGATGATTCATTGATACAATAGTTTGAACCCGGCATACTCAATTTTATTCTCGCCAGCTTGATCAGTGGGGGGGACTTATTCATATATTTGTGTTTTACATTATTAATTTATTTTCAAATTGATTGTTTTAACGGTCTGTGAACATGAATATATGAATATGTCCCCCCCACTTATCGATGCTGCTGTCGACGCCACTGCTCTCCTTTTCGAAAATTGAATGATCGACCAAAATCGCCCATTTGGGTGCATGGTTTCAAGATAATGGTTGGGACAACTTTGGTAGAAATAAATTCCGTGGATATTGGTCTGAAATTATCAGCCCCAGTCAAGTCCTCGATCTTTCTTGTCTCAAATAGCCAGTCTAGACCAACTTCACCATCTTCAGAATAGCTATTACATGATATCACCCTCTATATATGATATTCACGACGATAATTTTTTAATTCATCAATGAAGTGAATGTAGAAATATAGTTCTACGTCGCATACGTGATGAGAAAATTTTTTGAAAAGTTTGAAAGATGGAAGGTCCCATCCACTATAAATTCTGAAGACGACTGCGCCCTTGCTCCAAAAGCCTAACAACATCCCACGCACACAACTTAGAAACTTTAGCGTCTATGAAAATTTCTTTTTTAGAGATTATTTAATATTTCAAATCGTTAAATTCAGAAGATGTACATTTGGATACTCATTGCAATTGTCACCGGAGTAACCATCGCTGTTATGCTCTCTCTACTTTTCATGATACTCAGTTTCTCCACAAAGTCATGGCTGGACAATAGAGAACAGTGAGTTGAACATTATTAGATAACTTTGATTGTCCCATACTTGAAACAATATGTATTCAAAGATTAATTTTTCAGAAATACTGTATATATACAAGGATGAACTGTATAGTAACTTTGTGAAATATCAAATATATAACACCCCTGATTCAGTCATCTGTTGTCTTTTATTAGGATTAGTAAAAGCTATATATATACTAGTACTGTAATTCATATAGTATAAGTAAATATATATCGGCACTAGGTATATATAGTGGGTTAATTAACGTGAGTTCTAAACGAACGCTTTATAGTTACAGCGAAGAGCAATTCGTACCAGTAAGAGAAGATAGAAATACTGTAATAACAGATCCCTATTCAGGAAAATTGATGAATCTAGAACGAGGGAGCACCGCCAGCTCACTGCGAAGCACGAAAAGTATTGGATTCATCGCTTATGACAAGTATGAAAAGTTTTCTCTTTTTTCATTTCTTTCCTCCGGCTCGTGGTTGTGGGGAAATAAGTTGCATGTACTTTCACCAAACATCATTCCTATATACTTGCACGCAAAGGTTTAACATATAAGTATAGCGCTATATACGCGTATTGCAGAGCGTTCTCGAGCTTAAAGATACACTAAATCTACCATGATTACGTGGACGTGCTTGCATGACATATAACAGCCCCTTTAATTCTATATATAGCCTTGGCAATCTAGTTTTTATATACATTTTAATATTTTATTATTCATATAATAAAATTATTATTCATAATAACATTTTATTATTCATATACATGTACATATGAATAATGAAATTTCTTTCGCAACTAATGTCAACTACAGTATTTTTTCCCTAAATACTGAAGAGAGTAAAGCCGCGTTCACACTACGTGCTTTGACCTAGGCTGAACCTGGCCTAGGCCTATATGCACGTGAACGCTGTTTATCCGGCATAGACCAGGCCTAGACCTGATCTAGACCACAAAATCCAGACCGACAGTAGAAGGTAGCCTGGACCAGCTAGGCCTGGACCTGATCTGGACCACAATTTTGGTATAATGTGAACAGGCTTTACCAAGTCCTGACAATTTTTTAACTTAATAGTATGATTTGTATAGGTTCCATATAGTATTACCCCTTTTCGGTGTGTTTTGGGTCTTTTTCCAAGTATTATTTGTCAATTACTTTGGCTATCCCATATCATCAACAAGGAAGACAGTGTTAACGTAGCACATATAACTGGCTTGTCCTAAAACTGGTCCCGGTGAGGTCCAGGCCTACAGTGTAAACGCGGCTTAAGTGCAGATATACAACTCCGTCCCCCTAAGCCCGCTAATTAAAAATGATTGCAGAAGCAAAATATCACAGAAATTCGGGGACGTTAGAGTCAAAATGATAGTTGTTTGGGTTCAAACAACAGTCACAATGTTATTGGTTCTGTATAAAATGTGAAGGTAATCAAAAAATCATGTAAAGTAAATAGCAAATGGTTAAGTATCTATTTCAACGAAGAGATGAATTCGATGTTTTTGTAGTCAGTCTGATACCGCAAGTCAGGGTGCAGGAAGAGCAACGTTTCATACAGGGAGCATCAAGAGCGTGAGATCAAATAGATCGATAATATCCACACCAACTGGATCCATTAATCGAGAAATGAAGTACTTAAACGTCAACCCTTTGTTCAAAGAAGACCCTAAATCCGACGAGCCGCGATTAAATAAGAGTACCAAAATGCGTGCCATGGAACTAATGTTTGAATAGAGTTGCATCAACAGAAAAAAACATAAACTATGATAATTTATTGTATAATTTATTTAATCATTCATTCTACATTCTATATACCCAGGTAGGTTTTTTAAGTAAAGACATGTAAGAGAGTTTAAGCCTCACGTTATACATGAAACGGCAAACTTCAAGCATGCAAAGAAAAAGTTAAAGCTAAACGAATAAAGGGCAAATGTTTTAAAACTCAAGGAGCAATGAATGTTTTCCGAAAAGAAAATATGAAACGAAGAGGATGAACGAAAATTCTGCATAGAAAGTTCGGCCTTGCTGTTTGCCGAAAACACAGAGCTTAAACTCCTTAAAGCGTTATCCGGTCTGCATGGGACGCTGGAAGGATACACGAGAAATGAGCTCGAGGTGGGGGTGTTTTTGCCAAACATCGACAGTTAACTTCGTCTTATCGTGTTTCTCTTCGTTAGATGAATCTGTTAGCTGCATTTTAAATTGCCAAATGCAAATTTTATTTAAGAATTGAAATGCACTTCAGTATGAATATATAAGAGTATACTGCCTTATGTGTTACAAATGACTGATTGTGACTCCACGACTTGCGGGGAGAACAATATATGTTTATATTTTACGCAAATGTATATAGTTGGAAATTGTACAAGTCATGCAGGACGGGTAGCTTTTATGCCAGAATTATTGGTAGTGAGGCTGTATATATGAAACATATAGGCCTCCGGCAGGAATCGAACCTATACGTATTAGTACGCTATTGCGAAAGCCATCACAATGACAGTACTTTAACTTAGACAGTTAACCGATCGTCTATGACCTCATACGATACAGCAATAGCATGCGCAATATATTACTCATAGAACATGCACTTGCATGTCCATGGACAATAAAGACACATTAACATACAGTGATGCAATTTGACATATACTTGAAATATTCCAAAGATTGAAGTATTACCTATCTATAAACTAACAATAATATATGTATATATATCTAACCTATATAAAATTAACCATCAGGCATGCATGCACTAATGTATATCTGTAATACTATAATGTATAAATGTTTTTTTTGTTATTTTTATCCCTTGAAAGTTATTACGAATTAATAAATTAATATAACCTATATAGCATTTCAAAAATAATCCATTTAAGACTTTTTTATGAATGTTTCCCTTTCTTCTATTTCTACCTCATATCTTCTTAGATCTTCCAACTCTGCACCAAAATTTTCGTCATCTTTTTTGGCGCGCTCGTAAAGGACTTGTCTGTCCATCTGATCAACCGCAAATGGATGTAAAAACATAACAACCAGAAAGTCCAGAACCATATTCCCATCAATTTTATAGGTCTGCCTGATGTTTGCACGAATTGCGGTAACGAAGGCAAAGTATCCCATCAACACGACCCATCCGAAGTATATTATGTCGTTCTCAACTTTTTTCAGAATGAGTAGTATGATGAAGGAATAAAAAAGTACCGCCAATGATATCATTTGGGTGGAAATTTTTCGACCACCTGGCTTCGTGGATGCGCGTCCTGCTGGAAACCATGGAATTGTTAGGGCGATGGCAAAATCAAGCAACTTCTGCGAGGAAAGCGGGAAAGTGAACACGTGAAATAGACCAGTCAGGAATGCATTGCTCTTTTTTTCGGGCTTCTTGTCGGTTGAAATTGCTTCCCAGAGAGCAACACACATGAAGCAAACGATGACAGTATACGGTAGCCCAGCAGCTACGGAAACAGTTTGAAGAGCATTCAGAGCGTCAGTACCTCCCGCAAGGAGCAATCCTGTTGCACACGCTCCCTCAGTGACAGCCCAGAAAACTCGTTGTATCACAGGTGGGTTGTCGCTACCATTAGCCGAAAGACAATCAATAACCAAGGAACCACTGTCAGAACTCGTTACAAAATACAATGTTATACTCACGAGAGATACCACGTGGAGAAAGGGAGTCAGTCTGTCGTTGAAGCTTTGCATTAGATCAAAAAACATCTGCGCACTGGTGCGACAAGATAATCGGTACATGCCGTCGTACGGCTCATTGGCAAGTTTACCTCCGAGCGGCGAAGAGCAGTTGATCCCGGCGAGCGCTGCTTCTCTTTCCAAGTTCAATCCTGCCCCACCGAAAATGCTGAACCATAAAAAGGTGTAAAGAATTGGTGCGGTCATGGTACACATTAGGTAATTTCTGATGGTTCTACCTCTCGAAATCTTCGCGATGAACATGCCAATGTACGGTGACCATGATATCCACCATCCCCAATAAAATATCGTCCAATCTTTCATCCACGTAGGAGATTCCTTGCCATCCGGAGCATTCCCTTCTTGTGCGTAGGCATCAGTATGAAAACTAACTTCTATTGCGTATTGCAAGTAGTAACCAATTCCTTGCACATAAACGTTCAAATAATACCAGGTGCCTCCACGGAAAAATACAAAAAGCATCAGAAACATTCCAAGACCAAAACAAATCTCGCTGAGGCGACGAATGCCAACTTTCAGACCAGAAACAACGGATATTGTAGCCATTGCAGTAATAACCCAAATAATGATAATTCTGGCAGTTTGATTTTCATCCTCGATACTGCTAATGAGGCGATGAAGACCGCTGTTTAAGGTGATAACACCCAGTCCGAGAGAGGTGCAGACACCAAACATTGTACCAACGACTGAAACCGTGTCGATTAGATCACCTGCTATGCCATTTACCTGATCACCCAGAAGAGGATAGAAGCATGAGCGCACAGTCATTGGTTGACCATGTCTATGACCAACGTACGCCAGCAGCAGGCCAACTATGACATAGACAACCCAGGCATGCAATCCCCAATGGAACAATGTAATATTCATCGCATCTCGGGATCTTTGATTATCGTTATACCTGAAATTTACAAAATTATAAATGTGTTTATGCTGCAGCTGCGGACGAGAAAATACTCCAAATTTGAATCTTGCGGTTCGACGAAAACAGGCTTATAATGCGAATTTTTCCCTAATACACTTGAAAAATATTACAAAATGTCCCCTTAGGAGGTTTCCTTTTTATATAATTAGGCCATAGTGCAATTATTGTTATTACCTAATGAAGATCCATGTTGATTAAAACTGATGTTTTTAAATGTTTCAGCAATTCAAAAAAGTATAATACGATTCGATTTACAATTTTCAACAAGTACATTATGTGAAACCTTATGGCCTCATCCTAGCCGCTCGCATCCGAACAGTTCTTCCCTTCCCTCTATAGATCAAAAGCACGCGTATATAAATGGTATTTTATTGCTCCGTGTCACCATGGCTTCTCCGCCCATCCACAACCTCATTCCCAGGCGCTTTAAATAAAGATAAATATAGGAACACTACAGGCTTTTAAATAGATCAGTGTTTTATTTGAAGCCCCTGGGAACGAGGGTGGCCCATCTATGCAACTATACTCTTGTTTGACGCACTCACAAACTGGATCATGATGATTGATGAACGGTATGCCGAATATAGCATATAAAGCACTAATACTACTCTTTCGTCAGACAAATTCCCATTTTTTGCCAATTAAAATTGAATTAATACAAGTGGTGTCGTGATAGATGATTGAATATTTTATTGAATTAGCGAAACAAGCATGCTTTCCTTAAGTTTCGCATGTTTTGAATTTTTTCGCTTTTAAAAAGTGTTTATATTTAACAGCTGGGGTCCGGTTGTTCAAAGCTAGGTTAGCGCTGGATCACCCTGGGTTAAATTTTAATCCGCTGTTTTAGTTTACATGCTTCTGCACCGCCACTTGTTTTAAAACTTTGCACAATATGATTTCTATTGAACTAGAAAATAATCAACTTTTATAAACTAGCGATGAAAAAAATTGATGTAAAATTTGCGTCACCCCTGCATGGTTCGAGTTAATCAGTCGACTTTTGAACAACCGACCCCAGACGTTTTAACATCACAACTCCCGCCGGATTCTGTATCAATAAGAATCCCGGCTAAGCCGGAATTAATGCAAACAGTCCCCCAAGACTAGGAGCGGAATTCAATATATCATCGTGATATTTCATAACACTGCTTATTTTCATCGCAGAACGAGACGAACGAATAGCTTTGAAAGAAGATATAGTTCTAAATAGTGTGCGGCAAGTTTACGAACGATTTTTGTCGTATCCTGGGCCGTAGGTATAAGAGGTAGATGTAAAATAGGACCAAATGAGGTCTGATATAAAGGAAAAATGTTACGAATTTATGCCCTTTCAATATAATGCTACGTAGCAAAACGAAATACGTGCAAGGGCTAATCGATCATCGCGAATTCTTACCTTCCCCAGTAACGATTTGCGTAAGGCATGTGCGTTTCATAGTGAATGACAGGTTCTGCAACTCCGAAGTAAAACAATCCAATTCCAACACCTGCAGCGAACAACATTGTGAAGTATGTCATATCGCTGAATTCTGGCTCGTCGTCGTCCTTTCCTAACTTAGTTTTACTGTGTTTGGAAAATAAGATGAAAAGTACGAAGACGAGCCAAATGTTTTTAGTTCCCACGTAAAACCACGTCGACGTCGTGGTAATCCAACTTTTAGCTGAGTTCATTGCGTTCATCGCATCACTTGGCATGATCATACAAATAATTACGAAACCCCATATAATCAGAGCTGATAGTATTGTCACGACCGGGTTTATAGATATTCTAACAGGCCCCACTTTTGCTTCGAATGAGTGATATTTGCTTTGTGCTTCTTCATTGTTAGCGTTTTCCATTTCAACTGTTATACGTACGCTTTCATTCACAGTAGTGTCGAATACGCAACGTTATGTCGCTCAGTCGCTCTGACTCTATTATGATAGTACAATCATTTGGTACCAAACTATTATATTGAGTTGTCGTGGTGAGAAATTGGATACAACCTTCAATCAATGCGTTTTTTCATCATTATTAACAAGATTAACTTCTTCGTGCCAACCGAGCGCCTGCGTCGAAGTCGTTGGGGGTCAAAGGTTTGTGAAAATAATCTAAATAATAATAAAAATGATCTAATGCGTATTCTATAGCCCTTTGCTATTTCTATAGCCCGTACTCTATAGCCTTATGGCATGTATGGGTCCCTGACATCGATCTTCCATCCGGTGAGGCATGTGTAATAGGAAGTACCTGCATGGCCGCTAGGTTCAGTTATTTTGTATGCTGCACGATATACGTATATAAAACATTGACACGTCAGCCAATTTACACGCACAGTGTAAATTTTAGATAGAATTTTGGTCAATTGGAAATGCTTGGGGTATGGAGGTATAATAGTAACTATAGTGTAAATTTTTGGTAAAATACGGAAATGCTAGCTATTGATAGAACTATTTATCAGAGCATCTGGAGATCCTTTAGTACTGACTCTATGGACTCCATGGCATCGAGGGTCTCCTTATTCGTCGGACTTTGTCAGTATGATGTCCATGCAATAATGGGTCTATAACTATGAAGGCAAAGCGGCAAAAAATACGGGTTTCTACAGATGTTGATGCAACCGTTAGTGGGCATATAGAATGCATGCAGCTATGAAAATTTTAGGTTATTATCATTATTTATTTTTTAGACATTGGCTGGGCCACTGCGTCATTGGGGGCAAAAATTCATAAAATTGCACGAATCCAATGTATACTAATTATAATTACTTGGTGTTATTTCAATCGAGATGAAAATATGAGCATATTGAAACTCAACAGAGACTCCACAATCAGTCATCATATCATGCGATTCTTCGGATTTCTTTATTATCAGTTATTTTTAATTTATTCTATCCTTCCTTCAAAGCGGTTTGGAGTCATTATGCCATGACTCAATTCTCTATTTCACGTCTTACTCCATTTTATGGGTAAAGATAAGAGAGAAAGAGGAATATAAAATTTGGCTCATGTATGTCTCTAAATTAAAATCAATATTATGATTCAAAGCGAGGCCTCTTGTGAAGTTTTTTTGAGAATCATATTTCAATATTGTCAGTCCTTTCGAGTTTCTTAGCTGGGTGTGAGACGTTGACGACAGACAGTGACATTATTGTTAAGATTGTTATGATGGCCGGTAAACTTCAAATAAACTTGTTGGGATTAAAAAGCACTTATTTTCGGCCATTGCTATTTTTGTTCCAGGTTTTATACACGTTAAACGAAAAGCGCCATCCACGCATGCGGCAAAATGGCAGAAACAATGGGAAAGTTCAAGGAGATCCGTATTATACAAGTACTCAAACACCCCGCATATATCAAGTGATATATCATTATATGATATTGAGCTGAATTTCTGGATTATTAAGTTTTAATTTCTCTTAATTGTAATGCGAGAGACGGATGGACGACGGATGGACGGATTGGATTGAAAGACTTCTATGGATAACTTATCGCAGTTCAAATTTCAATATAAAAAATGAATAGTAATTTAGTTTTCATTTTACCCTGTCATACCTCTGCAATTTAGCATATTTACCTATCAACACTAAAAAAACTGGTGGTTTATTTTCCTAGACTTCAAGAGCCAAATTATACTGAAAGGCATATGCCCTTGAATGAATGTTTTGACTGTTGACATGCATGCATTATGTGCATGCTGGCATGCATCATGTGTATGCTGGTGTCACAAATGAGTGCAAACATTGATCTTTTAGTTATGTATAATGCTGTTGCACAAGAAAATATACTAGGAATTTGTCACTGTACTATAACGTTCACCTAGTTGACGATTGACATAAACATTGAACAAATAACATGAACATGCAAGAATATGCAAACACTTTCAAGAAACATTCATCCTGCTTGGGCTTAAGAGAGTAGTAGGGCGCTTTTGCATGCAAAACAGACACATTAGCTTCAACACACCAGTAACATTTTGTAGCTTTACCTTTACACTTATTATCTATACGTACAAATTAGCCCGCGAGCAGTCACATTGTCATGCATGCATAGAGTATTATCGATCTAAATACAAGCATTTTATTCCAGGCTGCATGCCAGAGTCTTTTTTTTATTTTTTAGTATGTCAGCTGTCTCTCCATCGGCTCGTTGTGAACATATCATATATGGATACTAGCCTTTGGCTATGCATGTGAACACAGATCCATCATCCACCGTCAGGTTTTCATCTGACATCAACAACCAATTATAACATATAGTCGCATTTATAACAATAACTAATTAGTAGTAGTTCAAGTTTTTGCAATTGGTCGTCAATATATCATATATAGCATAGTTATATATAAATGGTCATAGATTATGGATAAAAATGTACTATGTTTATGAATCATCTAGTATTCCAATATAATTTTATTAATGTTAGTATCATAACATAATTGAAGAACTGATGTCTTATATACGTCTAGGAACGACACTGCATGTCCGACATTCTATTAACTGTGTTTTTACGAGTATATATTGTTACGAACTGAGCTAATTGGATGATATGTGATAAATATAATTATATTTTGCAGATCCAACACATTTTGTTATGGCTTTGTCGCTACATTCTTTATAGTTTGGTCTAACTCCCCAGCATTTTTCGACTTTTGAATGGATAGTAAAAAAAGAGTTTGAAGGTTCTCCGAACCAACATTCTTTGAAATTTTGTACTCCAAAATATCGATATCCCTCATTTCTTGCCAGGTTTGCGCAACTATAGAAAGAAAAGAAACAGACTGATAATTAAACAGAAAACCATGCAGTTTCAGTCAATATATCGCTGTATGGGTGGTCTTAATTGTTTATCACCAGGTTTCAAACGAAATCAGGTATATATAATTTTACCCGGTATATATATAGGGTTTCAGGTTTGAGTCTAAAACTAGGCGTAAGTGTAACGATTGTGTTAGGCAATAGTATAGGCTTAAAACTACTCAACCTTGAATATCAGGCCCGGATATAAGGGGTCGATTTTTGCTTACTTCGTGTGGCAGTGCGCCAACCTTATTTAAGTACATGTACACGACGTAACGTGTTTCTTTTGAAACAAATTTATCTAGCTTTGATTACGATGCGAACTAAGGTTGAAGGAGCAGCTGCTTTAATTTTAGGTGTGCGTGCTGAACGTTTTGTTGGCCGACAAAGGTTTTGCGTGACTACTTTCGAGGTAATGTTTTAACACCTTTGAATTAGTAGCTATATTTATATGTATATATAGTATAGGGTCGCTAAAGGGCACATGTTATGTTTCCATCATCTGCGACAGCGATACGTATATGATGTAATCTTATAAAATTTCTGACCCAGCCGACACACGCATGCATGTGTACATGTATATATATATATGCACACCGCGGTCCACGGTGGAACGTCTTAAAAAATTCTATGACAAATTCTACAAGAGCATTGAGCAACATACAGCTATACACATATAATGGGTAATAAAGAAGCATTTAATAACTACATCATCTATAAACATATACATATCATAATAATGAAATAATGAGGTTATAGTAAACTCACTAGCAGGTCACGTTGTGTAAATATTCATCCCAACCATCATACCAATCAACCTCCTTTGGATATATTTGGAGTAGAGGGAACGTTCTTTCGGCTGTCTTAAAGGCACCGGGATCTGCGTAGCATCCTTTCTTGACCAATGTAGTTGTATTACAAGACGTTAAACCATACTCATCCGGGTCTTTTAGAAAATATGTAATAAAAAACGCATGTATACTGTTTGCAATCGCTGCATGGCTTTTAAACATGCAAACAGCTGTTTTAGGTATACAAAAGTTCTTTTTTATTCTAGATTAATAGCAATAGGCTTTATTGATGCTCAGCTACAATAATTTTTCATATAGACATATCACATATAGCTAAAAGTAATTATTAAGGGGATTCTTATTCAATATAATTATATTCGACTATTTGTTCACGAGGTAGCCTAAAGTCTATAGATAAAGTCGACGATTGAGGGCCATTTCTAAATTTAATTCAAAGTAAAGATTTTCGGTTATTCTTTTCTTGCTGCTAAATTTACTACCTTGGCCTTGTGTGATGGAGTTTTCTAAAACGGGTGCAAAGCAGCTGAGATTGTAATCCTAAGAAATAAAATAATGTTGAATACGTTATTCTGTTTTTCTTAATGGAAAAATAATACAATGATTATTATTGATCATGTTTTATTCCTGATATCCCTCGCCCAGGGGCTGTAAATGAGCCCGGTTACCCGAGATTCAACGAAGCATGAGATGATTTTGACTTTTTGAGGTATTGAAATGAGCAGATAACATGATCCTGGTAGTCGTGTAATTACCACATGCAACAATAGCCTGTGCTTGTTTGGTGTCTTAAAGACTTATTTCAATACTTCAAAGTCCTCTCACGCTTCGTTGAATCTCGGGTAACCGCGGGCTCATGTAAACAGCCCCGAAATTCTTGAAATTGCATATAGCTAATTTAACTTTTTAGTCTCGTCAAATTATAAGGTTATACAAGGGAAGTTCCTTGCAAGCGACCAATTTGTTTTGATTTTTATTTTCATTGTTATATCGCGCCCATCCATCATATATGCATTTACCTTCTGTGGCTCAGTCAAATAGGCATAATCGTATGAATTGTTTTTCTCTAATACATCATCCGATATATTGTAGATCACGTTGTGTAACATTTCACAATTTAATTCATTTTGTAAGTTTGGTGTCTTTTTGTAGTTAACTGATCTACAACAGGGTTCTTTAGCACATTCCATCAAGCAGAACACCATTTGGGAAACACATTTTTTCATAAAAACTGTTGTATTAAGTCTGAAACCTAAATAAGGAAATACATTGAAATGATCGCCTAATAGGTTATACCTATAGAATTATTATAATTTTGCATTTTCCCATTGATTTTACACTCGCGGTTTTCACATTTTTTCAATAAATTATATAGTCCAGTTCGAATTCGAAGCGTCTTCACCACAGCTAGGCTATAAGGTATACTGTGCCCTAACTTTTGGCCCCTTGCCCTTGGCCGTGGCCAAACTGAGAGGGTACGTGTTCAATTCCAATTTTCGTTTAATTCATGTCGTGTGTTCCTACCTTCAAGACTTGAATTGTAACAGAAATTCATGCCGACACTTGATTGTTTTGTCGCGAAGAAATTGACAATCAGTAGTTTAATGACATGATGATGCGTGAAATGCATTTTGGTGTGAACCTGTTGTCAACACTCTGCAAGTGAAAACGTTAAGAGATATTCAATGATCTCTATATTGACTTTTCAAAACAAGTGCATGCACAAATCATATTGTCATCGTATCTGTATTTTTATTATAGTTATACACCAAAAATACTTTATAGATGGTAGTACCTAGCCAGTAAGGAAGAAAAAGTATGATAAAGGGGAGAAACATAGCTAACCTCAACAGCATCTCTCCAGATGTTTTCCTCACAAGTTTACAGAAAAGACAGCATGCGCAAATAGTGCAACATTATGTCTTTTTATGACGGTCCTTCGCACTCACATGCATTTTACATGAGATATACATATAGACTTTAATAGTTAACTATATATGTATATATATTATCAGTTTATATACTTCACACAGTTGAAGTTCGACCAAGCGGATAGAAGGCAAATCGGTAAACAATGAGTTCACCATGATTACTGCATTAATGCTAACAATGGAGATGAAATACATCAACGCTTCTTAATCGGAACTTTGAAATTCAAATATTTCTAACAAAAAATATTTGTAATTGTAGTACATGATTAATAACTTACACAATTCGCAAAAAACAAATCTTGAGTGGTATATGGATGTCTTTTCTCGAATCTTTCCTCTGGATTTCTGATAGAATGTATGGTGAAATATAATGAATTTTTTTCTGTATAGACTATACCAGCGTATAGATAAAGCAGCTGCGGCTTTAAAAGGCCTATTATCACTTTGTAGTTAAAACGGCCGCTAAATTATGCATGAAAATTATTTATGTTAAATGGAAAGAAGACGTCTGACCCAGCTTGTGGTCCACGTCCACAGAAGAGTACATATCTTATTATTACAGTCCAAATCGCTGCATCAATTATATCGTAAACATCCTCCTCGTTAATTTCACGACTTAAAACTTGCAAGAAGGCTAGATAGCACCAAATAGTGATTCAGTTTTCAATGTTGAAGTTAAAAAATGCGTGGAAAGCAACAAAACTACTTAAGAATTTCTATCCCGTGGATAGCGCTGTCCAAAATAGCGCCCCTGCAATGTATATTGTTAAAATTATTGATCAAAATTAGACAGAAAATTTAATGGACTGACAGGACGCAAACAAAGAAATGGAAATGAAATTGAAAAAATTGGAGAAAAAGAAATACGCTTCTTAATTGGCACCTTCGAGTGCAAAATTTTTTTAGCAAAAAATATTAAGGACACAATTTCGGTAGCTTGCAAAATTTACGAAAACATATACGTTACCTCTCGTCCGTTTTACTTACATTTGGCAAAAACAGGGCCGTCCTCAGGATATTTTACAGGGGGGGTGTAAGGTCATCAAAATCGACTGATCGGCGGACTCGTACCGACTACACTCTGGATGAAACTTTTTCAAGTTTATATTGGATCCGTCTATAGAGTCAAAAATATTTTTGTCTGCCGACTAAAATAGCAATTTTATCGTCTGAACCTCAGAATAAATTTAGGGGGGATGTGACACCCCCCTAAACCCCCCGTAGCTCCGCGTCTGCGTATAAAATATTAAACAAAGTATACATACATGTTTGTGATGATTCTGGTAATTGACTATCTTAGTTGGCATACCTGAAAAATGTGAAATCCCCTCTTACTTAAATACCTCAATGACTACAGTGCATTGTGAAAAACGTTTATTCAACATTTGTAATTTCAATCCTTACAAACAGGTAATATTAATGAAATATATCCATGCAAAACTATGCAGTGCTAACATAGGAGGTTTTTTCCCAGTTATAAACAGGTAATATTAATGAAATATATCCATGCAAAACTATGCAGTGCCAACATAGGAGGTCTTCTTCCCAGTTTTCTTGATAACTGCAAGAAGATCATCAGCAGAGGCATCAGATGTCACATAGACCCTTTGCTTGTCCATATCTATAGAAATGTCCTTTACGTCTGAAAATAATAAGATGCTTATCTTTGCAAATAATCAATAATATTGTTTGTATTGGTCCCCATTATTATATTTCAGATGAAGTTTAACTGTATATGTTGTATATAAAGATTTATTTTTAGATTTATACCTATTTTATACTTAAAATATACCACAACTACATGATTTTGACAAGATTTATATTTTATTAAGTATGAACTACCTTGTTTAACAAGAGCCCATTATCAAACTTTACCTTCTCTCTTCTTTAAAACCCTTTCAACTGCTCCAGAACAACCACTACATGTCATTTCCACTTCAAATTCATGTTTCTAAAATGCAAAACAAAGATATTTAAATCCAAGGGGAGAAACATTGTTTCATAACTTTGTCCATGCGAAGGTTGCCTTTTAAATAAATACATACAGCATAAGCACACTTGTTTGGAGATACTGTAGCAATGTGATACATTGCAACCATGAACAAGTCAGTTTTGTCGAAGTTGGTTAAGTTTGGCTGTGGATGAAAGCAATTTTAAACTAATTGCCTAAAAACATGTACAGCTTGCCTTAGCTTGGCAAACTTCAGGTTTAAATTCACAGCTAATACAGGTTAAGCTTTTAGAAAATTGAGGTCACAAACATACAGACTTTTAATTTTGGATCAATGGTCAAATTTTACTCAATTTAAGGAAATTGAATGTCCCTTGGAAAAATCATGTGAAAAAATTTTCACTCGTTGATCTGGGTGACTGAAAGCAATTTAGGGCAGCTGGGTACAGCCCTACAGAGCTTAAATACGAGAAGAGGCTGAGAAAACTCACTTATACAGTTATACTGACAACATCACAAAGTGAAAGCTTCGCAGGGATCGTTTCATTAATGAATTATTTAATTTTTTAGCCTTTTTTCAGTTTCTTGCACATCTTTTAGATATTGAGACCAGGAACTATTCTATTATTTGAATCAAAATGTTTGTACTTACTGTACTCATCTTGCAATTGACCGTCGATAATTATCTAATTTAACAATTTTAGTTTTCAATTTTAAAATTCCAATAATTCCAGGTCAATTAGAATTTTTAAAATTTAATGATGTAATTTTATATACTTTGGGGAACTTTTAGGGATATATTGGGGATATATATTCGGGGGAGCCCGCTCATTGTTCTTTCAGGGGCCGTCCATGTGTCGTTCTTTTCTACAGAGTTCGTCGGCGTCAACATGGTAGGTTGTTGGATGAGTAAAATATTCAAACATTCGCCCGTATCCTTAAAATAAATTATTGAAAGTTCATTACTATTACAAAGTAGAGTGTATGACTCAACCTGTTTACATTTTACCGCTACAATATGTCGTATTTCGCTATGAAATTCCTTCCTACAATTCGGTGATGAATATGAATTATAAGATATAAATTTAGGCCTGGGTACTACCTTCGTTAGTGCTATTTACTTTAGTTGATTACAGCCATTTGATGGTTTACTGATTATTTTAATTCCATGTGTGCAAGTAAGAAGGGCAACTTCTTATATAGGTACAATGATATTTAGAAACTTAGCAGTAACAAATCCTTTTGTCGAGAAATCTTGGTTATACTCACATATTTTCCTGGGCGATTAAAATTCTGTCAAATGATTAGAAAGTCCATATTTTTCAATTTTTGCAACATTAAATCATTAAGGGCAAGACATTTGGAATTAATCTCTCAGTAAAGTGAAGATATTGTTAACAATCAGGAGTTCATTAAGATTACACACTCTATGAGTTTAGTGATTGCCTTTAGGGAATGGGCCAAGGGGTTTGACTAAAGGATTGACAAAGCTTGCATCTGATTGACTTTTCAAAAATTCCAGATGAAAATATGTATGCGTTAGAATCTCACTGGCATATATTCTTAAGCATTATTGGTTGCTCTCCTCCACCTGTATTTGGCTTCATTATTTTCTAACTCATTTAGTTAGGGTGCTGATTACATGGATAGTACAAGCTGAGTTTTAGTCAGGCTTGAACATACCACTTATTAACCAAATTTGAGGTCTGTACTAGAAAAATATCAGACTGAGGTCTTGATATTTTTCCAGTATGGACTGAACATATTCAGTTAATAAGGGATTTATTATATGGCATACAGTATTTAGTTTATTTATTTATACAATGTGCTGCAGCATTGTTGCTGGCCTCAAATTTCAGTCGGTTGTTAATGTCTCTGTAGGAATATTTTCTCATTATTCATTTGGTAATTCCCACTAGACTTCTAAAAGGCGTAACAATGGACGTTCAAAAAAAGGCAGAGGGCATGTTAGGTTCATCAGGTGTACAAATTGTGCTCGGGCTGTACCAAAAGATAAAGCCATTAAGAAGTTTGTGATAAGAAATATGGTGGAGGCTGCAGCTGTTAGAGATATCTCAGAAGCTAGTGCATATGACAGTAAGTTCTGTTAAATATTATAATGGAAGTATTGCTGTTTGTTATAGCTAACAAACAACTTGATAACTGTGTTCTACAGATAAATGACTTAACAAAGGTAAATTGGCAAGTAGTTGTGTAATGCTGGTTTTTAATTTTTACAGTGTATGCTTTGCCAAAATTGTATGTTAAGCTCAGCTACTGTGTTAGTTGTGCAATCCATTCTAAAGTGGTGAGGAATCGTTCAAGAGCAGAACGGAAAATCAGAACACCCCCTCCAAGATTCCGGCCAAGAGTAAGTATTTTTTATTGCCTTCTTAGGTATTATCATTGCCTAAAGAAAGCAAGATTGTAAAAGCAACATAGTAAAAGCAACAATACTCACTGACTGTTATTAATTGGTTAACCATACTGAGTTAATCTATTCTGCTCTAGTTCTTTGAAGCCTAGATTTTTTATTTTAAATGCATGTTTGAACTTCAGAAACATTATTAATCTTTCTTCTGCTAGATTTGTATCTTAATTCACGATCACTTTCCTTTCCAGACCGATAATACTGGTCCTCCTCGTCCTGCTGGTGGAGGTCCTGGAAGAGCTCCTGGGGTTCCTGGAACAACTGCATGAATATTGTTCATTTTCACCCACAGTAAAAAGAAATAAAAGATGAAATGAAAATATTTTTGTGCCTTTTTTATAAAGTAATGAGGTTTTTTTGCTTCCTATTTCTTGAGTTGAATAATCAACAAGATATACTATCATCTATCACTTCTCGTAATAATTTTTTTGTCAGTCTGCATGACCTGTAGTTATTCGTGCATGGGTGGTCAAAAATGACATGATATGGTTGGAAGTTACCTGTTGGAATGGGCGAAGCAAGACTGAAGAGTATAAGTTATTCGAATGAACTCCCTTGCCCGGGGGCGAGAAGCAGTTGCAAGCGGTTACAGTTACTTTATTTTATGGGAAATATATTGCCTGTATTGTATTACCCGCTATATAATTCTGGGTAAATAGCGCAGCCAGTAGCTGCTTCATATTTTGCATAATGCCAATTCAATGAATAATGTCACTGAATTGCAATATCTCTGCGCATATTTTATCAGCTAGTTTGGTTATTCTTCATGCCACGCGCCAGTCCCACGGGCTAGGCGTTTTGCGGGGTTATAAACTGGTATTGAGTTTTTTTTTATAAATTAACAGTTAATTTTCGACCATCATACACTTGGAGATTACCATTTGTACTGGTAGGTAACCTTGGTAAATGGACTTGTAGTGTGGTAACTGGTAAATGGACTTTGCGTTGCAAAGTGAGTGGACGCTATCTGTCTATCAGTGCAGACCAAAGTATCAACAAATTGAAAGAATTGTCAAAAAAATTGTCAAACACTTTACTGACTTAACTTCAAAAACTTTACAATTTTTAAATTGTTGGCTGGTCGTTGGTTTTTTTTCTTCACTGGAGGTTTGGAGGAAAAAAAATCATGTAAGTAACCATGAGAACACAGTATATGCCCAAAATCTAAATGGCCTATGATATGGGTGTTCAGGTTGCAACTGCACCCCCCTGACAATTCTTCCACCAATGAGAATGCATTACGTCTTGAGTGATCAATAAACAGAACCAGTTCTTCCTGTGTTGTTCCTCTTGAGGTTCACTGCTTGACTGATTGTACTAAAAACTTGTGGCAGAACCGCACATAGTTCTCCAAACAATCTGAGCAAAAGATGCCTGCGAAACAGAGAATACGTGTCGCCAATGAAAAGCACAGCCAAAATGTTACGCAAAGGGGAAACGTATCGAAATCGTTGGTGAGTTTGCCAGGATTTGTGTCGCCTTTGCTTTGAATGCCAGTGGACAGCTATAAGCTATTGAATGATGCGATATTCACCTATTTTTTGTGAATTTTAGCGACCAAAAGATGAAAAATATGCCGTTGGACCTGTATTATTGGGATTATTTATATTTGTTGTGTGTGGTTCAGGTAAGTTGATGTTAGATTCGGGGTTTTACATCCAACAATTTATGTCACCAAATTGATGTTCATTCGATTCAATTTGAGATCGTAGTGGCTCAAATTACTTCGAAATTACACACTATTGTTTTGCTTAAATTCGCAAATTATTTCCACATTTGTGTATTAATAAAGCTCTCTTGTTTTCTAGCTCTCTTCCAAATTATTCAAAGCATAAGGATGACATAAAATTTAATTGGCAAAAACGGAATACGCAGACATATTTTTAAAACACAAACTTGAAACAAGTACGACATTGTGTCATTGGTGAATAATTATTAGGCGAAATATTTCTTCTCTTGAGATGCGAAGCAGACTGATATATTTGTCCAATACATTTTAGTAATGGCTTGAAATGTTAATTTTATATTGTAGAGTTCAGTAAAATAGTGTATTAGTTGTTTTTCAGAGAGGATTCCTGTTTCCAATATTCGTTTAATGATTAACCATGTACAGCATCAGAATTTCACATTATATCGTATATTGAAAAAATTATGTTGACATGTGTCTTGCTTTGCTTATTGGAATCTGGAAAAGCATGTGGTTTTAAATTGCAGGTTTGGATTAAGTTCACAGTATTCAAGACAGCATCTCTTCCTTGTGGTTAGGAATGTTTGGATAACATAACTCTTTTGTCATAAATGTCCCATGTACAGCAACATAGCTCTTTCTAGTATTGGCCATACATTTTAGATGAATATCTAACAGTTCTGCTTAAAAGAAGACACACGCTTAGGTGTAGAATCGAAATGTCCCCCTTAGGCTAGGATACTTTTGTGTAAGTAGCAATTAAAATGATAGAAAAGAAGGCTCTCTAATTTGCCTTTGGTCTTGGCTAATTATAATACATAGATTTGCAGTAATATGACATTCAAATTTGGGCTGGCAAGTTTATCCTCTAACAAAGTCTATAAAAAATAATAGTAACAATGGCAATTCAATTTATGCCATGGAATTTCATATTACTAGTAACTGCAAAAAGTAAGGCTGTGTACACAAACACTAATTTGCATAGCTGCTGATATTGATACAGAAATTCTGAGGATGGCATCAGAATTAATTAGTTGTGGTAACCACAATATTTGAACACAAAGGATCAATAATGCCTAATTTTTTGCTTAAATCAAAACAATTTGCAAAGCCATCCATAGCTATTCTGAGTATTCTTTATGCCTTTAGTTTAACTGCGTAAATGTTTTGTCTATGCAGATTTCAAATATAGTATTGCATTTCACTGTTATTCAAACAGGGGTATTGAATATATATTGTGTTACCTTAATATCATATCTTCCTGGTTATAATCAATGTCCACTAGCAGCTAAAAGCTAAAGCTCGAGTGTATAAATACGTAACAACTGATCTCAATATAGCTGGTTTATCTCAAAATGGACGACTAATTAGATACGGAGCATAGACTTGCGATTGTGACATCACATCATTACTGAAGAAGTTAAAGCAAACATGCGCGCTGCGATCAGTCACATTAAAAATTCGCATATTAAATAAACAAAAGTCTATTGTTATGGAGTCTTGAGAAATGCTTTTTGCCTATATCTTTTATCTGCTCTTGATGACAAAAGATTTTCACGCTGTCTTGACAGATGGAGAAGGTATGTAAGAAAAATAGATTTCGTCCATTTTCCCCCATTTCGGATTAACTATGGGATTCACTATGCTATTCTCGAGGCGATCGGAAGTCCTTTGGTAAATTTGCAAGCGCAGCGATGCCAGCGAATGAGCGTAAGGAAGAGACTGAGTGATGTTGATAAATACCAACGATAATGTAAAACTAACAATTAACACTTGCGGATTTTGGGTATCAATCAGCGCTAAGCTTAAACATGCATGATTGACTCACTGATCAAGATGAAATTTATCGGAAGCATGCAAATGATCATCGAAGAATCATTGAAATTTTACACGACAATGTTTCCATAGGGCAATGACTGAGCTTTTTCATTTTTCAGCTATTTTAATCATCGAGGTTTTACATGGCCATGGGAATGTTGTGCAAGCGACGGTAGATATCGTCGAGAACGCTATACTGATCAGAACAATTAAATTGTTACAGAACCGGACCAACCCTAACCAAACCTATGTAATTTCGGCAGCTGTCTTCTGCGCTTTGCGCGCCGACCTAAATAGAAGCTCTTTCTAAAAGACCTGTTGTATCACAGGCAGCCCGGTCACTGCTGTTACGTCATGGTTGTATATCAAAATGATGTATTTACAGAATGAAGAGTGATCTTGTGTTTAGGTGAAAATTTTGCTTTTGGTAAATCAACATGGCAGTCAAGTTTGGAAGCAGATGGCGTATCATCTCGTGCTGTTGATGGTTACAGACATCCTGATTATAGTCAAAACTCGTGTATGCAGACAAAAACACAGTATGAACCATGGTAAATGAGTGTTCTCGTGGATATTTCTATATCTTCCTAGAAATCTATTTTTCTCTTACCCAGGGTAACGGCACTGTAACTCTGCATTACCTACCACATGCACTTACCCAAACTAAGAAAGAAAAACCTGTAATTAACCGCAGTGCGTCTAAACACGGGTCTAACCAGCGTAGCAAATCTCGCTGGAGCTTTCCGTTCAAACAGAGCGCCCATGCAGCTTATATGAGAAAAAATAACCAATAAGAAACCTGCTCGAAACCTCTATACAAAACAGAGTTCCTTCTGAGAATTGTGCATGTAAATTAATTATTTTTATACTTATACGTTCTCAATCGTTCAAGTTTATTTCCATGGACTGTATAGTTGACATCTCAAATAATATCAAATCTCAAAGTGCCTAATATGATAAAATGTCATTATTTATATAGGTGGGCTGTTGATCTTGAGCACGAGTATTTTGTAACATCCGTACACATCACAAATCGCGCTGACTGTTGCTGGAGGAACCTCGTAAACTTCAATATTCGAGTTGGAGGAAATTCAACAGACGGCGGCAAACACAACCCTCAGTGTGGACCGACGTACATTTACGAAGTCGGCGCTGGACAAACACTTCCAGTAAAATGTATGCCACCTTTGTTGGGGCAGTACGTTACTGTTTCAATCACAGGAGCTCATGGAACCTTGAACTTTTGTGAAGTGGAAGTATACGGATATCAGCGTGAGTAGAACCTACGAGAAAAAGTAGCCCCCTAAGGCCCCCCTTAATAGATCAGTCTCTAGGAGACTTTCAAACCAAGGTTAGGTTTGACTATGGGACTGCTAGGATTCAACCTGTTCATTTGTAATTTTATCATTCTTTCTATACTCCACAGTGCACCCCTTTTCACTTACTTCTATGTTTTCTGTACTTGTTTCAGGCCACAACGTCTTCCGTGTCAAAGCAATATCATATGGTTCGAAAGACGTCGAGGAGCTTGGCAAAGTTAGTCAGTTAATCGTTGGTGACACCTATAATCAATATCTCTCCAGTGGAGGGCATCATGTTGTTTCTTTTAATATGACAACAGGTATGATATTATTATATTGCAACAATAGGATTTTGTACAGGGGAATGGATAGTGCGGTGATTACTCTCGAACCCAGTTGCTTACAGAAAGACTGCGGTAGTGCCTTATTATATGTAATCTTATATATAAGATGATGCAGGCCCGCGCATCTATACAACCGCAATACTCCGGTACTGTTTTGAACCATGAAAATTTTGATTTGTGTTTTCTTAATTTATTTTCCTTCCTTTTTTTCTGTTCTAGATTTTAGTTTAATTTACCCATACTCCTTTTTGAATGTCCACACTCGCCACTTTCGATCGAGAATGAGATGCCCCAGAACTTCTGGGCCGGAAGTTTTCAGTTGCGAATAAAAATTTCATTACTTTACAGGACTGTTAATCGCTTCGAAACATTTCGACACGCAGCACAACTCTAAGGTATTAACTGACATGCCTTTGTATTTAAACAATTTACCCTCGGAAATTTTTGTATTCGTAATTATGCAAAATGGAGGATGGAATTACTATCGCACATCAATACCGATGCTTAAAGACTTGAGTGGATCAGACCATATATCTGAAAAATTGGCATGGGGTGACGCGTGGGCATTGCTGGGATACAACGGGCAGTTGCCCAGTCCCTCGTGGAGAACATCGGTGATGAAAAATCTTGGATATACGCCAGCGGTAATTGAGAACGTAATTCCAAAGCTTTTAGGTAAGTTCTTAACGGGCCATGTCCGAATTTATCGTCGAAATTCTTCATTTTCAATTCATTTAGTATCAGAGACTATTGTTATTGCATAAAGTTAATCTTTAATGCATTAGTACTAGTTTGCATCATGCAGAGGTTTATGCATTAAAAAATATACGCTTTCCATATTACGTCTAAAACCACCGCCTTTATGGAAACGACAAGGACAAATGACTGACGTAATTTATGGAAAGGGTGTATTCCATTTAGCGCTCACAAGGCTAAAGGTTAGACTTTAGAGCATCAACTTAGATGCAAGTATAATAACAGTATTTCGTTAATATTTATGATAATTTATGACGGTTTTCCTGCAGTTCCACCTCGTCCACCATCATCTATCATCGTCGTGGATCTGGCATCATCTTCATTCACGCTGAGGTGGTCACGCCCTTCTGGAATTGTCACTGAGAATGAGCTGCCTCTAAATTACACCATATGCGTTAGAGGAACTGGTACTGTGGGTAGTAATTGCACAAATAATGGTGGTACTCGTATATATACAACCACTGGCTTAAAACCTCAGACTGAGTATCACGTGAGTGTCAGATCACAATCCTACGCTGGTTTTGGTACCGAAGCTGCGGTATACGTTACCACTATGAAACAAGGTTAGCCTTTGGATAATTTTGGCCTGAGTCTGAAAGAAGTGTTGTTTGCAGTGGTATTCTATCCGAAAAAATGCCGATCGAGTAAACACAAATAGCTCTATTTCTGGTCTGTTTAAGTTATACAGATTCCCAAAAAGACGTATCTGGGATCCAACTGCTCTTCGTATTACTGGATATCTGGGTATTGGTCGTTACCTAGCAATAGCAATATTATCGTCCTAATGCTCTTTTCACACCCGCAATATATGTAATTATATTTTCCCTGAATATGATTCATATCTCTGGATATTTTTGCTTGAATACAAACTCGTATTTCTCTTAATATTGCAGACACCTTTAGGATTTACGTTGAGCTTGTATCGCGCGTCAAGCCAGATACCTTGTACAGAATAGACGCTGACTCTTTCTCCAGCATTACAATCAGAGGAACACAACACAAATTTAGCCAACCAGGACATCATTTTATTGTTCTTGATCCGAAAACAGGTATAATATCTCACTATTCATTCAAAGTAGTTAATTTCACTGGCCAGGTTCCATCTCTATTTACACTGTGGTAACGGTGAATTTTTGTCAGGTCCACCTACAAACACAATTAATAACCCGATTAATATTTATATATTTAGGTATCGAACTGATGCGAGGGTCATTCAACACCTTCCAAGACGCTGGCTCGTTGACAAAAATGGCAGAGTTCTTATCAAGCATTCCTAAGCCATCAATCATTTTAATGGTGGTATATTTTCAAGCACACAATTATTATGCAGAAGGCTCTCTCCAATCTGTCTGTCCAAATGCTCCTACAAATTACACCAGTGTGAAATCATGGAGTATGATTTGTCTACATGGCTTTGGGACCCTGCCTTGGGAGACGTCTGCCACATCCAGTGGTGATAAGGGACCAGCCGTGATAAAAACTCATATTTCTCTCCCTAAAGGTGAGTTGCATGTATTTATGTTAAATTTCTGCTTAAAAAGGAGGCAAAGATAGGGAAAGTTGGATTAATTGATACGTTCCAATTTTACTAAAGATTTGCGTTGCAACGTCTTCTATATAATTAACTTCTCATCAATTGTGATATAACAACTGGCTAAAACAGACCCACCCCCGGTGTTTCTTCACTTCTTCAATTGATGTTCACTTCTTTAAGTGAGACTTTACAAATCCCTCTTTTCTAGAACGACTATGTCTCTGCTGCTTGCCTGTAACATACTTTCAATCTTTCGTAATGATCACTAAATTACATGCATAAAGTACATATATGCAGCCACAAATGATTGTCAGAATTTCGTGAGGAGCTATATTTAACCCAGTCGCTACTCTCTCCCAAGATCCATGCTATAATAATATCCTCTTTAATTTGTGTTTTAGAACTTAAAAATGCACCAGTTATACAGAACGTCATCGTTACCAGCTCTAGATCGTTACAACTGTATTGGATATCACCAAGTACAGACGAATACACAGGAAGCATCTTAAACTACCAGATTTGCTATCAAAAGTCAACTGATCAGACAAACTGCTCTTTAGTATCTGTGAGCGTCAATCTAACCCAGGCTGTGATAAGCAGCTTGCATCCATTCCAGGAATATGAAGTGAAGATACGTGGGGTTGTTGCACTAGGATATGGACCTTATTCAAATTTATTTACATCCACCACACATGAAGCAGGTGATGAAATCATATTATAATGCAAGCAGAAGAGACTGTATCGATTATCCAGACAAAATTCGTTAATGTTAAATATTTCTCGTTTGGTCTGACAAACAGAACCGAGCAGTGGCCCAACAAACTTAGTTTTCCCTGACGTAAGCAGTACCTCGATCTTCTTATCTTGGTCGAGGCCACCAGAGCAGGAAAGAAATGGAATCATATTACACTACAGTGTATATTGTCATTCTGATGGGGGCACAAATGACCCTTGCGGAAATGAAACGATCACAAGCAACATGTGGTATCGGGCCAGTGGTCTCAAGCCATATCAGGAAATAAGATTTGAAATTAAGGCAGCTACGTCTGTGGGTTTTGGCCCAGCGACAGTCGCCTACGAGAGGACGTTGCAAAGTGGTATGTACTATGTACACCATGTAATCAGATCATTTTACTGGCTGAAGGCTGAAGCTCTCACCTTCCTGCATGTTTGCATGCTTCGATTCTTTAATGTAACCTGTGTATATATATCAGGGATCCTGCTCACAGAAAAAGTGCAATATAATACTGTTATTGTGGACGGTAAAATCTCAAATGAAGAGTTGGTAATTTATAAATTTAGCCTTTAGGACTGAACCATTAATTAAATTATTACCGGTACCGGAACCAGTTGATTTGGTAGTATTCCACACTTTCGAAGGCAGGAATAACTAACCATATAATTATTTATGTGCCCTTAGGATTGGTTTTTCTCGGCAAAATTAAATTCTTTATTAGTCCTGGGACTGATTGATCCAGGTCAAGTTTTCTCGAGTGTAAACACGCTCAACCTTGGTTAGTTTGACTTAGAGCGAATCAGTAGAAGCAGAACTCATTCTAATTCTGGTTGGGTAAGTCTACACTCGAAATGGCTGACCCAAGTTTGAGTCACTTATTAACTTTGGTTAGTCCGAGACCCTGTGTACGAGGTTGCGTAGCGTTCTGGGTTAAAGGAAATGCTCCGGTCCTGATGGTAATTTTTCTGAATGTTTACAAGCCTGGATAAAATTTTTATGTTCTTTTTCCCCCATCTCACCTAAACAACCAAGATATTGTATTATTTTTTTTTCCAAATAGCCCCAGATGGCCCACCTAATGAAGCGCGTACGACATTTGTGCAAGCCACGAAAATGTCGTTGTCGTGGTCACCTCCAGATCCAGAGTTATGCAACGGAATAATTGTTAATTATAGCATTTGCATTCGGGTCCACAGCTCGTCCCCAGTTCCTTGTCTGATGGAAATTATGCTTGATAAACGAATGGATTACACTGTTACTAATCTTAAACCTTACACGAAATATGGCATTGAAATATCTGCTGGTACAGAGGCTGGTTTTGGTCCACCTGCGATGCTTGTCAACACAACTTTACAAACAGGTACTGCGGAAGACGATACATATTGTGTTAATAATAAACTTGGGACTTGAACAATTGCATTATACCAAAACAATAAACTTGCAAAACAATTTGCGACCTACTGACAGATTATTAATGTTTATTGATCTACTCTCTATCATTTTAGCACCGTCGGTCCCTCCAACAAATTTACAAGTTACGTATTTTACTCATAATGTTATTGACGTGGCATGGTCATCACCAGACCACTCTGAAATAAACGGGATTTTGACCCAGTATTCAGTCTGTATCAGAAAACAGTCATCTGATTCCTGTCTACATGAAGTTACCGTCCCACCCACACGGACATCGTACAGGTTTAGCGATCTTAAGCCATACGTTGTGTACAGCATTGAAATCAGTGCAGCCACGTTGGCAGGATATGGACCACAGGCAAACATTTCGCAAATAACAGAGCAAACTGGTATGATATATAGTATTATAAGCAGTATTCTTTGCATCTTAAAAGGTCGCGGGTTAAAGGACTGGACTGTTCTGGTTTGAGTATTCTTTTTTTTATCCCGCGGGACTTTCTGATCATAATCTGGTTAACCCATTTTTGAAATACGTCGTTTACAAAATTAGAGATTCTTGTATTTCATACTTATTTATCGTGTTGGAAACGTCAAAGCACTCTCTGTGCGTCTTTATCACTTTTTTAGAACCGAGTGGACCGCCAACAGGAAAAAGTGTGATATTTGTGAACGAATCGGCTATTAGTTTTTCTTGGTCGGAACCAGAACCAGAATTACAAAATGGTGCTATAATTCACTACCGTGTGTGTATACGAGAATATGGTATCGCTTTTACGTGTACCAGAGCAACACAAGTACCAGCAAGTGACCGGAATAACTACACGTTTGGTGGTCTGAATCCGGTGAAAGAATATGTTGTGTCGATTGAAGCTGCTACTAAAGTGGGTTTTGGTCCACCAGCGTTTCTTCAAAAGACTTCAGGTATAAGAGTTTCCATTCATGAGACAATCGTGCGAAACTAAAACCACAATTTTTAGATGCAAATTTCAATTTTATTCTATCCAACGAAACAGGATTTTTCTCCTCTTTTATAACATATATAATTATAATTCTTCGATTGCCAAACTAAATCCCCACATATAATTCTAAAATTTGGACACTCTAGTTGTGACACTTAACATGGCGCGAAAGCCGAAAAATGCCGAAAACAGATGTTGGGAGTATAGTTCCGAGTATTTCCATGCAGCTTGCACGGTGCTTTTTTCAGTAAAGTACAAACAATATATGACTCTTTTCAATTTGGTTAAACGCAGGAGAGTGCGATCTTCCCATCCTGCACAGTGGAGGTCACGTTGCTGACGATAGTTTTAGTGCAAGTGGGTTTCTCAGTAGAAATTACGAACCTTACCAAGCCCGTATCGACAATTACCTGCCATGGTGTGATGAAGGAACCAGAAACATTATTTATCTACAAGTTGACTTGGGTGGACCGCTCAAGATTTTGGGCGTTGCAACGAAGGGTCACAGACAACATTGGGAAAGTTGGGTGTCTTCATATAAAGTTTTTTATAGCATGGACGGGGTGGAATGGAAATATGTTAATGTTAGCGGAAACATGGTCAGTATATAAAAGTGTAAAACTTAATGTCAAGCTGTATATATATGCATGTCTAGTATGCATGTCTACTATGTGTTGCATGTCGTTATGAAAACATAGAATGGGAATTCCAGCCATTTCTCGAAGTACTGGGATATTAATCTTTATCCTGTACCCTTAAATTCTAATTGTATATCTAGCTATAAATTCTATATCTCCCTTTAAATTCTAATTGGGCAAAGCGATTTAGCCAAAAAGGTTTTATTAAGCACGAATTGAACGAGACGAAAATCGTTGCAAATTTCGACTTCTGGACCATTGGTGAAAGCAAAGCGACTATTTAATTGTAGAGCTATAAGTACGCGAGTGAAATGTACAAAGTGCCGCGATAAGTGATTAAACAAACGATTTGTTTGCTTTACCCACGAAACGTGAATGTTTGGCATCATCTCTTCTCATAGAATTGAATGTCGTTTTAAATCACCCATTCCTTTTTCCATTTCTCAGGTGTTGACGATGCCCAAACTTTTTTATTAAATTGTTTTGCATATTTTGTAGGTCATCAAGGGAAACAACGGCAAGGGGGAAGAGGTTAAGCATTTTCTAGACAACTCGGTTGTAACTCGATTTATTCGGTTTCAAGTTCACACCTTTGTGGGATTACATCCTTGTATAGGCGTAGAAATATATGGATGTGCACCAGGTAAAGTTAGAGTTTACATGTTTGTTAATTGACAATACCAAACGTTATAATGCATGGTTGATTATGTCCTTGTACTCTAGCTATCAAGCCAACGAAAGCGTCAGTAGTCAATAGAAACAAAGATTTGATCGAAATCGGATGGACACCATTGCCATCAGTAATTGCTAGTGGAAAAATCTTTGGCTACAAAGTCTGTCATAAATTATCGTCATCTCTCTTACCGTGTGAAACCTCGAGTTACGTTAGTCACACTGCTTCAACCTACTCAATTGGACATCTAACACCATACACTGACTACAGTTTTGAGGTTTCCGCAGGCACCATAGCTGGATACGGTCCACCTGTGGTACTTCATGCAAAAACACTGGAATCAAGTAGGTTAATCAAAATATAAAAATGTCTTCAAAATATATCATCTTAATTTTTAAAACGAAACTGATCAGATAATACATTCACCTTATACAACTTTTTACTGCATGAGTGTGAACTGTTTAGCCAAATTTCTATGATTGAAGAATATAAAACCTACAAGCGTTTACGAGATTATCTGATAGCTATTATTGGTTTTTTGTTTTATTTTTGCCGGCCTTATAAATCCATTATATAGTCACTCTTTCATGATAACAGTCAACACTTTTATTCTGATCATCACTGTTCTTAATAAGGATATATCTTAGTCTGTTTATTGTGACTCCACGTATTTTTTGCACATAGGTCCGAGTGGTCCTCCACGTCTCGTTATGACCAAAGATGTTACTCCAACAAGCCTAAAACTCGTATGGTCACCCCCGGAAGAATATCAACGCAGAGGTACTATCACAAAATATTTTTTATGTTACCAGGAAGACAACGTGCAAACAAAATGTACAGAGTCAGTGCAAGTTCCTGCGGAGCAGCTTTCCTACGATATTACACAAGGTTTGCGACCTAATACGAGGTATATGCTCGTTGTTTCTGCAGCAACCGCTGCTGGCGAAGGCCCTAGAACTGTTCTTTATGAAACTACACTTCCCACAGGTGAGTTCCACTCTCTATTTTCCCGGAAATCTTCCTTGTGGACAGTGATAGTCATAATAAAATTTTCGTAATTTTTTTACAGTTCCGTCTGGTCCACCAACGTCAGTTTATGCATCCAGGTTTGGTCCAAGGATCGTACAAATATTTTGGCGGCCTCCGGAGGCTAAGAAACAAAATGGTGTCATAATTGGCTATCGTCTTTGCATAAAGGAAAAGAGTTTCACGACTCCTTGTCGTAAATATGTCACATTACCAGAAACACAGCTAATGCACACGATTGACGGATTGAAACCATACACTTTGTACAATATCCACGTTGAAGCGAAAACAGCTCTTGGATATGGGCCCGCACACTATTTTGATTATCGAACTGGACAAGCAGGTATGCATTGCAATTCAATCACTCCTGTCTTTTGCATTGCTAGTTATCATTGCTGCATGGCTTCTTCTGAGGGGCTATCTATAAAAGTTGCTGTGAAGGACTATACTGTAGTAGTTGTGAGGTTGACAATGCGTCGAGACGCTGTTTTGGGGAGGGGATTCCCCATGGCCATGATGCATCGTCAATGTCGACACACCTTCGAAATGCCTAATTGATTATATACGGTCATCAAGCTGGTAACAGATGAACTCGTTACTTAACTTTTATTTAATTTCATAACAGAACCATGTGCTTATTACACCCATGCAGATACGGAGCCCTTGACTCACACGGTTGATCATAAAATTTTGCACACATAATGTATAAAAACAGCAATTGGTTCTGTGGTAATTTATAGCCGATTATATTTTTCATTAGCGCCATCTGCTCCACCAAAGGATGTGACAATCAGATCTACCACCTCGAGCTCAATTGAAATCATATGGACAGCTCCTGATATAGAAAAACAGAATGGCATTTTAGCTATGTATGAAGTCGTCGTCTATCAGGAATTGTCTGATTCAAAAGTTGAGAAAATTTCCAGCTCCTCTATGAGTGCCAACACCACTATTTGGAAAGTCGACAATTTAAGCCCTCTAACTGATTATATATTCCACATTAAAGCTGGGACTGTGGAAGGATTTGGCCCAGCAGTTATTGTTCATAAGCGCAGTGACGGTAGGCTGACACTTTATTCTATACGAAGGAAAATGAGTTAAGCCTTATAACTTTCACGAGTGACTGATTTTGGTCACAAAATGTGCCATTTTTCTTCAGTTAGACTAGAAAATTAATCAAAATCAACCATCAATGCCTTTTAATATCCCTACTGATCTATAGTCTTGATGTTCGTATTCTTAGGTCGTATACCAAAAACAGGCAAACATTCTGAAGGTAAGATATCCATCCCTAACCTCTATGGCAAACAACTATAGCAAACAACTATAGCAACGTACACAATGATAGATGCAACGTGACAGATGCATCTTTTCTTAAATGATTTAACAGCTGTAAATGTAGATACGTTCCAATATAACCAGGGAGCAGCGTGGCAGCGTCTTCAAACAACTTAGCATCAAATGTGGTATAACTACTGCCTAAAATATAGACAAAACATTTCTCGACGTTTCGACCGGAGGGCCTTTGTCAGGGGAGTTAGTATGAGAGTTAGTACCTCAGGTCGAAAAAAAATTTTCATATGTAAGAAAGTTCAGTACATGATTTGTATTAATAGCACTTTGCTTATGTGTTAGGTAAATTCACAGCGGGAGGAATTGCTGGTGGATCCATAATGTTGGCTGTGCTAATAGCTGGATTAATACTCAGCATTTTATGGAACAAAGGGATGCTACCTTATACTAGGTATATATACTCTCAGGCAATCTCAAAAATGGTTTGCTATTTCAGTTCCTACTGAACAGTCAGGTAATATTACGATCTTTCCAAAGAATGGAGTGTATGTGCCACCTTGACTACCGAGGATTTCGAATGGAAATTTTTTTTATTTGTTTTATGCTGGGTGATTCAGAACGCGAAAACTGAAACTTGAATCAGAAGAAAAACAAAGACGCAGGAGACGAAAACAACGTCGACGTAAAAGGAGGAGGGATACAAGGTGTGTGCATATCCTGGGTTTTTTAACAGGGTGAATAGAATTATTTTTCATGAATAAAATTTATTAATTGAAAAATTTTCAACATATTTTAAGCACACCTAGGCCTGAGGCGGTAAGAGCAGAAATTCATGAAACGAATTCAATATATTCAGAGTTGAATGACTATGATGCCCCAAAGAAAGGTAGGTTGATTCTTGACATTTATCTTAAATCTCGCGCAAAGACAAGTTAATTTTCTCCCCTATTTCACCTAAGAATAAATTGCAAAAATGAATTTTTAATAATTATTTCAGTATTAATCATTTTACAGCAATAAATACTGCTCATTGCTATATACGCTCGAAAATGTCTACATTTTTAGTGCGCAAACATATCACAGCTGAAGAGCTGTATGGAACAACAGCATGTGAAGACATTTACAGTAAGGGAATAACGCCAACTCCTCCAGGGATATATGCTCCTATCCCAAACGTCCTTAGTCATGATATTTATGGAACGTCGGTCGCTACGTCCTCCTTCAGCAGCGCACCACGGCAGACAGATATTTACGGCATTGCCCCAGCGGGAATGATTGCTGGAATACAAAAATCAAATACCATTCTACCGCCAATTGTCGCCCAACCGTCAGTGCTTCCTCCGCCTATTCCTTTGGAAGCAACTTTGTCGTCTGTTTTTATTGATCTCTCATCTACAAAACTTGACAGTCCCGATTCCGGTAACCTCTCATCACGTTCTAATACCATTTTAAATTCTTCACGTGCTCTATCAAATGCAACATTTCTATCTGCATCCCAAATGGGCACGTCTAATCAAGTGGCCAGAGGTACTACATCAACCACCACTATTCCACAACCATCTCAATTCAGCCAAGTTTTTTCTCATGCGCCAACACCACCCGCGATAAGGGTTGATAAGATGGCTTCGAGTACAAACGCTTCAGCCTCGGCGATATCCGATGCGGTCACGGCGACGAAGACAGATGTCGTTGAATCCAATTCATCACCGATTGCTCATCGTACTGCCTCGCTAAATGATCGGCAAAGGTCTCATATTACTGCTGCTTGCCCTAAACTTATTGCCCAACCTGTTCCACATCAACCATCTATACCTGTGCCGTCAATGAAAAAGAAATCGGTTTCTACAGTTCGTTCATGATTCGGAGATTTTTGTATCGTAATTCATCACCCAACATCCTGATCTTGTATTGTAGTACCTGGTCTGAGCATCGATTTGTAAATGATATGTATAAACAATTGTAATGTATGAAAAAATTACACCGCTCAAAATCGGTAAATTATTAAAGAAGGACCAAAGCAACAATCGTAATTTACGTTAATTTTTCGAAATTTTAAAGTTCGGTTCAAAATAACCTAGTTTGAAACTAAGTGCAATCCATACTTTGAACTATTTCAGCATTGGTAACGGTGGATTTTAACCCAAGTGGAATTACATTGTCATTGTTTTATGAAAAAAGTATATTTGTAGAAGCTCATTTACGTCAAGATTTGGTATATGGCAATGATTAGTAAGTTTTCCTTTGCACAACAGTTGAACTTTTAAAACAGGCTAGTACTACACAGGATGGTGTGGATTGGGTCAGCAACTTCACTTGACAAAAAAAGGAACCAGATCTGTTTTTAAATAAGTCTTTATGAGACAACTACATACATGACAGTGAATTTGGGATTTGAGACTGGTAGCTGCTGGAACACCAAATACAAAGGGATGTGAGGTATAGTATGTTCCGACAGCTACCAAGTACCAACCACCTATATTTTACATCATCGAAAGAGATTTATATAGAAGAAATTACGAATTGTAGTAAGTATATTTTTTCAGCTGCAATCATACTACACAAAGTCCTGCCTTTACAATTACAATAGGCCAGAAAAACATTGCTAATGTTTATAAAGGTGACAAATAATTTTTATAACCCATCTTGAATATCCTCAACCACTTCATAAAAAAAAAAATATATATATATATATATATATATATATATATATATATATATATATATATATATATATATATATATATATATATATATATATGTATGTTAGCAGCTTGGTCTGTGACTGAATGTATTTTTGTAGCCCACAGGGAGCACCACACTAGGATAATATTCAAAACCAATGCCATGCTCAAATTTTTTAATAAACATTCAGGTTACAACTGAATATTTCAATGCTCAAAAATCTTCCAGGCTTGGAATACCTTAAGATAGATTACTGAGTTCCATCTTAGGTTCACCATTCACACACTATTACAGGATGTGACTATTGAATCTATTATTAATAGATCATGATCTATCTGCTCATTCATTGACACTAAATATTGACAGGGCAATCAGTGAGTATGTCCAATTTGTAGTGATGGGCGATACCAGCTTTTTCAAATCGATACAATACTGCTTCTATACAAAATTTCAATACTGATACCAGAAATTTGAGCCATTTTTTACCGTTTGTAATTTCATATCCCATACCATAATGTGCATTTATTCACTCACATTTTGGGTTTTTCCTTTGGTTTTTTCGCAAATGAAAAATGGGCAGAAATTATTTTGATAGGTAGCATATAATTAAAGAAGTAAAAAACAAAAAAGTGACGAACAAAAAAAAATAAATCAAATTTTTTATACTTTTTGGTAGAAACGCTGATCTAAAATACTGTAGGCTCAGTATCGAAATTTTGCGACTACTTGGTCAAGTATCGATATTTACTGCAAATCATAAATATCGGTGAGTATCGATACTTGGTATCGCCCATCACTACCAAATTGTTATTCATGTGATATTACATGAATTTGAACATCAATTTCAGGCACCATGCTCACATTTGCAATGGTGGATGATTTTGGTTGGGGACTGTTGACTTTTTTCTCCCTGAATGACAGTCCATATCTTTGTTGAAATTTTTGAAGCCATCCAGCACTTGCGTTAAACTGACCCTTCTTATTCTCATCATCACACATTTCATTGTAAAGTATTTTCGCCTTTTCCATGACGATTCTACGCGATACCAGTACACCCACAGACCTTTGCTGTTCGTACCATCGTATAAGTTCTTTCTCCATGGCTTGATGCGCCACTTTTCTTCCAGCACCTTTAAGTCTATGTTTTTCAATTCCCTTCTCACATGCTTCGATAATCAGCTGTTTATTTTGTCTCCACTCGCGAATTCGCTTACCGTCTACTTTAAATTTCTTTGCGGCACACCGGTTAGTTGTTTCCTCGGCGAAGGATATTGCCTCTCTTTTAAACGACATTGAAAAGCTTCGATTTTTCCTACTTTTATCGCCCTGTACCGCTTCCATAAGCTGCAAAAGTTCAGTTTTCAACTCAGTAGCTTCCCTGTGTTTTGTTGTTGATTCCGCCATGTTTGATCTTTGAAGGCCAATGACAGAAAAAATAGGTACGCTGAGCGTACTTGAGTTGTATTTGTTTCATCAAATGGTTTCATGCAGGAACACTGGTAAGAACCACGGCAGGAGCTATGCATGTATGTGTATGCAAGTGATCGTGTATTCGTGTATATTTTATTCTCAGTCCCGTATCAACGTTGAAGAGTTTAGGACATTTTGATCCAATGCCAGTTGGTCCAAAAAGCAAAATTCTGCGAAGTAACGATAGTCAGTGTTCCTAAGTACAAATCTGTGACCTCACTGATCCAAGCCTCACATGATTACGGAGCCAAGAGCCGTGCCGATAAATTGAGTGTAAACGGGTTTATATGCGAAAGTGTTTAAACCATTGAGCTAATTCAACGTGGCGCGTGTGCTAGAAAAACGATTTGATAAAACTGTTCTTTTTTGTCTACAGAGCATAGAATAAAAAGCATTTTTAACTCCCAAAGGGAACAAATTTTATGTTTTAGGTTATTTAATAATTAACTTATTTGATACGATACTTATTTCGTATACCCATGAGATATTTTAGGCAACTTCTGTCACATTACAGCCGCTATGAGGCTAATTTGAATTTCAGAAGTGTCAGGGTTTTTTTACTCACCCTGTACAAACAAATTTCACTGTCTTGCATCATGCGTAAAAAGGCTTATGTCAAACCTTTATACACTTGTGAGTCCCAACAGGGCGTTTAGGCATTCAAACTCCAGCTATTACATTGTTATGGGTGATTTCAATGTTTTTGGGGTTTTGGGGGACACCCTGTACAGTAAATTGTAAATTTGTGCATTGGTCCAGATGTATTTTTAGCCGGTTCTTTATCGTTTCTAGACGAAGAAACGTTTCTAGACAGAGGAACAGCCTGTTGTGCGGGTATTTTTATTTTTTCATAAGTTTCATCATGAGATGTCAGGCAAAAACCGGGCTTGTTTCAAGTAAAATCAAAACAATAAGGGTTAATGAGCGTTTCAGCTAACCACGTATATCCGATTTTCTTAATTATGCGTTGAGTTGAAAAACACGATCTTTGGTACAAAAGATTTTATTGATTTTATTTCGGCTCAGAAGAGCAATTAATCATATTATTTAAGATTATCCAATCGGAAGCATTGGTGAGCTCGGTCAGGCCACGTTAATCTATTTAGAGATTTTAGTCATCTACCAACCCTATTTGAGGCATTTGGACACTGATCTTAAAAGCATAAAGACAAGTCACTTTAATGCTCAAAAATTTCCTCTAAAATTGTTATCAATGATCCGGTCTTTCTACACAAGAGAAGTTTAGTATCTCTGTCGCCCTGTCGTTGGCGTAAGAACAGGTATACTGATCGAGACGCCTTCTTCTTTATGATTATTATCTACTTGCTTTAGTGAGAGATTTGGGCGAATGTTCCTGCCACGTGGCCCAACTTCACCTCGTGTAATGCCCAAAGATCGAAGTGTATTCGCCTTAATAGTTATAACACTAACGTCGCTTTTTATTCATTTCACACAGGGTTCTGACGACTTAAAGCCAGCGACCGGCTGGACGATAAAATTCGTGATCAAAAGACTGATGACCGATTAATTGTGGCTGAAATAGCTCAATAACTCGCCTTTAAAGAGAGGGCACGACTAGCTTTTTCTCGGAGCTTATTAGTGAAATGAAAAAGGTAATATATACCCGTTTAAACTATACGTAAATTCACGGCCGCGTGTTTTGATTTCGCGCATTCTAGCTGAATCCTATAGTTTCCACTAACCTTCACTTCAATTTTGAAGCAAAATATATCTTTAAGGCTTTGCAGAAAACTAATATTGCCTTCAATTTTTTCAGGTTGAGTTTTAGAGCTAAGTAAGATTAGAAGAAATGCCGTGGGCAAGAAATTCGCCATCGACGATGGCTGAAATTGCCTCAGAGAAGACTCGCGTTTAAGGAGTCAGCAAGTCCAAAGCTGCTCGTCTACACTTCGTAGCTAACATGAACAGGTACATGTCTATTTTGTGTCTGTCTGATTCAAATGCACGAGGATGAGACGTTAAAACGGTCGATCAGTCTCGTGCATGCATTCGAGTGTTATTTTAACTAAATATACTGTTTATACTTCACGCGAGTTAAGCTCGTTTTCATTGAACAACTTATTTCGGAAATTACCGTCTATATAACGAGCATTATACCTTTGCTTTATTCCAGGTGGAGATTGAGCGATTCAAAGCCATTTGAATCGACGATAAACCTGTTCAAATTAAAATGTAAGTATATAGAGAAATAGAGCATTTTATATAGATATACATGCTTGGTATCCCAAAAAACCCTAAAACTATTGAAATCACCTAGGTGTTGTTAAAATTTGAATGACTCGACTTGTTCGCAATTTTTGCTCGTGGGGATTAACGCATCTTATAAAATGCTAAATAGGCCACAAAAATTTAAATTTTTCTAGAGAATTAAGGACATGTCGAAGGTCATGGTGCTAAGACTTAAGTTGTAAATTTAAATACTGTTATCCATATTTGTAATGCGTATTGGTGATAAAAGTCATTTGTAGAAATTTTACTGTCATTCATTATGCATAAAAATGCTTATATCAAACATTCATTTATACACTCGTTCGTCCCAACAGGGTTGCTTAGGCATTCAAACTCTATCTATATTACATTGTTATGGGTGATTTCAATGTTTTTTGGGGTTTTTTGGGACACTCTGCCTGTAGAGCAAACAATAGGAAGCTTAAGATTTGGGACGGAGCGACGACGAGGAAACATGCAATATTTAATAAATATTCGTAGCAAAAAAAACAATTGAAGTCGTGCAGCCTTAGCAACAAAGAGCATGCATATAGTTAATCGCAAATTTCGTTTGCAAAGCGTTTGCATATATACATGCATGCATGCATGAGGAAGAGTAATATCTGACGTCGTTAAATTTAGCTATTGTTTAACCACCTTACCGAGTGCATAATATCCTTATATATCCATAAAAGCCTTAGCTTGTAGATCTCATCAATGCTATTTTTAGTGAGAAAATAATTTGTATTCATTGCTGTTTCTATAAGGACAGCTTGTTTTATTGCTTCGGCTCCAAAATTGCTCAGTGAATTTTTCATAGAAAAAAGCTTTGTCTATATGTGCCTCTGCCTAAAAATTCCAATAATGAGAATATATTTCAAAAAATGCTGTTTCTATAAGACCAAATTGTACAATGAATTTTGTGCTAAGAATTTTTTACTCGTGCAATTGCTATTAAGGAAGCCGCTTGCTTTGGCTGTATGCCTATGTGTTTAAAAATGTCATGACGGAAATACTAGAAATATTTTCAATCCATTGCAATATGGGAAGTATTAGTGAAACTAGGAAATTATTCTTCAGAACACTGCATGCCTATGTGAATTTGTCAGCAGAATATTTTTCGGGGCTTGCATCAAAATGTATGACTAGTGCATGATATTGACTATAAAAGGTTTTTATATTAAAGTCAATGTTTGGCCTCGTCGTCACGCTTCCCTCCTCAATCATAGCGATAGGGTATCTATAAATAACGTTCGAGCGTACCGATTCAGCTTCCTGCGTTCTATAAAATACTTTTTTTCTATCTTTCCTTATATATTAACAAATATAGTTTCTTATCTTTATCTTTTAAAATTTGTTTCAGGTTGATGAAAATAAAAATCACAAGTCTACGTACAGCTATGACCGCGAGGACCGAAACGACCCAAAAACGACACCAAACGACACAATACGATACAACGTCGAAAAGCAGCGTATATCGGCGATGTTTCCCGACATCGTTAAAGGTTAGAGTAGCCTGGTGGTCAAAAAATGTGCATGCTAGGGTTCGGATGTGTTTCGCACAAAAAATGGTCACGAACAATTTTTCTGCACTTCTGCAAAGCAGAAGTGAATTGGTCGTCGCATTAAGGGTCGCGATGTTTTCAAACCACACCGTTATTCAGATGTTTAGGTTCTGGCCACCAGGAACATAGCTAATGCATGATGCATGTGTAAATAAATTTGCATGTGAGTAAAATCATTTTTTAAAAATAATTCGGTTATATAGGATTCGGTTTTGCGCTCTCGCTGTGCGCTTAGGTCTACGCGCTAGGGCTTAGGTTGATAAGTTGTATGTTCATATACGAAAATAACGAAATGGCTTAAAAAGCCATGCACATGATCATAAATCACATGCAGCCTCAAATGGCAAACATAATCTCATAGGTTCTGTACATGCACACATACAAAATATAGCCTCGAAATGGCAAACATAATCCCATAGGTTCTTACTTTGTTCCATCTCTCGGAACACTATTCTTGGGTAACTAATTGCGGCTCCGAATGTAGATTTATAATTACATAAGAAACAATGAAACATTTGTATACAATGTTCATGCACCATACAAAATATAGCCTCGTATAACAAGCATAATCCCATAGATTCTTACTCCGTTCCATATCTTGGAACGCTATATACTCGTATAAGTAATGTAGATTGTAAGAAAATATACTGAAAACATGCAACACTGTTTTGTACACATACAAATTATAGCCTCAAAATGGCAAACATAGTCCCATAGGTTATTTCTTGTCTCCATCGTCTTTCTCCCTTTTTCTCTCTCTTGCCCTGTTGAAATAGTCTTATCCGGCCAAATGCGGCTTTCGGAAATATAGATTGTAAAATTATACATTGTAAATATATTATATCTTGCATGTCTTAATATATTTTGTAATAGTTAATAATACTTTGTAATACGAATGTATATAGCAGGTAAAACCTATTACCATACCTAGTTTACTGGTTACATAATAATTGAGACACACATGAGCATAATATTAATACAAACCATGCAATTAAGCCATGGCCTTTAATGGCAGACATAATCCAATAGGTTTCTAGGTTCTCTCTCTTCAATACGACTGTAGTTGATACTTGAGAAATATCCATTTAAATCCACATGCATGCATATACCGCCTTAATATAAATCTGAAATATATCAACCTTATATACAGTCTTATTAACTCATGCATACTTGACACTTTACAACAAAATATATATATACATGGCAAATAAAACATGCACTTAATGAATGCGAATTTACATTTAATGAAAGAGGGGAAGAGGTGGGTGGGAGGAAGGGGGAGTTGTTATCTCATACGAATATATATATACGTCATTTGTACACTAATTAAAAAAAATGAGACGAACATGGGCAGTGGCATTGCGACTTTATTATTTTTCTAAGGTCTCTGTGAGACTTCCAATTATTTAGCATCGTCGAGCAGTGCTTATGAAAAGAAAGGCGCCACTTTTCGTCTGTACTGTTTGACCTTGCTGGGTGGTTCGAAGTGTTAGCAGGTATCTTGGGATATCTAATAACGTTGCAGTGTTATATTTTCATTGCTGTTTCTATAAGGGCAGCTTACTTTGGCTATATGCCTTGGCTCTAAAAGTGTTCATAATCAGTTTTAGAAAAAAAGATGGGTATTTAATGCTGTTTCTATAAGGGCAGCTTGCTATAATGTCGTAGCTCCAAACATTTTCAGAGAATTTATCAGAAAAAAAGGATTTGTACTTGATGTGCAGCCTTTCACTTCGGCAGCATTCTAGTTTACTTTTGTCATATACCAAAAATTGTGAAGTCACAATTATCAAAATTTTTTTTAATTGCTTTCTGTAAGAGCAGTGCATGTGCTCTGGCTTCAGCTCAAAAAAATTGTGCAATGAATTTTTCAAGGAAATTGTTTCCTTCACCGCTGCTAATTCCATATACGGGCATGCAGCTATAGCTTCAGCTATACGCGGAAGTTTTCAAAATGTTCATCGAAAATCCTTCAAATAATGCTGCACAGTTTAAAAACTAAAACAAAACTTAGGAACACTGCCTATGATTTGTCAGCACAATAATATTAGTTGAGGACGAACAGGACTTGCATCAAAATGCCCTGAATTTGTTAATTTATTCTGTCTGTAACTGAACTGGGTGTATAAGTCTGTAGAATAAAATATGCATGCACGATCACTTGAATAACACACATACATACATAGTTTGTGATGAGCATTAAGAAACATAATATAGCACATGCTGTAAAAGACTTGCACACTGTAATAAAACGTGACAAAAAAATCTGCACTTTTCGTAAATTAAAATGTATATAGAGTAATATTAAGCATATCTGCATTGTAATCGTCTTAAATATTATTCTTTTCAAATGTAAATATATGTTGTATCCCAGTTAATAATCTATTTGTGTATTACTGATGATTAATGTAAAGAAAATACACACGCTATGTAACACATGCGCAGTGAAGTATTAATAAAAGTAGGACAAAAATTATCCGTCTCCCTGTGTCTTGATTTCAATAGCTAAAGACACGCACGCTTTGTAATACACGAAAAGACACACACGCTTTGTAATACATGACATTGTTTTAATAAAATATGACAAAATTTTGTGTATTTTGTGTTTTATTTCCGGTGTTCGGTCACTTCGGTGAGGGTTTTTCTCCAGGATCTCTGGTTTCCCTCGTAATCAAAACAGTGTCCGTGTGTTCGGAACCGCGTTTATAGTTGGATTTCCATTTTAAAATTAAACATTCTAACAAAAAAATTTCATGTCATTTGATTGAAGCGTTTCACATCTGTGCCTGAAGTCTCGCTTTAGGTAAGCTATTCGCAAAACGAAGAATGTTTCGCAATCATTTTCTCTTCTGGCGTCAACGCCCTTAAAAGTGCACATGAGCATAAACGAATTAAGGAAAATCAAAGTTAAGTCAAGTTTAATATAAGAATTGTACTAATCTAATGGAATCTGACTGTACACACGGTTACAGGGTTAAATTCCCAGTACACCGTTCTTTACGCGACGAAGCAGAAAATAAAGCCAAATTTCACTTGGCAAGCGTTCCTTGTTTAATTATAGTTGTTACGTAGATTTTAGGTTTTTATACTTTTTATATAACACTTAAAATTTTTGTAGTGTGCTCTAGTGTGTTCTAAAATGTTTAATATTTTACAAATTTTCAATTTTTTCTCATATATACTAGTGGTTTTTAAATTTTTAAAAGCGATTCTAAAATTTTCATAATGTTTGACATTTCTAAAATTTTTATAATGTTTGACATATGTACTAGTGTCTTTTTTTAAGTTTTAAAATTTTTCAATATATACCCAAGTATTTTAAAAAATTCTAAAATTTTTAAAAGGTTTCAATTTTCCCAATTGTATTTACAATTTTCCAATTTTTTAAAATTTTCGGCTAAAATACTTTCAAAATCTTGAACCTCAAATTTCAGAAAAGAGAGCTGACCAAAGGAAAAATCAAATTTCAAAATTCGGTTCCCACCTTGAAAAGGTTCAAAACTAAGTGGAATGAATTACATTCTTGCATGAATACAATTCATTTGCACGCCTAAAATCATGTTTTAATGAATTTCAAAATTTCAGAAATTTTGGCAACGGGGGGACCAAAGCAAAAATCGTAAATTTCGTCAGTTTTTGAAATTTCATAATTTAGTTCCAAATACCTCGAAATGGTTCAAAACCACGTATAATTACATTCTTCGATGAAAACAATTCATTTGAACACCTAACGTCATATTTGGATGAATTATATTTCAAAACATCAGAAAAACCGGTAACGGGGGGACAAAAGAAAAATTGCCATTTTCGTCAATTTTTTAAAATTTAAAAACTCAGTTACAAATACCTTGAAATGGTTCAAAACTAAGTAGAATTACATTCTTTGATGAAAACAATTCATTTGAACACCTAAAGTCTTATTCTGATGCCCTTGAATTTTAAAATATCAGAAAAATCGGTAACGGAGGAACAAAGGAAAAATAGCAATTTTGGTCAAATTTTTGAAATTTCAAAATTCAATTCGAAATACCTCAAAATGGTTGAAAACTAAATAGAATTACATTCTTTGATGAAAACAATTCATTTGAACACCTAAAGTAATATTTTGATGCATTTGAAAATATCAGAAAAATCGGTAACGGGGGGCCAAAGGAAAAATCGCAATTTTGGTCAAATTTTTGAAATTTCAAAATTCTATGCCAAATACCTCAAAATGGTTAAAAAACTAAGTAGAATTACATTCTTTGATGAAAACAATTCATTTGAACACGTCAAGTGATATTTTGATGAATTTCAAAATATCAGAAAAATCGGTAACTTGGGACGAAGGAAAAATCGCAATTTTCGTCAATTTTTTAAAATTTCAAAACTCGGTTACAAATACCTCGAAATGGTTCAAAACGAAGTAGAATTACATTCTTAGATGAGAACAATTCATTTGAACACCTAAGTCCGATTTCGATGAATTTCAAAATGTCAGAAAAATCGGTAACGGAGGAACAAAGGAAAAATCGCAATTTTGGTCAAATTTTTGAAATTTCAAAATTCAATTCCAAATACCTCAAAATGGTTGAGAACTAAGTAGAATTACATTGTCTGATGAAAACAATTCATTTAAACACATAAAGTCATATTTTGATCAATTTGAAAATATCAGAAAAATCGGTAACTTCAAACAAAGGAAAAATCGCAATTTTCATCAATTTTTTAAAATTTCAAAATTCGGTTAAAAATACTTCGAAATGGTTCAAGACTAAGTAGAATTACATTCTTTGATGAAAACAATTCATTTGAACACCTAAAGTAATATTTTGATGAATTTGAAAATATCAGAAAATTCGGTAACGGGGAGAGGAAGAAAAAATCGCAATTTTCTTAATTTTTTTGAAATTTCAAAATTCGGTTCCAAACTAAGTAGAATTACAGTCATATTTTGACGAATTGCAAAGTCATATTTTGATAAAGTCATATTTTGATGAATTTCTTTGATGAAAACAATTCATTTGAGCACATAAAATCATATTTTGATGAATTTCAAAATTTCAGAAAAATTGGTAATGGGAGACCAAAGGAAATATCGTAATTTTCGTCAATTTTTTGAAATTTCAAAATTCGGTTCGAAATACCTTGAAATGGTTCAAACTAAGTAGAATTACATTCTTTGATGAAAATAATTCATATGAACACCTAAAGTAATATATTTTGATGAATTTCAAGACTTCAGAAGAGTCGGTAACGGGGGACGAAAGGAAAAATTGGGGTTTTCGTGAAATTTTTGAAATTTCAAAATTCGGTTCCAAATACCTCGAAATGGATCAAAATTAGGTACAATTACATTCTTTGGTGTAACGAATACATTTGAACACATAAATCAAACTTTGATGAATTTCAAAATTTTAGAAAAATCTGTAAGCGGGACCAAAGGAAAATTTGTGATTTTTGTCGATTTTTTGAAATTTCAAATTTCGGTTATAATTACCTCGAAATGGTTCAAAACTAAGTGGAAT